CGATGTACAGGATGATGAATAGCAAGCAGCGAACCATCGATTGATTCGTTGTATTTCACATCTGGATGCACAAGTAGTTCATAAAATCCGCAATCAATTGAAGCATCAAGGTCAGCAATAGCAATCTTTACTGGACGATCCATGGACTGTAATATGGGGGACGCTCTAGGAGAAACTTTAAGAATCAAGCATATACTTTTTAATGTTGCAGGGGAGCGTATTGGGCCGTAAACTTGACCATGCAGCACAATTTTAATATATGTCATTCAGATATTAGTAAATTGAAACAATTCTGAAATCAACTCGATGGTTTTATTTGAAATGATGAAATTAAAAAAACGCAGTGTTACTGCAGGGTGGAGATTCTCCGAGTATTCGAGGCTAGCATGGATAACTCGAGTTTACTGCTAATACGATGCAGTTTAATACCAATTTGCTATCTGAGTTGGTAAATTAACAAGGGTCAAAGTAGAATAAACAGTCAATTCTACGGAACAGTTTATATCAAATCCACTGGACATTGTGTTTTTAAATTCTTTAATCGATTGTTCTTTCAGTGATCGGCATGTATAGTCGCACTCAGCCTATGATGGACGTTGCGTCTGAAAGAATCGAATGTTCGAGCCAATCCATCAAAAAAGCGCAATGAATATTTAACTATTGTTTATTATGAAGCAAAAAGGATAGTCGTTGCAAAATAAATACAAAAGTGTTCCATTTTGTGAATACGGCCGTGAGTCGTCATTCAAAGATTGAAACTAAAAACCCGACTTGATATAAAATAAAAGTATGAAAAAATCTAAAAAATATCCAAGATATTCCAATAACTTAAAAAAGCAATTACGAATATATACAATAGAAATCAAACTATTAAGCTCGGTTTTGAAAAATCAGAGCGTGTATAGTAGATTGGTGGTAAAAATAGCTTGGATGATCAACATGTCACGCTCTGTTCGAAACTAAACTGTGATAGCCTATCTACCTGATCTTCGTCAACTTCATCAGATCGCTGAAAGCTCCATTTTCCACAATCGCTGCTTATACTCGTACGGGTTTTAGTATTCGCTGCGTGGTCTATGAGAACTTGAGTGGACGTTGTTTCCGTAGTTGCAGAAGAATCCACAAGACTGTTTTGGCTGCTGTTGATCCATTTGTAAGCAATAGAACGAAAAGACATTTCACCTTTCATCACATCCTCATAAAACCCTTCCAAACTAGCTCTATTACGCGATTCTGTCAGCTTCGTAGTGGTGCTGGTCACCATGTCAGAGGTCTGTGTAATGGGTTCGGTCGAATTTAAATTATCTGTCAAGTTTATGGGAAGGGGTGGCAAGGGACGATGTAAAGCAGCTTGATTCTGTTGACTGGTATGTCGAATGCTTTGTGATGTTGAATCTTGGTGACAAACCTGTTTAACCTGAACAGCAGCCCAGCTAAACCCATCAGCATTGGAAGACACAATTGGACGACCCATTTTGAGTTCCCATTTGCGTTTAGGAACAACAGATGTTGAGTCAACCTTTTGAGTGTCCGATACAACTGGTGGAGTAGATGGCTCTGATGAATCCATAGTTGATAAAGCATTGGAAGCCAAGGTATTCTTTTCTGGAACACTTGTACTAGTATTCAGTGGTGTGACTGATCCAGTCTGATCATGACGTACATTGGTATCCACACAACAATAAGCACTTTTGAAAAAAGTGGATGCTTGGACAGGCTTTAAGCTCTCCACTGATGCCAATCTTATCGACACCTTACGAATAAGACTATCCTCTACCGAGATAACATGCATAGGCGGCATAGGTTTCCCAGTATCCAACAGCATAACAGGCATTCTTTCCATTCTTAAATTCGCCTTTTTAGTTGACATTTTCAATGAAGCAGATTGCTGTTGGGTCTCGGTATTGGAAGCAACCTGTTGTTCTATAGCCTGTATCTTTCGAGATTGACGCTTGTTCTTTTCCCGTCGTGATCGCCTTTTTTTAGGCGGCTGTAAGAGATGAGACTGCTGCTGAATAGGCTGATTCTTCCACAACGCTGTTGTTACTTGTGGATTCTGATGCGACGTATTCATGGAGGGTTTTGTGTGCAACATGACTGAAGACGGAGAAGTTACAACAACAGATGGAGGTAGACTCACGGGTAAAACAAGACACGCCGAGGTAGAAGAAGCAGACAATTCGGCCTGTTGCGACTTTGATGCTTTTGTATCAGATGTACGTTTTACTTTGATACTATCATTTGAAATGATGTTGATCATGGCTCCAGAGTCGTTGGATCCCGCCAGCTCATATAATTTAGGTTCCGCGCGACTTGTATATTGAATATATTCAAAGCAAATAGCAATTAGTCTTGTGGTTAATAATGGAATCGACCCATGCCATTATAAACGACCCGGGGTACAACAATTGATTCCCTGATAAACGAGACCACAGGAATCTGGCACTGAATTGGAATAATTACATGTGATTTATGGAATTGGCGTGCAAATCACATGTAAAGTGCGGGTTGAAAGGGAGATGTGCAGTAGTGGCTGGATTAATTTACAACTGTACTTGTAGGACAGCATTACAGCCGTATTCATGTAAAATAAGAGTGCAATACAGCCAATCTCGTGATAATTCACATCCAATTCACTCGTCAGTATGCCCTTGAAGCTCTAATTGACTGGTATTTGCTCATTCTGTACGAGCGAATGCTCACATTACAGTTCAAGTAAATCCCATACAGAACAGTCCAACCCAATATCTGAATTGTAATGGATGAGTCAGGTTTCCAATGCACTACTGTTTTGGAATATCACACTGTTCAAAAAAATTGACAGGTGTTGAATGCCATACAAGTGCAAAAGTTTTCCAAAATCACAACAGACCACTGATAGCTAAACAGTAATGCAGGGCTGAAGGGGATGAATGAAAAAAAACCATATCATACCTATTGGGACGGGAAGAGGCCTTGGATGATGGACGTCCAAGTGGCTTGAAGTCGGATAGCTCAGATAGGGGACGACCTAGTTTGACAGGCTTGATTTTGCAATGCTTCAATCGGATTGTCAACGTATTCCATGTTTTGGCTGCCCAGTTTTGACTATTGGACTCCATTGAGCTGACCAAAGATTGCTCCAAAACTCGTAGTTGCCAAACTTTTAAATAATTGTTGCAAAGTTAAATTGCAGTAGCGATTCAATAAGAATGCCAAAGATACGGGATCTCGACTTTGATTTTGAAATATATGGTTGAATGTGTGCAAGTTGAATAATTAGTCAAGTTGATGTGAAATGGCAAATAATGGGTCGACTCCTCGAATATATGTTCAAACGGCAATACGTATAAGCAACTCAAGCCCGCGGCTCTTTGTGAGCGACTGCATCAATAGCACAGCAATAAGCAACTTGCGGCTTATCACCAGCTGATCGATAACTACATTGAAGGGTGAAGCCTATCCTGTATCAGTTTATGCTGAATATGCTTTTACAGGTGTAATGTTTAAAAAATAATTGGCGGATCCGAGTATACTCTAGAGACCTGTCCTGACAAACCACTTATGCATTATGCAGATGAAATTCGGCTGGAATTACAGCCGTATTTACGTGACATAAAACATGTATCTTGCAGACCATCTCTATTATGCTTCGGAATAAACAATGATGAAATACCCGTTGCGCATTCCTACCACGAATCAATTGTATTGTTTATCCAATTGGTACTCTCAATTCTTTGATCAACACAATATCCATCATACAATGCACACGATTAAACTATAGCTTTGAACTAACCCTGTTTACTTGACACATGTGTTGTATACTATCCAAACATAAGCATACGAGTGGAGTAGAGTCCAGAAAGCATATTATTCAGTACATCTGTGGAAATCATGATTCACAAGACTGTTATTGTACGTTGATTCTTGGTTTGTATTTTATATGAATACAGCTGTAATCAACGAGGCTGATTCAAATATATTATTGAGCTTTTGGTAGTGATTTAGCCTGCATTTTGAAACCATTGTTCTGCACAGTTGGCAATATCTATTCAAACTGCAAGAGTTGTGGCATTGGACCATGCTTGGCAAATGAATCCATCCACTCCATCCACTCCGTACAATACATATCTAGAGGATCATGTGCTTGTTGAGCAACACTTTATAACACATTTATTTGAATGGACTGAAGCAGCTATTGGTGTTGATGGGCATCGAAAATACCTCAACATAGTTTAAATAGAATATGTATATACACTTATGCATGCTCGGTAGTCTGCTGATTGGGTGTTGGCTTGGTATCAGCAGTATCAGTATCAGTCAAAACAGTTCTAACAGGATCTTCGGGTTGGCGTGCATGAGTTGTGTCCTTCAGAGCCAGGTTTGCAGCCGACTTGGCTGCCTCGGTCTGGATTGTAGTAGTGGGTGAAACAGTCCATGTTATAGTAGGAACAACAGAAACAATCGATGATTTGCTTGTAAGTTGTGTACGATGCACATGCTCTTGAGGTATTTGAATGGCTAGCTTATTTGGTGGTTGAATCCCAATAGAAGACAATCGCTCAGATGCCTAAGATTCAAGGCAAAACCATGTCACATATGAAGATTAGTAAATCAGCACATTAGACCCATCTCTATCCACCCAGTAGTTTAAATACTAACCAAATTGCTTTCTTGAATGGATGGACTCGCTTCAGAAAAAGATGCTTCTGTTGGATGGTATGCACCAAATGTAACCGCAGATGAACGCTTCAACCGTGTATCAAGTTCAACATATTTCTTACCTAATTCGGTCTTATTTGGCCGATCGCATGTATCCAAGGCTGCTGTATATGAGCATTCATCATCACTCAACTCTCCAATGATTCCAGCAGTGTGCGCAGCTGCTTCTGCACTGCTAATAAAATGTCTTAGACTGTAAATGTTTTTTTGGATAATCTGTTCACGGTCGAGATGGCTTGTAATACTTTGATACCTGTCGGGATTGTATTCCGAGTTCAAAGCACGAGCTGGAGCTGGAGCTGGAAACGCGGATTCATTGTTTTTGAATAAAGTGGGAGGAGCTATCCTAGTAGGTGCAACTGGCCCTTGAGGAGAAATCATTGATAGTGGTGCAGCCATCATGCCATGAGAAAGATTGGCTGGTGGTGGCGGTGAAGGCGATTGTGTAGTCACTGTGCATATCTCATTTTCAACATGATTGGTTTGGCAATAAGCTGTTGCCAATTGCGGTTTTGCCAATCTTGGTCGTACCGGCTCGAGAACCAACACGGTATACAAAGATATAAAAACGCTGACAATAGCTATGATGCATGCACAGATGGCAATAATAATAGCAACCATGTCAGGTGCCAAACTGCCTTTTGACTGCTGTGGTGGCTGGGTGTTTGGTGTTTTTGTATTAGTTTGATTGTTGTTTGGTGAAGTCAATATGACGGTGAAATTGGAAGGTGGTTCTACAGTCAAAGTATCTGTAGGATGAGTAGGCAAGGCTGGCTGTCCTGGTGTAAAGGTTGACACAGGTATCCATCGCGTACCAGAAAATATTGACACTGTTGGGATATCTATAAACAGACGATTGTTGGCACGCCCACCAAACATGATTACGTTTCCGCTCGAGTCTGCAGTCATTCCAAACGAATCTCGTGGTGCTGGATAAATGGGTTCATTTGATGATGACTCGGCATCATTTGGTTGAGGTTGTAGTAAATTGAAACGCAACGATTTTTGGCTGGCATCGTATTCACCCGTGTATGAATCCGTGGCAGGAATGTCGTAGCCGCCTTGTCCAGAAAACAAGATGAATGTCTTGTTGGATGTAGCAGCTATTCCGCCTAGACTTCGTGGAGATGGAGATGGTCCAATGATGGTGGGTGTAGACCACTGATTCATATACAGCAAATAAAAGATATGCAAAAAGTTAGAATGTTGATATTTCAAGTAGAAGCAAGCCAAACTAAACTTACAGTACGAGCGACCGTATCAAACACATGAAAGTTGTTTGTAGCAGATTTTGGAGATCCATGACTGCCACCACTTATAATCAAGTCTTTTCCCAAAAATACCATGGACGATCCGACTGAACCAATCTTATTCTGTGTACCAAATATATTGGGAGGGTCCTGCATACGAGTCCATCTTTTAGATTCGACATCTAGGGCCCATAGATCTGTTACTGGTCCTTTCTTAGTATATCCGCCAAACACCCAAACGGTTTTAGTAGAAGCATCCCATACGCTTGCATGCCTGGCTCTAGTTGAAGGTGCACCACGTTGGCCTATTTTTGGAATGGTATTAAATACCTTTGAGTTCATGCCAGTCAAATCCATTGTGTAGACATGTCGAGAATATCGCGTTTTCCACGGAGCCCATTTCCCATCTGTGTCGGGAAGACCGCCCGTCATACCAAACAAGCTTAAAGCCGTAGTAGGTGAAATGACATGTGTAGTATGAGATGCTATAGGCGACGATGATCTTTTTACAGTGTCCAGCTTGATAGTGGACCAAGTTTTTGTATTGAAATTGTAGCTCAGAATTGAGGATATGAGCTTCATTTTTTTGGCTATCTTGTCAGCTCCACCATATACCATTAAAGTATTATTGTATAAAAATGTGCTGGCTTCGTATCGTACTGGTGTTTGACTTGTGCTATCGCTGGAGATGGATTGAACAGGTGCGATGAGGATTAAAAACAAGAATGAGTAAAACATACACACTGTACGAATGCTATTAAATCGCCAATATGAGCACAATTGATTTTGAGATCTATAGATGCTGAACGGGCACGGATAATAATCAGTGGATTTGGTAGCTGTTTGCAATGTCATTTTGCCAGCTTGAAGTAGATTTGGGTTGTCTTGCTGTATGGTTTCGATAAACTTTTTAAATCGGCTAGGAAAGATAAGAATATATGACCTTTAGCCTACTACATGTAGCAGAGTTCTTGAGATGTACAAGGCAATCATCCCTTGTGATGATATGCTTTAGAAGGGAGATTCTTTATGAGCAGCGACAGTGTGTTGGTGTGAGGGCGGTTGTTGCTGCCATAGTAGTAAGTCTACAATTTTTCAGCATCCAAATATTTTTGGGTTGAATAGAAGCTGTGTAGTAGTCTGTGTTGATGGTGGAGGGAGGGACACTTTTGTACTACCATTCAATACCAAGACAGTTGATCACCACTTGAAGACTGTAGCAATCCAATGCCAACACAAGATAGCAACTGTCATTGGCCATATGTACAGCTATTCTAATGAGCAAATCCTTTGAATAACTATGCATTATCTCGCTGAACAAGCGATATGAGTTGTTGAATCTGGATTCGGCATCATGCTTGTAGTTGCCTATCTACAATGTATTACAGCTGTACTCATATAAAATGAAACACTAAGAATACCAAGTGCATAACCATCTCAAAACGATGATTCTCATCAGATTTACTGAATATTGTGCTGACAAAGTGCACTGGCCAACTCATTTTTATATAGAAAGTTGTGCTCGCATTACAGTTCCAGTGAATCTCATTCTCCTTTTATCCAAATCAAACATTGGATGATTAGCATGTATAGTTACATTCCTGAGATAGGTTGAACTAGAACGTACAGTTTTCAATAGAAATGAGTTTGTACAGGATTTTATTGACAACACCAAAACAGTCGAGTTCAATATCTGATTTGAAATGGATGGATCTGAAGATCCTACAGTATACAGCCAGTTCAAAACTATTGTTTGATGTTGAGCATCATATAATAGACATTGCTAAAGAATCGGGAATGACAATTAAAGACAATTTGTAGCAGCAAGACAAATGCCAGTCATTTTCTATTCCAAAGCAAACTAGGTAATAACTACAGAAAAGTATTCCATTTGACATGGATACGGCTTTAAAAAATAAAAATTATACCTAAACCATCAATGATTGATACAACACATTACTATTGGTGTGAGCGAAGCGATTTGGGGGGTTCCTCAGATTCATCCTCGTCGCTTGAATATTGGTATTGCAGTTGCTGATCTGCATCAAGAGCAAATGAAGATTGGCTGCTACTGACTGGCTGTAGCAAGTCATGTTTAGCTGATATAGATGGGTTGGATACACTAAGCTGGCGTCCAAATGCTGAGTTGACCAAAGATGACGAAGAGTTGGATGGTGTTGTTGAAAATGTGGATGGCACATACGGCTCAGGTTGCTGAGCATAGAGTTGAGACATGTAGTTGGATCCAAACTGGTTTGATGAATCCATCGTAGAGTCGAGTGTTTCGGTTTTGGGTACTGATGGGAAAGATCTCATATTGCCTACTTGATCGTTTCCAGAAACAACTGGAATACTCCATGCACCGCTATTGCGTATATCTGGACGATTACTGAGTGCAGCTACAGATGGATGTTGGGGTCGCGGCATGTTACCATATTCAGCTGGTGCAATGGGTGATACAGGCACTATACTTTGAATGTTTGGGTCAAGCAAAGTGCGATCACTATTCTGTCGAGTAGTTTGCATGGCAGTGGCAAATGGCACCATTAAAGATTGCGTCGGAATCGTATATACATCAGGACGTTTTAATGGCGTATACCCAGCGTCAGTTGTGTTTTGTTCTAGTCCTGAATGGTGTATATTCGACAATGAGGTTTCAGATTGTCGATTTTCAAAAGAATACGCATTTGGTGGATCCGTAGGCGATGGTGCCAAAGCAACTATCGGGTGAATTGGAATCAAAGCTCGCTGATTACGCTTACGAGCGCGGTATACATAGACTGCACCAAATATAGCTGCTACTGCCACGGCACAACAGGCCAACACTACAAGAATGGTGATGGTGTTGGTTGTGATCCAAGATGGCTGTTCTGAATTAGCATTCGTATTGGTTCCATTACTTGAAGGGTCAGTACCGTTGGCAGATGTATTTGATCTATCAGATCCATCGGGTGTGGTTCCAGTAGCAGGATTACTGATACTTGTGGCAGGCTGACCAGGAACAAACTGTTTCGAGTCAATCCACGAATTACCAGAAAATACATGTATATTTGAATCGATGGGTGATGTTGCTAGTCCAGATCTGCCACCAAACATGACAATGTTTCCACTGGAATCAGACACGACACTAGGAGAATCTCTTAAAGTTGGTAAATTGGATTTAGTATCGGATAGTGATGGTGGGTTGGCAGAGTCGAATGGAATCGATACATATGAAATGGTTTTTTTTGATGAGTCTACATGGACCAGCCATGAGTCTGCAACCAAAGTACTTCCATTATTACCACGTCCTGAAAACAGTAGTACAGATTCGTTAGTCGTGACTGCCATACCAGCCATACTGCGCACTGTTGGTGATGGACCTGTGCTGACAAGATTGGTCCACTAGATTGAAACAAAATTGTTGGTGTGTAGATCAATAGTAATATAACAATATATACAGATAGCACTTACCACATGTGCAATGGTGTCGAATAAAAAAAACGAGTTTGTGGCAGTGTCATCAGGCCCTTGACTTCCACAACCAAGAAGAATGTTGGATCCGATTAAAACCATGGAGGAACCAACTGTCCCGATTTTGGGTGAATCTGGCATTTGCGTCCATACACCAGTCGAGACTTTAAGTGCCCACATGTCTTTTAGTGGTCCAAACGACGAATAGCCTCCAAAGACCCATACAATACCATTAGCAGCATCCCACACACTGGCATGTTTGGCCCTAGGTTGCGGAGCACCTGTTTGACCAATATCAGGCACAGTTTTAAACAACTCAAAAACCATCGAGTTCAGATCCAACCTATATACGAAAGCAGATAGACCAGACAATGCAGGCTGCCATGTACTAGAAGTATCAGTAGGAATATTCAGTGCACCAAACAGATTCAAAGCAGTTGCATTGGTTATGACGTGACTTGTATGAGAGGCGAGAACTGGGCTGTAGCTCAGTGATTCAGGGGTTGAAGGTGTTTTTTTTGAAATAGCTTGACTCCAGATATGAGTAGTAAAATTGTAGATCATAATAGAAGAGGTTGGGTTTTTACCCGGTGCATAAGACTCGATGCCACCATAAACAACGAGCGAGTCTTTCCAAATGAACGAGCTGGCATCATATCTTGTAGGTGCAGGAATACTGGGCAGAGTTTCTTGTGCACAAACAGTTGTACAAGTCAAGAAAATGGCAAAGCATATAAAGCGGAGAATAGCTTGGTGATTGCATAAACGGGCACATGAAGTTTTTTTGGTGGTTTGCATGAACAGGGCGTCAAACAACGATCCAGTGCTGGCCTGCCAGACATTTGAAAACCAATTGGACGCAATAAACGAATGCTGTCTGATGGTGCTAGTTTTCATTTGGATTTAAGGTTTGAACGCAGTATGCTGTGATGTATAGATTGAGTGATTTGCGCCGTGTTTAATGTAAAAGCGACAAAACTATTATGCCAGTAATAGTGTCAAGTATATGATAATATATATATAATTGTATCAGCAGTATTTGTGAGCCCACAATTTATCCTGCAGTAATATAGTGTATTTGAGTTGAGTGAAATAGAGGTAAAATGGCATTAAAGTGTACAATTGTTTTGAAGATGAAAATTACAGGGTTTCCCAACAATCAAATGAATAGTGAAACAACAATTGATTGTTTATCGAGAATAATGAATTTCAAACATGCTCATTGTTGAGTGTATTTTATGGTTTCAAAACATGTCATGATGTGCATACTTCGCCTTATTCGTTCAATCTGAAACATGCACTAGTCAACAAACTACTGCGCCATGAACAATTTGACCGTTATTAAACAAAAACACCGTCATTGCCCTTTGCATTCGAGTATTGACATCAACAAAATCTACACTTGATGCTCATTGTAGTTGGTGAACAATGCAGAATGAAATCCGTATTTACTTGTTCAGCAGTAGTTTGGAGATAACAATGGAGACTCGGTGGCCAGTTGTTATTTCAAACTAGGCTTGTGTCGTTGCTTATTACTGCCAAAGTAGATCAAAGTATGATGTGCATTCAGAAACTATTGGCTACTGCTTTTTCTGCCTATTCCTAGTGAACGTGATGCATTCAGATAGCCGATCAGCTTCTAATCCAATTTTCGTGTATATGAATCAGCTGAATTTAAAACATTGCATTTATGGAATCGTTTAAAGTTGACAAACAGAATCCCATTAAAACAATTGAAACCTTTATTAATTAACAAAGAACTTTTCAAATTAAAGACCATATCAAGGGTGATCAAATATGGAAGTGTATAGACATTATGCCGAGTAGTTTGCATGGCAGTGGCAAATGGCACCATTAAAGATTGCGTCGGAATCGTATATACATCAGGACGTTTTAATGGCGTATACCCAGCGTCAGTTGTGTTTTGTTCTAGTCCTGAATGGTGTATATTTGACAATGAGGTTTCAGATTGTCGATTTTCAAAAGAATACGCATTTGGTGGATCCGTAGGCGATGAAGCCAAAGCAACTATCGGGTGAATTGGAATCAAAGCTCGCTGATTACGCTTACGAGCGCGGTATACATAGACTGCACCAAATATAGCTGCTACTGCCACGGCACAACATGCCAACACTACAAGAATGGTGATGGTGTTGGTTGTGATCCAAGATGGCTGTTCTGAATTAGCATTCGTATTGGTTCCATTACTTGAAGGGTCAGTACCGTTGGCAGATGTATTTGATCTATCAGATCCATCGGGTGTGGTTCCAGTAGCAGGATTACTGATACTTGTGGCAGGCTGACCAGGAACAAACTGTTTCGAGTCAATCCACGAGTTACCAGAAAATACATGTATATTTGAATCGATGGGTGATGTTGCTAGTCCAGATCTGCCACCAAACATGACAATGTTTCCACTGGAATCAGACACGACACTAGGAGAATCTCTTAAAGTTGGTAAATTGGATTTAGTATCGGATAGTGATGGTGGGTTGGCAGAGTCGAATGGAATCGATACATATGAAATGGTTTTTTTTGATGAGTCTACATGGACCAGCCATGAGTCTGCAACCAAAGTACTTCCATTATTACCACGTCCTGAAAACAGCAGTACAGATTCGTTAGTCGTGACTGCCATACCAGCCATACTGCGCACTGTTGGTGATGAACTTGCTGTTTGATTTAATATCAAATATACTGTCAAAACCTTTAATGTAATAAAATATGAACCAGTTTAATGGATTATTCTTGCGCGATTCAAATATTCCAATATTTCAGTCATGCATTTTCAACTATTTATATAATAGTGTACACATGAGTAGAGTTGAATTGAGTATATTAGAGTAAAATGTAGTTTATTTAATGGATTGAGATGAATCAACTTGAACATTAGTGTTGTTCATGCAAATCAAACATTCTTTTCGATCAAGTTGGAATGTCTTGATTTAAAGTCTTGTTCACTTTAAACTTGACGATTATTATTATCAGGTTGAGTTTTGGATTGTTAGATTCTGCTCGAGTACTGTTGTTCAAAGACATGCAAGCCAAGAGCCTGTTTGAACAGGCACACGACTATCGATGTCAACGACTTCAGTCAGCAGGATTGGTTACTGTGGATAGTTTGGACAGACAGTGTGATGCTCTTGACGAGGCATTGATCAACTTTTGTGATGCAGCACATCGTATTCTGACACTCAAGGATGCACCTCGAGTGTCGACTGCTGCTTCGGAGATGACTGAGGATTCACTCGAATCCAACTCCAAGTCTTTGGCAGCAGTCAAGTTGCCTCTATCAGTTCAACAACAGATTGACAATGTTGATCCAGAACAGCACCTGGCATCACCTGTATTGCCCGAGTCTTCAACATTATCAATGGATTCTACACCACAGATTGTCTTGACAACCTGTAGTAAACCAACGAGACCTGTTACAAGGCATAGTTCATCACTGCCAACTCACCCAGTAGAAATCGATATTCCAGTGGAGGAAAAGGATGAGGCTTTTATTCGTAAATATTCTTCATATCAACTTGCACAGTTTCTTGGACGAGGACAATCAGGCTCAGTATTTTTGGGAGAAAACAATCAAGGAGAGCCCATCTTTGCAATCAAGGCAGTTCATTTGCCTAATTCAGTTGGTATTGGTCTTCCTATTCGTCGTACCTTTTTACTCTATCAAAAGGTATTAAAATTACTAGATCATCCCTACATCAATCCATATCTTGGATGGACGGTGATTCAAAACGAAGGGCAGGTGTATACATTTTATTGCAATGGAGGAAATATGCGAAAGGAGATTTATAAAGACGAGACACGGCCAGGTATCAAGGACATGAAGGTAGTGAAGAAGTGGATCAAGCAACTGGTATCTGCATTAGTGTATCTTCATGATCACGGAATAGTTCATCGGTAAGATTGATTTGATAGATTGCATGTTTAAACATTAGTTTTATTTGCAGACTAAAATGTGATATTGTAGCGATATTAAACCCGAGAATCTGCTCTTGCACGATGGAGATTGTCGAGTGTCAGATTTGGGATCATCAAGACTGCACCAGCACTGTTGTCCAGATTCACATCAAAAGAAGATATCAGGTACTCCAGCCTATACATCACCTGAAGCAGTTTTAGGACATATTGCATACGAGACGGGAGCCGAAGATGTGTGGGGAGTTGGATGTTGCCTATATGAGATGATTATGGGGGAGCAACCATGGAATGAGAGCGAAGGAGTATTTTCGATTTATTTTACGATTGGTATGTATTTCAAGACGTATATGGAGAAGCGGAATTTGAATCAAGTACGATTTGAGACCCATTCAAGCAAACGAGAGAATAACAGTGATGAGAGTTTGACCAGTACACAAAGTACGGAACAAACGTATTCCGAGTATGATGGACACCCGTTGGTTGAACGTGTAAAGAAGCGTAACTTGTTGGATGAGAATGGCATAACTTTTCTTGAAAGTTGTTTGGAATGGAATCCGTACGATAGAGCGTTAGCACATGAGTTGTTGAAGATGGAATTTTTAAAAGAGTTTTAACAGTTTTTATTATTAAAGAGTTTCAAGTTTTTATTAAATCTACAAAAATCATTCGAGTAGATTTGAATAGTTAAAGCATTGGCAATTTCACTACTTGATCATTAGTATTGACCATCGAATTCCTTCGACTTGGTTCAAGCCATATACAATGAATAACCCATATGCTATGAATACAGTGGGTAATGCGACAATGGGGTTTGTACAACAACCTCTACAACAGCAACAACTACAACAACTACAACTGCAGCAACTGCAACAACAACAACAACAACAACAAGTCAATCCAACACCAACTACTGCTAGTAACAATCCAATACAGAAACAGTCTAGTTTACATCAGCAACAACAGTATCAGATGTTCCTTCAGCAACAGCAACAACAGCAGTTGCAACAACACCAGTTACAACAATTGCAAATGTTACAACAGCATCATCAGTCCATGAATATGGGCAATGTTCAAGGATTGGTTAATGGTCAGCTTCAGCAACAGCAACTACAGCAACTGCAACAACAGCAAATGCAACAACTTCAGTTACAGCAAGGTGTTGCTGCTACCATCACTACTCCTGGTGCTGCTGCTGCTGGTGCAACCACCGCACCAGGGGCAAGTGGAGTCTTGTCCAGTACAACTACTGTTGGTGTGGAGGGAACTTTGTCTGCTGTTGCCACCACTAGAACCAGTGATGGTCCTAGTGCTGTTAGTACTGCTGGTAATGCTAGTACTGCTGCTGCTATGACTGCTGGTACTGCTGCTGCTGCTTCTGCTTCTGCTGCCATGACGGGCGCTACTACAATGCTCACTCAGCAACAACAACAAATGCAACAACTTCAGTTGCAGCATCAACAGCAACAACTGGCTAATCTCGGTCTGACTTCTCAACAGAGTGCTTATTATATGGAACAACTGCAGTTACAGAATCGTCAACAGTCTATGGTCTTGCATCAACAGAAACAACAACAGTTACAGTTGGCTAGTAATCCCGCTCTCTTACAACAGTTGATTGCTCAACAGCAACAACATAATCAGCAATTGATTCAACAACAACAACGACAAAGGCATGCTTTACTACAGCAGTTGACTCAGATGAGTCAATCTACTGCTAATAATGTTGCTATTCCTGGCACTTCTACTGTCGCAACAGCATCGATTGCTAACGGCGGTGCCGTTTCTGGCGCTGCAAGTCCATCTGCTCATGCTGCTGCTCTGAATCCTCCTCAGACTCCTCAACTACCAACTCCTCAAGTTCAGGCTGCTAATCCATTACTGACTGTTCAACAACATCAGCAAATGCAACAGACTCAACAACAGTTATTGGCTCAGCAACAACAACAGTTGTTACTTCAAAATCAATCCTTGACACCCGCTACCTCGTTGAATCATCCTTCTCAGAATCAACCTACGCCTCAACAGGTACAGCAACAACTCTTGATGCATTTGCAAATGAAACAGCAACAAGGAAATCCCTTGACAGGTCAGCAGCATCAGCAGTTGCTGCAACTGCAACAACAAGCCATGCAACTCGCTGCAAACAATAAAATCAATACTGCAATGGCTCAACAACAACAAAAACTACAACATCAGCAAATGATGCAGTTGCAGCAATTGCAACAGTTGCAAATGATCCAAAATGGTTCCACTGCTGAATGGCCAAGTGATCTAACTGCTGAAGAACGATCTGAGTCGTTGAGAAAAATGTAAGTTACTCTTGCTAACTAGTACATCTTGTATCAACTCATAAAATATCCCTCTCTAATATGTACCTTGAATCACTCATTCAATTACTTTGTATTCTTACACAACATGCATCCCATCTAGAGCTACTGCAGTTCATGCAGTTTTACCTGTCGAACAACGCACTCGAGAGCGTATCAATACCATTACAATGGAAATTGAGCGGTATGTGTATAGCAAGGCAACATCAAAAAATGAGTACTTGTCATTAATTAGTATGCGGATGTCTCAGTTACAGAACAAGGGTAAGAATTGTATAGTTTAATGTCATGTTCAAGTCATGTCAACCAAGTTGATGTTGGCTTGAACAAACGCGTCGCGTTTGTATGGATCTTTACTCATTCTTGTTGAATTATTTTATCAATATTATAGGAACTGTGCCTGCAGTTCAGAATTCTACAAATCCTGGCTCTCCTTCCTACTCGGGCGGTGTCACCACCCCATCTGCCATCACAACTTCGTCTCCAAGACCCATACAACCCAATAGATCTGCTAGTCCCGTCGTAAAACCTGGCGGACCTTCCACATCTGGTTCATTTACCCATCCAAATAGTACTGCTTCTGCTGGATCTCCACGTCCTGCTACGGTCGGTGGTGGTTCAATGTCCCCAACTACCCTGAATTCAAACCATCCCAATTCAAGTGGAAATGCTCAAAATACTAAAATGGGTGCTTCAGCCGCAAAGGGTGCAAACGCTGCAAAAAATATGCCCGTTACCATGTCACTATCTACAACTTCCCAGTCTGCTTCCTTGCCTGCTTCTGCCTTTTCTCCTCGAATGCATCCGCACACGCCGCAGACTACTACAGAGGCTCATCCTTTCCGTAGCGGATCCATGGCCGAATCTCCTATCAAGCTAGAGCATGACACTCAACAATCTGTCGAGGCTAATTTCGCAACGACTGATTTGTCTTTGGATGACAAGTCGTTTATACAAGGGGCTGACATGTCACAGTCTGCCAAGTCGTCTGCTCAACACATCCCAATCAGTCCTCAACTGCAGTTGATTCTAGCTAGCATGAACAATGATGCTGCTACAAATCGAGGTAATACGCTTCAACAGGACCAAGACGGCTGCTACATCAACGGATCGGGAGCAAAGTATACTCCTTGTGAACTCAGCGATCAAGAAAAGGAAATTATTATGGAAACAATGCAGCACATCACTCCCATGTATCTCAAGATTAACAGTATTGCTAATGATTTGGCTACATTTGGTGGTGAAAATGAGCATGATAAAATCAAGCGACTTTCTGTAATGGTGAGTTTTTTTAATAGTCTCTTGTTTGACATGACAGATAACTGGTCTAGCCATTATTTAATGCTTTAATCCATTTAGAAACAAATGCTCAGCGCGCAACTCGAGGTTTTGGATAAAGGAATCTTTTTTGTCAGAGTAGAAGTCCTTTCTCATTTATACCAAAATATGCTTCGTTTTCTGCACTACACCGAGTCCCTAAAGGCTCGGAACATGTCACAGCAGCAGATGCTCATTTCCCAACCCAATGCAAACTTAAAAATAATGCAGCAGCAACAGTTTCAACAACAACTTCAGCAACAACAGCTTCAACAACAGGAAAACAAACTTGGAGATGTACAGGCTCAACAACTATCTCAAGATATGATGAATTTTAACTCTTCCATGCAAAATGCTGTAGGAACACATGCTAATGGCACTATGGGTTCTGCTACTGCCATGTCGGCTGTACCAACAAACCTCAAGGCTGCTTCTGGTATACAAACAGGACAATCCAACAACTCTTCCTTGACGTCAATGTCACCTCATGTATCACCCAATATTGTGCCTAGCTCTCCAAGTACTACCGGTATTACCACGAATGGACTCTCCATGATGGCTTCGCAAGTTGCTGCTGGAGGTGCACAGAATCGTTTGAGTCAGTCCAATATAAATATGAGTGCTACTCCGAGTAATTCCAACACGCTAGCATCGGGCACCACTGGTATGGTCAACGGACCCACTGCCCAGCAAATACATGCAGGTCAGCTTCAGCAAATGTACCATAATTTACAGGCTCAACTGATTCACTGCGAGGATATTATAGGATCGTATCAACAACGAGGTATTGCCCCAGATCAGCTCATGTTACTTCAGAACAGAAAACAAGTGGTTCTTAGTCAACAAGCTCAGATTCTGCAACAAATGAAAGTTTTACAAGCTCAGCATGAAGATGCGCTTCGCCATGCCGCTAATCAATCGCCTGTTGCTCGAGCACAAGAGCCTACTGGTATACAGCAAATGATGCGAACCCAAAGTGGAAATACACTGGCGCTTCAGCAACAGATTCAAGCTCAACAGCAACAGATACAACAACAAAAACAGCAGCAACAACCACAGCTTGCCAATGCTTCACGGAATGCTCAGCAACAGCAACAGCAACAACTGCATCAGCAGCAGCTTTTTAAGCAACAATGGCAGATGCAGCAACAGCTTATGCTTCAACAGCAACAGCAACAGCAAATGTCACCTAACCCAATTCTTGGTGGCCATGATAGTCCAACTTCTCGTGTCTTTAGTGCTTCTTCTCCTCAAGTTGCACAGAGTACACCAACTACTGCTGTTGAGTCTGTTGCTTCGACTTCCACAACTACTAAACCTCCTCCAAAGCCTCGCAACAGAAGTAAAAAGGATCAAGCCAAGAAAGAACAAGCAGCTGCAGCAAAATCTGGTGCAAACATTTCTGCTCCGTCCACTCCGTTTGCGTCAACTGCTATATCTAGTGGGCATGGTAACGCGACAGCCACGTCTGGAACACTTTCTAGCTCTACATACCTATCTTCTACTGCATCTACTCCTGCGGCAACACCTGGCTTGAATACTGGAACCACATTGGCGGCTGCTTCAACGCGTACTTTGAACACTACAGCTACAGTAACTACAGCCAGTCCACTTCCTAATGGGCTTGCAACCACGTCTCCTTCCACTACGCTGGCACTGCTTTCACAAGGCCAAGTCATGACTCACGAAATGGGATTGACTGCAGGAGCAGAAAAGACTATGGCTGCGTCCACTCAGGCTCTTGATCAACAAGCCATTCAAAGACATTTATTGGGAATATCTGGTGTGAGTTCTGGCATGACAACGAATGCTTTTGGTACTTCTATGGGGATGGTGTCTTCGGTTCCCACCTCTGCATCGATTTCACTGCACCAACCTCATTCCATGGTGTCTGAAAACACAGCTTCTATTCCTGGTATGACTAGCATGGGACTTTCTTCTGCTAATCCAGCGTTTGCCAATTCAAATCGTGCCATAGATGGTTCTGGGTTTGATGTGTCTTCTGTTTCTGATATGAACGGATTTGTGCAAAATACGGCTGCTTCATGGGGTATAGATGGCATGACGGATTCATTTTCACTTAATGGAACTACAAAAGATCATTTTTCCAATGGTAGCTCTGTGTTGAATACGAATGGTCAGTCTTCTGGTACTGCTTTGGGTAGCGTTGCTGGACAATCTACTAAGCCTGCTACTTCCGAGATGACACATTATGATGAAGCATCACTTGATGAGTTTTTCAATTTGGATTACGAGTCGCCTCCAGCACACGGATCTGCAGCCATTGCAAATGCCAAAGATGCTTCTGATGTAGCTGCAGCCCTTTTGTCAGATACTGCTATGACATCTGGCACAGATGCTCTGTCAGCCTTTTTACCATCTCAAACCATAGTAAAGCGGAGTCGCGAAGAGTTGGATTCAGAAAATGCAAAGGGAGTGGATACAAAGGATGCGTTGGGCGATGGTGATGGTCGGCGCGTAAAAGCGTGTCGACCTCAACAGCCTATGGATGGTTCTCATTTCTATGGTGGATTTGGATCTTCCAGTGGGAACAATATGTCTGGAATGGCTTCATTTACTGCGGATAGCGGGGCTGCTGAAACTGTTCAGTCTGAGCAAGCCAATTTAGATGTCTTGGATTTTCTTGCTATTCCCGAAGATGAAGATACTGATCCAGTCTCTCATGCACAGTCTGAGAATGTGATGGGTTCAGGCGCCAATGTAGAAGCACTTGGTGACAATGTAGCTTATGCACTAAACGATCTTCTTTCTACTACAGGCAATTTTACCTCGAATATGATGCAGCATCAGCAGATACTACCAGAGGATACAGTTGATCCTAGTTTGGCTATTTTTGGTACAGATGATCCTGTAGATGTGACTCCTGTTTTCAACACGACTGGAGTCAACATGCCGGTTCAAACATTTTCTACTCTACAGGCCGAATTGTCTTATTTACAAAAGCTATATGCTCTTGGTACTCGAGTTGTTCCACTTCCTGAGGGATCTGGACCACGTATTATGGTTGTTTGTCAATTTTTGTCACAATTTCCTACGCTTTGTTTTGTGTTTCGGATCAAAACTATGGAAGCATATCAAGCATGTCTGTTGGCACCAGCAGGTAAATCGGGAGCAAATACAGCAAGGGCTTATGGTAAAATGGAGACCAAGAAATCCACTGAAATTACTCTCGAAGAGCTTTTTGATCTTGATACATTAGATTCAGATGGAGATGCAATGGTTTCAAAAGATGCTCAAGTGAATGACGTTGATTCGTCAGAAACACAAGTACCGCAATGCCTAGAGTTTGAGCCCGTTAGTGAAGATCCGCAGCACATGGATTTGGTTGCCAGACTAAAATCTGTATATGCGCAATCAAGGTTTTCATTGATTTCGCAAGTATTACCAATGATTGTTGGTGAAATGTCACGATCTGGGTAGTCGTCTTGGTGTATGTATTGAATTCCTTTTAAAGAGACGGACCTCTTTTGTTTTAGACAGTTTTTATATCCATAATACAGACCTGAATAGGATCCACGGTTATTCAAGCCTTTATAATCCTTTTTACCTTTTCCCAACTTTTTAATCTTTTTAGTTTGACCCATCTAGAATAAGTTTTTTGGAATTTTGTCTGTTCCCAATTCACATCTAGCCACAACTATTGTTTGTCCTCACTTTAAGTTTATGCATTCATGCAAGCTTTCATTATGTTTTCCTTAAGAATTTGTTTTGTTTTTAATAACAGTTTTTTTATAAATCTAAAAATGTCTTTTTATAATCTGAGATGAGATTGAATGTCGATAGAAATCCGAGGCAAAGCCTGAGGACGCGATTTGAAATGAATGAAAAATGCACCAGTTGAAACGCAACAACACATTGAAAAACATGGCAATTGGAACAGCAATTACAACCAAAAAACTGGTTCATATAACTGTTCCACATAGATGTCCACAGAAAACTATTATAAAACAAACTCTCATTTTAAACCATCACTTTTCTGTTCAACCCAGCAGTCTCTTGTCTTGCTCTAATCATGTTTTACAACCCAGATATGATCTAGATGGTCCTGTGTTTCTATACAATACAGTGATGGATAAAGTGTCTTGTTCTGGATCGATTGCATCAATTGGATTAACTCGACAATCTGAATTCAGTGCATTAATTAAACCCAGCAAACACTTGGGACTCGTTGTGTCCCGTCTGACTATGAAAGGTTTCTTTTGGTCAAGACATACAGCCAGTTGTCATACATTTAAAGGCAATCTCGAGTTGTGTTGCTTCAATCATGTAAAATTCAGTCGGATTCACTGTCATTCCAAGAGTTGTGGCAACAGACTCGAATGGCACGATGCATCTCGATTAAAACCAGACATATTTAAGAATAAATCATCGCCTTCTGTTTCCATGTCAAGGCGTTCATGTAAGTCAATCAATTCACAATAGTAAATACTATGGTTTTAAAACAATAGTGTAGTGTTTATACTTTGTTCACCATTCTAACCCTGAAAATAGATTATATTCCACCAGATGATTTTAGCAAAGAGTTTGGACCGGATTCATCTGCAGATTTAAATGTTTCTGAATCTCATGAACTAAAAAATCTACAACATATTATTTCCACGTATGAGCACATTTATACCACACTTTCAGCAAAAAAACGACAATCTGCTGCGCTTCAAGTCGCTAGTGCCTACGACAAAGCCTACATAACCAGTAACGACAAGTCACTCAACCTCGACTGGAAAGAATACAAATGTTTGTTACAGATCGTTCCATTGGCTCGCTCACCTCGACTCAATCATCATAATCTAACTCGAGTTCTTGTGCAGGATCTAATTCACTCGAATGTCGTGTTTACACTCGATAGATTCAATTTTTCACTCAGAGCATTGCACGATCATCCTTCAGGCGTCTTTTTATACAAACTATTGATTAAACGGTTGCACGTAGATGATGCGAATGGCATATGGAAAGATGATATTTACTGGCATCTGCTAAAAATCCATGTTTTTTGCGATGGTCCGTCGTTTGCTGAGGATTGGATTCGCCAACTTATGAGTATCTCGGATCAAAATACATTAGAAAAGCTTGACAGTTCGATTATACCAAAGAAACCGCTGAAATGGAACAAAAGCCTATATCATTGCTTGGCATTGGGATATGCAAGGCAAGGAGATGTTGAACGAGCATCAGTGCTGATTTCTGACATGGCACAAGGCGGTTACCCTTACATTTCATGTGTTGAACATAGTATCAGAGCATTGTGTCGCATTGAAAAGGTTGACGAAGCATTTACCTTGTATCAGCAATACAGGTACTCGGATCATCAACCGTCTATAAAACTATTTGAAAACATGATTTGGGGTATTCTTGTTGTTCAATTTCGTGCTGCATTCCATGGCAAGCGATACTCGCGTATTGATATTCCATTAGATGAGCGTCATTTGGTTCCCAAGTTTGATCCCAATACCACCATTGATATTGCTAATAGGATTATGGTGGATCTTAGCAAAGCCGGATACATACCTTCTGTATTGACAGTTGGACTTTACTTGACCCATTTCATGATTTATGGCAAGTATAATCAGGTCATTGATCTGTATGATGCCATGACACGACAAGATATGAAGTGGGATATCATTTCATTGACGGTAATGCTCAAAGTATTCTTTTCTTGCAAGAACACGGATCGAGCAACTGAAATTATTTCTCTATACGACCAGTGTGGATTTGACCGAGATGTTGTGTTTTATGGAACACTGATGGATGGATACCATATCATTGGCGACACAAACAAGTCTCTTGAATATTACCGAGAGTTTCTCGGTACATCATGTACTCCCAATCAGAACATTTACCACATTGCTCTATCTATCTATGGAACTCGATTGGACATGCAGTCTGCAGAGCGAATATGGTCAGAAATGGAGCAACATGCAATACCTTACACTGAGATGTCCTATTCAATCATGATACATGGATACGGTCTCTGTGGTGATCTTTACCAAGCCAATGCAGTGTTTAATAGCATGATGTCTGCCAATGTTGTCATGACGGAAGCCTCATACAATACTCTTATGAATGCACACATTAATAATCGTGAATACAACGAGGCAGAAAAGATTTATGAGCGCATGATTAATTCTGACATTCAGCCGGACATATACTCTTTCAACATTCTACTTAAATCGCATCTCATACAACTCAAAGTAGCTCACACCAATGTTGTTTTGCGCGATATGCAAAAATCGGGTGTTGATCCGACCAGTCATACCTATATCACGTTGATCCAATTGTATACCAGTACGGGACATATGGACGAGGCTTTACGGGTGCATCAAGTATTAAAAGACCTGCCCATCTACAACGAACAAGGATCTGATGTACCATTGATTGCACGGTCCGCATTTCTTAATCAATACTCGTTGATCAATAACTGGGAAGCATTTGAAGGACAAATTGAACTTGTCAAAAAAGAAGGGATTGCTTTTACGTCACTTTTACATGAATCGATTGTCATGGGATACTATCGACGAGGAGGACTGGATGATGCTCTGGTGTGGTATCGTGAGGCACTAGACAGTGGATGCGAGTTAAAGACACGATTTTTTAACAGAGTTATACATTTCTGTATTGATTCTGGACACGCAACGAATGCAATTCAAGTCGCTAATGATATGCTGCAAAGAGGAGTGAAACCGGATATTTTTACATATACTTGGTTACTGAGAGCAGGGATTGTTTTGTCTGACACAGGGATTGCAAGTATACCCGCTGCAAGCAAATCTGTCAAGCCACTTGATGATCAAAAAGATGAATCTTTTTTTGATTCATCGAATGCGTCGAAAGATGGTTTAACAGTGTCCAAACCAATTGATTTTGACGCATTCGATTTTGATTTTGAAGATGATTCTAAAGGGCTTCCTAATGCTTGATTGCAGTATAATCGGATGGAATGTGTTACTGGAATTGAACGTGTAATAATATAAATAGTAATAATAATAGTGATATGCATACTTGAATGTATTATAGAATCTGATATTCCAAAAACTTGAATTGGACTCGCCCTGTAATTTGACAATAGAAATCCAATACTTTTTGACTTGATTGTCAAATCCATTTTATATTTTACAATGATCAACACAATTCAAACTATTGGATCAATGGTCAAATACTATGCTGTACAACGAGGTCGGAAAACAGGAATTTATTCTACATGGGATGAATGTCAGGCTCAAGTAGCAGGCTTTCCTGGTTGTGTTTTCAAATCCTTCAAAACAGAATCAGAAGCAACTGCATTTCTTAGAATTGGTTATAATAGTAATACTGCAACTCATTCATCTTACTCTTGCATCAACAACAACACATTCAATGATTCTTATGATACCAACCATTCCTCAACATCTGCTGTCTTGAATACACTTTCATCTCGAATTGATTCACCAGCTGTAGATTCTAGTCTGGATGCATTGCATAACTTGTCAGCAGTTCAAAAAAAGTCGGCATTTACTATTCATTCATTGGATTCTGTTGATACAGACAGGAATGGATATTCTTTGAACAATCCGTATGGAATGGAACATGTCTTGAGTGATGAGCATGATTCTTCCAACATGACCATCACATCTCAAGCACATTTTATTCACACTTTAGATATTCTCAACATTTTATCCAAAAAACCTGAGTTGTCTGTATCGGATCAACCTGCACCTGCTCAGACTCTGGATGAAGTAGTATCTGATTTGGAACAAATCAACCACTGCGATGGTAAGTTTAGCATATCTAGATGGTATTGGATCGAGTATCGATGCTTACTGTTTAATTTATTTTATTGAAAACCTTGAAGAATATGTACAATCGTTTGATCTACCCATTGATGTATACACCGATGGTGGTTGTAGAGCCAACGGTACAAAGGGAGCTCAAGCAAGTATAGGAATATGGTTTGGACATGCAGATTCTCGTAATATATCTGAACGTCTTATCAGTCCAATCCAAACCAATAACCGTGCTGAAATGACTGCAGTGATTCGAGCACTTCAAGCTACTACATCTTACCATCATGTCAATATCTATTCAGATAGCGCCTATGTAGAACGAGGACTGAATGCATGGATGCCTGTATGGAAACAGAATGGATGGAAAGGACCAAGAAATAAACCAGTACAGAATCAAGATTTATGGCAAGAGTTGGATCAATGCATGAATGACCGGTCTGGCACTGTTAAAATAGTAAGTGTTTAGATTGTAGTTTTGTATACGATTTAATATTAATTGATTTTTAGTTGTGGGTCAAGGCTCATGTAGGAATCTTGGGCAATGAAGGAGCCAACACACTAGCTTCTCAAGCCCTCGATCAACACTGACAGCGATTTAGAATGTATTGGTTGCATCAAGTATTCAAAAGTATATTTCACAAGTGCTTGAGCAGTCAATTCAAAACAATAAGCAGTATATTTCAACTATTTATATTCTTGTTGCATAAAGCTGTGTTTCTCTTGTAATGTTTGAGTGATTACAGCTCGAGTGAGTGTAAAACATGCACACATTAATACAAAAATGATTGATAGAATGGATTAATCAGAAACAACAATTCCGATAATGATTCTGACAAGTCAAGACTAGCTTCAGTCTTGTAATTCAAGAATATTGTAAACTATTATTTTCAGGATAGTTTGCGACCCGTCAAGATTGTTGGGCGTTTCGACATTCAACTTTATGCGTATAAAGTCTTGCATTTTGAAACCATCTCTATAGTCGGGAATGGTATAGAAATTGCATAAACTACAATTTATTTCTGTTATTATCCTTGTATTCACTTGCCATTCCAGACTTTATCAATCGATTGTTATAAGCAATTTAAATATCGGAATCTTCATTCCCATTGCAATCACTTTAGATTGTTCGGTATTCTAGCATAAAATTCTGTTACTGAACATGAGTATGAATGGGGATTCAAAGACTACTACTGGATATGGTCATGTTGTATATAGCGATTTCCCTCCAGACATATATTCTCGTCTATCTGCACTATCGCATTCAAACTTAGTGCACTCTGAGAGTCATGCTGACTTGTTTGCTGACTCTAGAAGCCATACTGACCTGTTTATCGACTCTGGTTCCGACAGTAATGGTGCTGAAGACGACGCTGTAGAGTATGGTGAATGGACACACAGACAGTCAATGGAAGTCGGCAATTCTCATCATGACAGTCTTCATCCTAATCAAACGGATCATTTCACTAACAATGCGGCCATTAAACCATCTGCAAGTGATTATCAGTTTGATGTGCAGCAAAGCAAGTCTTTAAACAGAATGACTACTCTTGAACGAAAGAAACGTAACAAGCCAAAGACCTTCAAGAAACGAGTCTCGACCTTTTTTCGTGGATTCAACTCGACTTCTCGTCTAGCTTTAGATGCACATCAAGATAATACTGCCATCACATCTTATTCAAAAAACTCATCGCATACTCGCTTGATAACAGAACCTGCCGTATCTTCAATCCATACTAACACTGCATCTAAACATTCTGATGATACTGAATCTACACGACGGGAAACTTCGTTGGGTTCAGATCCATCGTCTACTGTTGCATCTGTAAAATCACATACTCCATCCACTCGACTCGATCCTATATCTAGTTCTGCTTCACCATCAAAATTAAATCTATACAATACATCCTTGACTCGTTCTGCATCCCATTCTTCTTCCACCATTCGTGCCGCCAACAAATTTAAACTCAATCTAGGATTTGGAAAATCTAGCAAAGCTTCCAAGTCTTTGAAAGAGTTGGCTGCGCTTAATTCTGCTACTCAAATGCAACAACACCTTCTTTTGCAAAAAGTACCTCTGCATCATGACGATACTGAATCTAATCATGTGAGTTTTTTTAACTTCGCTTTTTTTGTTGAAATACATTGTGTTGCATTCTAACCTTTTACCATTTTGAATAGCAGGATGTGTCCAACACACAGCGTGCATCTGATTCTGTCGATAGGCGACTTACGTCATCTCATAAACTTCGTCGCCATGTATCTGACAGCTCTCTTGCATCAAGTGCTGCCATTTCTTTGGTTTGTCTAGATGATCCTTCACTGGATTTGCAAGAGGAAAAACCATTTAGACCTCTTCAGCAACGTATTCTTGATTTATTGCAGGCAGAGCACGATCCTGACAGTGATGCTGATTTTCCAGATGATAGCGAAACTGTAATCGACAACGAGCTACACAACACACTACATCGTAACCCTTTGTCTGAACCACCACAAGATAGTCAAAATGATTCAACACCAATGCATTATAAGCAAGGACATCCCACTTATACCGGAAGAGTCGGCAATGATTCAGGAGGTCGTGGAATACAACGATCGAGGCAAAGCAACTACGATTTGCCTTTTCTCGGTATAATTGAAGCTGAGAAATTTGCACGACCAGACTCGAGAAGTACCAACAAATCTGCTGGTCCATCACGTGCATTAGAAGAGATTAATAATGTAATGGATGATGTCGAGGCGTTTGTACAAGAATTGGATCCAACATTTCATATTTTATCTGATCATGTTACTCTGTCACGTATTCAAGCACGGCAGTTGTCTGCTGTACCGCAAACTGGTGTGTCAGAACCAAAAATGCATAATCTACCAAGCAATCATTCAACAGACAAAGCGTCTGATTTTGTATCTAAAGTTGTGCCAGAAACAATGGCTACATCTCCCTCTTTGCAAACTTTATCTCATACTTTGGTTACACCAACACCGAGTTTTGGAGCAAAATCAAACACTGATCTTATTTTGGGCAAGTTTCCTGAACCATTAGTTTCAAAACATGCAGATTCACCATCATCAAAACATGCCTTTCGACCCAACACAAGTAAAGCCGTCTACACTGGTGACGAGGTTTCCAATATATCACATTTTGAGTCTGCCTCTACCGAATCGCCAGCTACCTCGACCGTCATGTCAAATATTGAACTTGCATACAAGGAAAAAATACATGCTTTGGATGATACTTTTCCCCATTCTAAAGAAACCATTGATATTGGTGCTATAACCTCTACCTCGACTGTTGTTGTCGCGCCTATTCAAAACAATGCTTTGAATAAGATTGCGGAGCCATATGATCAGCACGATGTCAACTCGCCTACATATTCTAATGAAGAGCCATCAAGCACCACGCCTTTGGTAGTTCAAATGCGTCGTCGGTATTCTCAAACATCACTTTTCACTCTTGGTGATAAACCAGAAATGGTGCACATGTCCCCAAAAAGAGGACCGAGTCTTGTTGGTCCATTTTCAGCATCTCGCCAAGGATCATCAAACTTGTCTATCTTGTCATCTCCACTGGATCATGATGGACTGGATACAAATACTTCAGCAGCATCTATAGAGCTGTTTGAAGAAAAACATGATACGGACGAGCAAGTTCTTCAACAGACTACCGCCCCGGTTGTTCAGACACCTACCTTGTCATTTCCTACCACGCGACTTCGACCCACTTGGTTTTCGGTGACTGCTGGAAGTAAATTTGTGAATAGTAGTGGTCAGAATAACGACAAAAGTCTAGTGTCTTCAGCTCCCGAATCAGATTTGGATGCATTGAGGTTGCAAACACGACTGAGGCAGCGAGTTTTGGAACATGTGAATGCTGGCCCGAATCCAAGTGTTGTTTCCAAGGCTGCTACCGCGTCTGAACATGTGGGTATAATTGAGCCAGTCACATCATCAGTTACTTTAACTGATATGGGTAATGCATCACATGAAGCATTGAGTGCATCGACATCAGCAGTTGCATCGATAACGCCCTTGGTTTTGACCCCGGTTGTTACATCAAACATCAATACTGCTTCCACAGATAATATGCATGTTCTAATTTCACCATCTGTGGATGATGAATTTGCAGCTGATTGTGATCATTCTTCAGTGATTGTATCTGATACTCATGACAGAGTCTTTGACGAGTTCACATCTATTCCTCCAACGGATACTGTTTTGCCAAAGTCTTATGCTACTCTGACACGTTCCAATGATCCGTTTGACCAGCACATTTCTCCATTTGATACTATACAGACTCCAGATGATGTTGTGAGACCATCATACATGGATATTCCACATACTGGTGCTGAATATTCTACTGATTTGGACCATGACACACAGAGTATGTTGGATGATCATTCTATAGACTATATTGGATCACCATTGTCTGTATCCAAGGCAACACAATTTGCCCAATTGAATTTTACAGATGTGGATACCGATCCAATTCCACCTACTCGAAGCTCATCTATACATTCATCCAGTCTTGGACGTAAACCCGGTGTAAATATTTTGCGTCGCATTCATCAACGTCAACAAGATTTCAAACCCGACCTTCCACTTGACTGTGATCAAGTTCAAAACATCCATGACGAAACAAGTCTTATTTCACACAAACCAATCGAGACTTTTTCGCAGACATCTTCAGTATCCCAATCCATTCCTATGATTCAACTTGGTCGGTCGAATTCCGATGCAGTTGTATATAAACTCAAACAACAGCAATCTGAAATGCATCAGCAGTTTACATACGAAAATACACAGAAACAGTTACTTGATCCACCTCCACTCGACACGTCTGACATTCATGATATGTCACGTCAAAGTCAAGAATGTGTTTCACTGGTTCAAGTCGAACCGAGTATGAATCCTATGTCTTTTAAAGCCAACTCCTTTCGATCTGTCTCTGCTTTGGATATCATGGATGCAGAAATCTATTCTACTGATAAAGCCGGCCATAGTGTGGAATGTGTCCTGTCTGAACAAAAACATACACGCGGTAAGAATAGTAATGATGCGGTCAAGTTTTTTGAGCGTTTGAGAGTGCGATTCTTTAATAAGCATGACAACCGTAACAAAGAAAAGGCCATTGTGCAGCAGGTTATAGATGAATCGGTTGTAGTTTCGCCGTCAATCGTCAATGTATCTCCTGCGTTGGATGTAGTCACACCTCCACAGCTTACGCATCATTCGAATGCAAGTATGTCTGAACAGACTATTTCTCTCATTCGACGATTATCGAGAAAATTAAGCAAAAAGCGTAAGCACAAGGAGCAGCTATTGCATTCTGAAATGGAGGCAAACAAGAGTATTGGTGGTGCTGCGCATCAGGATTCAACACATGTGTCTAATAATACTACTGGAGTTGTGCCAAATATGGAGAGTGTTTCTAATTTTGCTAATCTTGAATGCGAACCTTCTAATGGTGCTGGCTCTATAGAAGGATTAAAGCAAGACAATTTAATCAAAATTCCATTTGTTCGACAAAACTCAATGGGCAGTACTAACGCTACTGTAGAGTCCAATGTTGCCGAGTCTTTAAAATCAAGGAAAAGTGTCAAAATAGTTGTAGAAACCGATGAAATTGCTATAGAAACAAACGACAAACTCCACCCATCTTCGGCACCTTTGTTTCTGGAAGACACCAAATCTGGAATCTCGTTCAAAAAGACGACTTATTTTAATCGCTCGAGTTTACCCATTATTACTTTGCATGACAACGATGGCAGCACATCTCCGACTAAAGAAACTGGTTTATCGACTCGTCTTGCATTGAAAACGACACCCAGTTTGAGTATTATCACACAAGAGTTGCATTCTTATCAACCCATAAGTGGTGGTGATTCAAACATACTGCCAACCAATACTCGACATGCTACAACTGACGCATCAAAAGATGTGAATGAAATGCATGCAGCTGCGACTTTTTCGACGCTCCCCACCTCGGCTACAGTATCCACACCTACACCTACTATTGCAATCACTCAATCACCGAATACACCGAAACAGAGTACTTCAGCAACAACGCCATCAGAAACTAAACTAGGTGGATTTTTTGGCAAGATTCAACGTAAATTAGCCAAAGGGCTTGCTCGCGGTGAGCGAAACAGCGAAGGTATTAAAGGATCTCGATCAGTATTTGATTTCCACCAACTCAAAGGCTCGTCGCCTATTACACATCATTATGCGGGAAAAGATACTTTTTACAATTCTGCCAGCACCAATCCTAAACGCAGTAGTTGTGAGCCAAGCATTTCACCTGGACCGTTGTCTGCTGGAGGCGTGAGTGCATCATCTGGATCATCTATCAAATCCATCACTACCAAGAAACGGTTTGGAATATTTGGATTTGGACGAAAAGCCATGACAGGAGAAACACAATCTCCAGCAACACCTACAAGAAATCAGTCAATGTGGACATTTGGAAATCTTTCACCCACTCCAATCGAATCTGAACATGATGTACGAGACGATTTACCGAGCAACACATCTTGTGATATTAGAGGAAAGTCTATTCCAGAGAACGATGACAATGTGCATCAAGAGAATAAGCAAAAAGTTTTGAAAAAAATAGCACTTCCATTGATTGAATCGAGTCACTTTTCAATGGATTTGGAAAAGTTGGGAGTGGATGGATGGATTGGATCAGCACTTGATCACCACTCGCCATCCCATACTACATTGGTTACAGAATCTAACCGTCAATCTATATCCAGTCCCAAACAGGACATGAGCAACATGGAGGTTAAATTGATGCCCAATGGTGACCAATCGATGGATTCATTGTTGACTAGCATCGTAACAGACAAGGAAGCAAGTAAAGAGGAATTGATTGCAGTCAATGAAACCAATTTGGATTTCACCAAAACGTAGTTTAAAATAAATGAAGTTGAATTGAAATCAGCGAAACAAAAGTGTTGGAATTGAATAGTTTTGCCGAATAAGCTCATCAACTTGAGTTATTTCAAGCGCGGAGTTGAACAGATTTGTCGTGTCAAACTTTAACCATCATTGACCAAAGGTTGCTTTTATTACACTTTAAAGCAGTCCATGTCTGAACCGTTTTCCTACCATTCACCATCTGCCATTGCAACCAATTCAGCAGCATCCATATTGAAGCAGCATCCATCCTCTACTGACTCTTTGCGATGGCCTTCTCCCATTACCAATAGTAAAACACTTTACAAGAACAATGGATATGAGCCATTCAAGTTTGGAAAGGATTCGATATTCCATACAGAGTCATTGAGTTCTGAACCCAATACATCATCAGCACCGGTTTGCTCACTAAAGCATTCAACAACTGATGCTCATGACAATGTTGACCATAAACCTGCTGCTGCTCCCATTTTACGGAATTCCATCTTTGATACTGTTCAATCCATATCAAAGCCTGCTATCAAAATGACGTATCAGGAACTTGCTTGTCTAAGGGAGGGGCTAGACATTAGACAAGCAGAATCTTCAGTTGGATCCAATAGCCCCACGGTCTATCAGATACCTAACATCGTTCATACCCCTACCACCGAGAATATATTTCCAAATATAGAAAATGCCCAAAGATCCATCAGTCCACAACCTTATTTGCCTGGCAAGGATGTGCGATCCATGACTGTACCATTGACACTTGATTCTCATTCATCGCATCCTCAACATTGGCCATTGGCTACTGCAGTCAATGCATCAACTATTCCGGATGCCAAGTATTGGGGAACCCATTTTACAAACACCGATACAGCTTACTTGCGCAATATAAATGCAGGTGGCAGAAGAGGGTTTGTGGATTTGGACGAACTATGTGCTGATTCTCATCACTCATCCCAGACACCTGTGCAAGTAGAATCACTGGCCAATTCGTCTGCAGAATTTGCTTTGAAATCTACTCGAATTTTACCCACACTTTCCAAACCTTATGAAACAGATACCAAGCAACGCTTCAATCATGGCAACTCACTTCAGCCAAGCATTGAGGCTTCATTAGAAATCATTCGGTCAGGACAGTCACTGAAACAATCGCATAATTTACTCAAGGGAAACAATGGGCAATTGGACAGTACTGTGTCTAGTCCCATTACTCATCCTGCTGGGTTAAGTCGAATCAATTTATCGTTTTTACCCACCAAAAGAAACTTTTTGGGAAAAGGTCGGTATGCTGAAGTGTATAAAGGATCGTATACGCTGGTGGAGAGTCCATTGCAAGTGGATTCTCCTATACATACTGACACGGCTTCTGATACCACACCAAGTACCACAAGACGGTTTTCAACAACATCTAACCAATCAGACAACACCCCATTTTATCCATGTGCAGTAAAGCGAATGTATACGTCGTCCGAGGCTCAGAGTATTGGACTTGCAGAATCATTTATTCTTCGTCGTGTTGCAGGCTTACATCCAAATATTGTTCAGTTGATTGGAGTCAAGGATGAAGCAGATATCAATGCTCGTTGTGTCAAGACCAAACTGGTGCAATCGCTAGGAACCTTTACAAAAACAAATTGTGTTGGGCCATTGTCTGTATCGACACTTGATGCATCGTCCATAAGCTCAGCTCATTCAGCAACAGCTTGTAGTGCACTCCAGTCACCATCCTACGGAGCAGGAACCAGCACATTGCATTCGTTACCACCTGATCCGACCCCACAACTTATTTTAGTTCTTGAATACCTTCCAAATGGAAATTTATGGGATTGGATTCTTGCACACGGTGAGAGTATAGGAAAGCTTTTATGGTTAAAATGGGCTCGTGAACTTGCTGGAGCGCTTGCAGCCATTCATTCTATTGGAATTGTTCATCACGATATCAAACCGCATAATATTTTGATTGGCAATGTTTTGGATGTTCGATTGGCTGATTTTGGAAATGCTTGTTTTATACCCGAGATGGGACCCTCGAGAGCGCTCGAGGAACTTTCACCATGTGTGAATCTCCCCTGTGCACCTATTTCAGATTCCACTCATAACAGTCCAAACCATCTAGCCAAGGAATCGGATATTGCTTTTGAGATGCACGTTGATGAAACTGTGCAAAACGATACCAAAGAAGACGAACTTGACAAGATTCAAGCGTCACAAACTGCCAAGCGACCATCTGTTGGATCAAAACGACCAGGTTCTTTACCACCTCAGCTTAAAATTCCTTCAACCTGTTCAATACATCCATCCTTGGCACGTATTCCCACTCCGGTATTACCAGGATCACCTATTTCTCCCAACTCGCAATCACTTATTAATGGACTAGGACGAGGCACGCTGGCTTACTCTGCACCTGATTTACTCAATCCAGCTACAGCGTATTCGTTTCCTGTAGATGTGTACTCGTTGGGTGTGACACTTTTTGCTTTAATCTCAGGACACGAACCTTTTGGATTAGCGAGAAGTTCTGTTCACATGATGGTTGGTATTCAACGTGGGTTTTTTGAAAGCGGATTGCAGAAATCCGGATCAGGTAAACTAGCAAGTGTAGGACTAGGTCAAAGAAAAGGATCGATTGGATCCACTACAGGTGGGGTTGTAGGTGATCCCAGTGATGGAGTATGGCGATTTCTAAATGGAGAAAGTGTATGTCCACAGATTGTTGGGTTAGTCATGCGAATGGTACATCGTGATCCATCAGCAAGACCATCGGCCTTGCAAGTCATGTCAGAATTGGCATATATCGATGCAGCAGTTTGAATACTAAACTCGATCGTCTTTTATATATTAACCACACATGTGTTTTTAAATGGTGTAACGATTCCACAGCAAACAATACCACACATCAGTAACAATACAATTATTTGATGACAAATATATATTTGAATAGCAGTACAGGATCATCCAAAAGGTCAAGTTTTGAAGAGAGTTAGTCTGAAGCTATTGCTAGAGTATGACCACATAGAGTGCATCGATGAATCTTGTCCTACAATATGATGATAACAAGATGATACAGAAAGAGTTGGGTTACAACCAGTTACAAAAGTCATCATACTCATAAACAGAACAAATACCTGACAACGATCCATGCAAAAGGGCAGACAAAAGGCAGGCCAAAAGACACAGCATAAGAATGCAGACATGGAGTAAGCGAAACAGCCTGGAGTTCGCTCAACAGTTGTCAGCACTTCACAACGGTCATATGGACAATACATCCTAACTGGTTCAGCAATAGGAAGCAACAGTCTGCCATCAGTCACTTGACAGCCAATGGGAAGGTTGGATGCGTTGACGTGCACAGTATGCACCAACATAGGTGCTAGACCAGGCATGGATGGCATAGGCTGTTGATTATGAGCAGGAACATAGTAATGACCTCCTGGGATATGCATAGGATTTATTACTGGAGGAACTATATACGACTGCAGTGGTTGAGTCTGTGGTGTGGATGATGGGAATGCATCGTATGGAGGTGGTGCAACCAGTGGAGTAGTGTCAGTACTTTCTGGATGTACTTGATATCTACCAGCATTGCTAGTACTAGCAGCAGTTGAATCGTTTGTTTTGGCCATGAGTGGATTTAAACAGAAACTTGTCAAGTTTATTCAACTCTTGTGGTCATCAATACTGTTTTTATTCATTGGACATGTTACCAAGTCGTTCCCAATACAAACATCGTGCATATAAATCCAAGTAATGTTGTCCCATCTCACTCGATGATGTCAATCTGTCATGGTTGATCGCATGGTAATAACCTCGGCTTAAAGGTGTTCCACATTGTGCATTCGTGCCATTTGGATGAGGAACTCGAAAATACGCATACTCTTGTCCAGACACAATCGATCGATCATCCGGCACTTGTACTCTTGTATTGGCTTTGAGTTTCTTTCCTGTCTTGACCTTTGTCGTATTCGAATTGCCATCGCTTTGGATCCGATACACCCATCCGTGCTCCTTTGAATACAGCATTGGATGTCCATCCCATTGCAGTTCAAGAATGTGTGCTGTGGCTGCTTTTCTGATGGACAAATGCATACTTTTCTTGCTTGAATCCCAGAAACTACGATACCATGCTGGCTTGATACCGAGCTGTTTGTGTGATTTCAATGTCCAATCCAACTGACTTATACTCGTGTTGAATCTATTCTCCATAGTATTGTATTTGAGCAAAATATGCTCCAATATGGCTTCAAGTTTTTGTTCCATTTGACTTTCCAATTCACTCTGCATGCTTTTGAATTGTCGGCATAGGGTTTGAATCTCTGCATCATACGTCAATCTAAATTGCATAGCCACCGAGTGCGGATCGGCATACTCTTGTTTGAATTGAGCAAAGAGTTTCTTGTATAGTTCATGTGTAAGCAGTACATCCTGTGCACAATACTGTATAGCAGATTGAAACTGGCTCGAGTCGCGAACCAATTCAATTTTAGTTTGCTCAAACAGATCTCGCAGAGTCTTGTTCATATTTTTGGACAAGTGTAGTTCGACCAAATGCTTGAGACTGTTGCAAGAGGATGCTGTTACAAATCGCTTTCCTGTATTGGTAGAATACTCCCAATATCCTTGTGGAACTGGAGCTGAATCATACTTTTTATCTGTCAGTCCTTGAATCATCTTGGACCAAGCAATTGTGTCGCGAATATTGGATCGGTACAAGGATGAATTCAATCCCATGGTGCATAGATATGCCAGCATAGTGGGATGTTGCAAATATTCTTCAGAAATACGTGCTCGATCGTACATGATATTATGACCCACAACAAGTCGTGGAATACTTGGATCTCCTAAACTAATTCGCTGATCAAAGGTATCTTGACTTGAACATGATTGCAGTACATTGGAGCACCACGAATACCACGTCGTGGGTGATGCTGCAATGGCCATTGCTGGCAAGTCTGTGATCCGATACATGACTTCAACATCAAATACTAATGGCTCTCCAGTCGGTGGATGCTACATTACAAATAAGCTTAGATTCTGGCATATACAATGATTCAAATTCAACCATTATTTTTATATTTTACCTCGACAGGAACCATCGTGCCATCTGGATTGTAACAAGTCCAACCAGCCTTTTGTGACCATTTGGTAGGAACTGGAGGCAGTACAGCATCCAACAGATCATCTGCCTGTTTTGAATAAAGACGAGTCCTTGTTGAAACCATCTGATCAAACGCTTCAAGCAAAGCTATTTCAGCTGGCGTTAGTTCTCTAGTAATCACTGGTAGCGTTAAAATAGACTTGTTAGTTTTATAGCTTGAATTGCCGGAATTACAGGATTTTGGAGTTGTCAAAGTGTTGGTGGGTGCGGGTATCTCTTTAAACGATTCAACGACATCGGATGCAAGCGAAGATCTGGACGCCTGCAGATGGTCGGTTTGATGAGAATAAAACCAATTTTCAGGGAATGATGACTGCTTTTTGATATTTTTTACATTGGTTATGGATTCATCCTGCAAGTCTACATGACTTGGTACATCTATTGAATCTAATTGATTAGCAGCATTGCATGACAATAGTCTGGATTTGGGATATGTCAAGTATCGTGAATGGTATGTAATGAATGCAGTAAAATTGTTTAACCCAAAAACAGACTTGATACTCTGGATGGATAAAATAGCAGACATTGTGCAAGTTACAGTTGTGTAGATTCAATGTGCGATTATCTTCAAGTATTGATAATTGATGTCTGATTTTCTTGAGATATAATCAACTTTTGGTCATGCTCATACTGCTATTTTATCAGACAAATTCTGTTTTCATTTTTTACTGCAATATTCACGCAAAACGAATTACTAAACAAGAGTATGATAAACAGTCATGTTTGATTCGTGCTAATCTTGCTGGTCTTTCTTTGATTCACTAATCTTGATGTTTATTCTTGTACAAATGTTTACATTTCTGTTTCAGTACATTCCATATCCTTGACATCTGTTCAACCTCAAAAACTAACATTTCAGGTAAACATTGGGCAACTGGCATGGAAACAACTGTTGAACACATGAATTACAAGATCAATACAAAAGTGGTTTATTTTATGTGAATACAACTCGCAATCCAATACTGCATGATTTCAGTTTATATATCTATTTATATCTGATTCGGTTACAGTGATTAGAGATGGATCTTATTCCATGTCTGATTCTACAAACCATCGACTTTTTGTTTTCTAGTCTAATAATGGGGTATTGCTGGTCATTGATCAAAGAATAGTTGCTAGCCATTTCCTGAATAGCATTAGCAACCCTTCCTGCATACTGATGATCTCTTGGAATGTCATGCTTTGAGAAATGCTTTATCGTTGTTTTCATGTCACGACAATACTTGGCACTAATACCAACACTATTCTCGTTACTTCCATGAGTATAAATACACGGAAGTGCCAGATCGTCATGAGCCAACTTGAATGGAAAAGAGCAAAGCATAGACAAGAGTGGTTGGCCGGAACATAGAATACTAAAATTCCAAGAACGTTTGATTTTTCCCTTGATTGAAAGTCGATCCAACATTTCGACTACAAGAGCTCCTTCTGAAAACCCTATAAGAGCATCAACCGGTCCAATTTGCTCGAGTTGTTTGGAAATATATTCGGCCAGCGATTTTTTTTCAGATATACTCGGTTGAATAAAAGTGAACCATTTGAACCATTCCAGTGGATCATTTCCCCATTTCACTATAAAATACATTGCAAAAAATAACCGTTAATAAATATACAAACCAGTACAATTTATATCAACATATACAGCTTACCAGCTGCGTTGGTTTTGTGTTGTCCTTGAATAAAAATAAACTCGACATTGTTGCCAAGAATGGCTTTGATGGTGGAAAGTTGGAATTGCATATGAATAGCATTGGATCCGCGACCGTGAAAGCATACAATACGAATAGGTGTAGACTCTATTGCTGGACATGATCGAGTATTTAAAATAGGTAAAGGTGCAGTAGGATGAACAAGACAATCGATACAAGTAGCCAGAGCGAAAAGAACTGGGTTGGACACAATCGACTTGAGTGACAGATTTGGGAGATTGAAACTGGATTTTACACAACTGTGGAGAGAAATTACAGATATGGAGTCCCCACCAATGGCAGAAAATGCAGTAGTGCGATCAATGGTTGAGATGTCTACATCAAGTAGTTTGGACCAAATACTAGCCAGTTTATGTTCAGTGTCAGTTTGAAGCTCACCGTCAGTTGCCTTGATGTTCATGGCTTTAAGCGCTTTTTTGTCAGTCTTACCATTAGCACATGTAGGTATTGTGACTAAGCCCACAAATACTGCTGGAATCATATAGGCAGGAAGAATAGTGGATATCATTTCGCGTAGCTCATTGACATTTACGTTGGATGGAGTAACAAATCCAACCAAATGAGACTCGTCCTTGACAACAACAGCTGCAGATACAATACAAGGATGCGTCATGATTGCTGCTACAATCTCTTCAATCTCAATTCGATATCCCTTGAGTTTTACTTGATCGTCTACTCGGCCGATAAATTCAAAGTTTCCATTGGTGTGCAATCTACCCAAATCACCGGTTTTGAACATACGATCACCAGAAAATGGAGTGAATGGATCTGGAATAAATCGGGTTTCGGTCATTTCAGATAAATTGATATAACCAGATGACACACCGATGCCACCCACATAGATCTCGCCAACAACGCCAATGGGAACAGATCGTTGACATGAATCCAAAATATAGCAGCTGGTATTTTGAATTACAGGTCCTAGCGATATCTGTTCATCAATAGAAAGCTGATACCCATGTGACATGATGGATACTTCTGTTGGACCATATGCATTGCATAGCTTTACAAAAGGAGCCCACTTGTCCTTGAGTGTTTGAGAACAAGCTTCACCGCCAATATTGACATGCTTTAATCGAGGATAGTCTTGTGGACTGCCCAATTGAGCCAGACCGGTAGGAGTGATGAACAGTGAATCCAAATCAGATACAGTGCTAAATACATCATTTTTTCTTAGTACTAGTGTAGAGCCATTGTTTAAAGCAGACCAGGTTTCCCATTGGCAGCCATCGAATCCAATCGCCATAAACTGCGCGACGCGGAATTTGGGAAGCGCACCAAAGCGACTGGCTTGTAAAGCAACAATATTGATGACACCACAATGAGATATAGCAACACCTTTTGGCGTGCCAGTTGATCCTGATGTGTAAATAATGATATAGGGAGATGAAGTTGACACGGTCGGCACAGAAAGTGTGGATCGTAAAGGAGTTTTGGCAGACAACAACGATGGTAAATCAATGGTTATAGTCTGAACACCATTTGCAATATGGATATCCTGTGAACAAGTGGAAAGTACAGTATTGACATTGGCATCTTTAAGGGTAAATAAAATACGTTTGATGGGAAGTTTGGAATCAATCGCAACGATAGTGGCTCCTGCCTTGAGAATAGCAAGCATAGAAACGGTAAACTCAAGACATCTGTGCATCAAAACCGCAACTCGAGTTCCAATTGTAATTCCTTGGGATATAAGCTGAGCAGCAAGAACATTTCCACAGTGATCGAGTTGACCATAGGTAAGACTTTGTGATTCAAACTCGATGGCTGTCCAATCAGAATGCTTAGCAGCTTGGGATTCAAAACCATGATGGATGAGTTTATACGGAAGATCGACAGTTGAGCCAAAGGATAATTTGGAGATCTGACATGTTTGCTCGCTTGACATTTGCCATAATGAATCAGTCTTTATATTTGGATCATTGAATGACTGAAGAATTTGCCCAATAGTAAAATCAAACTCGGCCAGAATAGATTGCGACTGCACGGAGGATATGTGTAAACCCGAATTTAGAACAAACAGCAGCGAGTCCTTGCTAGGATATATTTTCAACTCAAGATCCATATTATCATGTAAAGGCTGATGTTCCAAATCGTGTCGCCTTTCGAATATTTTGGAAAAACTAGTATCAGGTGGAAGGTTTTGATATGAGAACAGTGTGTTAAACAGCCTGGCCGAACCCTTCATTCCAGCCCATTTGCAAATGTCCGACAGTGACGAATGAGAATGAGGCCGTACTTTAACATGACACTTGCCAACGGATTCAAGTAGATTCATTACAGTCGAGCCATCATCAAATACAACTCGAAATGGCACTGTATTAACGAGCGGTCCAATGATTCTAAACATACAGCAAAGGGTAAGAAAAAGGTCAATCACTATTGAAGCATCTCAGCTCTGCTTGCCTGTCCACTCCATCGACTGGGATTTTTCGACCATTTGAAACTTGTCCAAACACGACGTCGTTTGACCGATGGAACTTGCGTAGAGTTGCAGCCCATGCTGCTTTGAGAATCACCACTGCTGTTACATCAATATGTTTTGCAAAGTCTTTGACAGCCAACATACCAAAACTTGATTTGTAGTTGATCTCATTGGCATTTGAATCATTAGTATGAACCCATCCCAAAGAGAGTGGTTGTGACGGGGAAGCATCTTTCAAGTAGCTACTCCAAAACTTGCGATGTGGTCGTGAATCGTGATTCTGCAGATACTCTGCTACACTCTGAAAGCAAGGCCGTTGTTCAATGGGATATCCTGCATACGCAGTAAGCATGTCCAAGGTAAAAAGAGGCACAGACCAACCATCAAACAATGCATGATGAATCGTTAAAACCATATACTGGCGATCACCATCATTTACAACAGTCATTCGCACCCAGTGTCGTTTGGTCAATGAAAATCCTCGCGTCTTGTCTGCTTCAATATAGAGTTCAATCTTGTCAGAAACTAGTGAGAAATCGACACTGTCTTGAGACGATCTTGCCACTTGGCAGATTCCGTCAGATGTAGTTGTAACAAACGATGAATGGAAAAGTGGCAGAGACCTAATCACAGCACAAAACGCCTTTTCAAGCATGTCCGTATCTAGTTGGTAGTTGGCAAGAAAAACAAATTGATACAGGTATGCGGCTGAATCTTGCATTGTGGGAATGATCATTGCGTGCTGCATAGGGGTAGCTGGGTATGCATCGATAGGCTGTTCAAGTTTCAAAGTATCACTCCATAGTGATTGTATTTCATCAACTGTAGATGATCTGAAATTGGAGTTGGAGTACAAGGTTAGATGTCCAATTATAATACTGAATATAGTTTAGTAAATATTGAAAAGATATTTACTTGAGTAGTATGGCAGAACAGGGCTCATTTGTCAAACCACAAGGCTGCTTTATATCGGTACATGGCAATAAATCAAGATCATTGTCTGCGCTCAAATCGACACCACTTTCCATACGATGCAATGCTAATATGCCATGATTATTTCCAGATTTATACAGCGAGCCTTGATTAAATTTAAACTTGTCAATTATGTTGTACAAAAATACAATACATTTATATAAACGACAGTATCTTACCAGTATCGGACTTTGATGGTTCAAACTCGACATTGGCATGCTGATCATGATCAAAACAGGTGTCACCAGAAGTGGAGTTTTGTCGCTCAACCAAGCTAATCTCTCTAGTTTTGTTCAAAACTAAAAGACTTGCATTAGATGCATCTTTAAAAGCAGTATCATTAATGGATAAATCTGCCCGAGTCTATACATCAAAGTTGGGTCGTGTCAAGTCAACTCGTTTTATACACAATATATAGTTTAAAACGGGTTTAATTGTTTTCATACCTTGGTGCTGCAATCAATGTTTGGAAAACGTAGAGGCAACTTGTCTTTTGGGTTTGCAACAGGAAAGCCCGAAGCTTCTAAAAGATTTGGATAAATAGCGAGCTGATACGGGTTTTGAATGTGGCAATGTTTGGTACTTTCAGCTACAAAAGGATCGAGTGCGGAGTTACACTCCGAGTCGCGGTCTGTTGAATCAGTGAGATGAGATAATGACCGAGAGATTGGGTTGAATTGAGTAGATTGTAACTCGGACCTGATGGTTTCAAGCGGTATATCCACTAGTGTCAGTGTGTCTGCATCATTCAATTCTTCCAGTGACAAGATAGGCGAAGCACATAAAAATTGAGGCATGTGTGGGTATTTGAAATGTGTGGAAAATAACAAAGTTTCTAAGCGATTAGGACGAATGCAATTGTTGGAGTCGGTAAAAAAGAGATTTGTGGTATTATAGTCATGATATTTTTGAAATGTATGGAAATAGTAATGCATTTGAGTTTTTAAATAGCGGAAATAAGGAGTAGTATAAAGCACTGAATAGATATTATAATCGGTAAAATCGCTCAACGTTCAAGGGATAAGCAATCAATATTTATAAATAAACGCAAATATCAGTGAGGTGCACATTTGATTGCAACAATGATAATCAAATGTGTATTAAAAACCTCCTTGCTATTAATTCAGGGTTTGATAGCATTGAATACCAATAGTTTCAGCATAACCGATTGCATCCGATAAATTTAGACCAATCAGAATTTGATATCGAATTAACCATTCTTCAATTTGAACCAACAAAAATCAAGCCATTGTGATACCTGATATAGAACCCTATCAAACTATGGTTTCCAAAATATAGTCATATAACTGGGAACCCACCTTGGTTTCAATTCACGACCCTTTCTGAATGTTTGATTATGATATATATTGGACCCCAACGCATCAAATTTTTGGTGTATTATCTTGATACAATCAAATGTTTATACCATTGTTCAACTAAAATTACAAATAGATCAAAAATGCATCCAAATATTCATAGGGTCGATAGTGATTTATCTGACCCAACGCAATAAACAATGGCATGGGTTTTGGAAATATGATCAAATAATGTACAGTTGGAATTATATTTATGTTGTAAACCCATTCGTTGTATTCCAAAAACCCTCGCGTTTGCATTCTAATTCGACACAGTAATGATCGCATGTTTCACAAACTCGGCCATTGTTTTTATGCATACTACCAATATCATAATATTCAGTTTGTATCACAATAGTTGCAAATTCAACAAGTATCAACAATGTCATGTGAATTTGCAAGGTATGAGGGAATGAACCAATAAGTAGATTGCGCTATTTATTAAAAACGGGAAGCGCGTATTTATAAAGTAGGAGAGCGGTGAACAATACCAGAAGGAAGGGAGGAAGGTATATGAATCCTTTTTCAAACATCATTGTTGAGGATCCCTGATTTCTATATTTTTTGCATAAGAGGTGGCTGTGATATCACAACTGGTGATCACAGTTCAAATACATACAAAGGTTCCACACACATATACAGTGCAAATCAACAGACTCCACATCTCAACACTCCAGGTCATATACAAGGACATACACTATTATTTATCTAAAAATATTGCTAAATACAACATAGCACACCTACTTGCCATCAACAGCCGCATATCATTTGAATACCATAACTTGTGCTGTCCAAAAGTTGCTGTATGCTACACAAACACCCTTTGTTTTTGAGACAAACGTGTTTAAGGGAGTATTTAAGCATTTTCAAGCATCAAATGCATTGATAATGGTGATCTGGAGTCAAATATGAGTGGTTTGAGTATAATCAGGGAGTTTTGTGTATCCTGTCATATAAAATGACTAAATCGCAGGGTAATTTCTATCGTCAAAGCATATTCAACCAAATACTAGTTTGCCATCCATTGTTTTACCAGCAGCATAGTTTAAGCCTACGTTTGATCATATGAAATTTACAGACATTATACTTGTACTGTCCGTATCAGCAGTTGCCAGTGCGTTAGTAACTACGCCCAATGCAGAAACTCGATCGCATCAGTTGTCAAAACGTAGTCCTGGTAAAGATTGGGAAAAAGCTGTCGGACGTGAATCAAACCACGGCGATTCAAGTGGACCAGGGCCATCGAACAGCAATATTGCCGAAAATGAACTAGATGATGCCATTCGTCAAAGGAAGAAAGTATGCGATAAGTATCATAAATACAAAAGTGAATTCAAGCAAGATATAGCCGACTTAAAACTAGAAAATCAAGGCTTGAGTTTTCAGGCGTTTGATAGTGATTATTATGGTAGAGACAGTGTCGAATTACTTAAACTCAGGCGTAAGAAGTTGGTACAGTTGAAAGAAAGATGCAAGGAAGCGAAACAAGTGAAAAGGGAAGCAAGAAAAGAATTCGAGAAGCAATCTGGCACTGGATGGAAAGGCAAACTCGAACAATTCAAATCAATACTTACCAATCATTAATGGCTTGACTTGATGAATAAACTATTCAAAAATAAATTGAACCAAATCAAGTAATTCATAGTGTGCCATGTGATAATAGATTAATGCGTGTTAAAATCTTGATTTTTATAACGATGTTTAAATATTGGTCTCGTCAATATCATTGAAGTTGTGGAATTGCTACATCAGTTCCACTGATACCAGTCAATACACCAACAGTAAATGTTATACAATGGGTTTGAACTGATATGTTTACACCTTGCATTTTTGGGTTTGTGGAATCATACATTGTGCGATCATCAGATTCATACATTGCAATCCAGATATCGAGTCTACTGTTTGGATAGTGTCAGTCAAACTCACACGTTTGCATTCTAATTCGATATAATAATGATTGCATGTTTTACAAATGCGACCATTGTTTTCGTGCATATTACCAATATCATAATGTTCAGTTTGTATCAAACCAGAGTTGCAAATTCAACAAGTATCAACAATGTCATGTAAATGTTTAGTTTTTAATCCAAAAACACGCATCAAAAACACAGTAAACCTTGTATATGTGAAACGCTGAAACTCTCGCATCAACATCAACATCAACACCAGCACCAGACTCAACACGCTCAACAAACAGTCATCGATATACCAGATGTGTGTCGTTGTTATGTATTGTATCGACTGGAGTTGCGCATCGTTGACAAACTGGTCGTGTCAACAAGTCAGATTGTCGTCGTGATACATGATACACAAGCAATAGCTGAACATGCCATTCCAACCAACAGTCAAACAATATATCGATATTTGCAAATCAACAACACCAAGGTTGATAATTCCGACAGTTTCTCGTTTATTTCATGTTATGTTTTCATTCCAACTGTCATGAATCGTAAAGCGTGTTTTTACAAGATTGAATTATGCATATCAAACAAAGGGTCGCCAACATAAGTTGATGGAAATGGTTACAGCAGGTTGTTTGTATTTCAATAACTGTGCTGCTGTATTAGTGTTTTGAAGCTAAGGTTTCCACATGTAGACACAAATGATGTGATTGACCTTGCACATGTGCGCATAGATCGTGGACGCAGCAGGTTCAATGACAGATGGGATGCTGAATAGTCGGATGTTGTGTGATGTTTACTGATTGTTTTACTGTTGTACAATAACTGGTGTATACATGTAATCGTGATGCAATCATCAAAATATATCTAGATTTCATTGTATAGCTTCACTGGTCGACTGGTTTGGATCTATGGCTACAAAATGTCCAACATGTTTATGGTCATTTATCACTGTGGTTATTTGTATATTGTGATATACTGTACATACTGCATTGTACTGTACTGTACTGTACTAGCCTGCACATGTATCGATCCGTTATCACCATTGACACTCAAACTTTATGCATGTTGCTATCCAAGTCAATGCATGTGCAATATATCACAAAGTTCCGCAATCACAACCCGAGCATGCCAGATTCACATGTCGGTGTCAATCAGACCACATCCAACATCAACAGTTTAATACAGTCGGAGCGTGTTTGGCTGTACTTGACAGTTGTAAACTAGATTTGATACCACCATTCACCACATATGGTGTTACAGTGTGTCGGTGCAACTCGACACATACAACCAATGTGATCAAACCAATATATACAAGCGTGGTTATATAGACAGCACCAGTCATCACATGGATCATTGTGTTTGGTGTATTGAACGACACGATCCATGACATGGATTGTGGTGTTGATTGAATACACTGGGTCCAATTCAACAGTGGTTTGATTTTGGTCATATCAGTGTTTGATATGTTGGTTACTATAACTGCAATTACAACTGCAACTATAGAACACGATACTATCAGTCCATAATCAGTTCATAATCAGTCGTGTAGTCTGGATACAGTTGATCAAATATCCAGTACATCACTGATGATCGTGATGATTGTGATACAATTTGAACATTGTTTATATACTCGACAGTCCTTGCAATGATGCAATGATTCCATCTGGTGTCGTTGCAAATAACAATGTAAATGTGTGGTGTGACTGACCAACAAATTGGTTGCGTCCATCGCAGTTATGGTGAGATTGCGTTGCAGTCATTGATTGGTCGCTATTGTATATACATGTATACACACGTTTCAGCGATTGACGATTGATATTAGGTATAGTTAAACTTGGTGATCTGAACCACTTTTACAGTGTAGTTGTGTTACAGTATAACTAATGATGATCACTTGATTGATACTGTTGATGCCATTGACCAGTCCAACCACTTGCAGTGATCACGTTTCCAACACAGTAAACAATAAATCACTCAAACTGACTGCATGCGACTGGATTGATAAACTGGAGTCATGTCAAAACTCCACTTTATTTGAGGCTATGATACGGAATCATATTAGTGTATCTGTATACAATGTCCTTATCATCCCTATTGTTTATTTTTAGTATTGTTTTAGTAAGGGTTTAAAATTAGCCACCTCAAAAATGCATTTTATCCCTATACTATCCCTTGTCCGGCACGTAATAACTCCGTTCAGTTGTAGTTTATGATTGCAGTCACTTTGATTGTTGATACTGTCCAATACAAATGTCAAGCCAATGCATGGCAAGACATGATGCTATTGATATGTGCTAAACACAACATAGCACACCTACTTGCCATCAACAGCCGCATATCATTTGAATACCATAGCTCGTGCTGTCCAAAAGTTGCTGTATGCTACACAAACACCCTTTGTTTTTGAGACAAACGTGTTTAAGGGAGTATTTAAGCACTTACAAGCATTAAATGCATTGACAATAGTGATCAGGGATTAAATATGAGTGATTTGAGTATAATCAGGGAGTTTTGTGTATCCTGTCATATAAAATGACTAAATTGCAGGGTAATTTCTATCGTCAAAGCATTCCAACCAAATACTAGTTTGTCATCCATTGTTTTACCAGCAGCATAGTTTAAGCCTACGTTTGATCATATGAAATTTACAGACATTATACTTGTACTGTCCGTATCAGCAGTTGCCAGTGCGTTAGTAACTACGCCCAATGCAGAAACTCGATCGCATCAGTTGTCAAAACGTAGTCCTGGTAAAGATTGGGAAAAAGCTGTCGGACGTGAATCAAACCACGGCGATTCAAGTGGACCGGGGCCATCGAACAACGGTGATTCAAGTGAACCAGGACCATCAAACGACGGCAATAGTGCCAAAAGTAGACTGGATGATGCCAAACGTAAAAGGGAAGATATATGCGATAAATATCATAAATACAAGAAAGAGTTCGAGCAAGATAAAGCCGCCTTAAAATTAGAACAAGAAAACATGCATCTTAACTCGTTTGGTAATGATTATTATGGTAGCAACGGTGACGAATCATTTGCGCGCAGACGTAAAAAGTTTTTACAGTTGAAAAAACGATGCAAGAATGCAAAGCGACAGGAAAAGGACCTAAGAAAAGAGTTTGAAGAGCAATCTGGCACTGGATGGAGGGGCAAACTCGAACGATTAAAAAAGATGCTTACCAAACACTAATCCTTGGCTTGAATAAACTATTCAAAAATAAATTGAACCAAATCAAGTAATTCATAGTGTGCCATGTGATAATAGATTAATGCGTGTTAAAATCTTGATTTTTATAACGATGTTTAAATATTGGTCTCGTCAATATCATTGAAGTTGTGGAATTGCTACATCAGTTCCACTGATACCAGTCAATACACCAACAGTAAATGTTATACAATGGGTTTGAACTGATATGTTTACACCTTGCATTTTTGGGTTTGTGGAATCATACATTGTGCGATCATCAGATTCATACATTGCAATCCAGATATCGAGTCTACTGTTTGGATAGTGTCAGTCAAACTCACACGTTTGCATTCTAATTCGATATAATAATGATTGCATGTTTTACAAATGCGACCATTGTTTTCGTGCATATTACCAATATCATAATGTTCAATTTGTATCAAACCAGAGTTGCAAACTCAACAAGTATCAACAATGTCATGTAAATGTTTAGTTTTTAATCCAAAAGCATGCATCAAAAACACAGTAAACCTTGTATATGTGAAACGCTGAAACTCTCGCATCGACATCAACACCAACACCAGCACCAGACTCAACACGCTCAACAAACAGTCATCGATATACCAGATGTGTGTCGTTGTTATGTATTGTATCGACTGGAGTTGCGCATCGTTGACAAACTGGTCGTGTCAACAAGTCAGATTGTCGTCGTGATACATGATACACAAGCAATAGCTGAACATGCCATTCCAACCAACAGTCAAGCAATATATCGATATTTGCAAATCAACAACACCAAGGTTGATAATTCCGACAGTTTCTCGTTTATTTCATGTTATGTTTTCATTCCAACTGTCATGAATCGTAAAGCGTGTTTTTACAAGATTGAATTATGCATATCAAACAAAGGGTCGCCAACATAAGTTGATGGAAATGGTTACAGCAGGTTGTTTGCATTTCAATAACTGTGCTGCTGTATTAGTGTTTTGAAGATAGAACCCATGCATAGAACTACGCTAGTACTTGTGCTGTTGATCAGCCATACTTTTGCAACTACACAAATCCATCATGACAGTTCAGTGCATTTACAAGCATTGCTGCCATCCACCACCACTCAGTTAGAATCCATCAAGACTCATGAATCCATCGAAACAACCCATTCAATCAGCTCTATACACTCTTCTGCTATTGTATCATCACCGACCGACTCTTCTACTTTGCACCATTTAACAAATAGCTTTTCCAGTTCAACCCAGCTGATTAAACAACATTCCATTCCTTGGCATGCACTAATGCAAACACACCATGAATTAGAGCCAGTCCAGTCCTTGTCGACTAATACCATATCGTCTTCACTGCAACAACCCTCTCCATCCTTGTCTATACAAGCCGCAATACAATCAAAAGTATACCTTGATTCATTTCCACAACCATCCAGCATTCATGTAGAACCAGCCACAGGTATGTTGATTATCAATTCGTTTGTCATAGTTTAATCATATATTAAATGTTCAAATCAACTCGATAGACACAGACATGGCTGGACTTGGTTTATTTTCTAGCTACCAGTTTCTTTTAGATACCAACATCTCGCCATCAAATGTAGTTTTATGTCCCAACAATTGTTCTAGAATAGGCACATGCAACTCTGATGGTCAGTGTGATTGTCCAAAAGTAATCTACAGCTGGTGGCGAGTTCAGGCTAGTAACTGTAAATCGGAGCGAGAAGAGTTTGGTTATGCCTGGCCGTATTTTATATACTCGTGGTTGTTGGTCTACACGCTCGTATTTGTGCTGTTGACATATTTCAACTACCTGACATTCAAGGCAAATGACTGGCAATTGGGTGGTGTCCGACATGTTTGCTTGTGTTTGATCCATGCTTCTGGACTGTGTATGTATTCTGTTGAATGTGTTTCTTGGGAATGATCAAACGGTTGTCTAATTTGAAACCATGACATGTATAGTTCGGTTTATATTCTTTTCAATTGATCCATACTCTGTAAGCAGTATTGCTAGCCCAATTATCATGCGCATGATCCTCTCCTTGTTTTATTTGTTTTCGATTCTAGCCTATGTGCTGATGGCATTGCATTGGATCGAGATATGCCGTACTGGATTGGCACTATCACCTTCAAAAACCCTTGGATATTCTCAAATTGCATCAGGGTTTATAGTTTCCATCTATTTTGCACTAGAAGTTGCAATCTGTGTGGTGCAGGCACAAAAAAAGCAAAACAAGATTCTGTTTCTGAGCGACACCATATATATGGGCACGATTATGGTAAGTTGGGTATTGTCCTGCTTGAATGGGAAAATATTAACATGCTCTAATTTTACCTGAATCTGTGGTGCTACAGGTGCTGATCTCACCACTTTACATGTATTGTGGACATTTGTTTCTTGCTCGACTAGGATTGATTAGACAAGACAAGCGAGGAAAGCGAGATCAAATGATTAGCAAGGTAGACTGATTTATGTGGTGATATGCCTTGCTGTGGTAATTGACATGTTTGAATACTTGTGAATGTTGTAGGTTCGAGTCATGGCATTTGGACCACCAATAGCAGGATTAGCATCAGTTGTAATATTCATTGTCAAGTTCACCAAGTGTCGAAACAATCCGTTTCTGTTTATTATCGGCGAGTCAGCAAGTCATTTTGCCGAAGTGATTACCATTGCGTTGTTTCTGTATGGTATTCTGCTAGACCCGGTAAGCCTATTATGACAATGTTTATTTGATGGATATCAAAGGAATACAATGCTTATTTGATTGCTTGGTAATGCAGCAGCCTACTAGAGGGAGTGATGGATCAACTCGCAAGGGGACTGCTGGACGATCATCAAAGTATATAAGAACAAAGCATCAGGGACATTGATTGTATTCCAACTCTGGCTGTTGGATGAAATAAACATTGTATATTTTCATGTGTTGAAGGATTCAAGGTTGAGAGTTGTCTTTTGAATGAACAGCAGTGTTGGTAGGAATGGCACAAGGTTTATGTGCAGTTGGTCGAGACAGATAATGAAGTGTATGAAGCATAAGCCAGGATTAGCAGACATTGTTCAATCCAATGGTGCTGCACTCATGACAGGACCACTCACACGACTATATGCTGGTAGTAACAGTAGGAAGAGGTTGTTCACTATGAGTAGCAGTAGAGAGAGTTCATTCACCCAGAGCAGTCTACATGATACTCATACAGTCCCAGTTACCAACAATCTCCTCAATCAGCTCATTCAACTCTTGTCTACAAACAACGACCAACAGGCATATCAACTCTTTTTACAGATTCAACGGTCGTCTCCATCACTGCTCTCCTGTCTACCATCAACCGACTACAATACTCTAATCAACTCAGTCTTTTATTCAAAGTCTCGCATAGGCCATTCCAACCCATCCCGTTTATCACAATCTGTTCAAATCTACAATATTATGCTCTCCCATAACATACAACCCATATTCAGCACTCTATGTCTTGCAATCAACATCTATGGCCGTTTGAATCAAATCGACAAGGTAGAATCCACCTACTTGGACATTCGTACCAAAGGCTACAACACTTGCCATCCATCTGCCCTTAGATACATGTGTCAAGCATATATTCTTTCGGGAAACTCACCCATCGCGATGATGTACTTTGAATTACTTGGACGTACTCATCCCAACATGGCATTCAAGACTCTTGCTCATGCATATGCTCTCAAGGGCGATGAGCTTGGTATTATATCGTTTCTCGACCACATGGATATGGCAGAATACCCACTCACATCAGCCATTCTTGTCTCGATCTGTAAAGGCTATCACCAACTACGCAAATACGAAGCAGTATTTGCCTTGATCAACCACTTTACACTCAAATGTGGTAAACCTATGGATTTCAATCTGTATCGTATCATGATCCAATGTCGCAACGATTTGAAAGAGTATCAAACCGCTTTGGATTTGATTCAAGAAATGCGTGAATCAACCCATATTCGGTTAGATACTTCCATTTTACACGAAGAGTTGGTTGCTTTTGCTGGATTGCGGAATACTTTGAAAGTGTGGAGCATATATCGTACTATTATACTTGATTCACACCTATTTGTTCATGCTAGAGTATGTTTGACACGAATGGTGGGGTCGCTTCATTCCCAATCGGCTATTTTCAATCTTAAAAAGCAACTTACTGCCAACCAAGTTGGATTAAATCGAGCCTTTTACGATCTTCTTCGTGGGTATACAGAGCTAGGTGACGTGACTTCTGTCAAGCAGATTATATACTATTTTGTGGATCATAATTATGATTTCAGTCCGTCAGTATATGCACAGATTGTATGGGCGTATATTGCATTAGGGAAACGTGGTGGCTGTATTGATGGTGCATGGGAATATGTTAAACACATGCCGTTGGGAAATACATGGGAAGATGAGCGAATGGTTTGGCACGGAATGGTTGTGTGTAGACTGATGTTTTCGCCTGAAAAAGTAGACGAGGTAATCAATGTTTTGAAGCTAAAGTTTCCACATGTAGACACAAGCGATGTGATTGACCTTGCACATGTGCGCATAGATCGTGGACGCAGCAGGTTCAATGACAGATGGGATGCTGAATAGTCATATGTTGTATGACGTTTACTGATTGTTTTACTGTTGTACAATAACTGGTGTATACATGTAATCGTGATGCAATCATCAAAATATATCTAGATTTCATTGTATAGCTTCACTGGTCGACTGGTTTGGATCTATGGCTACAAAATGTCCAACATGTTTATGGCCATTTATCACTGTGGTTATTTGTATATTGTGATATACTGTACATACTATACTGCACTGTACTAGCCTGCACATGTGTCGATCCGTTATCATCATTGACACTCAAACTTTATGCATGTTGCTATCCAAGTCAATGCATGTGCAATATATCACAAAGTTCCGCAATCACAACCCGAGCATGCCAGATTCACATGTCGGTGTCAATCAGACCACATCCAGCATCAACAGTTTAATACAGTCGGAGCGTGTTTGGCTATACTTGACAGTTGTAAACTAGATTTGACACCACCATTCACCACATATGGTGTTACAGTGTGTCGGTGCAACTCGACACATACAACCAATGTGATCAAACCAATATGGTCAAACCAATATATACAAGCGTGGTTATATAGACAGCATCAGTCATCACATGGATCATTGTGTTTGGTGTATTGAACGACACGATCCATGACATGGATTGTGGTGTTGATTGAATACACTGGGTCCAATTCAACAGTGGTTTGATTTTGGTCATATCAGTGTTTGATATGTTGGTTACTATAACTGCAATTACAACTGCAACTATAGAACACGATACTATCAGTCCATAATCAGTTCATAATCAGTCGTGTAGTCTGGATACAGTTGATCAAATATCCAGTACATCACTGATGATCGTGATGATTGTGATACAATTTGAACATTGTTTATATACTCGACAGTCCTTGCAATGATGCAATGATTCCATCTGGTGTCGTTGCAAATAACAATGTAAATGTGTGGTGTGACTGACCAACAAATTGGTTGCGTCCATCGCAGTTATGGTGAGATTGCGTTGCAGTCATTGATTGGTCGCTATTGTATATACATGTATACACACACGTTTCAGCGATTGACGATTGATATTAGGTATAGTTAAACTTGGTGATCTGAACCACTTTTACAGTGTAGTTGTGTTACAGTATAACTAATGATGATCACTTGATTGATACTGTTGATGCCATTGACCAGTCCAACCACTTGCAGTGATCACGTTTCCAACACAGTAAACAATAAATCACTCAAACTGACTGCATGCGACTGGATTGATAAACTGAGGAGTCATGTCAAAACTACATTGTATTTGAGGCTATGATACGAGATCATCAGTGTATCTGTATCTGTGTCTGTACCTGTATACAGTATCTTTACCATCCCTATTTTTTAGTTTGTGTTGATTTTTGTAAGGGTTTAAAACTAGCTATCACAAAAATGCATTTCATCGCTACTATCCCTTGTCTGGCACGTAATAACTCCGTTCAGTTGTAGTTTATGATTGCAGTCACTTTGATTGTTGATACTGTCCAATACAAATATCAAGCCAATGCATGGCAAGACATGATGCTATTGATATGTGCTAAACACAACATAGCACACCTACTTGCCATCAACAGCCGCATATCATTTGAATACCATAGCTCGTGCTGTTCAAAAGTTGCTGTATGCTACACAAACACCCTTTGCTTTTGGAACAGGAACGTGTTCAAGATGTTGGAATGGCATAATTCTTGTGATAATATTGTGAAAGAAAAAAGCAGAGTTGGGTATTGAGCAATCGAAAAAACTTGAAAATTTAAAGTGCTTATTGATCAAGATCAATGAATTTTGCTCCCATTATTAAATAGCCGATCTATCAATAGAAATAGTAGTTGATAAAGCTTTAAGGGAAAATAAGATAAGCAAGATAAGAATAATATAACAATTTAAAAAAGGGCTTATTAAAAGGTCAAGAACTAGGATTGAGTAAATTGATAAGCCTGAACAAAACTATTTATTGAAACCGACTTGCGAGTTTTATTTAGAAAAAGCAAACAAGTACGCCGTAGTTAATTGTTGTCTTGTTTAATGGATAACTTCCTGACAAAGGGAATCAGGGAGTTTTCTTTAATATTCGTAGTATAATACAAACTAATTGCTTGTATAGGAAATCTAGACGGTCGTGCTTGACAGTTAATTACTGCAGCCGAAAGCCGAATATTGTATACAACACTTGTGCTTTTAGCAAAGCATCAAGCTTCAATAATTTTAAAAAATATCAGATCGGTAAAGATTGCCCTTGGTATCGGAATGGGATACTTCAACACACGAAAGTATTAAAGCACTTGCAAGCATTAAATACAGTGGCAATAGCGGTCAAGGATCAAATATGAGTGGTTCAAGTATAATCAGGGATTTTTGTGTATCTTGCCATATATAAAATGACTAAATTGCAGGGTAATTTCTATCGTCAAAGCATTCCAATCAAATACTAGTTTGTCATCCATTGTTTTACCAGCAGCATAGTTTAAGCCTACGTTTGATCATATGAAATTTACAGACATTATACTTGTACTGTCCGTATCAGCAGTTGCCAGTGCGTTAGTAGCTACGCCCAATGCAGAAACTCGATCGCATCAGTTGTCAAAACGTAGTCCTGGTAAAGGCTGGGAAAAATTGATTGAAGGCAACCCCAATGATGATGGCGAAAGCAAACCAGGGCCATCAAACAACAATGATTCAAGTGAACCAGTACCATCAAACGACGGCGATCTAAGCGAGCCAGGGCCATCAAACGACGATAGTCTCGAAAGTAGACTGGAGGATGCTACTCGTAGAAGGGAAGATATATGCGATAAATATCATAAATACAGGAAGGATTTATTGCGAGATGCATCCAAATTTCATGGTGAAGATTTTATGATACGTTCCCCATCTGCTCAATATTATGATACTCCCAACATCAACAAATCGATTGAAAAAAGAGGTAAAAAGATGAGAGAGCTAAAACGAGAATGTAAGGATGCAAAGCGACAGGAAAAGGACCTAAGAAAAGAGTTTGAAGAGCAACATGGCATTAAATCAGAAGGCAAACTCAAACGATTAAAAAAGATGTTTACCAAACACTAATCCTTGACTTGAATAAACTATTCAAAAATAAATTGAACCAAATCAAGTAATTCATAGTGTGCCATGTGATAATAGATTAATACGTGTTAAAATCTTGATTTTTATAACGATGTTTAAATATTGGTCTCATCAATATCATTGAAGTTGTGGAATTGCTACATCAGTTCCACTGATACCAGTCAATAGACCAACAGCAAATGTTATACAATGGGTTTGAACTGATATGTTTACACCTTGCATTTTTGAGTTTATGGAATCATACATTGTGCGATCATCAGATTCATACATTGCAATCCAGACACTTGGATCTACTGTTTGGATAGTGTCAGTCAAACTCACACGTTTGCATTCTAATTCGATATAATAATGATTGCATGTTTTACAAATGCGACCATTGTTTTCGTGCATATTACCAATATCATAATGTTCAGTTTGTATCAAACCAGAGTTGCAAATTCAACCAGTATCAACAATGTCATGTAAATGTTTAGTTTTTAATCCAAAAACACGCATCAAAAACACAGTAAACCTTGTATATGTGAAACGCTGAAACTCTCGCATCGACATCAACACCAACACCAGACTCAACACGCTCAACAAACAGTCATCGATATACCAGATGTGTGTCGTTGTTATGTATTGTATCGACTGGAGTTGCGCATCATTGACAAACTGGTCGTGTCAACAAGTCAGATTGTCGTCGTGATACATGATACACAAGCAATAGCTGAACATGCCATTCTAACCAACAGTCAAGCAATATATCGATATTTGCAAATCAACAACACCAAGGTTGATAATTCCGACAGTTTCTCGTTTATTTCATGTTATGTTTTCATTCCAACTGTCATGAATCGTAAAGCGTGTTTTTACAAGATTGAATTATGCATATCAAACAAAGGGTCGCCAACATAAGTTGATGGAAATGGTTACAGCAGGTTGTTTGCATTTCAATAACTGTGCTGCTGTATTAGTGTTTTGAAGCTAAAGTTTCCACATGTAGACACAAGCGATGTGATTGACCTTGCACATGTGCGCATAGATCGTGGACGCAGCAGGTTCAATGACAGATGGGATGCTGAATAGTCGGATGTTGTATGATGTTTACTGGTTGTTTTACTGTTGTTGTACAATAACTGGTGTATACATGTAATCGTGATGCAATCATCAAAATATATCTAGATTTCATTGTATAGCTTCACTGGTCGACTGGTTTGGATCTATGGCTACAAAATGTCCAACATGTTTATGGTCATTTATCACTGTGGTTATTTGTATATTGTGATATACTGTACATACTGTACTGTACTGTACTAGCCTGCACATGTGTCGATCCGTTATCACCATTGACACTCAAACTTTATGCATGTTGCTATCCAAGTCAATGCATGTGCAATATATCACAAAGTTCCGCAATCACAACCCGAGCATGCCAGATTCACATGTCGGTGTCAATCAGACCACATCCAGCATCAACAGTTTAATACAGTCGGAGCGTGTTTGGCTGTACTTGACAGTTGTAAACTAGATTTGACACCACCATTCACCACATATGGTGTTACAGTGTGTCGGTGCAACTCGACACATACAACCAATGTGATCAAACCAATATGGTCAAACCAATATATACAAGCGTGGTTATATAGACAGCATCAGTCATCACATGGATCATTGTGTTTGGTGTATTGAACGACACGATCCATGACATGGATTGTGGTGTTGATTGAATACACTGGGTCCAATTCAACAGTGGTTTGATTTTGGTCATATCAGTGTTTGATATGTTGGTTACTATAACTGCAATTACAACTGCAACTATAGAACACGATACTATCAGTCCATAATCAGTTCATAATCAGTCGTGTAGTCTGGATACAGTTGATCAAATATCCAGTACATCACTGATGATCGTGATGATTGTGATACAATTTGAACATTGTTTATATACTCGACAGTCCTTGCAATGATGCAATGATTCCATCTGGTGTCGTTGCAAATAACAATGTAAATGTGTGGTGTGACTGACCAACAAATTGGTTGCGTCCATCGCAGTTATGGTGAGATTGCGTTGCAGTCATTGATTGGTCGCTATTGTATATACATGTATACACACGTTTCAGCGATTGACGATTGATATTAGGTATAGTTAAACTTGGTGATCTGAACCACTTTTACAGTGTAGTTGTGTTACAGTATAACTAATGATGATCACTTGATTGATACTGTTGATGCCATTGACCAGTCCAACCACTTGCAGTGATCACGTTTCCAACACAGTAAACAATAAATCACTCAAACTGACTGCATGCGACTGGATTGATAAACTAGGGAGTCATGTCAAAACTACATTGTATTTGAGGCTATGATACGAGATCATCAGTGTATCTGTATCTGTGTCTGTACCTGTATACAGTATCTTTACCATCCCTATTTTTTAGTTTGTGTTGATTTTTGTAAGGGTTTAAAACTAGCTATCACAAAAATGCATTTCATCGCTACTATCCCTTGTCTGGCACGTAATAACTCCGTTCAGTTGTAGTTTATGATTGCAGTCACTTTGATTGTTGATACTGTCCAATACAAATATCAAGCCAATGCATGGCAAGACATGATGCTATTGATATGTGCTAAACACAACATAGCACACCTACTTGCCATCAACAGCCGCATATCATTTGAATACCATAGCTCGTGCTGTTCAAAAGTTGCTGTATGCTACACAAACACCCTTTGCTTTTGGAACAGGAACGTGTTCAAGGGAGTATTTAAACACTTGCAAGCATTAAATACATTGGCAATAGTGATCAGGGATCAAATATGAGTGGTTCGAGTATAATCAGGGAACTTTGTGTATCTTGCCATATATAAAATGAATATAAATAGTAGAATAATTTCTATCATTAAAGCATATCCAAGCAAATACTAGTTTGCCATCCATTGTTTTACCAGCAGCATAGTCTAAGCCTACGTTTGATCATATGAAATTTACAGACATTATACTTGTACTGTCTGTATCAGCAGTTGCCAGTGCGTTAGTAGCTACGCCCAATGCAGAAACTCGATCACATCAGTTGTCAAAACGTAGTCCCGGTAAAGATTGGAAAAAATTGATTGAAGGCAACCCCAATGATGATGGCGAAAGCAAACCAGGGCCATCGAACAACAATGATTCAAGTGAACCAGGGCCATCAAACAGCGATAGTGCCAAAAATGAACTGGATGATACCACTCGTCAAAGGAAGAAAGCATGCAATAAGTATCATAAATACAAGAAAGAATTTCAAAAGGATCCATTAGGCTCCAGTATGAAAGATGCGGGCTTTTTGTGGCCATGGCCTTATAAAACTCATGATTACAATTCCATCGATTCATCGATTGAAAAGGCACATAAAAAGATGAAAGAGTTGAAAAAAGAATGCGATGAGGCGACAGAAAAGGAAAATCATCTAAGACAGAAACGAAAAGATGGAAGCCAAAAGGAAAAGGAAAAGGAAACAAAAGAAGCTGAGAAGCAATCTGACATTAAATCAGGAGGCAAGCTCAAACGATTCAAATCAATGCTTGACAGTTTCTAATTCTTGATTTAATGAATAAACCATTTAAAAATAAATTGAACTCAAATCAAGTAACTCATAAAGTGTGCATGTAATAATAGATTAATACGTGTTAAAATATTGGTCTCGTTAATATCATTGAAGTTGTGAAATTACTACATCAGTTCCACCGATACCAGTAATAGACCAACAGCAAATGTTGTACATTACAGCAAGTATCCGTGACAATCACAATGAACTCTGTCGCAGCCAACTAGGTGCATTCTGGGACAAACACAATGCAACAATCCAGCGACTTGAATGCGCCAATGAACATATGAACTGGATTAAGTTTGCTGACACACTTGACCAGACAGTATTGATGATCGTTTTGATATGACATTTGCAGCAGCTCGAGTCATGTCTGGTGGTGCAACACACACAACAACCATCACTCCATTCCATTCCACTATACGATGTGATGCCAATCGTATCATTCAGTACAGCAGTGATAGTATTTTTGACATACCGAGTAATCACTACTTGTGTCTTGCTACGGACGATAGTGGACATTTACTTGACTTGCAGTAATGGCAGTACTTGCATATACGTGATCCACTTCCACCATCCAAACTGGTTCCGATTCGTGACGATGCAACTGATCTCGACTCGGATATATCTTGAAATCGACTAGCTGATGCAATACAGCAGCTGGTTCACACCAAACACTCGGAAAACAACAGGATATTGGTCATATTCTGTCGAGTCGCATTATATACACCAAATGCTACTCCTGATGAACCACCCAATCCATTTGCTCGTTCTGCTACACAGCTCAGTCAATATGCTGACGACCACTATGCAACCTGATGGCAGTCTGCATACACTGTACCGATTGTATTGATTGCATATATCGACAAGAATAGCGGTGATCACATTAATACAAATGACAAACACGGTATTACACTGATTGATGTGTGTCATAAACTGGTATGCAAGGTCTTGCAAACACACATTGATGGATCGTGGTGTTCAACAAACTCGTCACTACTGAGCATGGTTGATTTCAAACCAAACAAGTGTGCTGTGCTGGTTGTTTCACTAGTCGATATTGTTCAATGACAGCAGTGCGTGCAGCTCAATACTATTGTTGTGTTGATTGACATTCGAAATGCATTCAACACTGTCATGGTTGGTGCCTTGATATGATAACTGCAGCATATGTGATTGACACCACGCACACTGGTCTTGCTAATAGCGCTGCACACATGCTCATCAGCTTGTGCTCAGACTGAATCATTGGTTTCTAACCCATTTCCATTTGAGCATGGAGTCCGGTGGTGATGTCCACTGTCAGATTGTTATTCAACGTGTTCATCAACAACATACACGATGATATCAACCGATTGTCATTGCATGAGTATCGTGTAAATCACCATCAATGTGAGGGTTCATGTATGCCGACAATATCGTGATATTTGCCGACTCTGATCAATCACTCCAATTGGCATCTGGTGTACTCGCACGATGAATGGAACAATGTCAAACATATTATCGTATTGCTATAAATGTGATTGTATGACAATGGTGTGTATGAACAAGTGTACTACCATGTGACAATTGAAGTATACTTGCTTCGTTATAATGCTATCGCTACACAGCACACTTTAATGAACCCAACCCTAATATTAAACTTTCAGTTTGAACAACGAATCATCATGTAAACACAACTCCCTTAAACTACCCTGACATTGACATTGAGCCAACACTGACCCTCTGACATTGACACAAATCCCTTAGGACGGTCATTCAAGGAGCATGCTTGCAATATTATACACTAATATATAAATACAACCTAAACATCAACCTGTTGAATGATAATCTACAACTTGCTCGACTAAACCAGTAAAAATGAAACTTTCGATCGCCATATTATCATCGATCCTGCTTGCTTTCTCGGTCACTGTTGCCAATCCAGTTCTTGACAGTTCGACTACAAGTACTGCAACTACCACTTCGTCAGCATATCCTAGTGCGACTGAAACTAGCGGGACTAGTCATTTAACTCCTTTGGATCCGTATAGTCTATATATGGATAATTGCTATCCAATTAGTTTTAGTGGAATCACACTGATTGAGTCACTTGCAAACGGTGTACGTAGACTTGAAAGACTATCGCGATATATTGACACGAAAAGAGAGACAATTAGCGAACAAAAGAAAGCGGCCACTAAGTTGAATAAAAAAATTGACCATTTAAAGAGTAAACCTTCAGGCCGTAGATCAGAGATAATCAAACTCGAATCTACGCTTGCTGAATACATTAAAGCTCTTGGAAATCCCAAAAGGCAGTTAAGAAGGCTCACCAAAGAGCATTCGGATACGAATCAACAAAATGTTCAAACACGAGCGATGCTTGGAGAGTACTTTGCAAAACATCATTCGGTTGGATCAACGAACTCTGACGGTACGATAAACACTGAACCATATCCTGGATTCACGAAATGTTTTGACTATTTCTACTATCGCTCACCACAATGATTGCCACGATCCGAGTATGGTGTCGTTTTCAAGATTTTGGTGTTTGGTAATAAACCCTTCAACCATAGACTCGTCACATTGTTGCAGCTCAGTAAACTATCGACAGCATCATCCAGTATATGTTGTAACGCAGCGTGTATTGCGTGTTGGTTTAATTGTCATTTGTGTTGCATTCAATGTCGCTTATTCAATAAACATCGTGTATTGCCAAACCATAGTGTATTATACTGATGGTTTGATCATACTACACCAATCAACTACTATGCATTGTATTGTATTGTATTGTATTAATCATTGCAATGTCATTTCTGAATCCACGCGATTGTGTATATTTGTCATTTTGGGTTACCAATCAACCCACTCCATTTGACACCAACTCATTGGTATCACTATACTATTTTATTCAGGTGATACGAATGGACTATTACAACCATCAACAAATGTGTAATTGTCATTCGATATATCGACTCTGATATGCAACACTATGCTGTGTTTACTGTGATCAGGTTTTTGATCAATCTTGGACTCACAATACATGATTTGTCATGTTGGATCGTGTGGATATGTCATGGACTGCAACTGATGCTATACGTTACAATTTAGTTGAAAACACACATATGTTTGACATTGGCCGGTGCATACTGTGCAACGACTGATCAGTGCGTGTGTAATCGCACACCTGGTGGTATTGTGCATTATGGTTGTTTGACAATGGATGGATGCTGGATTAGTCAGTTATATGCAATCCATCTGAATCGACTTATTTGGACAAACACTCGATGTAACTGACAACAATGTGTATACATGTGTATACATGAATATACATGGATATGTGGTGGTGTATTGATCAAACTACTGACTGACAAGCAATCGGTTGACAATCATGTGGTGCTGGTATTTGAGTTGGAGTGACTGATCACAGAATGCCGAGTATTTGATTAGTCGAGTTTTTGATGATAGCGTACCAGTGATAACAAACACAACTCTGACACCACCACTGGAACAGTCATACATGAGTTGACCAACAAACTCGTAGCACCGTCAGTATATGCTCGTACGATCATGGCATGTCTGCATGAAATCATCTCGTATTCCAGTATTCGAGTTTAAACGAAACTCATTTAAAAAGTATTGGTATTTGCTGTATCAATACAACTATAACCGATACACATCATACACTTGCAGTAGTAAACACCGATGTGTGATATATTCAGTGATCGTGTGATGCTCGATCGGTGTAATATGATCATGTCAAACATATTATCGTATTGCTATAAATGTGATTGTATGACAATGGTGTGTATGAACAAGTGTACTACCATGTGACGATTAAAGTATACTTGCCGCATTACGATGCCGTCGTACAGCACACTTTAATGAACCCAACCCTAATATTAAACTTTCAGCTTCAACGATTGATCATCATGTAAACACAACTCCCTTTAAACTACCCTGACATTGACATTGAGCCAACACTGACCCTCTGACATTGACACAAATCCCTTAGGACGGTCATTCAAGGAGCATGCTTGCAATATTATACACTAACATATATAAATACAACCTAAACATCAACTTGCCAAATGATAATCTACAACTTGCTCGACCAAACCAGTAAAAATGAAACTTTCAATCGCCATATTGTCACCAATCCTGCTTGCCTGCTCGGTCACTGCTGCCAATCCAGTTCTTGACAGTTCGACTACAAGTACTGCAACTACTACTTCGTCAGCATATCCTAGTGCGACTGAAACTAGCGGGACTAGTCATTTAACTCCTTTGGATCCGTATAGTCTACATATGGATAATTGCCATCCGATTGGTATTGATGGAATCACACTGATCGAGCTACTTGCATCAAATGCACATAAACTTGAAAAACTATCGCGATATATTGACACGAAAAGAGAGACAATTAGCGAACAAAAGAAAGTGATCGATGAACTCAAGGAAAAAATTGACCATTTAAAGAGTAAACCTTCAGGCCGTAGATCAGAGATAATCAAACTCGAATCTACGCTTGCTGAATACATTAAAGCTCTTGGAAATCCCAAAAGGCAGTTAAGAAGGCTCACCAAAGAGCATTCGGATACGAATCAACAAAATGTTCAAACACGAGCGATGCTTGGAGAGTACTTTGCAAAACATCATTCGGTTGGATCAACGAACTCTGACGGTACGATAAACACTGAACCATATCCTGGATTCACGAAATGTTTTGACTATTTCTACTATCGCTCACCACAATGATTGCCACGATCCGAGTATGGTGTCGTTTTCAAGATTTTGGTGTTTGGTAATAAACCCTTCAACCATAGACTCGTCACATTGTTGCAGCTCAGTAAACTATCGACAGCATCATCCAGTATATGTTGTAACGCAGCGTGTATTGCGTGTTGGTTTAATTGTCATTTGTGTTGCATTCAATGTCGCTTATTCAATAAACATCGTGTATTGCCAAACCATAGTGTATTATACTGATGGTTTGATCATACTACACCAATCAACTACTATGCATTGTATTGTATTGTATTAATCATTGCAATGTCATTTCTGGATCCACGCGATTGTGTATATTTGTCATTTTGGGTTACCAATCAACCCACTCCATTTGACACCAACTCATTGGTATCACTATACTATTTGATCCAAATGATTCGGCTCGTTTTGACAATCTGACAGTATCCACAAATCCATGCTTAATATTTGCACATATTCCATTGACATACTACAAACTGACATTGAACGTCACATCACATTGTTTTGGTCTTGAATGATACGATATGTATCAGCCGAGGTTTTGTATTCACATCCACATCCAGTATGTACAACAAATCTGTCCATAATTCAACATATCAGCCATATTTGATTTGACAGTCACTTGTCACATTGTTGTGTACTTGCAATGATCAGTATCAATCATTTGCATGTAGTCAGCTGTCTAGTGTAATGCATGCAGTATGATCACATAACATGACATCTGGTGATATAGCATACACCACAACCACAACCGGAAACATCGATCGTTGTCCCAATCAATATCAACAGTTGCATCAAACAAATCCACAAGTGCACAACTCGGCAAGTGTAATACATACAACTACAACATGTGTATACGAATACCGAGTGTGTCCAACTATAAGCTATGTATATTGAAACCATTGGATAGTATGTCCGACACATCATTGACATTGATAGTCAAATAATCTTGCGAGTAATCATATATGCAACATGGTTGACATGTTGGTGTTGGATGTATCAATGTGACTATATTCCAAGAACTGATCGGACACGGCTCAACATCAAGTTTGTTTCTAGCAATATGTTTATTGTAGTACTAAACATCAATCACAGTTGTTTACTGTTCAAAAACTTGGAGTATTACTGGCAGCTATTCCAGTATTTGAAATACTCGATATACTCGGAGTATCTGAAAATCCGTATCCGTTCCAAGAAGAAATACCATCATATTTTCCACCAAGGATTTCTCCATGTTCAACATATGACAGAGTGGGTCCGCTATAAGTGTTCAAGTTGGGAAATGGTAGAATTGAGTCGGAAGATGTCAATCTACTCCCATACCAAACTATTTCAATCACAATGGACGTAAAGATTAGATGTGTCAATACTTGACTGCAATCCATGGCGATGCCTACATTGATTCCACTAGCATTTGCATTTAGTATAAAACAATTGAAAACACACCCTTTCAGCGGAACAAGCGGATTTTTTGACTCTGCGAATGATTCTGGAAAAATCAATAGGACGTGGTGTATAAAGGCCGCTTCCAAGACAAGAAAGAGGCACTGCAGTGTGATCAGTATTTTACTAATAAATATTGATCAGAGCGGATTATTTTTGGTGGATAATAATTGGAGTTTTTTGACAATAGTCGATTCATTTATTCAGTATATATGATATGCTTGCGTATTGTAATCACCCTTTGTATAGGGTTTTTGTGCTTGAAATATTACCGCAACAGTGAGTAATAAAGGGGTGGAAACGGAGATATGAATGAAGGATAGTCAGCAACCATCAATTATATCATGCATGAAAAGTCCTTATAACTCAGAACCAATCACGTGGTGTGTTATGGTTGGGTAAATTTTAATCAAGGTTACTCATCAGTGCAAGATATACTAACTGCTATGCTGTTACACAATGCAAAGTTGGCCCTGATAATAATAATCAGATATTTGATTATATAAACCGTCACTCAATTGTCCAGTCTAATCTCACGGTCAATTGATTTCCCACCACCTTGACACATCACTGCATCTACTAGCATATCTGGCACTCCAACATGAAGATCGATATTCTTGCACTTGTCTCGATACTGGCTATTTCTGTTCACGCCGAGCTTCTCTCAGCAAATAGTATTACTAGTAATAATGGTCTCCGACTTCAAAAACGACAGCTTTTTGACAAAGTCAAAAAGTTTTTAACTAAAAAACAAGGTAGCGGTAATTCCAAGTCGAATCCCTATAGTCCCTTGAACCCCCAAAAGAGAATAACCCACCATCTCAACCAAAAAATGAACCAAATTTCGACTTGGAAATAAAAGTTATGCGCGAGATACGGGAACATCGCAAATACTTTTTGTAAAGCGAAATCCATCAAAAACCACAAGCCAGATTTCAAAATAATAGTCATTCGTTTAAACCACCAGATCTTGGAAACAAAACTAATTACAACCCTGCACTTGTGAAGCAAAAGCAGAGCGTATTGCTTGATGAACATTTATTTTTGGACTCACAATAGGTTGAATAATATAAACATTCAATAAACTTCAAATTGCTGATAAAAAATTCAAGTGTTTATGGATGAAAACAAGAAATATCTATATCTCAACAACTCAATTTAAAATGGGCTCAAACCATTAAAACTGTTGTTGTAGTATTTCAAAGACGTGAACTATTCATTTGTAAAACTGCATGGTTGGTTTAGGTTAGTGTACAGATTGTAGGTGAAATAGTGAAGTCTCGCGTCAGAATAGGGTCAAATGAGTGGCATTGTCCTTGAGTTGGCCAACAAACTTGTAGCACCGTCAGCATATGCTTGTACAAGTACGGTTTGCTTGCATGAGATTATTCTGTGCTTCGGTACTTGAGTTTATTTTAAAACGTGTTTGTATGACAATGGTGTGTATGAATAATGTTTGTGTCCATCATGTGACAATTGAAGTATACTTGCTTCGTTATAATGCTATCGCTACACAGAACATCTACATGAACCCAACCCTAATATTAAACTTTCAGTTTGAACAACGAATCATCATGTAAACGCAACTCCCTTAAACTACCCTGACATTGACATTGAGCCAACACTGACCCTCTGACATTGACACAAATCCCTTAGGACGGTCATTCAAGGAGCATGCTTGCAATATTATACACTAACATATAAATACAACCTAAACATCAACTTGCCAAATGATAATCTACAACTTGCTCGACCAAACCAGTAAAAATGAAACTTTCAATCGCCATATTGTCATCGATCCTGCTTGCTTGCTCGGTCACTGTTGCCAATCCAGTTCTTGACAGTTCGACTACAAGTACTGCAACTACTACTTCGTCAGCATATCCTAGTGCAACTGAAACGAGCGGACCTGACTTGACGAAACTATTCGATCCATATAGTGTATATATGTCTGATTGCTACCCAATTGATTTTGATGGAATCACACTGATTGAGTCACTTGCAGAAGGTGTACATAAACTTGAAAAACTATCGCGATATATTGACACGAAAAGAGAGACAATTAGCGAACAAAAAAAAGTGGTTGGTGAGTTGATGCAAGAAATTGACCAATTAAGAAAAACCCATTCAGGCCGTAGATCGGAGATGAAGGAACTCAAGTTTACGCTTGGTGCCAAGCTTGAAGATCTTAGAAGAAACAAAAGACATTTGAGAAGGTCCATCAAGGAGTATTCGGATACGAATCAACAAAATGTTCGAACACGAGCGATGCTTGGAGAGTACTTTGCAAAACATCATTCGGTTGGATCAACGAACTCTGACGGTACGATAAACACTGAACCATATCCTGGATTCACGAAATGTTTTGATTATTTCTACTATCGTTTACCACAATGATTGCCACGATCCGAGTATGGTGCCATTTCTCCAGATTTTGGTGTTTGGTAATAAACCCTTCAACCATAGACTCGTCACATTGTTGCAGCTCAGTAAACTATCGACAGCATCATCCAGTATATGTTGTAACGCAGCGTGTATTGCGTGTTGGTTTAATTGTCATTTGTGTTGCATTCAATGTCGCTTATTCAATAAACATCATGCATTGCCAAACCATAGTGTATTATACTGATGGTTTGATCATACTACACCAATCAACTACTATGCATTGTATTGTATTGTATTGTATTAATCATTGCAATGTCATTTATGGATCCACGCGATTGTGTATATTTGTCATTTTGGGTTACCAATCAACCCATTCCATTTGACACCAACTCATTGGTATCACTATACTATTTGATTCAGGTGATACGAATGGACTATTACAACCATCAACAAATGTGTAATTGTCATTCGATATATCGACTCTGATATGCAACACTATGCTGTGTTTACTGTGATCAGGTTTTTGATCAATCTTGGACTCACAATACATGATTTGTCATGTTGGATCATGTGGATATGTCATGGACTGCAACTGATGCTATACGTTACAATTTAGTTGAAAACACACATATGTTTGACATTGACCGATGCATACTGTGCAACGACTGATCAGCGCGTGTATGATTACACACTTGGTGGTATTGTGCATTATGGTTGTTTGACAATGGATGGATGCTGGATTAGTCAGTTATATGCAACCCATCTGAATCGACCTACTTGAACAAACACTCGATGTAACTGACAACAATGTGTATACATGGATATACATGGATACACATGGATATACATGGATATGTGGTGGTGTATTGATCAAACTACTGACTGACAAGCAATCAGTTGTCAGTCATGTGGTGCTGGTATTTGAGTTGGAGTGACTGATCACAGAATGCCGAGTATTTGATTAATCGAGTTTTTGATGGTAGCGTACCAGTGATAACAAACACAACTCTGACACCATCACTGGAACAGTCATACATGAGTTGACCAACAAACTCGTAGCACCGTCAGTATATGCTCGTACGATCATGGCATGTCTGCATGAAATCATCTTGTATTCCAGTATTCGAGTTTAAACAAAACTCATTTAAAAAGCAAATAGCTTTATTATCAGCTTTTATCATTGAGTGTGTTGGTAAGCCATTCTATTGCATATTCGAGTCCATCTCCTGTGAGAGCATTACACGCACTAGATTTCAAAGAATATTTAAAATAAATAGCGTATTGGTATAAGAATAAATTCAGTTAAAGTACTGCATTAAACAATATACTTTTATACTGTTATAACCATTTATCCATTACTCGTTTAACCCTGACCGACCTTATTGTCCAGGCGCGATCTCTAATACGAACCAATCCTAATGCCTCTGTGCACTCGACTGGAGTAAGCACACCAGGTAAATCCATTTTATTGGCCAAAAACAGAATGGGCATAAGTCGAGTTTTGCATACTGAAAAACACCCAGCATAACTATGATGTTAGATTCTTTACAACACCACAATCAAACTCATTTCTTTTCAAACCACACACCATTGTTATCCAATAAAATCTCCAATTCTTGTCGTGCAACAGCCATTCGTTCTCGATCAGATGCATCCACTACAAACACAATTGCGTCTGCTTCGGAATAGTAGTGTTTCCATAGGTTACGGTACTTGCCTTGTCCAGACATATCAAATGCTGTGAATGTCACTCTGTTGGTCTCGAATGTTTCTACAGTGAATCCAACAGTAGGAATAATATCGCTTTTTGACTTTTGATTAAAAACACATTCAAGTATTAGTGGTTGAATGTTCAATTGAGTCTTTAATGTAGTCAGGTTCACGTCAAGCAGTTGGTGAATAGGATGTATAAAAGACTTACTCCATCGATACCCTTAAAGTGCTGTATAATGGTCGACTTTCCAGAATTGTCTAGTCCTACATATAATACTTTGGACTGTTTTTTCAATAATCCAAAGGCCACCAGCAGTGTATGGAAAGCATTGCGTATTGACATGTGTAGATTTTGTAGTCAGTCCGTGACGCGAGTTTATTTACAGCCGCATTCACGTAAAATGGATTTTGTATCTTGAATCGACTATTTTGGAATAGACAATGGTCGAGTATTGGCTCTACTTTTCTAGTAAAAAATGACTTGATTAGCCATTTTTGGTTCTTTTAAACACAACGTTCATATGATGCATACAAAATCAAATTATAGTTTTGAACTGAAATCATTCTTGTTCCCTTTGGTATATACTATAATCTGCAGATATGTTCATGCCTTGATTCAAAAAACAAAAACTGTAAGTCTAGGAATTAGCAGTTGTTTTCATTCCAATTGCCAAGAGAAAGCCAATAAATTAAACAGTTCAAAACACAATGTTTTCCAAACCATCACCACTCATGTCACGAGATTGGCAGTTTGTTCTAGACATTCTAATTCAGCATTCAATTTGGCATGAATACAGCTGTAGAAAATTGGATGCATCTTATTTTTACTTCAAGGTATTCAGACAGTTTTATTCAGTCAACTTTTTGAATAGATCCAACACTCCATAGTATTCTCGATACATTTCTAGATTCCGACTCAGATCCAAAGTAGCAGCATCTATGCCTTCCGCTGCACCGATTGGTGCTCGCTTACTTGATTCTAAAGTTTGCATTTGGCCAACAAAATCCCTCATTTCATGCTCAAGACCCAAAAACCGCTGTTGCGAGTTCAAAGCGGCATCACCAATAGCTATGATGCGATCGATTGGCCATTGGCGGACAACATGTAACCACGCCAAAAAAATGTTGACAAGACCGTGTCGGAGATCACCAGTCAATGAGAGTCCCTGCCGACGTACAATAGCAAGATCACGCAGTATCCTGTCTGGTGACAGATCGTGAGCAATGGCCTGCTCATTTTCCAGTCTACGGCCCAAATCACGGAAAGCATGTCGCTGCGTGTGCGAATCAAGTGGAATGTCCAACGTGACTGCATCGCATAATAAAATCAATGTGGTTTGGAATCGCTTAGCATGGAGATGTAAAAGTGTAGCAACATACTCATTTTTTTTGATAGTATTAAGAGGTGTTTCACTGGTTATGGACTGTTCAATGCTTGGAAGGGTAGCAGCTAGACATTCAATAATGTTGCTCTGTTCTTCTACCAAGCTGGTCGCAAGAGTGGTGTCCCCAACCCACTGTGCTACGCGGTAATTGAATACCTGCCAAAGCGCCATTAAAAGAGGTACGCCAACAAGAAGCATTTCGTCTGTGGAACGGGCACGCACAAAATCAACAGCATAGTATGGATCACACTGGAAAATACCAAGATTTGATATATTGCCTTGGAAAGCGTCGTCCAGACCATTGATTGACGATTCAGGAGTAGAGTGTGTGCGAAAGCGTTTGCTGAAAGATTGAGGTTCTACATGTTCAAAAGTTTGAGTATGGCCGGTTTCACCATTTTTAGAAAGCTCAAACATTTTGGCAAGAAAATCAGAAATGACAGCAGGATGCGATGCAAGTAAACGTCGTGTCAAGATATTTAAAAGGACAGATATAATTTTAAGTTTTTTGGATAGCATCCTGTTTGAGCGACGCATATCGTTTTTGATGGAACTCAGTTTGATACGGGCCAGCAGACCAGGCACAGCATTGATCCATTCAAACGTCTTGCTCCCAAAAAGCGATGCAATCAAAGGATCGTGAATGGAAATGCTGCTTGGAGTCATCTCAATATTGATGGGCTTTTCCGAATAGCTAGCAAAGGCAATATTGAGTGACAAGCGATTTTCCAACTCAAGAACCTTGGATTTTGAAGACGGCATTTCTTCAAAACAAAACATGGAAAGTGGACGTGATAGTTTAAATTGAGTGGTCGAATCGCTGTTAGAAGCACAAGAGCTGGTGGACTTGGCCAGCTGAGCAATCTGGCTTTGCAGATGATGAGCTCCAAGATATTCTTTGGCAGTTGCACTGGTAATGCGGCCACACTTGACCATGAACGATGTGCATTCCTGAATAGCATGTGCTGGAGCACCGACTGTAAGATTGTGTTGGGTAAATAGTGTTAAATTAGGTGATTGAACTGTACAAGCAACTCGAGCTAAATATGTGGATTTACCTGCAACAGCAATATTTCTAGCATGCAAAGACATGTGGCCACGTTGGATGCCTTCTGTGCACAGAGCACGCAAAGCAGCAAAATTCTGAGCCAATCCCACCGAAACCATAATCTACAAAGTATCATTTGATGCAGCGTTCATGAGCAATGGTTCCAATAGAAATAGACTACAGTGTGCAAATTGTATATTACCATTGCAAGTTTTTTGGCATCTGGATATCCCATAAGTCCAAAATTATATCGATACACTGGATTTGTTTTGAGAACACCTCCTGATGCACCAACACAGATAGGAAGACTCATTTCACCACGGAAAAAAGTTCCCTCGTCGCCCAGATCTTCAATCCAATATCTTGAGAGAGGGCCATAAAACGATGAGCCCAAAGTATGGTCACTGGTAGCTTTTGATATTTGGGATCTAACCGATGTAGTTGCTGCGATATGGGATGCTGCTTCAATAGCGCGCCAGTCCTGTCCAGTAGCAATAGCAACAGCATCGATTCCATTCATGATTCCCTTGTTGTGAGTGATTGCTCTAAAGTGATCATCACAAGCCCACTCGTAAGCCTCGACAATGTGATTGGCAACATCTTCACCCGAGACATCCTTGTAAGCCATTTTGGATATTGGAACCTTGAATCTCGCCTTGAAAGATTAAACTAGATTAGTTGTAGAGCAAGATTGTATTGTTGAATTGCATAAATAGTTGATGAATACAAGACAACATACTGTAGCTATACGCTCAGTGGACAGATTGGATACGATTCGAAATCCGACTCGACCACCCGAAAGCCGAGTGAGGAAAGGAGCGACACCTTCAGCAACAGTACTAGCACAGTTTGCACCCATTGCATCGCAGACATCAATATGCACATGAACAACAAGCCAATACTTCATGGAATGACCAACACAACCTTTTGGTTTAGAACGAGTGATTTTACGAACAGTGATGTCGACAGCACCCCCACCGCGCTTGTACATGCTAGAACAGTACTCGTTTGCGATTGCCAAGATGGTATCTTTTTCGAATTGAATCTACAGAATAGAAGAGCAAGAGTCAGATAAGCAACTTCAAACATGACATGAATCTGGTGATCAACCTGCTGAATAACACGATCGATATCCACATCATAGACATCCAGCAGTTGAATCTGAGCAAAAATGATATTCCTCTCACTAGCAAAGGCCTCGAAACCTTTAGGATTGAAATCAGCCTGACAGATTGTCTTGGCAGCACCCGAAACAGCAGCAACGACAGAAGGTTCTTCAACGACCATGGGGATGACCAACTGTTCACCATTGATTACAAAATTCAAGGCAAGACCAATGGGCAGTCCAATGGTTCTAAAACTAGGATTAGCTACAGTGATAACAATTGATAAAGGTTGACAAGCCCATCAATGCTTACCCAACACAGTTCTCAATCATATTATCAGCGATTTCATCAGAGATGGGCGACAGTGGAAATGGATGATGACGGAACCCAGCAGTGGAATCATTCAATGTATCGTCTGTTCCGTTGACCACATTAGCAGGACTGGAAATGGTTTCCGTTGCATTCAACGTGGTGTTGCCAAACAGCGACGGATAGGCTAGACACAGTTGATTCTGACGCTCTCTAATGGCTTTACGATAAAAACCACTCCATGGAGACGGAATAGGATGAGAAGACATCATTTCAAGAATGCAGTAGTTTAGATGCAAGGAGTGCTGATCTCTATAAGTTTGCAGTCCAGGAATTCAATCGTTTATTGAACAAGGTTTTCCTAGTTGGTTTTTGTAGTAACTTTTTTTATATTAACTTGGTTTAGTTTGAATAGTTTCCTGAATAGTTTCCTGAATAGTTTTCTGAATAGTTTTCTGAATAGTTTTAATCCAACTTGTTGAAATATTATCAAAAACACTCAAATTCAACCCCAAAATTTCATTGAATTTCATTGAATTTCTACAACTATCAGCAACAACTATTACAATTGTTACAACTATTACTGGATATTTACTTAGTTTCATACTGTCAATAATATAAACTAAAGACATGGATGAACCACTTCCTGCTGCTCGTCCTGGATCATTTCCTATTCTCAGTTTACAGACACTCAAGGATTGTCTGAATGGTCTGGACATGCAAGTCACTGTCGATGACCTTGCTAAACCAACTCCACAAAAAATGCTCGAAATATACGAGAGTTTAACTGTCTTGCTACAAGGTGTTAGCTCTGAACAGTTTGCTCAACCTACTTTTGCTGTTTTGGAACTGTTGGAATATCCTGATGTACACAAGGATTCGCTTGGTCTTGTGGCATTCTACAGACATCTGTAAGCTATCAAATCCTTCTTGGTTTGCATGATTCAAACTCTCACAAATACAATGGGTTCAATGAGTCTGGATACAGCGCTGTTTAGTTGGGGTTTCATTCCCTTGCATTGAATCTACGTTTTACTCAACTCTTCATTTATATCTATCTTGTAGTCACAAATTGGTCACTCAGCTGGGATATCCTGCATTCTCTTTGGGTGATGTCCTCAACCCAAAACGAGATCGAGTTCAAGCTATACTCAGTGGTTTCATCAACTTTTGTAAATTTCGCGAGGAGCGCATGGAAGTGTTTCAAGAATGCTGCACTAAATCTGTAAATTAACTTGTTGGATTTGTTTTGATGAATAGTTGAGGTTTTAATTTTAATCCATAATATATCTAGACTCAACTTACTGAAGAGCGACTAATGTTGGAACGTCGAAACGCTGAGTTGGCTGAAACAGTCAATCAAATCAAGTACGTTGCATTCTAGTTTCGTTCCCATGTACAGATCTACTTAATCTTGTTATGATGATACTAGAATGAAACGAGCTCAAGATCAACCTCAAGTAGATGGCATCCGAGCTATCAACACCAGTCTTGCAGCTGACCTTCGCGAGCTTAAAAAGACTCAGGTCACACTTGCATCCAAAATTGACCATCTCAAAAAGGAAAAAAATGCATGCACAGAAAAACAAACCAATAATCAATTCCTCATCTCCAATCTCAAACAAAACTGCGTTAGGCTTAAATCCCGTGTTGTTCACAGTCCAGAAAAACTCAAACAAGTCATTGCAGAAATGAACCGTTCTTTACAAGAAGACAAGACTTATGTGGTTCATACTGAAAAGAAAAATCGCGAGTTGACCCACAAGATTGAATTGATGAATGCGGTTGAGCAGGTAAGTGTTTATATACCCATGGTTTAAATCTGGTTCTAATGATGGTGTGGTTTAGGATATTATCATGTGTCAAAACATCATGGGAGAATGCACTACAGAGCAAGCCCGTGCTGAGGAAGCATCTCAAAAACTCTTGTCCGACATTGATGTCATCAATAAAAAAAAATCCGAACTCAAGGATCAAGAAGTTCATCGACAAGTAACCTAATCTCATTTGACTGTAATGGTTTTCTACATACAATGGAATGCTTGACTAACATGTTTCAAATGCTCAACAATCCATCATGTAGCAACTCCAACGTCAACTAAAAAATGCCAATGAAAAATTGCAACGGCTTGAACAGCACAGGGTATCTAAAGAACAAGACACGGCAAGTAGGATCAATGCATTAAAGGAAGAACATGAGATCCTTGCTGCTGAGCGGGATGTGGCTCAAAAGCGTGTAGACGATCATGAGCGTCTTGTGGTCGATATGGAAGACAAGGTAAATGTGTAGATTGAATCCAACACTCACATGGCAAGTTCACTCTTTGCCAACACTCAATTTTAAATATTTAGATCAAACAATTACAAAAAAATATGGACTCGGAGTTATTTGCCATTGCTTCTGATTATGAACTGCTGATACGCGAAACAGAGTTGTATCAACAAGGGCTGATCAATGCCATGTTTTAAGGATTCACTTGATATACTCGTGTCTTGCTAACCGTTTCAACTGTCTTTAAATAAAATATTGATTCCTTTACTTTTTAAAGCAAGCCATCAACTGTTGCAAATTCAGTAGTAAATGTATTTGGTACTGATCAAGAAAATTCATTTTTCAAGCGTTAAGCCTCCCTGTATATAGCAAATCATGTAGTGTTGCATTAGTATTCAAGTTATACCACTACACTGGCAAGTCACATTAAATTTCTCCATCTTACCATGCATTGGCCATAAATTTCCTATAATTGTAAAAAAAGTGCACCAAATTAGCTTATTATTTGGACACATTGATTGTACAATAGCGTAAGATGAAAAAACTTACTGAACAGCAAGCAGAGCTTGATATCGAACATCGGCGTTTTCATTTGACATGAGTTCCATCACTTGAGTTTTGGCACCGAGTTCTTGGATGATTCTAAAATGGTGCACAAAATGCATTGGTATAAGGGTACAAACGCATTCAAAAAACAACAATTTTATATCTACACACCGTTTTCCAGTAGAGCAATACTTGGCAAACTGGCCAATGTCGTGTGCTGCAATAGCAAGCATGTCGTGATCCTTTGAAGTGGCCAAAACGGAAGCAAGAATTCTAAAATAGCGTGTTTTGGAATGTGAATCATGGCGTGTTAAAGTGTGGGTGATGTCATGTAAACTTACTTGACAAGCTCACAATCGGATTCAAGAAGCCTGACAGCATTGGTTTTCCAAAACTGCTCAGAGAGATGGGGTGGCGACCATTCCAAACGCCCCGAGCGGACTTCCGAGGCATACTCATCAAACGTACTGTTTATAATCATTTTTGAATCAGTATTAAACGATTGTATTGCACAATCACAATCACATGGTTTATAAATTCAAGCTACATACGTTAAAGAAGCCACATTTTGAGTCAACTAATGAATAAAACAGCGTGTCAATACGTATATGCAATCATTTGACTGTCAGCATGTCATTGGGGTATAAACAACAAAGTATCTACCTCTTCTACAATAAACCGCAAGTCATCGTTGATTTCACTGTCAGAGTACTTGCGTGTAGCGAGTGTTTCACAAAGACCAAGAATCTTGGTTCCCAGCATAGCCATGATATTTTCATCGGGAGCTTTGTTGATCAGATTCTGTTTAAACATTTAGCAAATAAGCCTAGATTCAAACTAGCGAGCATGCTTATTGTTGTAGGACTGTAGTCAAAACTTACTCGGAATGTAGAAACCACCACACGAACCACCTTTTCCTTGATGGCAGCACGCGACATGTCTGCAAGAATGTGAAAAATCTTGTATTTGCTAATAAAGCAGGTTAGTCATTAAGAAGGTAGCATGTGGTGCTTTTTTGAAAACATACTTTTGAATTTCCTTTGCAATCTTTTCAATGAATGTCATGAGCCAAATGCAGTAAACCAGTTGATACTGTAGCTGAGCAGTGATGGGTGTTTTTTGCATGGCTGAAACCAGTCTGAATAAATCAGTAAAAAGGCAATGTATATTAGATTAAGATGGTTTTGGTAATTCTGATATCATGCCGTGTGATTTATCAAAATGTAGAAACGCAATAAACTTACGACTCCATTGCTCCAGGCAAATCATAGAAAGCCTGACGATATTCCTCAACCGAGAGTAATTCTTGTAAAAACTGTGATGCATGATCCACAATATTGGCGTTGGAGTTTGTCAGATTGAATAAGATCCAGTTTAAGAGATCTGTAATATCGATAGGAGCATGCGTTTCAGCATATTTTCTATCCAATCAAACATGATGTAAGCAGTGTTATTCTTTGAGATTGACATGCGATATTAGAATTGAAGTTGGATTGACTTACAGTACTAGCTGAGTGGAAAGACTCATTGATTTCAGCTGAACAAACTCGTCGTCTTTTTTAAGCAGTCTATGAGAATATTTAGATATTTAGACATCTGAATAGTGGTAAAATTTTAGAGTAGATACAGCAATATAATGCGAATACCTGAACAAGACAACAAAAGGTTTCTTTCCGTCTTTAAAAAAAAGCTGAGTATAACTTGGTGATTCTATGTAGAACAAAAAGATGAACAAGAAGAATGTTATAGCAGATGGCACATAGTATTTCGAAAAGTGACTTGAAGTAGACTTACCACGAAGAACATCACCCAAAAGCACTATAATACTTTGTAGAGTATCAGCACGAACAAGCTTCCCAAGCAAGGTCATGAACAGATTAAAGTAATCATCACCAGCCTATATTTACGAATTGAATTCAAGTATTCCAGAACGACAGTTGGTAATAAGAAGATTGAATGCATAAAGAGTCATGATGAAGAAACCATATGAATAGATTCCATACATACTTGATTCAGAGCAGCACTTGGAGATTTTTCAAACTGACGAATTTGAGAGAGTTCAGTTTCAGTAATAAGACCAGCACGTTGATAACCCTGTCAAGAATAGAACAAGAATTGACAAGTTAGAGCAAGTAGTTTTTATAACACAAGTTTGAAGTTGTAAAGAGTTGATTAAACAGAGAAGAATGTATAATAATAATCATGATTATCATCAATAATACTAGTCAAGACAAGACAGGACAAGACAAGAGTGTTTTAATGTTTTAATGGATTCTATAATAACTGACCTCCCAAGGAATAGTACGAGAGCGAATATCGTTTGTAAGACCAACCAAGTAGTCGTTATGAGTAGCAACAACAATAGGAGAGTCTTCAGTCATGCGGAAAGAGAATAAGACTTGAATGGTAACAACAATTCAAGCGATTCAACAAGACTTGTTCAAGGATGGCTTGTCAGGGAGGCAATCTCACAATATATTAATAAAGACTCTTCAACAAGACTCTCTTGTTCATCAAGACTCTTGTTCAACAACTCTCTTCTTCTTCTTCAAAAGCTTATTCCATTCTGATTTATTCATTCTGTAATACTACAATCAATACTAATCTTATAACATTGATTCTCTACGATTCTCCACGATATATTACAATGTTGTTGTTGGTCTCGTATAGTTTTACTTCATAAAGTGAACAAGTCTTGGAAACTGGTAAATATTTAAGCATTTGCTCCCATATATAAACTGTAATCATTTCTGCCGTACTAATCATATTGAAATACTGTCAATGATTACCAATTCATTCATAAATACAACTCAATTCACTTACCTGACTTTATCTTGGAAATATGGAACATCCAAATCCTATACATTAATGTTCATATTTAGTCTTTATCATCTCATCTGATTCTCTATTGAAAACTCACCACATTACGATGATCCAATGTATCCATAATACTCCGACTCATACATTCTTTGAGATCAGTTAGGTTAAGCACCATCCCGGTAATCGGATCAATCTATTATAGTACAGTATCATTCTTAACAACTTATACAAAACATAAATCATGACTTGAGCAGCCTACTGTCATGACACTTGAACTATTGTACCTTGCCTTTGATAGATACTTCCACTACAATGAATGCCAGAATGAAATACACACTCTATAGGTTAGATTTGAAAGAATTCATGCACTAGACAGTTATCAAATAGATTCATATTCACCTCGATAGTTGTGACCATGTCCATTGACGTGGTTGCATTTACCATAAAGTGCAACATTCTCTTCATTAGTCATGGCCTTTGAATGCATGCGATGTGCTGCTGAAAAGTTGATTGCTCGAGTAACTATGGCAGTTGGCATAATGTTGGTCTTGATAGATCTTCAAATTGCAACAAGGAATAAAATATCAAGAATTTACAATTGAATTCAATTCAATTTATACCCATGACTATACTCGGATTGGGTCTTGATTTCGATTCACGCAGATTAAAGTTTTCATTCAATATATTATATTGTTATCCTTGAATCAGATATCAGTGGTTAATACATTATTATATCCAAGTTGGGTTTAAATATTACAACTGTCCAAGTCTGACTATCCAATACTCGTTCATGTAATATCTCGATTTGTATTATTCATTTCTTGTGCCAAAACAAAAAAAACTCGATTGCTTATACTAGTTTCACCATTGCTATGTTTACCTTGTTCTTATTTGCTGCATCCATTCAATTATCATCAACGATCTGCCAGACATTTACAATTAACCCTCTTTCTGTCTACTTGATTGAACACTTATTTTCTGATTTGTGGATTGATTCACATCATTATTTTGATTGAGTTGAGTGGTGACAGATTCAAATATATTGAAGAGAATGGATTGAATTGCTTGGAATGTGACAGAGTGTTGGTTTTTAGAATGTACAATAAACAACATTTGTGACATGGCAATGGCTTAACATGAACAAGTTCATCTCAGTCCACGTGACTATTGAAAGAATCAAAATTCAAAAATGAATTCAATTTTGACAATACAAAGAATGTTGGGTCGTGCCATCTACAAAGCCAGTGCATCGATGGTCTCATCGTTGCGTCTTTCTTCAGCACACACATTCCCTTTACTGCACACACCCACCATTGTTCATCCTACTCGATCGTTTTCATTCACTCCAACAGTCCTTGGTCTTGAGGATTTTTTTGACTCGAGTAAAGGCTGGGTATGGAATGAAAAAGAACTTCCTACTGGTCGTGCATGGCTTGCTGCAGAACTTCGTAACAAGTCATTTGATGATCTACATAGTTTGTGGTGGGTTTGCTGCAAAGAGAAAAATAAGTTATATTCACAACAGATGGAAGCTCGCCGGTTTGATATTTTCTTTCCACACAAGGATCGGATTCAACAAGTAATGTCTTTGAACCCACATGAACTGTTTGAATGTCATCTTATACTTGATTCTTGTCACTTATGCAGTATTTACATTTTCATCTAGGTAAAACTCACAATGAGCCGACTCAAGTTGGTGATTTGGGAGCGTCGCGAAGCTTGGATGCAAGCTCAGGCTATATTGAAAACAGAACAAGCTCGTCAGGAATTATTGGATTCTGGTATGAGTACGGAAGAGGTAGAGGACCGTCTTGTAGAAATGTTTCCAGTTCCGATCGTGGATTCTGGTAAAGCTGTAGAACGCAAAAGATGGACCATGAAGACATCTCGTACAATGACATACCGCACCAAGAAAAGCAAGGCCAAGAATTCCAATTGGAGTGTCGTTTAAATAAATCATTGTTTTACTAAAGTTGTGGTGCTTTACTGTCTATATTCATGAGCAACAAAATCAAACGTCGAGTGTTTATTAACTTGACGCTCATTGAGCAGTTCTAAATTAGAAAAGTATCATTTGCAAAACTACATGAAATATCAAACAGTTAGATCTAACATTGCAATCACTATAAAATTAGATTTACATGTTACAGTTTTAAATCCAACTTATTTACCTTGTCACTCTTGACTTTGGATCTACGATTAAGAAGTTCTTCATTTATGGTACCCTGCTTGCTGGCATTGATCAGTGCCTTTTTATCCTGATCTAATAAACCAACATGACGTTCTCCATAACTCTGATATCTGCGAAGCTGTTGTAGTTCTAATGAAGCGATTCCACCTGATCCAACCGAGACAGTATGACTGGAAGATCCAGCAACAGCTGCAGCCCATGGTGATGCAGCCATTTTTGCTTTTTTTGCAGCAGCATGTTTTACTGCAGCCTGACATTTCAATGTAAATACCTGTTTGAATCCAATGGAATCAGCATCAGCTCTTACGCTCGCGTCTTCTGCTACTGCAGTTAAAAACAGTCCATGCATATTTTGAAAAGCAAATCCATCTTCCCTCACAACAAGTTCCCATTCTTCAGCAGGACCGGCTGCTTCCATATCACACGTCACCACACCATACTTGTCACTGGCAAGATACGTGTCTTGAGCAGATTTGAATGTTGTTTTGGTAGATCCTGGTAAACAATTGGCAATGAATACTTGAATAGCAGATACTGGTTCGATTGTGGACAAGGTGACAGTTGGCAAGGGTTGATCAGGATCGTCTTTACTTTGATTATGCGGTGGAAGATGAGCAATAGACAGGTTTGATCCTTTTTGATTTTTGTAAAGTAACGATGGTGGATCCATAGCAGATGTTGCTATAATGACTGGACCCATCACATCTTCTAGGGTCTTGCAGTGTACCCATCCTATTTTAATATTATTATTTCACAGATGGATTATATTCCAGTAAATGCATTTTGGTTAAAAGTTTGTTTCCAACAGTTATACAATGGGTTGAACAGTAGAATCAAGTATGAATTCATGTATTCAATACTATTCAATATACAAATTACCTTCCAAAGGCTCATCAACAGCCTTGGTTCGTTTAGTAAATCCACTTTTATGGATTTCATTTCCATCCTGATCAATATGACGTTTTTTGGACTTTTTATGTTGACTAGACAATCATGACAAGGATGAATACACTTGAACTCTTTTGAATATCAAATTAATAATAACAGCATAAATCACCTCTTGTTGTCCCCTTTAAACGTCAGTCTGCTGGATCGTATTTTATCCATTCAAGTTGAATTACAGTCAAATGAAGACAAAATGCAAGTTTCCAATTTCAAATCAAACCATCAACATGCACTCTCGAACCACAACTGTCATGATACGATGTGCATTGAAAGATGGATTGTATTCGCATGGATTCAAGTCAAGTTTTACTCCATTCTATAACCATCAATCTTATACTACGTCGAAAGGCAGTCACAAGCCAGGTCCACTTCCACTTGGTAACAAGGAACAACAGGCAGAGTATGAAGCTCTTGTGCGTGAAGCAGAAACAAGATCTCGACTAAATACAGATGAGAAACATCCTGATGCAGAAAGACATCCATTGCCTAGGTTTCCAAACAACTGTAATCCAGTAACAGGAGAAGTAGGAGGTCCAAAAGGTGTAGAACCTACTCGATATGGTGACTGGGAGAGAAAAGGCCGAGTGTTTGATTTTTGATATGCGAATAGGTTGACAATTACTGTTGAATTACTGTTGAGTTACATTGAATAAACAGTATAAAGATTTATTATATTGAATGAATTCTGATTAAACTAATATTCATGTAAAATCAAATACTAAAAGTTTGATGAAACAATTCATTAAACTGTCTTGGTTTTGTAGTGATTAACATGCACAGTTGCGATCGTTGTTTTGCGATCGTCGTTTGGTTTTACAAGACAAATTGTAGTCAACTTAACCCAGATTCAACTGTTGGTTACTTGAAACAGAATAAATTCAAGTTAAATGAAAGTCTTTTGTTTTGTGTGAATATTTGGTGAAATAGATTAACATTCAAACCTACCTCAACACTCACATTCAATGGGCATCACAACAAAAACTTATAAGCAGAGCAAGTCTAGAAAACATGCTGTTGCAACCAACAAGCAGTCTACAACTCCTTGTACTCCATCTGAACAAACTTCAACATCCTCTCAGGTATTACCAGCTGTTGTAAGCAAGATCATGCTAGAGATTAAGGCTGTCGCTACACAACTAACTGAGCTGGTCGAAACAGACGAAGCTGCCATTTTAACATCACATCCAATTGTCACCGAATCTCCAATTGACCATCCTAGTGATGCTACAGACTTACGAAATCATGCAATTGGCAAGATTCTTCCAGAATATAATAAACGGTTATTTGTTTATGAAGATGCCTTGCTCAAGTTACTACTAAGACTCGATTCAATCGATCTGAAAGGAATTCAACAGCTTAGAGAAGTCAGAAAGACCTGTATTCGATCAGTACAGTCACATCTAACAGCATTGGATCAATGGAAAACAGCATCATTAGAGGCTTGGCGTAATGGAACTTTACCTGTCGATCCCACTCCACTTGCTTCGTTGGATCTGAACAATCCATTACAAACTCGGAAACTATCTACCAACAGACCACTGATCATGGTATTAGGAACAGCAGCTGTAGCAGGTAAAGTCATGCATAGTATAACCTCAATCTTGTCTTGATGTATAGACCTGACTGCACTAATCTAAATATCTACATCTTATTCAACATTCTCAAATCCTGGCGGATTTATTAGCTCTAGTGTGTGCGCTGGTTTATGTAACAGTAGTTGAATATAATTAAAATACTATCAAACATTCATTCTGGATTTGAATTCTATACATGGATAAACGAATGTACGGCAAGATTGTGAGGTTGATTTCAAAAACTAAAATAAGATTGAAAAATATTATTCTTGTTTATCTTGTGTTATACCAAATGTGTGTCCTCAACTCATCAACAACGCTACAGATTTACCCATCAAACAAGGTTTACCAACTGTTCAACACAGTAATGTCGCAAAGTATAGCATTTCATATGTTCCATTCTTGAATCATTTAATAAAAATGAATGTCGTGCAATTCCAGACACCAAACATGTCTATTGAACAAACCATCAATTTTAATAGGAATGCACACCATTCAACCATCGTTTATTCCAAAACAGTTGCGTGAATACAACTGGTATACACTTGGATCTTGGTAATGATCATTGTTTAAACTTGTATTGATTTGATACATGGCTAAAAGCGTATCAATATCCTGATACAGATATGGCTAGTTGATGCAACTCTTTTTGCAACAATTGGGCTCTAGTTTGAAGGATCCCCAATCTTGCTGTACTTTCTCGTGCGTGATTCTCTACCAATCGTACTTCAGAGCATACCATTCGAATCTGAGATCTTAAATCTTGCAGATTAGGTAACGATGAAGACTTTTTCTCTGTACATACTGGGTTGATTTGAGTGGTACATGGATCAATGTGCTGTAAATCAACACTTTCGGTATGATGGTCAATACGTGTAGCTTGTTCAAGGACAGGTAGATGAACAGACTGTTTATCATTTGAATCTATGTGATGGGTCGCAAGATTCAAATGAGATTGAATACTGTTTGTTACAGGACTGGCTGTAAAACGTTCATGATCAATGGTTTCATCATGAGGTGTATACATTGTATCTGTACTAAAAGTTGATGCAATGGGTACTGTTTCATCACACAGGGTCGAGTTAAAAGTGTTTCTCGCCTGGTGCAGTTGAAGAAACCATAAATTCAACTCGGATCGTGAAACAACTATCCAATGAATGGACTCAAGTTAGTCAACCCTTTATATTCAACTACATCGTCACGCAGCAATACACCATATACCTTCAAATACTCTAGGCGGATCAGTTGAACTATTTGTGTTTTTGAGAAGAAATCTTGATTTTCCTTGTTTGGTATGCAACAATGCAAACGCAGCAGCACATGTTGGCATTGAATAGATAACACTACCCAATCGTCCATCAAAAGATAAAACCATTTCGCGAATCACACTGAATTTCAAAAGGTGTGAGATGTAAGCCATTACTTTCAACTGTATCCAATCCAAAAAACTCACTCTGTTCGAATTTCCAAATGAATGGCTGTTTTGCGTGTCCACATTCCACAACGTATTGAACGAGTAGGCGATTGAAACCATCTTGATATGGATGACGTAGCTTGTGACGCAGTAACAGATATAATGGTTCCTGAAAATATAAGATGATCATGCCTCGACTGCTTAGATGAGTCAACCTCATGGATTTGTCTAAAACAACCTGTAGGAACATTGAATGAGTTGTCAATCCAATCGTTGTTTTTCTGTGGTAATGTATTGCTTATATCCATACAATGAGTTTGAGATTCAACGATTGAAGGATTAGATGGCGTTCTTGGACGCGCTTGAAATATATGTGTGCTGGTCTCGTCATTCAATATACTATGAACATCAGAAGATTTAAAGTCAAGTTGTGATTGAACACTAGGCATATGTGTCTTAGTATAGGCTATTGATGTTTCAAGTGGAATGGGATACAGATGAGCAGTCGTGTTGGAAAACAGACATCTTGATAGAGTTGTCTTAAACTGAGACGCGTTGGAATCAGAAGGTAGTGGATAGTATTGCGCATCGCTATTATCTGATAGCTGTGAAATATTCTTCAATGTGTCGGCTGAAACACTTTGTGATATATATTTTTGAATGGTGTTTTTGGCACATATTGGTACATTGATTTTGGTTGTCATTTCATGGTGTGATGGTATGTAGTCATCCGTGTTGAAATTAGAGTGAATAGTCATTTCAGATGCATGGTTGGGAATGGCAGGCAACTGCTTTGAAAACTTTCGTTGATAGGATTGAAAGGTTTCATGGTGTTGAGATTGACTAGCATGTATTGGTTTTAGTGTTTCTGGCTGGTTCATGTTTGTGAAATAAAGTAAATGGGTAAAATTCAACAGTTGAATGAAAGTTACCGAGGGCCAACATTCAGTCAGCGTGTATTCGTCTTGATCAATACACTAATCACCATCTTTGTAACATGGTCGTTATGGAAACAAAATTAGTGTCTGTTAACCAAGAGTTTTATTTTTACTTTTTATCGACAATGCAACCAAGTTTTAACTGAAATAAATTTCATTAAATTTCATTAAATGAGTATATCCGAGTTTGGTAGCTGCGTACTGCTTTATTAAAACCACATAATGCCTTGGTTAAATAGGCATACCACTCACAACCCCTCTGATTTCTTTGAGAGTGAATTCCACTGCTGCAGCGGTTTCTTTGGGGATAATCGTTTCCAGTTTGGATACAATGCTATCCTTGAGTTCTGCTGGTAAAGGAAGTTGAACTACATACATAATTTCAAATGTCAGTTGTATTGGCAAAATCTTGAGCAAAAAAGAATAAACATTACCATTAAGCTTTTGAATCACTTCAAGCATCACAGTCGACGATTTAATGCGAATGGCAGTATACTAAGTTGAATCCAAAACCCCATAGTAGTCAGTATCAAATCTTCAGAATCAGTACTAATAAAGCTGCCCAAATATAATCACATCACACCTTGCTGTCGTCAAGTGAAACAAAAAGACCATTCATCACGACATGTGTGGTGGCAAGGTCAATGGGAATCGGATCAATCAGTAATTTTTCAAACACTTTGGAAAGAGATCCAAGAGCCGCCATTCGAATATTCCAGACATTTCCTTCTAAACTCTTGGCTAGCAGCTCCACAATCTGTTTGGTATGTGCAACTACAATCATATATACATGTTGGTGTTGTTGTTTCATTAGCATTACCACACATATACAGATCAATCGTACCTTGACTGGAACGAGTACGAGGAAAGCACTGTCCAATAGCAGTAAATGCATTGGCTTGAATAACCAAGGCAAGTGGTTTCTCGCGATCGTCATCCACATCCATATCGTTTTTATTGCTCTCGGTAGCAACATCAATCAAGTAGTCAATTAAATCGTCAAAATTGCCAATATCCAATGCATCGAAAACCGTGCCCAGATATTCGATTGCTAAACGGCGATATTTTTGGCTGTTTTTCTTTGCTTCACGAACAAACACAGTCTCCAACTCTGAAACAAGAGCTTTACCTACCGTGTCGGTTTTTAACCAACCTTTTCCTGCGACAGCAACATTGGCAAGTCCTTCCAATAAAGCTTCTTTGCCATCCCACGTACGACCAGCAAGATTCTCCAGCAAAAAAGGAACGGTTTGTGCCATATAAGGTTCAAATCCTTCACCAAGTGTTTTGGATAGATCTGCTATAGATTTACCCACCTGTCGCTTCACTGGCCAAGATGGCGACTCTTTCAAAAGAGTTTGACACAAATCAAGAATTTCCTTGACCCAAAGCTTTGCTGCACCTGAAGCGCCTGCCGTATTTTCTTCCCATACATTTTCCCAAACTTGATGGATACCATCGTGTCCATCGCGTGCCCCAATATAAGCCAGAGGAAGAACATCACTGTGAAACGATTTTAACTTATCGCCAGCAGTGCGTGACATTTCCAAAAAAACTACTCCCGCAATTGATTTGGCCTCTGGGTCTGTTGCATCCTCACTTTCAAGATATCCTTTTTTCAAATAAGTGATAATACGCGCAACAGCCGAATCACTGGCCAGTTTGCAGGTATGTCCAATGGCGACAGCAAACGTTTTGCGTACAACAGGTGAGCGATCTTGAATAGTACCAGAGAGAGCTTTTAGAACAACATCGGCATGGGGTTTAAAGTCCAAGGGCAATCGCTGAACAAGCAAATATACAAACCGGGCAGTTCCAGCACGGGTGGGAAGCCCGATCCCTTTTCGTATAATAGTGCAAAGTCGAGGAATCAAGCTTTCAACCACCTTTGCATCGACTTGACCAATACACTGCTCAATGGCATCCATCATTGGAGAATTGCGCGCAGCACTAAGACGAGAGGTGTCAAGCTGTTCTTGAGTGACATTGTACTTGTCAGCATGAAAGGTTAAATAGTTCATGACTTGAGGCTCAAGACTGCTAAGCGATTCAAGCAAGGTTCCAACCAGCTCGGTGATGTGAGGTTTCAATAATACTCCACCATTCTTGCAGAGACGAAGCACAGTAGTAAGAGAAAACTTTCGAACTTCTTCAGCCATTGAGCCAAGACCCTTGGTCAGCAAAAATGGAACTATAATATCCATAATCTTTTGACCCTGCTCGACCGCAACATTGGACGGATCACAGTATCTGACCGTCATTTTAGTCAGGGTTTTGCAAGTCAAAAATGCAGCATTGCGCACAGTTTCCTTGATGTCATCCAGAGCGCGAAAGCACATAGTCCACAACCGTTGCAAGTAAGGCTCCATCTCGCTCATTTGGCGTCCACTTAGGAAATCTGCCAATGCAGCACAGCTGGCCTCACGAGTGCGCCACATACGATCACCAAGACTATTCAAAATATCTTCAAGGATAAGATCCATGTATGTATCCATGGCTTTCTTGGGATTCTTGACCAATGCTCTCCAAATATTTTTCATACTTTCTGCTACCTTTTGGTTTGGATCGAATTGGTAGCGATAAAGCCGAGGAACAAGACTGGGTAAATGCTGCTGCAATTCTCGCTCTGCCTGTGCAGCAATGGATTCAAATCCCATGCTTGCGCCTCGACGAGAGTTCCAGATTGAATGATGCGATGCAAGCGACATAAATTTATACACAAGATCGGGTTGATTCATATCTGCAGCAAGAGAAAGAATAGACTGGTAAGTCGTAATGTTGCTGCCATCTGGGGTGGTTCCCAGAGTTTGGTTGTCAAAAAGCTGAGTATCCCCTGTAACACTCTGCGGAACCAAACGACGTCCCTCTGTAAATGTAGAAACAAGAGAGCGAACCAACTCATCCTTGACCTTTTGGTTTCCAATATCGTAAATGATGCCAATGCCTTTTGACGCTACTTCCTGCGTGAATTCTATAAAGATTCAATGTTAGAAACAGTCTAAAAGTATTCACATCTCAATGTAAAATCAGCAATTATCTACTGACCATCGCGATCGCCGAGAAGACCTGAAAATGCAGAGTGAATGGCTAGCGCATTTTCAGAAATATGGCTAGTATGTCCACAGTATTTGACGACACATAGTAGCCATATACATACAGCCTTTCTAGTAGCTGCAGCACCACCAGGCTGGAGCAACTCTAGCATCTTTGTTACAAATGAAACAGCTTTTGTCGGATCAGGAGTCGAAACCGACTCCGAGTCTCGAGTGTTTGAAGTAAGTGGTGGAAACGTGATTTGAGGAATATCCAAAAACTCGATCATATGGGTAGCCTGAAACCCAAACAGTAAGGTACAGACTGTATCACCAATATTAAAGTGCATTTCAGCATGCTTTGAAAAAATTGACGGAAGAGTCAGTACAAATGCTATAGCATCGTCGACAATCTCGGGTGATCCAAGACCAATATGACCAATGGCGAAAATAGCAGCTTCTTGAACTTTTGCATCTCGCATATTCTTGGACAGCTCAATCAATTGCGTTAATACTGATTTGATGCTTGACGTGGATTCTTTGCTAAATTTAAGTGGTGCATATCGACCCACTTCAGCAAGCGCCTGACAACTAGCAATAACAATGAATGAGTGATCATGGCCAAGGCCTCCCACAATTGCGTCCAAGTAGCTCGATATCAGCGATTGAGAAAGTATCGAGTCACTTTTGGGATATCTATACATGATTCTGCCAATCACAAATCCTAGCCCCAAAATGGCACCATGGCGTATATCCGATTTCTATCATCGACAACCCAATAAGTAAACATGAAGCCATCAAATATGTAATGCAAAAACATACTTGTTTAGATGTATCTTTGGCAGTTTCATAAAGCTCAGTCAACAATAGTTTCAACGAGTGCAATCTTGCAGAATCCGTAAGCTCCACCGTAGCAATAATACCAAGAATGTGAGCCATGTTCATTCGTGTTTCTGACTTGATTGTTGACAAAAAAGACTAAATAAAAACGTATTGAAGATTAGCCACGGATAAACACAGCTGCATAACAATATTTGAAACTCTCATTTTACCTTGATCCAGTCAATTTTGTTACTATATGACATACACAAAGGAAGTGGTCCAAGAGACACTAACTCAAGCAAATATGTAGAAGCTACAAGCTGCAGTACTCCATCTATAAACCAACAAGTCAATTTCGGTTTAATCAAACAAATACACAAAAAATACACATACCGGCACCAGGAGATTTAAGTGCTTCATCAATGAAATGAATATATCCGAGCAATCCTGAAATATGATTTTTTGGCTTATCCACTTGCATTGTATTGGCATCAGCATGCTCAGAATCCCACATGTGTTTTAACATGACTGTAAGCTTGTCGCGGGTTTGGGCACTAACAATACTGACAGGATCTTCAACCTTGTTAAAATTGTTTAGCTGTGCGCGAGGATCAGCCGTCAGCACAATCAATCGTCTCAAGAATTCCAGCTGATAGGTATACGTTTCCACGGGCATGTTGAGAATCCATTTGGAACCTAAAGTGCCAAGAGTTATACCTGTACGTAAACGTTTAGACATGCTGTAAAGGTATGCAACAGTAGTATTGATGTTGGGTAGCTTGGCTTTCCATTCTGTAAGAATTGTACTTTCTTCAGCCTCGTTTCCACCAATAAGGCCAATTTCAGGAAACCCAAGACCTTTTTTGGCTTCTTCACGCACTTCTAGTTTTGAATCTGCTGATGCTAAAATGCAAATATAACGTCCGACTGGAGAGGAAAATGGAAATAAGTTTACGGCATACTTTACTGCCGCATATCGAGCCTGGTGTTCTGCCTTGTCAACATTAGCAAGCAAAATAGCCTCAATCTCATTACGAGAAACCTGATCATTAGCAACCTCTTTGTATGCTGAAATCATATTGAAAAGTGCTTCTAGAACAGAAACTCTGACATTGCGCTGTTCCGCTGACACTGCAGTAAAAAAGTTGTACAAAATGGTAATGTCCTTTTGAAACGGCGCAGGCACTAGACATGCATAATATGAATTGATCAAAACCCTGCCGAGAAAAGCTTTACAAAAATCAGATTATATCAATAGACTGATGCATACCTCGCTTGGACAACAGTCCAACAGCCTCATAGGCAAAACCACGAAGACTCTCACTGTCATTTCCGTTTTCTTCGGTATAATCGTCGATAAATTTAAGCAGTCCAGTGAGCAAAACAGGTGAAACAACCTCGAGCTTGGCAGTATCTGACTGAGGATTTAAAGGATAAACTAAAGAGTAAATACAACATTGGCAGTATTCAAAAAAAATTCAATGTATATTACAAATGACACACCATGCGAGCAATCCATTGTACAAACGACATTCCTCCAGAGCGCAGCTTATGAGTGGTTTTTTGCCCTAAAATAAATGGTGTCAGATGGATCAAGTTTAAATTGATTGCATCAATAGATGATTAAATGAGAGTTACCATAAAGAGCATCAAATGCCACTTGCATAGCCAGTTGAATAAAGTTTGTTGCTAGAGCAGAGCGCAGTAAAAATTCAATTACAAGCTGCTTGATGCTGGTTGGAACTGGTCCGCGAATATAATCTACACAATATCAAAAAATAAAATTTAAGCATTTGGCAAGATTTAAACCCTATTATTAGCATACCTGTTTTAGACTTGGCAGAGGTGCCATCACGATTAGTAGTGGAGTCTGGCAGATTACTTCCAAGGTACAGCGAATATAGTACAAACACAGTCACAGGATCTTCAAAGTTTGGTTTTTCAGATCTTTTAAGACCATCATTGCCAATTGATTGAACCTCGGAAAAGGTATCACCGGCACATATTATATAAATGATAAACTTTTCCAAAATAAACATTTTTTCTGGTACAAAGTTGACATTCATGACAAATCGAGCCAGACTGATCTAAATCAATTGAAATTACAGTGTCAATACATGGCAGCAGTTATAAGAATACTGATTAGCAAAACACGTCTTGCCTTTAAATCACGAACATTCAAGTTAGATTTGCTCCATGCAGCCTGAAGGTTGTTAGTAATTAATAAAACGGCGTCTTTACTAGATCCAGGTGGAATAACATCCAATGCAGTCAAGACAGGAGTGTTGGCACTATTTATTTCAAACAAGCCAATTGTGTGATTAGACCAAAACAAATTGCAATACATTTCAATTGATAAAAACGCACTATTCAGCCGCATTTCTAGCTGTCATGGTGCGACCAGAGGACGGAACAGTATACAGCATAACATCCATAAAACAGTTTAACAGAAACTTGAGATCTTCTGGGTTACTTTTAAAGTCAAACGGATCTTTGATCTGGGGAGCAGCACCAGGACCAGTTTTTTCTTTGTAATTGGAAATAATCTAGATTTGACATTGAACATTTAGTCAATGTCGAGGCAAAATGCCGCTTTTCAATTCTTGACGCATTGCCTTACTGGTAAAGCAATAGAAAGCAGAGTCGTACGCTGAGCATAAGATCTAGTCGAGATGCCAGACAGAACCAATGGCAAAAGCCGAACAGATTCCTACACATTAGTTGCGATTTTATTCATGGTCAGTTTTATGATTGGTATTCATGGCACAAGCAGCAGCTAGGATTGTATTTATTCAAGCTTACAGTAGTATCCAGTCGAGAATAGCCAGCTTCGATAAAACTGAGGATAAGATTGCGTTGTAGCACACTTGCACTCGGCTTGGTAAATGACTGGAGTAGAGTTTCTACAGGAACTTGAATAGAAATAGACGACTTTAAGCGTTTATGGGCGTGATTGCACATGGAAATGACCTATTTAAAAGTCATTGATTACAACGTTTATTGAAAGGGAATAATAATGCAAACGATAAGCTTAAGATCCAGATGTAAAACTATGCTTTCTGAACAGATTTACGCATGTATAATCAAACAAGCAGTAAATAGCAATCATTGAATTTCTTGTTCGTGCAACATTACAACATAGAAAGTGGAGTTCTAGATAAAGGAATCTTTTACCTTTTGGCGGACGACATCATGAGGACTATCTAGTTTAAGTAGCACGGGGGCAAGAAAGTTGTGAATGACTCTTTCAAATTTAGCGTCAGTGTCAGCCAAAGCCATTCTCAGTTCGACATTTTCAAGCAGCTCTGCACATGTATATAATAAAATAGAGTCAAAATCAAATTAAAGACTTGGTAAGAGATTATGGCCTGCAGTTGAGCCAGGGGGGAAAAATAGTATGTAAATCTAATAGATAAAATAATGTAGTGTTTCTAGACGCTTTTTGCGCAACTCTATTATAAAACTCATGCTAAGATACAGCACATCTTACCCGTTTCTCTATCTGCCATTTCAGTTACCAACTAATAATGAGAATAAATGGATAAATGAGAAATTGCCAGCAATTCTCGCTACCAGTTTACATCACGTGTTTTCAAAAGTATGCGTAAAACTCACTTTTGGGTTGAATTTTTCATGTTTCGCACTTGTGATTTTTGGTATAAAAAGCAGATTGTTGTTATCAAGACTTTAACAAAATTCTGTTAATCTTTTTTCTCTTGAAGAGTGATTTGAGTGTCGTTTTCTTATGATTGTTATCATGACAGTTGCTTTGATGTTAAAACCATTTTACTCCAAAAGTTTACTTTTTGAATTAAATCAGATTAAGCTAGATACTATGTAAATGTCTGTTTACAAAAATATCATGATTCGTAGTATTGGTTATTTATATTTTAAACGTATTCACATGTTGTAGTCCACCATTAGGTCCTACCAACATCAGCAATTGTTTGGATGAAGGTGTCATGATTTTTGATAAATCTAAAAACCTCAACGCAGAGCAATGAGTAAGCAACTTCAGTCCCTCCACCGTGATGAATCTGCATGCAGCCAAAGTCAGAAATGACAAAGTTTGTGTCATGGGTGCTTTTGATATCGTTAAAATCGATTCATTGGTGATGTTGAGACATCGCTCGAGTGAAAGTCGTGATAAAATTGGACATGCTAAAGCAATCGACTTTATGGCCGTGTCTGTTAGATATATACATCCTGTGAGGTCGATTTGACGCAATATGAATGTGTGTACATTTTGTTTGAAAATAGATTGGATGCAAGAGTCGGATATGCTGCAGCTTCTTAACACAAGTTTTTGAAGATAGCTCAGAGGTATAGAAATGGTATCATGATTTTTTATGGGAATAGCTGAATGGAAGGAATTGAGTGATGTTGAACCAGTATATGTATCCGAATCATCGGTTTCAATAAACTCGCTTAAATCGGGATTTTCTATATGTTCGTGTCGCATACGGATTCGAGGCTTGCATAGCTCAAATTCGCATAAACGGATGGCTAGACCATCCAAATGAAGATCCACTGTATGGGGGAATAAAAATTGGAGAGCAATACGCTCAAGTTGGGCTGCATTTTGTTTTAAAAGGGATGCAACTGCAATTTGGGAATCCAGGCTGGCTCCAATAAGCTCAAATGTAGAAAGTGGTGGTAGTATTTTAAATATAGATTTTAAACCAGATGCAGTAACCATAAAGCAGTCCATCATTTTAAGCGATTTCAAACGACTAGTAGATGTAGACGGCGTTGGAGTTAAAGTAGACTGTAGCAGTTTAGGAGTACCGGGATTCCACAGAAGCAATGATATCAAGCGAACAAGCAGCAAATCCGTAATCACAGATTGGCTTCCTGTAAGCAACGACAAATCCAGCTCCTGAACAGCATTTCCAGGATACTCGATAGTACTTTGAGATAAAGTCGAAATGGATGTCATAGGCTTGGATGCATTTTCAATCCATCTTATGCGTGCTGATTGGGCACTTGCAAGAGTATCAATGAATCTATACAAAAGATTCTTTTGAGAAAGCCTAGGAGCTTGAAATAAAAGTCTGAGTACACTTGCATGCCATGAGCGACATACTCTTGCACATGCTTTAATGTTCTCTCCTGACTGGCCAAGGAAAGATTGCTGGTGCTTATTTATGTACTGCTGAACAGGATGATGCTCAGATCCCTGGCCTTTACCTCGATCTTGTTCATGAACAATAGAAAACACACACGAGTCTGACTGATTGTTGTGTACATACAAAAAGATGGACTGGAGGATCTCCACTGGCAGAATGGAGATATGCATAGCAAGTGCGTGTCGGATCAAAACTCGACTTGTTTCAAACCAAAAGTAAATTCAAAATCACGTGGTTTAGCTTACTTGAATCAGCGTACTCTCTTGTAGATTACAGCCAACAGAGAATATGAATCGAGAAATCAATGAAAAGTTATCACCATCTTGTGTAAAGCTCGCTTACTTTTGAATTTGTTTCTTTCTTGATTTTCTTTTCAAATCTTTATTTTTAATGGCAAGGCAAACTTGCAGCTCACAACTGTAATCTGCGACTTTCGAATTTCAAAATGACATTGGGTTTGCTGACATTGTCGCAGAAACAAGCTCAATCAAAAAAGTAGGAATAAAATCTATGCAAATACTTTTCAAAACATGGTATACACTAATGATGATGGCTATTGATAATTTTTCATTTATTTTATCTTTTCATTTTTATTCCTTGTTAGCCGTAGCAGTAAAATATTTTAGGATTGTTGCAGAATGAAAGCAATGTGTTGATTCATTTGTATGCTGAGATACAACTGTTAAAGTGAATTATACACTATTTGAAACTATTGGTGTTCAACAAATCAAATAGTTTATATGAGGAATGCCATGAGCGACACTAACACACACATTAAAGTCATTGAACTAGGAAGTAGGGTCAAACCACTGCTAAGAATCATGCCTTCGCCAGGATACGCGGTCGATAGAGGTGTATACTGTGGAGTCGATACAGGACTAGACACTGCGCGGTTTTCTGCAGTAATCACTTCGATTACAGATGCAACTATTGGGGATGGATCTTCATTAGTAGGAGAAGGTGCTTGGGTTGTAACAGGATCTACTGTTGTAGTTATGGGATTAGGTGCTGCAGCCGTGGTCCATGTGTTAGAGTTTGAACAACTCCATCCGTTAGTGGCATCAGGTGTGCACGTATCTATAGGAGTGTCAGTCCATTCTGGTTTAGGTATAGTAGCTACTGGTGTCCAGGCAATAGTTGTTTCAACTTGACTGTCGGAAACTGATGCTTGTGCAATCACTGTTGTTAACGGTTCACTTGGAAATTCGAGAGTTGGAGTTTCCGCTGTGGTCATCACTACGGGCCATTCAGTTGAAGATGCAGTCGTTTCAACAATTATTGGAGGAATTGTGGAAACTTCAGTTTCTAGCGGTGGTTCATCAGTTGTGGTTGGTAATACAGTTGTAATTACTTCAATAAAACTTGTTGTTGTGGCAGGCTCGACCGTTGTTGTTGGAGTTTCAATAGGCGGTTCAGAGCATGGTGGTTCATCATCAGTTGTGGTAGGCTCAACTGTTGTCGTTGGAGTTTCAACAGGTGGATCAGAGCATGGTGGTTCATCATCAGTTGTGACTGGTGGTGGAGTAATGACGCGTTCAGGAACAGATGCGATTGTAACTATTTCAATGAAACTAGTAGTGGTAACAGGTGCAACCGTTGTGGTAGTTGTCGTGGTTGTAGTAGGTGGTGGTGGTGGAGGATAAGCAACTGTCGTTGGAGTTTCAACAGGTGGATCAGAGCATGGTGGTTCATCAGTTGTGACTGGTGGTGGAGTAATGACGCGTTCAGGAACAGATGCGATTGTAACTATTTCAATGAAACTAGTAGTGGTAACAGGTGCAACCGTTGTGGTAGTTGTCGTGGTTGTAGTAGGTGGTGGTGGTGGAGGATAAGCAACTGTCGTTGTTGGAGTTTCAACAGGTGGATCAGAGCATGGTGGTGATGAAGTGACAATAACACGTCCAGGAACAGATGCGATTGTGACAATTTCAATGAAACTTGTCGTAGTAGTCGTGGTAGGAGCAACCGTTGTTGTGGTTGTTGTGGTAGGAGCAACCGTTGTTGTCGTGGTTGTGGTTGTAGTAGGTGGTGGTGGATAAGCAACTGTCGTTGTTGGAGTTTCAACAGGTGGATCAGAGCATGGTGGTGATGAAGTGACAATAACACGTCCAGGAACAGATGCGATTGTGACAATTTCAATGAAACTTGTCGTAGTAGTCGTGGTAGGAGCAACCGTTGTTGTGGTTGTTGTGGTAGGAGCAACCGTTGTTGTCGTGGTTGTGGTTGTAGTAGGTGGTGGTGGATAAGCAACTGTCGTTGTTGGAGTTTCAACAGGTGGTTCAGAGCATGGTGGTGATGAAGTGACAATAACACGTCCAGGAACAGATGCGATTGTGACAATCTCAATGAAACTTGTCGTAGTAGTCGTGGTAGGAGCAACCGTTGTTGTCGTGGTTGTGGTTGTAGTAGGTGGTGGTGGAGGAGGATAAGCAACTGTTGTTGTTGGAGTTTCAATAGGCGGTTCAGAGCATGGTGGTGATGAAGTGACAATAACACGTCCAGGAACAGATGCGATTGTGACAATTTCAATGAAACTTGTCGTAGTCGTGGTAGGAGCAACCGTTGTTGTGGTTGTTGTGGTAGGAGCAACCGTTGTTGTCGTGGTTGTGGTAGTGGTTGTAGTAGGTGGTGGTGGAGGAGGATAAGCAACTGTTGTTGTTGGAGTTTCAATAGGCGGTTCAGAGCATGGTGGTGATGAAGTGACAATAACACGTCCAGGAACAGATGCGATTGTGACAATTTCAATGAAACTTGTCGTAGTCGTGGTAGTGGTAGGAGCAACCGTTGTTGTCGTGCAAGAAACAGATCGTCTCCACACAACTGGAGCATGAGGTGGATAATACTTTGACTTTCCAGTTTTATGATGTTTTACTGGATACCTTTTATGATGGGGATAAGAAGATTTATCCTTGTTCTTGTAGTACTTTCCGTGTTTACTATAATCGTTATTGCTAGTATGTTGCTTAACAGGCTCCCATGGACTTAAAGTGGGTTCTGAACATGGCGGTGTTGTGGCAGTGGTGGTTTCCCAACACGTTTTAGCCATGATTCTATATATTAGATACCCAATTAAACGTGACAGTTAGTACAACACAACCATGCACATTGATTCGCATGTTTAAAACAAGTCGTTTAGAAAATTCAAAACTTACGTTTTTTTCATGGAATGGCCCAGAACGTCGTTGATAGCAGAAATCACAAAGTTTAAATTGGAAGGAACGGCTGCAGCCAAGACTGTTGTGGACGTATCACCTTCGCTGGGGGTAGGAATCACCAATTCTGGAGTCCATTGGGGAGTAGCACTCAAGCTAGTATATGATGAAACGCTTGCAACAGTAGTTTCGGTACTATGCACAGGTGAAGAATTTGCAGTTGCAAACTCTTCGCCGCCAAACACAATATTGTCTGGATTGGACAAATCTGATGTAACAGATCCTGCTGCAGGGCTAAATGGATCCATACGTTATCAAAAAGCGGCATAATTAGCGCAAATACAAATCAAATCTAACAAGGTATTTAAACAATAGGTTTACCTTTCAAGTGGAAATACAATGGCAGACACCATTAATGGTACAGTTACCACTGCAGAGAATACCAATGACCAAGTAAAATGCATTGTTTTTGGTAGGTTAGAGATTTTAATTTAAAAATCAAATCCAGCAAGGGATATGGATAGGATCAAGAAACAAGTCAGCAAGTAATGGCAAATACGGCCAGTGATTTACTTCATTTTATACTTGTCGAGTGCAAAGATATGATGACATGCTCCGCCATGTAATTGGGCCACATCTTACATCAAGTCCGCCGCACATATCGCTTTGTGATAATAAAAGCGTTATTATTATTCAGGTTCAATTAAGGATAGGTTGATGGCACAAGAAACGACTACGTCAGTTACTACGCCTTTGGTAAGCAGATTTATCAGACTGGGTGGCGAATTCTAGGCAGACGCGATGAAAGTGAATTAGTGCGGCAAGAATAGGTTATACTCGTTTTAATCTAAATACTCCAATCCATGACACATGTGCATCTTGCATAATCACTAGTAATATAAATTTGATTTTGAGTGTGGATAGTAACGGATTCAGAATAGCTTCATCACCGGAATAAACAAATAGTTGAATGCCGTATTTACCGCCGTATTCACGTAAAATGTAATACTTGTATTTTGTCTTTATTGCCTCTTTGGAATGACCAATGGCTAAATATGTGTTGTGCTTTTCTATTATAAATTGGTTTGAATTAGACACTTTCAACTCAATAACAAGGCTCATCATATGATACCCAACTAAAGTGTTGGGATTGTTTTTTGGCATAGTCATGCATTGTACGATTACCAGATTCATCCATTACAATTCAGATACTGAGTTCAACTGCTGTATTCTGATCTCATGCTCGCGTTCTAGCTCAAGAAACGGACTGCACATTTTGGGAATGCAACCATGCATGCCCATCACCCAATGCCATGTTTGGTTTGAATGAAAGGAGAGTTGGATTGGACACTTGTTACACAAATAAGCAAAGACCAGTAGACTCTACCAAAGAGTTTTAGGATACAATATTGTCAATCATTTAAAACTGGTTGTTTATTATGTACTTGGTACTTTTATTTAGTGTCCCATTTTACGTGAATACAGCTGTAAATCTTGATCCGACCATAAAAAGTACTAAAGTCTTTCAACTTGAATTCAAAAGTTGAATTCGTATTAACAATAAACAGGTTGTTTATATACTTGGCAGACACAATCATTCACATCCTCGTCTTTAAAGCCCAAATATGGCTTTAAAGTGTTTCTTGTTGCTTTGAAGACTTGTGTTGTTTATAAAACTCGACACCGTCAAATTCATATGGCTTTTTTGGTCCTTTTGGATGTTTTGGCTTTTTCGGGTGTTTTGGCTTTTTCGGATGCTCTGGCTCTTTTGGAGGTGGTGTAGGGGTTGGCGTAGGAGGAGAGGGATCTTTATGTTCTTCACATTCTTCAGGTACATCGAATGCCTCGGTGCCACCAGAAAGAGCACTCAGACCAAGACCACGTTTGGCAAATGCGTTCCAGATCACGCACTGATTCTCACCCATTGTACCAGTTTGGTCAGCAAGCAGGATGGCATCACGAGCAGAAACAAATGTAGGATAACAAGGCTGCAGTTTTAAACCATCCACAACAAGTTGAAGAGCAAGTTTGTTGCCAGACAGACCTGTCAAATGACGACCTGGCTCGGTAGATAGCTTGTTGTCAAACCAGTTACCATCAAATCCGTGTTTGTCAACTAGAGCCCAATAAAACTCGTAGAGAATCTCGGCCCATACTTCACCCTTGGCATGCACCTCCCAGTAGAGTGGTTTTTTAAGATAGCCATAGGTAGATGGATTAGTTTTGAACGATGTGGAGTAGGCGTATTTGCGAATGCCAGCACGTCCACTAGCATAGCTACCCATGCCAAAGTCATCGTTTCTGGTGTTTTCTGGAGTCATGCGCACAATAGTGGCAAAGAAGTCGCCCCATCCTTCACCCATGCCACCACTTTCTCCCCAACCAAGACAGTCAGAGTTGCTGGGACCTCCAGTTAAGCGGATGGAAATACCATGAGAATATTCGTGGATGATGATACCGCTTTCAAGATCGCCATCGTGGTAGGGTTTTGTGACAGTCCATACATACATGCGCATACGTGGTTGAGAGCCATCAGGAGGAGTGGCAAAGTTGGCATTATTGTATCCCGATCCATCCTGAGCATTGGCAATAACGGCATCGTTACCTTTTCCGCCATTGCCATAGTTGTCATTCTGAAAATTGCCAGCCTTTTCGTCAAATCCATACAGATAAAACAGATCGTGGATGATATTGTTATAGTAGAACAGATTGGTGATGGCAGCGTCAAGGTAGGAAGTGGGATTCTTTTTCTCGTCAATTGAAAAATCAAAAGCCATTTTATCGTTTGCACTTGGTCTGTAATTGTTGCGCCAAGAGTTTCCGCCGTCAGGATTATCTTGAGCAAACACATTGTTTCCTATAGTGGTGTTGTAAGCATCACGCGTGGTGCCTTTACTATGCCATCCGTAGGGACTTGCATCAGGATGTTCCGTGTCAAAAACAATAGCACGTTTTCCCGAGTCGGGATCATTGACACCAAGTGGATAGACATCGTAAGACGCACCGTTTACCCAGTCGATGAGACCCATCACTTGACTTGTGTGAGCATCTACCTGAATATGATACCAGTTGGAATCCAAATCCATGACCACATCCCACACAGGAGTGAGTTTATGGCCACCATCGCTTTGGATAAACATGAGTTTTGCAGTAATGTCTTGAATGGCATCAGAAACACCCGTAATGGTATATGACAAATGACCATCATTTTCGGTATTATCTGCAACCAATGTTTGAGTGAGCACTGCATTTTCCACATTGATACCAAGATACTCTCCGGCAGCCATTACAGCATCCAGGGGACTGAGTTTCAAGTTGTCCATTTTGGTAGAAACTGGAATATGGGCCTGCTCAATAGTGAACGAGTTTGTATCGGATTGAGTGAGCAGCATAGGCAGTTGTTTGCCATCTCTGCTATCAGAATCAAGAGAATCACCACCCATAGCAGAGGTAGCAGCAGCAAAGACAGGACGGGTTACAAAATTATGGCCAGCAGAGATGACCAAACCCCTGGCATCAATATTAACATTTCCAACTGCATTGGTGATGTCGATGCCACTCAGTCTTTGCTGAACATGAACATGGTACATGCGACCCTTTGTCTCGACAACCGATTTGATATAGAGAGAGGACCTAGGAACATTTGCAATATCTGACAGATACCTAAAGTGACAGGATCAAAAGGTTAAAACAACGCGATGGAAACCAGCTGGATTCACAACCAGATGAAAGCATTGACAAGTCTTAAACCAGACTCTAAAGCAATGATTACAAATCAAAATGACAGCAACAATGATGAAGCTTTATACATTCAATACACTTACTCGAGGGCAGTTTCTTCAGGAGTCAAGGGTAGAATACTGTTGGGCATATACAAGGGACTGCGAGCAGGAAGTGAGTGTAAATGGACATTTGTAGTCAAAGGACCGAAATTAACAATAGAACGTTTAGTTGGTGCAGCAACTAAAAGAGCGGGAGCTGAAGCCAGCATCATTACAGTGGCTAGAACCATAGCCATTGAACAAGAGTGGTTCATGGTGTTGGAGAGTATGTTTATTCAAAAGAGTATGTTCAGTCAAGAGAGTATGTTCAGTTGCAAGAATAATAGGTTGTCAAGAATAACAAGTTGTTGATGAAGATGACTCGCGGTTGGATTTAAACTTTTAAACCTTTAACCACGTGGTCATTTCACGTGGTTATTTGCGTGGCTGTTTCGCGCTATTTCCATCCAATCATTCAAGAGTGATTTGACTCGATTCAAACGCTTTGCAAAATCAACTCATGGCAAAAAATGAAGCTGAGGAAAAGCATTTGTTTGTATTCAACAGCCCATTTTTGCCATGTTTGAAAGCATTCTGATGCCATCAAGCAAGCTCTGTTGCTGTACTTTAAAACCGTGGATGACTCGTTTGTGAAGTTGCATGATGGATTTAGATTAGCAGACTATGTAGGTGAAGCATTGAGGCTATTACGTCAAAGCAAGACCAAAAGATGAAAATTGTGTTACATTGAATTGAGGAGCAGCAGGTCAGAGTGTCGCTGTGTTACAGAGACACGATCGATAGATGGCCTTGCCATTCAAATCGACAATCTACCGATATAAAAGAGCATCGCCAGGAAAGCATAGTTTCGGACCAAACTCCCGATTTCAATAAGCTGACAGCATTTTGACAATGAATGCGGTTGATGAATGCAGAATGACAAATGAAAAACACATTGAAGTTGCTAATCATTTATCTCCATTCCCATCATCACCAGATGTGACTGACTCCAACCCATTTCTATTGGAAACATGCTTGTTTGAAACTTGTTCAACTGCCACATTCTTATAGGCTGTGAAAACATTGTTTATCTTGAATCTTTACTCAACATTGGACTGACTTGATGCTCCAACATCCCATTATAACTCTGTCGATCTATATAAAAAAGCACTAAACAAGCCGCTATTCCCATTGCACAGCTACTAGTGAAAAACACTTCTGTGATATAATATGTTGGATCGGAGTTGACTAATCTCGCCACAACTATTGGAAACACCGACAATGTTACATTCAATGCAATGGTTGCAATGCCAAACGCTGTTGCTAGATTGCTCTCATTTACAATTAATGGAATACATGGCCAGAATGTGAGTAGCATTGAATAAGCCAGTCCAAGAACAACCAGTGCTGGAATGGGTGTCGAGTATACGGTTGCATTGGCTGTTGTAAAAAAGCAATGAACACTCATCATCATGACACTGCAAGCAATCAATACTTTGACTCGATGTCCTGTTTGATCAACAAGCGTCCCTACGAATGGTACCAGCAAGGCAGAAATGGTATCTGGCACTCCCATAACCTGAGATGCTGATTGCAGTTGAAAACAAGATTGTTAGTTTAAACTTTTGATAACATTCACTCAATGTGCTTACCTGTCTGTGGATCGTCTGCATACCATCGTTTCTGTAAAAATGCAGAATGTATTGTGTTGAATGGAATGACTGTAGCGTACAACAAACACATGATTAAGCAGATAAGCCAGAATCGTAATGGCATTTGAACCAGTCCTGCACAGTCCATCTTGTCCATGTGCATCAATGCTTCAGATCGTATCGGATGTTCAAGCTGTGAATCCGTCCAGGCTTCCAGTTCCATCTCATCTTCCATCTTACTGCTCTCGCATTCAACATCATCTACTTCCATTCCGTCTAGATCTGCTAGTCCAATTGCACACCAGAATGAGCATAAACAAGTCACCACACCAACCCACATGGCTGCTGGTACTCCGCCCATGACTGCTAAATATGGACTCACAACATCATTGAATACACTTCCAAGTCTAGCAACACTAAGATTGACTCCAAGTGCAAATGCAATCTCTTTTCCTTTGAACCACTTGGCTGTGGTCTTGGACTGCACGACAGAGAGTGATTCACTTCCCATACCAAACAAAAGACGTCCGATATGCATGGCTACGTAGGATTGATAAGTCACTCCTAATGTAAAACTGATTTGTCCTACACATACCAACATTGATAATATAATCAACAAGGCTCGAATCCCAATCGTGTCTGCCAACACTCCGCTAAACATTGGAAGCACAATATTCGGCAGCGAATACAATGAATAGAAAAGACCAAGATGGAAAGCGTAGTCTTGGTCCGTGGCTTCAAGATACTGTTGTAAAGGTGTATTCAACGAGGCTGGTAAATCATAAGCATAGTAGTTGCCAAACATGATACAAGACGACAGACCCAGTGCTGTCCAGCGCATATCTGTACCAAGTGAACGCATTACTCTATTGAATTGTATGGATATATTATACCGTAGTCCAGAACTGATAAATACCGACGAGAATGACATGGTGTCGAGTGGTCTATACTAGCTGGCAAACGTCGTATCGGGTATCAAGAATCAATTGTGTAAAAATTAGTACACTGGAAACCAGCTTATTTTAGACTTGGTAGCAATAAAATCAATCTTATAAAAACATTCAAAATTTATTGTTTAAACAACATGGGAATAAACGATAGCTTGCCATTGTCATACGCAATGCAAGCAAGTGCACCTTTATCAAATTGAGATGCAAATGCAATACATTCAGGCCCTGCTGCACTGGTCTTACGATTCGATGAATGGGTGGTGTGCATTGGTCCGTATACTGGACCACTATATACATGATGGATTCATAGGTTAAAACAAGTCACTATAATATACAACGTTGGAAAACCTACATGTAAGAAAACTCGGGTAATGGTTTAGTTTTAATCGCATACAGTACTAATTGGCTTGATCCCTCCAACTGAACAAGCATCCGGTCTCCCAAGGGTGATACGCAGAATTGACGAATACCAGATCTACAGTTTCAATGATTGTCAGTAATTCATATCGTTATTGTTCACTCGTAATCATCATTGTATTGCTTACAGATTGCTCGCACCGTTACCGAGTGTCACAAGTTTATCCAGTTTCATTAATGGTGTTGTGATTGTATCTAATGATTCATTACATTTTAGAAACGCATCAATAAATGAGTTTAAACCATCAACATACCCAAACACGGCGCACTCTTGGTCATTTGAACCATTGCAATGCGGGACTCTCCCTCCAAACCAAATATAAACAGTCGAATATCAGGCAACCACGTCAAACTCTACATATAAAACATGACGTGTAAATCAATCTGGTATCAGTAGCAACCAGCTAGTCAACTCAATACAGCTAAAGGATTGATTCAAGACTTACATGAGCAGGTCGTTTAGTGCAAAGCAATACACTGTTCCACAACTGCGTTTCCCAAATTCGAATACCTCCACGTCTGCACATCATCCATCATTACAGTGTAAGCATCTGATTGAATTACCTTGTTCAAGTGGTGTATGCAAACAATCCACACTTACTTGAACGATTGAAGTAAAAACATTCCATCTGAGCTAAATTTCAATTCATGTGTTGGCCCACCAGATAATGACAATGCTTCGCTTGACTCTGTGGCAACGTCAAACACAACCAACGTTGAGTTGGCCGATGATCCTGCAACAATATAGCGTCCATCTGGAGACCATGCAAAATGCGATACATGTGACAACTGGGGTGCACGAAGTAATGTCATCCAAGCTTGTGGACAACCCTGCGCATCAGCTGGAATCAGTGGATGCAGTCGTTTTGTCGAAGTAGTTGGATGGACATCAAATTGTAGTCGCCATAGACATACACCACTCTTGCATCCCACTGCAAGCACAGCTGATCCTGTAGGACACCATGCGATACCAGTAATTCCCCGTTGAAACTCATGATGTAGTCCAACAGCCTGACGCGGACACCACGTCTCGGAAGTCAAATCAAATAGATGCACCGAATCATTGCGATGGATTATGGCAATAGTTTGTTTGAATGGATGCCATGCCAAACCCACAACTGGACCTTTGCCTTTATTTATAATCAGTTGTTCGTGTAATCCATCAGCCGAACGCTATCAATACAATAATATGCAACAACAAGTTAGAATCCCACAAAGGTCAGATCCAGTCTAAACCCATTATAATTTACCATTCCAGTGACATGGTAAATGGGTGCCATAATATGTTGGCATACACCACGAATCATTTGTAGAATATCGAATTCCGATCGATTGACAGACAAGTTGTTTTCGTCACTACAATTCATAGTCATTGAATCCAATCAGCAGGGTTTGTTTTACACATGATGCAAGATGGGTAATATTACTCTAGCATAAAAGACTCTAGTAGTCGAGAGATGGCAGACAAAGGTCCGAATGACTTGATAGGGAGTGTTGCAAGTGGTCTGGCACTGCTTGTATCCTGCACTCCTGGACATTGGATGTGATCTGGAACAACAATACAAGGATACATGACACCCTATAGTTGAACATTTAAAATTTCATAAGTCATTCAGAAACTACAGCTTTACGGCGAATCAAGACTTGCCTCTGCTCTAGCATACAGACTCAATGCCGAATCATCTGATGAAGTGAGTGATACTAAACCCATGTAATTGATTTGTAAGAAAGTTGAATTGATGATGACAGATTCCAATATATATATAGAATCAGACACAATGTACTAACAAAGTGTTTGATCAAGTTCACATAGTGTTACTGCTCCAGTGTCTGTTGAATCCGATGTGGGCATTGGAACCGTCATGAATAATACTCGACTATTTAGTATCAACTCAGTAACTGTAAAAATCAGTCGGATTCACGTCAAACATTGCAATGCAAAAATAATGATAAAAACTCTAGTTTCTAGTCTTGAATCTAATTTTGTATGCAAGAATCAATGCACAATGACAATCCAACTCATAGTCAAGTAGACTCATAGTCTATTGCTTAGTATGAATACTAAGCCATCACAAGTTTTGATTAATGTTTGATTTGATCCGACGGTTTCTAACACGCCACTGGACTGTATAACTTGTTTGATATTGTATTGACAGGATCTCAATTCAACTATATTTGAAATAGAAACAAAGTTCATTCTAAATAATACAACTCAAGGATACTGCCATAAAAGGCTTGCACAAAGACCAGAGTATATATATTAGGAACAGGACAAGGGTGAACACGAGCACCAACATATTCCTATACAAATAAGAACAGGTTGTAGAAAGAAATTGTATAAATGATGGGTGGTAGTTCAAAGAAAACAGCAGAATTGGAAACAAGAAACAGTGTAAAGAAAAAGTATAAAAGAAAGTGTAGAAGCGTACGAACAAAGTCTAGGTATGATTGGAGTGTACATATCCAGAAAAGAAGGATTGTTTTATGAATCAAGTAGACTTGATACAAGAGAATGGGATATTCAGTTGTAGTAAGTAGAGGATCCAGAGAGACTGAATGGAGGTACTACAGAAGAATTGTCCTTGAACATCTGATTATAGTGAGGATCAGACATGTAAATGGGGCTAATAGTATGAGGAGGTCTATACTGCAGAGTGTCTATAGTAGGATTGAATGCTTCAAACATATCCTGGTTATTGGTGCTGGACAGGTTTCTAGTAGGAATAAAATCCAGCATGGGTGTTTGATTGTACATGGGTTGAGATGGATGCATTTGGAAATGACGCTGTTGCTGCTGCTGTTGTTGCATCCACCATGCCTGCTGTAGTTGCTGCTGCATCACTTGATGCTGCTGTTGCTGTAACTTCATAAAATACATACGCTGTTTCTCCATGATAAGCTGGTCACGATAAGCAGTGAGTTGTCGAGTAACATGCAACATCTCTGCACGATAAGTCAGCAGCTCTATAATGTCCTGACGAAGCAAGGGAGCAACACTAATAGACGAGCGGTCATAGTCATCCTTGTGGAAAGTCTGAGCGACAGCAACTAGGGGATTGAAGGTAACAACAATGCGACGACTAACAGCAGGAGAGAGCTGGACAGACGAGTCTTGAATCTCATCAGCTGGAGCATTCAGAGCAATGAATGAAACCGAGTTATTACTACAAGTGGAAGATGAAGGATGAACAGGGCTGACAGGACTCGCAGGGACCAAAGAGCAGGGAGAAGCATCCAAGACCTCTAGAGATGAATGAGTTTGGACCAATTCAGCAGCAGGCAGGATGATTAACGATGAGATGTCTTTAGACTCTTGAGTAGCATCAGAAACGACAGTCATAATAGGAGAGGATGTAGGAGAAGGAAGAACAGTGTATTTTTGAGTTGTATTAGAGAGAGGACTAGAAACAAGGTTAAAGGCAGGTTCGATTGAGCATTTTTCAGTGATGCCACATGGAATAAACAAGGAGGTTTCTGGAGGAGGAGAAGCAGGAATACCGCTGGTGACGGTTGAATCCAGACAAGACATTGATGATTATGAACAACTAAAGTCAAGATTTGAGTGTTTGAAAAGTGAGTTTTATATTGCCACGTGACTGACCGTTTGCTTTGAATCGCCCTTTTTGTTTCGAGAATCCCTTCAAGTGCCACTGCGGATTGAATTGGCCAAAAAATAGTCAATTGGAATGAATTGGAATTTGTTGAAATTGGCCAAAAAATAATGAATTGGAATTTGTTGAATTTGGCCAAAAATAATCAATTGAAATTTGTTGAATTTGGACTCAATTCAACTAAAACTCTTTTTTATATTCTGTTTTCATGACCAACTCAGATATTCATACTGCTACAAACAAACGCTTGCATGGTACATTCATATACTCTTTTATATTAATCAAAATAACACATTCATTAACCACTATTATAATCTTGTCGTTTTTAATTCCATCTTGATTTCATCTAGATTCTCAATTATCAGATCAAGATAATGAGAGTGACGGTAGTGACTTTGGTCCAACAGTTCCCATGTCAGGAACCGACCAAGAAACAAATTCTGTTTTGTCTGAAAAAGATAGAGCTGCTCGCTTGAAGAAAAAACAGAAACTCGCTGCTCAGCTACAACACCAAAAACTGTTTTTGGATTCATTACCTTGTACTGACATGTACGAAGTCTCTCTTATGCATAGAGATATCGTCAACCTGATTTCATGTACAAGGTAATCACTAAATTAGCATAAAATCACTTTCTAGATCAACTATTGTCAAAACTCACTGAAAATCTTGATTCTATTCTCAATTTTAGCACTGATTTCATCATTACAACTTCCATTGACGGTCATGTCAAGTTTTGGAAAAAATCGCTCAAAGGAATCGAATTTGTTAAACATTTCAGATCCCATGTGGGTGCCATTGTCGCCACAGATGCTTCTTTTGATGGTCTGCTATTTGCTACCGCCGGTGTCGACAAGGGCCTCAAAGTGTTTGATGTCATCAATTTCGGTAACGTCAACTCTGTGTATGACTACCATATGTAGATGCTGTTTCTAACTGGTTTGAATCTAGATATGATCACCATGTTTAAACTAAATTATTTTCCTGCTGCCGTTTGCTGGATCTACAAAAAGAGTCAAGCTAAAGCTTTACTGGCTTGGTATGTTTTTATTCTTGTATATATACTCAATCATTACCTGTAAACTCATTTCTATTTATAATAGCTCGGATAAGGAAACAAGCACCATCAGTCTGTATGATGGACGTGGCGGAACAACGTGTATTCAATCCATCACTACCTTGCATAGTGTACCAGTAAATATCATAAAGTATAATCATATTGCCAATACTGTGGTTTCTGTGGATGATGGAGGCATGATAGAATATTGGACTCCAAACGAATTCTCTGATCAAGGATTTGATCATCCCAAACCTTCAGCCGTGTCTTGGGAATTCAAGGGCGAAACTGACCTATACGAGTTTAAAAAGGTACTGTTTGAAAACGGTTTGTGTATAGCATGCATCCTCGTTTTATCAACTCACTCTGACATACAACACATCATTTAGGCAAAAACAGTACCAACATGTCTACAATTCTCACCAGATTTCTCAAAGTTTGTCACATTTGGATTCGGTGATCGTCAGATTCGCATCTTTAATTTTCGCACTGGGAAACTCATGCGCAAATATGATGAAAGTTTGAGCGTGGTGTCCGAAATGCAACAGGCAGGCACTGCTATTCACACACTTGATGATATGGAGTTTGGTAGGCGTTTGGCAATCGAACGTGAAATTGAAAAAGCAAGCGGTGGTCAAAGTGCAACAGTAAATGCTGGTACGTTGAATTAAACTATTCTTATTTGATGCATGTTTAAACTCGTACTAATGCATACCTTGTAGTATTTGATGAATCTGGTACCCATGTCATATATCCTACTTTGATTGGTATCAAGGTTGTAAACATCCTTTCCAACAAGGTTGTTTGTCTTATCGGAAAAGGTGAAACTCAACGCTTTATGAACCTAACATTATATCAAGGTGCTCCAAAACAAAAAATTATGCTCACGCTGGTAAGTTGATGCATCTTTGTTGAATGCAAACCATGACGGCTCACCTTTTTACTGCGCGACCTGATTTACATGAATAGGCCATGGCTGCCTCAAATAATCCTTTGGTCAAAGATTCTGAAATGACAGATCCAACACTGTTCTGCACTGCTTATAAAAAACCCCGGTTTTATTCGTTTACTCGACGTGAGCCTGACTCGTAAGTATTTCAATTGACTAAATGTAACAGTCTACAAGTGCTGGATATAAACAGAATAGTGAATTCACTTGATTAAATCAACATGTGTCAACAATAGTGAAGGAGCAGTAGCATCTGGATCGGGAAATCGAGACATCTTCAATGAAAAACCATCTCGCGAGGAACAAACCGTTGCTGCTGCATCCTCCCATAAACAAACCATGGGCTCGACTGGAATCATCCATACAACATTTGGTGATATTCATATTCGTCTTTTTCCCGAACAGGCACCAAAGTCGGTTGAAAACTTTATTGAACTATCCAAAAAGGGATACTTTGACAATGTACTTTTTCATCGTGTCATCAAGGGATTTATGCTCCAAACGGGAGATCCTTTGGGTGATGGGACTGGAGGAGAATCATGTTGGGGAAAAGAATTTGAGGATGAGTTTCATCGATCGGTTAAACACGATCGTCCTTATACATTATCCATGGCAAATTGTGGACCCAATACCAACGGGAGTCAATTTTTTATCACCACTGCACCAACGGTACGTTTTATACTGCACGCTTGAATGGTTGCTAGCACATTGCTGTCGAGTCCAAGTTGATGTGTTTGTAAACCTGACTAATCATTGTTTCTAAACTTGTACATACATAGCCCTGGCTGGATAACAAACATACGATTTTTGGTCGTGCTACTGGGGGCATGAACGTGATTCATCGGATTGAAAATGCAAAAACGGATAAATCAGATAAGCCATTGGAAGATATCCGTATAATGAGCGTTGAAGTGCGTTAGTTGCAGAATTGCCATCAGCACCAAGCATCACACTGCACACTCGGCTATTGATAAAACACGTAATTCATTTAATGTATCAATAATGTGCAAGCAGTGAGAATTCAATAAAGATACAAAGATCATGTTCACAACAATTAGTCGTCTGTAGCAATATGAGACTGAGATGTTTTGGCAAGAACAAGTCTGTATAAATCAACAGCTTCTTTCACCCTCGAGTAGCTCAAACAAAAAGTTTGTAGGTCCACACGATAGTCCTGGATTGATATTGATTGATTCTTGACAAGAGATTGCACAAACCCACAGACCTACATACACTCAATATTTAGCAACCGATCACATCTAAAACACAGATTGGTGTTTTGAGTGACATCTGGTATAGAAACCAACCTACCAAACGGACTTGTCGATCTTGCATGTACTTGTCACGAATCGTATCACAAGCATTCATACATTTCGACAAATGCATATGAAGAAAATCTTTTGGAAGTGTAGCAGTGTTTTTGGAAGCAACCCTATTCACAACTTCCATTACATGCATGGTCGTTGATATTTCAACCAATGCATCTAAAAAACTAGACCCAAATCAAACATGAATTCATGACACAACATTAATATTTAGACTGAATCAACCTTTGAACACCTCGTTGACATATCAATCAGCTTAACTTAACCTGACATCACTTACATGTGCAGTTTGGGAGATGTTGATAGTGCAATAATAGTCTCGGATGCAATGATTGCATTATGCTCCACAAGATCTTGGAATGTTTTTTTAGTCAATCCTACCATATGCACAAATTGTGGCAAGGTATGAAGCCAATGCGACACGGTTTGCTGTTGTGCATGAGAAAGGGGTGATGTGTAGCCATATATAAAAAGTTTTCGTGCTTCATCTCTAGAAACAACATCTATAGCCGAGTATCTAAGATCCAAATCTGGCATATGTTGTGCAAGTGCTGGATGCTTCCAAGTCACCTACTCATTAAAATAAGTCAATATCAATGCATGCGATTCAGAAATTCGATTCCAACCAAGCAAAGACTACAGACAGCATAAACAAAACCAACTACCTTTTCTATGTTTGTACAAGGAAGAGTTGGAGGAAAAGCGTTTTTAACTCCAATGTACAATTTCAAATCCATTCCATTGGGATAATGATGTTGAATCAATTCACGAGCAAAACATTTGGCGTTCCATATTGTCCATGTATTGGTTCTGACATGAACACATTAAACAGTAAGATCAAATCAGAATATATGACACAAGACTAGGTTTCGTGATATAAACAACTTACTTGGAAATGGCATCCAGATCTGTACTTTTTATCCATTCAGAAAACCCATCAGCAATGTGTTTATATCGAGCAACAGTCTGATCCGTTTCATACAGATGCTCGACAGGAATGGGACATTCAAGCCTAACAGCATGTTTAACAAGTACATGACAAACATTCTATAAATTCAAGATGAATTCATCATTTTGTATTAGAAAAGCTTGCACGAATATCACCAAGAATGGATGATTACCTTTGTACCCAAACTAAACAATTGACAGACAAAGACTCTTTCATGATCTGTGACAGTACGGAATGGACCTAATTTACACATACATGCCATAAGAAGCGCTGATACGGAAGTTGGATCCAGTTCTGATTGCAGTGCATTCTGACTTGACACAGACGTTGATGTTGAGTTCAGATGGACTAGAGTGTATAATGTGATGGCTCGTAATGAGATCTATGTAGATGTGAGTGTACTGTATCGAATTATAACAGATGGTTTGAATCAGAATATTCATAAACCTACTGTTGGAAGTAACATTGGATGCATTAGAAGCAACACTAGCATTTGCTCTAGATTCTAATACAACATATTAGAGTTAAATCTATTCTTATTCGACAGAGTGTATGAAGATGATATACATGTGAGTTGTACGACAACTGGGTTGCAGCTTCAGATAGGTTTAAATGATTCAAACCAACATCGTAGAGTGTGTCCAGTAACTTCATTCCAATTCAACAGAATATGGTAAGAACATAACAAGGGTTGAGTCAATCTAAAGCAGTTGTCTACTGCAGGCTGGTTCTCAATGTAAAGCCTCATCTCTATCAAGGTTGTATCAGTCTTTTATTCATGCTTTCAATGCATCAAAAGGCTTGGTTCTTGTAGTGTTCCTTCAATCACAACACCATCATGATCCCAATGAATCTTTTCAAAGTTACCAAGAACAATCGGTGGTACATCGTACTTGCTCTTCTTGTGAACTACTGGATGAGCAGTACTGGCTTTCACTGGTCGCTCAATCTCTTCCACATGACATACAAACTTGACTTTTGCTAGTGATCGCATCCAGATCGATATACCATGTGTAGTCGTACATCCTGGATCAAGTCGTGTCATGCTGGATTGCAGCTGTCCACTTACAAAGAGTGTGTCTAGAAGATCCAAAGAATGGTCATGGCTTGTACGAACTCCACGTCCTAAAAGTATATCATGGTTTAAAATAGGAACAATCCGAATAAAGAAATCTACGGGTGTGTTTTTATGGTTGGTGATTTGCCATTCCAACCGAATGAGTGTTTTGATCTGGCATTGGAATGATCCTGGCTGGAGTCGTACTAAAGTACTGTGCGTGTCGGCACTATCCGTCTGGTCACTGTTTAACGCGTTCGTACACAGCGTCACTGTTGGAATGAGTGAAATGCTCTCGGACTTGACAATATGCAGCATACGCTGTGTGGGTGTAAAGTCACGTAAAGAAAGAATGCCTTGTCGGGATCGAGAACAGGTCCAGTGAGTGAGAATACGTCCACGGTGTGACAATCCTCCCACAAGTGACTCTCGATACCAGTAAATAGCTCTAGATAACGCTTCTCCTTCTGGAGACTGCATAGCCGTCTTGTTCAAAATATATTGTTTCCATGCAGGCGTTGGTATAGACTTTTCAACCTCTGATTGCGGCAGTGTGATGCGTTTCAATGGAAGAATGATCCTAATCAAACATTCAATCCAAAATTCAATCCAAGATATCCAAATATCCCATTTTATTTCAAACTATCAGCACTCACCTTTTTGAAGCGCCTGAATGAATTACAGCATCATATGTACTAGTAGGCACATTGGTCTCGTCATCTGTTTAATACGAAATAATACAAAAATCAATCCAATACATTCATACCACATTCGTATCACATGCATATCACATACCTTCATACAAATCAAAATTCAAATGGAAGGGTTCATTCCATTTGTTATGTACATCAAAGGTCATCACAAACAACATGCGCACTTGGTCATCATCTTGCATGGCATCCATGACCGCATCAGCTAAACGCGGTTCAGTCATCATGTCACCAACAGATGCAGCTCGGCTATGTGCTTGATCTTCCAATTCGTTAGGCACAGCGACAGGATCAACGGGTGATCCTACCAAAACTTGTGCAGCTGAAAGTTCGTTGTGGCTATGAAGTAGAAAATCTACGTTATGTACTGTTATCACTGGTCGAACTGTTAAAAGAACTGGCATAACAACTAGTCGAGTATAGAAATGCACATCTGGCACAGTTGTAGTGGATTGTGATGAGGGTGTCAAGTCAACATGTGCGTATTCAAATTGTACATTGACCCCCGTGCTATTTGACCACCAAAATAAAGAATGCATGGCGGTCATGTTAGGATCCATACAACCAAGTACTTTTTATAATTGTGGAATCAAAAGATTGCTAAACATTACCAATTTCTCTTGCCATATATACCAAATACCAATTCTAGAAATTGTCCTGGCTTTAAATCAATATCTAATCGCTGTGACAACATTCTAGTATCCGTGGTAAAATGACCCAAAACACCATATATGGACTCTGATGGCTTGAGCGCACGCGCAGTCTGACTATACAATCCAGCTGCTTTCGAGTCTTTGACACTATCACCTACATTCACTTGATCCGCAGTCTCAATAATAGTATAAGATTCAAACCAACAGGATCGAAGACTTTTGTTGTGGATATCTTGCTCGTATGCGTCAAGGAAGCCAGGCAATGACTCCATTGTATTGTCGACTGTGTCTGTCTGTTCAGATATATTGACTTGAATATACGTGATGGGTATAGATCCAATATTCTTGACAATTGTCTTGAATGTAGACCTGAAAGCAAAGTAATGTTAGCATCAAAGTCATCCGTTGTATGCATGATTTTACTATATCTCAATAGCCTCTCGGATAAAAGTGACAAACTATACACCCACCTTTCGCCTTCAAATAGCATACGCGCATAATGGCCACCAAGACTTGTGCTAAACACCTCCAGCATGGGCTGAGCACAAATAACTTTTAAAGGCATGCTCCATTTTTTTGCCGATCTAGAATTGCGAATATTCAAAATAGTCGTGAGTTAGTGTTGGCATCAGTCCTCAGCAAAACCTTGAGCACCATTGCATTTCTATTTAAAAACATACATATCAGAAGCAGAGGCAGATTTTGTAATAGGGACAGTATCGTTTCCACCATAAAGAAACTCGAGTCGTTTTTTTCCAGCTCTGGCTCGGTCATCTTGTTTCAGTTTCTTGCCATTTATAGTGCACATCTTTGGGTTATCCAGGCTACAGCGAACAGGATACACAACTTCCTCAATACATCCGCCAAATATTTTTGCTTTAATTCCATGAATATACAAAATACCGTCTTGTAATGGAGTACCGCTAAGTCGAATGGTATGTGTGCGGGTATCTGCTGCAATTCGAGTAGAAATCATTACAGGATCAAACGGTACACCCGAGGTAAACAAAGCAATCTGCTGCACATCAATATCGAATAAAAACGGATTGGCCAATGTTACATCCACTTGAACCGTCTCCATTGCTACCAGTATAAGATTGGCACCTTGGTTCATCCCAGAGTCATTCAATCCAGATGCCTTTTCGGCGTATGGATTGTAAATAAATACGTTTTTGGGTGCTGTGGTAGTAGATGAGGCAGCATCTTGATCGTCAGGAAACATATCTTTTCTCAGTCTTACATTTGGAACTTGACGAGCCAGTGGCTTAATGGGTACCAATCGACGAAGTACAGGAACACCCAAAATACATTCTTGGATTCCACGGACAAGAGGCTGGAGACTATACTGACTGTCTTTACACGGCCCATCTGCTCCTTCCTCGCCTTGACTACAAGTCAACGTTTGTGAATTTCGATGATGAAGAGCAACTTGCTGCAACACTTCTGAAAAATAGGCTTGATCGCGTTTACTAATATGTCTATACAGCATACGCAAGAGTTTGCAAATATATCGCACGACTCGTACATCATCCTCTCTAGACTGGGCAATATATATACATTGTTTCAATACACCAATCTGCAAAGATGGCCAGCCGTTTTGGATGCTTGGAATCGTAATGCCACGAGAAATAGGCGACCTGAACAAACTCGAAGCTTGATCAAGATCCTCTTGGTTTTCGTATTCTTCCAGCCACACATCATATACATACGTTGACTGAATACTAGAAAAAAGCGATTTTTGTTTGTTGGCACCATCATGAAAGTCATTGTCTTGCATGGAAAGAAGATCAAAAACTCGCTCAAGACAATTTAATGGAGGGCATGCAAGCTCGCGAGTTGAAGCAGAGGAAAAAAGTGTTTCTTTAGTAGGAACATATGAACCATCGTATCTTCCACTAGCAAACTTTCCAGTCATTATAGCATTGCTCAGTAGTGCCATATGATGTAAAAAAAACGCATGCTTTCTATGACTCTCGATAATACTACATATGGCCGATAGGGATGCAACGCTTGAAATTTGATCACCAACAGTCAAATATTCCATTCCAGAATGCCATGCACGCATGGTCCATGATATAACGTCTGCTTTAGAAGCGCCAAGCCCATTTTGAAGCAAGATGCGATCTGGATTCAGCATGGGCATCAATCCTGTAGGTTGACCAGCAAGACTAGATACCGTATTGATTGCAGAAACAGTTTGTGAACCACCTGTAGTAGGTGTAGATGCAAGACTAGGAATCATGTTTCCTAAAACTCCGCCAGGCACAGCATTTGCAATTATCCCTCCCATATTTGTAGCTATATTTGAAGTACCTGCAATGCTACTAGAATTCCCATGTATGACACCAGGGCCGCTACTGCCACCCGAACCAGATGATCCAATCCGTGCAGCAATCTCTGCACCAATTCCACGTGTTTCAGAGCTCCAATAGGCAATATGTGCACCATTGACACCAAACGATATCATGTATTTGTCCATACATACATACGCAAGAAATGTAGCCATTTTAATACTTGCCAAAACCTGCATGATAGGATAAAAGCCAGGTGCACCAAACGCAATCGATCGATCATACAAATAAACCATTTCACGAAACCGTTCTGGAAGATCACTCAGAAACGCAGAAAGTTGCTTGGATATTTTTGATGCAGAAATCAAGTCAATTGTTGTTGGAAGACAGCTTGTAAGAACACTTGCAGAACAATTCTGTGCAGCATTCAAAGAGGTGTCCATGTTTGGAGTAGTGGCAGTCGATGCAACACCACCTGACACCATAGAGTCTGTATCTACTTTACTGTCCTGATAAGAAACAATGGTATTACGTGTACTATTACATAGTCCGATTTTGTCCGAAAGACTCAAAAGTTGCGCACAGCATAAAGATTCCATTGCTGCAGCTTGCCATTGCAAATCTCCACTATTTTTTGTAGACTCGATTGCAGCAAAAAAACTGGCAATTGCCATATCCAAACGACCTGCAATCAAATACAAATCACCAAGAAGCTTTTGAATCCGTGCAGGGGTTCGTTTACGCGATTTGTCTGGATTCAATAGGGTACTGAGACCAAACCCAAGGTTCATGGCTGATGATCCCATTGAGGATAGAGATGGTTGAGTATGGAGTGAAGCAGAATGGAGTGGATGAGGGGATCCAGTTCCGGTGGGTATCGATGAAGCAGAGCCCAAATTATTACTAATTGGCGAAGTGGTATGAAATGTTGCGGAAACAGGAGTGTCTTGAGTTAGTAAAATCCCAGTCCCCATTTCTCTCATTCGATCAATGGGTGTATTAGCATGTATTGTGTGTGCCGATGGCGGTGCATGGATGGTAACAGATGCTGCAGTTGCAGCCAATATCGTGTTTCCAACCACAGGACTTCCAGCTGGTCCCAATGATCCCGAATATTGAGATCCAGCAGTAGAAGAGTTGCTTGTATTATATTGAAAAAGTGGCGAAATCATGACTGGACCATTAATCAAAGATCGACGCTCAATTTGGCCAGCCTATTGCAAAGTATGGCGAATATGGATGATCAATACTGAGGTTTGATGTATAAAGCATGTCAGAGCCAGTTCAATTTTACATACCAGAGAACCAAAAGCAAGAAGAAGATCAGCAGTAAAATCGGCAATCATTGTTTGAAGATAAAACGATATATTTCCGACATTTGGAATCATAACCAGACCTTTAATATTATCAGCCTGTGTATCAAGTGGTTCAAATCCAAAGCATCGATAAGCCAGTGTTGTTGTATACCGCTGTACAATATGTTGAAATCTTTTGTATCCGTCCAAAAGGTTTGGAGTTTGCTGACAATTCATGATTCCAATAACCTATGATGACAGATTAGATTAACACCAATATTAACTTTTGTAACGTAATGATTGGTATGAATTGAGCCCAGTATTTCAACCCTCAGATATTTCCACATTCAAGTAAGATGCTCACCCCAAGAACTTGCCGACTTAGTTGAATCTCTTCCAAAGGAGAATGTTCCTTATTATGGGAAGTAGCAAAGTTGAAATGAATGCACCCATCATGGTAGAATTGGTTGGTAAACTTGGCTATTAGTTCATATAAAATGTGTAGATTAATACCAGATTTAAACGATAGTGTTGAAACGACTGTTATGCCATGACAACAGATGGGAATGTTTGAACAAGCCAACAGAATTGGGTTGAATACTCTAGTATTCAAGAAATAGTCCAGTAACAGTTTATTTATGCAGTAGTATAGACTGCCAACCACTCGAATCCAGTGCAAGACCGCTCACCCGTTTTTGCGTCTGGAGGAGTGAGGTCTTTCAACGACACACTACCAAACTGGGAGAGAAGATGCAGATAAGTGTTGAAGGTATCCTGCCTAATGGGATGAACAGGAACAACCAAGATCTTTATACGGGCCAACGATAGTAACACTGACGGTTGTTCCTTCATTTGCTTCTTGACAAGTTGATATGAACTCCAGTGAGTAGCAAAGAATAACACGCAGTTGGCTTGCTCTAAACCCGACCCAACCCACCGTCAGTGTGTCACTCACTTGATGTTGATTAAACATGTACACGTTGCTTAATCAACCTACTAAATTGGTTGAATGTCAGCCATAGTAGACGAGTAGGTTCTACAACATCAAATAGGTTATTCACAACACCAAGTTGCTTTCTCTTACAGCCTTGATTCCCACGATAACCCTTGTTCGTCACATCTACATTCATGTCAACTATCTGTACCAAATATGTCATTTGACATGAAATGCGATCCAACCATGTGGTATCTCATGGTGTGATGCTAGTAAAATATATTTGAAGCAACTATTCGTTCCTATTATAAATGACGTGGGAATAGCTTCACACACCTGTCATTCTCTTTAAATGAGTTTAAAAGAACTCCATTTCGACTGGGTTGGTCTAGCACACTTTAGTGATCTAAAGACCTTTTACTCTTGCCAACTGTTACTGCCATTCATCAACTGATCTATATTTACAATAAAATCTGTTTGAAATGAGTTCAAATGCACCCGCCTCGTCAGCTCCTGAAACTACCAGTCAATCAGTCCCTGAAACTAGAAGTCAAGTAACTCCTACAAGTAGCAGTCAATCAGCTTCTAGAAGTAACGTTCAAGCAGCTCCTTCAAGCAGCAATCAACAAACTTTTACAAATATCCCACAAGCTGCTCCTACAGGTTTCGTTGGAGAAGTTCAAGGATTACAATTCAAGTCGACTGCTGGTAATGCCTTTTTACCACATTTTGCTCAGACTGGACGTGATGTAACCATGGACTCATGGCGTCATTCATTTGGTTCCAAACCAAGTGCAGAAAATCCTTACAGTACGCCCAACCCTGCATTTTCCATCAATTCTCAGCCGCCTTACACTTCAAAAGAAAAGCATGTGAGTTTGGATCGTCGATATTGAAGCGACGCGTCGTATACAATTAAACTTGGTCTTGTCATGACGGCAATCATTTGAATCATGTTGATTAATGTTTGGCTGTTTTTTTACCATTTGATCCCAATCAACTTTATTTTTAGTTGTGTGAACTTGTTATGCAGCTCGGTCATGCCTTGAATGCTCTGGATATCCAGTATGCCAGCTATGTGGGTCAAGTTATTGCCAGTCAAGACCCAAACATGTTTCGCGTTTTATCTCAGTATACTATGCTGCAACCCAACCATTCCGGTGTGATTCCTAGTATGCAAACACTCATGTTTGGTATATACCCGAAACTGCAGACAACAACATCTCCATTGCAGCTACAATTGACAAATATGATTGAAACTTTGCGTCCCAAAGTCACTGAAGCCATGGCTGAACTTCAGAAAAAGTCTTTGCCATTTTCTGATCATGAACAATTGATGAGCCAAATTCTCAGTACTCAAGCCATGCATTATTCTCGTCTTATACTCTTGTTTAACCTGATGATGTGTGTGTTGGACAGCTCCCAAACTATGATCGTGTCTCCTCATCTAGTTGGATGGCTGATTGACCAGATCAATTGTCTTGGTGTTGACAGTGTTACGATCCGAAGAGCGGAAATTGTACGCGAATTCACCCAAATGCTTACAGCAGCTCGCAGTGAAATTGCTCAAACAGTGAGTACACTTTAAGATTTGTGTATTGCAATCGTATTAAAAATACTCTATGGCTATTATGTGTGACTTAACTAAATACCTTGTACCAATTTTAAATCAAACATGATATGGATACTGATGGAAGCCCTCTCAACAGCTTGGATCTATTCCTGTCCATAATTTGTTTGGACAATCTGCTGCAACCGGCGGTATGACTAGTGCATTTACACCTGCTTCTTCTTGCACCACTAGTGCTAAATCTATACACCAAGCAGATTGGATTCCTGCTATTGCAATCCGCAACAATGCCACTCAATTGATTCTCGATGTTTACCTTCCTGGAGTTACCAAGGATTTTGTCAGTGTCAAAGTAGGAGAAAACGGAAACTATGTATCGATTTCTGGCTCTATTCCTGTTGTAAGTTGATTGCTTTTAGTTTTGGGTAAAGAATCAAGCTATTTTGTCGAGTGATGCATACGATGCTATATTGACTACTTGAATACGCAATATATTAATACTTTGCTTTGCAGAATCCTTCATACCAAGACTCCAATATATTTATCAATGAGCGTCTTTTTGGTAACTTTTCTCGTATTGTTCAGCTTCCATGTGCTGTGGATGGTAGCAAAACTACCGCTAAAAGCGAAAATGGCGTATTCGAGGTCAAAATGACCAAACTCAACCCTGCAAGTGTCAAGATTGATTAAATATCTTGGTATTGCTGATCGAAATACTCTGATTTGGGTTTGCTATTGCATAATACTGCGCACTTGATTTTTTTGGCCATAACCTGGCTTTAAAACTATCATATCTTTGTCAACTGTCTGGCTACTCATTCACCATGGTGAGATGGCTTTTTCAATACAATAAAATCAATTCCACAAAGCAATGTCAAGTATAGTAATATTCATGTAAAATGAAACATCGAGGGTGTCTTGTATAACTGAGCAAATGGTCGATCCTTGTTTCCTATACCAAACATTATGGTATTGGGTGAATTCTTGAACTAGAACGCGAATGTATCGTCAACTTTATAGTTTGGCAACCTAAAACAGTCGAATCCAACATCTGGATTGAAATGGATGAATTTTGTGGTCTAGAATGCATGGTTGTGAAACATGAGGAGAAAGTGATGATTTGATTGTATTATACGAGTACTGTGTTGAAAAAGCAGTTTCTAATAGAAAAGTGCAACCAATATTTAAATACTGTTTATTCCAAAACAGAGTAAAGGCAGGATAGATACAAGTGTTTCATTTTACATGAAATACGACTGCAATCTGAAATGGTCATGACTTTCTGAATATGCAGAATTCAGCACTTTTAAAAAACATTATAGAAATTAAAAACCAGTAGCAAATCTGTTAAAAGTTCCTCGGACCAGGAAATTGCCTTGTTTCTCTAAAGATTTACCGTCCTTGTCTCTTTTAACATATAGACTTTTAATTGTATCGCTAACTGGTCGTGCACCTGGTTGCAAGTGCGCTAGATCTGGTAGTGTCATGTTGATGTTTTGAGCAACCTTGTTGGGTCGTCTATGCGCTGTTCCATTCTCGTGATGGTCATTGAGATTATCATTATCAAAGGCACTACGCTTTCTGTCTTTTTTTTGGGTTTTATCCAGATCCTCATCGCCTCCACTGACTTTAGCTTTGTCGACTTGTGCATTGTTTCGAGTTTGTTTGGCTTCTTTTTTGGCCTCCTTTTCAGCCTTTTTTATTCGCTTACGCTCCATGTCTTGCATCTTTAGCTCCTTTACCCTCAAAAATGCAGCAGTGATATCTTCTGGCAGCGAAGGGTTGACCACGAATACATCAGCCTGTTTAAATGGCTGACCACACACCAAACAAGAAGTTGATGCAACTTCCTTCATGGCTTGTTCAGACAAGACACATCCGCACGATCGAATGCAAACAAATCTGGATTTTCCATTCATCTCCTTTTGAGTGATTGGACAACAAAACTGTGGGATTGAAGCTTGGTCACTGAAGCTGCCTAGAATGACCGATGCGGATTGCGACTGAGAGGAATATGCTGGATTGGATGAAAGGTTGAGTGTTGTAACATCCTAAACATTTTCAAAAGCAAGTTAAATTTGCATTCTACACTGGTTACATATGAATTGTGGTATGTAAACGGCAATGTACCTTCAAGGACTGGATATGACTACAAACAACGTCACCGTCACCATATTTTGTTGGGTCAATAAGAAACTCGAGAACAGCAGACTTGTTGTAAAGTCTACCATATCCACAAGCAACAACAGGCACTTGAAGAGGTAGTTTTGAAAGAGCACAGAAGAACCAAGTGGCTAGTGTCTGTGATGCAGCATCAGGCTTCTCTGCAGTTTTTTTAGTCTTGACAAGCTCGCCTCGTTTTGGAATAGAACCTCCGTCACTATATCATGAAAGTGGAAATGTGAGGCTGATGAAATGCATAGCAGTTTCAATAAAACATGATCAAGAAGAGGTTCTTACCAACCCATAGCTGTTGTAAGTTAATGCTTCTAAACAAGTAAGCAAATCGTTTACCAATAATTTTAGAATTTCAATACAAATTGACTGCTTCAATAAACATGTCTGAAATGACTCGATTCATATAAAATGAAGCATCAAGAGTATCAAATACAACATTATCATGAAATGATTGGTGTCAATCTCATTGAACAATATTGTCTTGTTCAATCTTTTAGTTTACAACAGAGTTTCTATACAAGAAACAATCAGCAGGATTTAAAAATGAACATGATGCCTTGCAATACTGTTGTTTATTAAACAATTGGAAAATCATGTGAATATCTAGTCTTGTCAAGAAGCTTGAAGTGTTCATTATATTGGCATTCATAAGACTATTATGCTTTGACATTCTTGCTTGTGCTTTATTTTACGTGAACAGTTGAAAATGACGCAACAGAATCAATTCGTCTTTTTGTTTTACAGCTAGCAACATATTTAATGACTTCTACCACTGCGACCAAGGTCAATTACGAAGTACGAGATGCCATTCCTAGTGACGTCCCTACACTTGTCAAAGTCATAAACTTGGCATATCGTACAAGTGGTGGTTGGACTAGTGAGGTTCATTGTAAGTTTATCTAATTCTTGAATTCACATTTAATTCATATATGCATTCATGTGCCAACATTGGTCGTCTTTGTTGCTACATTGCTTCATGATATATTTTGATTTTTAGTGATTGCAGAAGATCGAGTATCCGAAAAAGACCTGCTTGCAACTATCCTCGACCCAGCTGTCCATATTTTTACAATTATTAACAAGGACACTGGTCGTATTATTGGCAGCATGGAAGTAGAGCACTTTGATACTGTTTCTAAACAGATCGTTACAGATTCACCTGCATGCTTCCAATCGGATGCAGTGTTACTTGGTCTCCTTGCTATTGAACCCGAGTATCAAAGCCGCGGTGCTGGAGCGTTTATGATGCAAGCTGTCTTGACAAAATGTCGCTCCATGCAGCCCAAGAAAACAACTGCTATTTTGCATGTTATTCACTCAAGGACTGAATTGATTACTTGGTATATGCGCATTGGGTTTAAACCTAATGGGAGATCCATCAACTTTGTTAATCCTCATTTACAAAAAGTGGAGGATGCTCACTTTGATGAATATGAGATGCCTCTCTAAGCTGGATATGCTTTGTTCTTTGTCGTTTTTGTTACGGATCTTGTACTAATAAACGGTCATGTTTGGAGCTATTTCTACTCGACTCTAGTTATCAGCATGTGATGATTCCGAATTATAATTTATCAAAAAGCCAATCCTCAACATTTGGGCTACAGGAAATGCTATTAATCACTACTTTCATTGTTGGTAGAACCTTGCAGACAACTGCTTTGAAGATTTGATATAAAATTACATGTTAGCGTTTAGCAAATATCAATGTGATTCCAAAAGCGAGTTCATGGCTGAAGTTGCGTCACTCCGCCATAGAAATCATCACACATTTGATGATTCTTGAATAGCCGAATCTGCTGAATTATCACAACCCATGCGGATCTAGCAATTTGGTTGGCATCTGGTCAATAAATGACATGTTGCTAAATTCTATCCTCGTCTAACCCTGACTAAACCAAGTTATACTTATATCCTAATCTACAATCCTTTTTAAAACTATGAGTGCATTCCCGTCTTTTGCTGTTCTTGCACCTTCTCCATCGACAATTCCGTCGTCGGAAGAAACTGCTCCCAAAGATTGCGCAGCTCTACAAGCCATATTCCCTACTGTTGTTCTGGGCTCAAACTGTTGTACATATGCTGGCATCACTTGTCTTGGTAGTAAAATCGTTGACCTGTATGTATTCAATCAGTGGATTGGAATAGCTTAAAATTACTTGGTTTTGCCTTGCTAGTGCAAAGTATTTTGATGACGTTTATTCACTCAAATTAAACTTTAAATCTGATTGCCATCTCAGTGCTTTGAATACCTTGAACCTCAGCGGTAACATTCCACCTGCATTGACATCTCTTGACGCACTTGAAAGTTTGTAAGACTATTGTATAGATTTGATTTGCCTAGTTTAGACTTGTAATACTTGGTGTAATAAACACTGAAACATGATGTTCAAACTAGATATCTACATGAAAATGCCTTTACTGGAGAAATCCCATCATCGTTTGGTAACTTTACTAAATTACAAAATCTGTATGTCTTCAGTTTTATTCTATCATGCAATGCTGGCTTGAATCTAAAATGGGTATTAACTATTTGTGTGGATCGTTTTTACAAAGATGGCTATTTAAAAACATGCTTGTTGGGTCGATTCCAAGCAGTTTAGGAGACATCAAATCCCTTCAAAGTTTGTAAGTATTTATTTTCCATCAGTGATGGAATCAAATGATGATTAATAATTTATTGTATACCAATTGATTGCTTTACTGCATGTTGACAGACACATTGAAAATAATCAACTGAGTGGAACTATCCCATCGTCATTAACTACTCTTCCAACCTTTTCTCACTTGTAAGTGGATGTTGGATATCAGAGATTGATATATTGTGTGTATTTTAGTAAGGATAATCTAATGAACATGTACACGGTTTTTTTCAATACTATTAGTTATTTTGGTGGTAATACCAATCTTACTGGCCAGTTCCCAAGTGGTGGATTTTCAGGTTTAATTGATTGCAATTCAGCTGGAACTTCAGTTTGTATTGGTGCTAATTACGTTGGTCAACAGTGCGGTGTTCCTTTTTGTAAGTTGTTTTGAACTTTACATGTCTGTGAATTCCAAATCCAGTCGATTCTATTAGCTCGCGTTTTAACCCTCATCAAATGGTGTATTGTATATGCACTCAAGGTGTACCTCAAGCAACAGGTGCTACGAACTCAATGACTGCTTCTCCAGCACCCACATCTGTTTTGGCAGCAGCAAATTCATCGTCTACTTCAGGATTCAATATCACATACAAGATTGCAACCGTCGCGGCTGCAATCGTTGTGATGGTCACAATTATTTTCTTTGTTATGAGATACAGAAAGCGTAGAGCTTATTTGGCTGCACAACCACCCGCTTCATCAGGCTTGCAAGTAGTATCTCATTCATCTCAACCCATCAAGAGTAGAGATTTAGTATATTACTCTACTGATACACCCAATGCAGGTTCATCAAGAGTGACTGTGATTTCATAACTTTGTTAGTAGCAAGAAGCATAATGTGATCTCCATAGCGAGTATATTCATGTTGATCCAAATAACTGAATGCATCATCATTTGAAGAAATTATCACACTAGTCCAGTTTCAGTAAAAAGGAATAAAATCAGCATTTGAAACAGAATATTTGATGCAATATTCAATTTACAATCGTATTCATATAAATGGATCACCGAGTATTGGAATACATAATAAACAGTCTCATGAAATGATATTTAAATCAAGCATTACAATACTGGTGACTGACATGTATGATTGCATTCATGAAATGTGCGATCATTATCCTATTGACCTGAAATACAAACGGATCTGTGAGTTTATAGAGTGACAAGATTGAAACAATCCAACTCAATATCTGGATTACAGTGAATAGATTTAGTGATTATAAAATAATGAGTTTAAAACCCATAATTTATATTATGAACAAATGGATTTTAATAGGAAAACAACAACGACTATTCAATTGCAGTTTATTCCAAACTAAAAGTTCATTACAGAATAAAGTGTTCCATTCTACGCGAATACGGGTAATATTCTATTCAGCGGGTTGTCAGTTTGAGCATTCATCAAAAGTCCGAACATTCAAATGTAAATTCAACTTTCTTTTACTACATCAGACATTGTTTGCTACTGTTTTGTATTTAGACTGGCTTTTTTACTCATTCGTTATTAGGCCTTTTTTGTAGGCTATATCTAGAGCCAAACTGCTGTTATCTTGACAAATCATACCCATTCAAGACATTTTGAGTATCATTTAGAAACCAACACAAGTTCATACAGGCTTACTCGACGAATGCCTCATAAATTCGTTTTTACTGACTCGAATTCGGGGACAGCAATATATCTGTCCAAGATTGCTGATGCATTATATGCTAGTAAACGCTGTATTGTTGTCACTGGTGCAGGCATTTCGGTTGATGCTGGTATTCCTGTATGTATTAGTTTATCATTCACATGTAGTAGTGAAAGTGAATCTACAATTCCAAGAGATGGTCAATGAATTGACTATCAATGAATGCAGCAATTCAAACTGCTGGTTGGATGATGTGGGAATGTGTGGTTTGAAACGGTCGATAATTACCACCAAAACTCACCATTCTTTGATCAGTGGTTTGCATGCCTTCAGATCTACACAATACAATCTGATGGTCCACTACAACTAACCCCTTGACTATAAATACTAATCAACTTGTTTCATTTGAATTCACTTGGTTTTATTGCTACTATTAGGACTTTCGCTCTGAAGATGGTCTCTACAACCTTGTCAAAGCCAAATACCCAAATGTTGTTTTAAAGGGCAGGGATTTGTTTGATGCATCGTTGTTCAACGACCCCATATCCACCAGGCTATTTTACACGTTCATGTCGGAGCTTCGAAGACTTACTGCCAATGCTCGCTTGACTCGCACCCATCAATTTATTAAAGATATAGCCACCTCAAACCGCCTACTACGCTGCTATACCCAAAACATTGACTGTTTAGAGTCCCGTCTTGGGCTTACTTCTTGTCTTGCTACTGGCCAAACTCGCCTCTCGAGTATTGAGAACATGAATGGTCGTGTTGAACGTGGTAAAAGTAGTCCAATACTCACATCTGATCCACTAGACTCGGCTGACGCGGCATCTGTTGCAGATTCAATCGTAACCACATCATCTCTGGAAACTACTTGCTCATCACTACATCTATCGTCTCAAGATTCATCCATGTCGACCACTACTTCAGCGACTTTCAAGTCTAGTCGACCCGCATCAGCGACTCGAACTGCATTGCAAGCTTCTTCTAGTGGTGCACTATCTAGTATCAATAGAACGCAGGTTGTTCAGCTTCACGGAAATTTAGAAACTGTTGTGTGTGCATTTTGCCAAACTGTGTCAGAATTCACTGACGAGATTGCTGCTTTATTCGACTGTGGTGAACCTCCTTCTTGTTCGGCCTGTGAGAATGTTCGTGCGATTCGAATGGCACAGGGAAAGCGAGATATTTCTGTTGGTCTATTGCGACCCAATATTGTACTATACAATGAGCACCATCGTGAAGGTGTGTATTCATTTTATTCGACACTCAATTTGTAACGTATTGACTGTGGATTGTATAGTGTTGAAATGAGGGTTTGCTTTTTCCAATTCCTGTTAAATTGGGTAGAGTGATGTCTGTATATGCACCAACTCATATCTGACACTGCAATCTGCCTATTTATGAATGTCTTGTTACAACCTAATATGCGTTTTCGTGTCATGACAATTTTAAAAATAGGAGATAAAATATCACAGTTGCAGGTTCACGATATGAAAAAAAAGCCAGACATGCTCATTGTCATGGGTACGTCGCTCAAAGTTGTTGGTGTTCGAAACCTCATTAAAGAGTTTGCCAAGCGTGTACATGCAACAAAAAACGGTATCTGTGTTTTTATTAATGCCACAGAAGTAGCAGTAAAAGAATGGGAGTCTATTTTTGATTATCAAGTGATTGGTCGGTCGGATGATGTAGTGTCTTGTCTTTGGAGCAATGTATGTAATCTTCAAGTTGCTGCTGATAAGCGAAAACTTAAACGCGAAGAAGATCAACTGCGACGTGAAGAGAAACTCATGCGCCAAAATGCAACTGTTACTCCTATCGAAGGGATGCTCAAAAAGACCAAATCTGCTGGAGTTATTTCAGGTGGAGGTACATCCAAAGCAACTATATCAAGTGGTAGCGGCAATCTGTCTGGTCGTACTGGGTTTCCCAATTACAGGAAACCAAATACTATGACTAATTTAGGCAGAAACAACAGTGGTGATGATGTTTTACAGAATCCCACATCTAGTAGTTATTCTGGCATTGAACAAAGTGGGTCCGCTTCTAGTCTTACTAGATCTCCAGTGCCTAAAGGACGATCAACCCAGAGTATACTTAACTACATGAGTAGCAAGAGTCAGGCACACGTATCAACCAATGACATACTGTGCAACATATCATCGTCTGTTTCAATAGTGCGTTCAAGTTCTCCTTACTCTGTCATGTCAAACACGTCCACTGTATCATCCGAAGAATCATACAACGAATTGCTTTCTCAAGACAAAGGTATGGCTCAACCTTTATCCCCAAACCTATGTTTATAACTCTTGCTCCCCTGCTTTGATGTACCATGCATGCAATCTCTCAGTCTACAATCAATTATCTACTCCTTGGTACTTTTATGAGTATGTTGACAACTATTTTAGAAAACTGTCTTTCTTCTAATTTAATGACTGCTTCCATCACTACTTCGACCACCACTGTTGCCTCGACTGTCAATTCTTACTCTTCACTTGTTATACGGTCTGATGCTTCTGACGTGGCTAATACTTGTCATCATTTTGGAACCGATCATGGCGTACCTGTGAAATCGATGCCTAATAGAACCAAGCCAGTTAGAGTCTTGGCCAGCAATCATCCCAAACCCGCCATAGCACCTATACCATCTGCTTCTGTCTCGCTTCCCCTGCCGCGTCGTGCCAAAAACAGATCACACAGTGCAAGCGAATCGACTGTTTTAATCGTGCCTTTTGTTCGTAACACTACTACCAAAACTCCTAAAACTCGCAAGCCCGCACCCGTCTTATTTCCTACCATTGAAACTCGAAGTAGTGCTCGACTTAAATCCGCTTGCTAATATATACTTTTGGAAGATTCTAAAGGCTGCCCATCTATTGATATCTATCGAATCGAGTTTTCATTGCAAATCGCAACATTTTTGGCTGTTTTATAATTTATTTTTAGCCTACATAATGCTTTTTGAATATAATGTAAAGGTATATAGTCCAAACGCAATAAAACTCCATTCATTTACATTTACAACGTATTGTCTTTTGTGCATAGTGGACTTGTCAAGTCGACTATTTGGATGGTTTCGAGTTTACGAATGCTGAACAAAGTTGCAGACGTTGTGTACTTGCAGCCATTATCTAGATGTTACTGAAAGAACAAGTCTGCAGAAGCAAAGTACTCGGTATTACCCAAATCAATCAACTAGCACTTGAAATTAGGTTATGCCCATTTGGAGCCAGCTTTCTTTGACTTTTTTTCTTTTTTGGATACACTTGAAGTAGCCAATGTCTCGACAGTTTTTTCCACTTGATAAAAAGGAGCATCATTGATTTTAGCCGTTTCAGCCCACTCTACAGCAGATGAAAACTGAGATAGTTGAAACACAGTTGATGGCAGTAGATGAGATACTCGTGTTGTATTGGACCGGCCTGATGCCACGGCCATTTGATCATCAGAACAAAACGTTTGAATGGATGCAAGAATGGATTGAAGGGGTGGCCGAGTTCTTGATCTAATCTGAATATGCAGTGGGGCTGTTTCAGGTGCTACGAATGTGGTTGCCATATGTAATGGTTAGATTTAAAAATGGTCAAAAATCCTTCAAAACATCAATTCACTGTTTGCGTTGATTGTATGCTATAATCCTGAGGACATTCATTGACTCGAGTTTCTTTTCATTTCCATCCAGTTGATCCAAGCAAAATAAACAGCAGGAATAGAGTTGAAGACATGTCAAAAATCATGAGAGAGTCATCTAGACTAATTCAAAACAACAACAATGAAGAACTAGACTTGGAGCGACAAGGTACACAAAAAATACGAACAGCTTCCAGCAGTAGTCACACATCTGTAGCTGGAGTCAACGCGCCGCGACTCGATATCCAACTGCCCAATTCGAAACTGCAATTATGGGGAGAGTCATCCAATGAAAACAATGGCTCTTTTGAGCAAATCCAAACAGCTGAATATACAAGCGGAATACCTGATTCGTTTGTTTCTTCTTCGGTATTATCACAGACTGGTGCGTTGTTGAATATCAGTTCCGCAAATGGACTCTCCGTATTTGCCAAAGTCAAACAAGATTATGTAGCACAAGGACCAGATGAGCTTAATTTGGAAGAGGAGGATATTGTACGTATTTTTCCTGCGTCAGCTTCTGGTGCTTTGCAGTCACTATCTGGAGTGGGTGGAGCAAATACTTTTCTTGCACGTCGTGTTGGAATGTCCATTGGTGCTATCAACGGCCTTGTTGGATGGTTTGCAACTGCAAATGTACGTATTTTAACCGAAGAAGAAGCGGCTGTTGAAGGACTAAATAGTAGCGACTCTATCTCAGATTTACACCAAGCTAATCTTGGTCTGAGTCGTCAAGCAAGCGTGGTGAGCAAATCAGATGGTACCGACTTTATAGAGGCTTCTTCACGAGCAAATATGCTTGCATCAGAAAGTACGGATCGATCATCTATTCATGCAAACCAGGGTCCTAATTTGGGACCATTGACTTCAAGCAGTCAGCAACAGACTCGTAATTGGTACAACAAGTATCGAGCTATGCCACGGTATGAAAAAAAATCATTTTCGTCTTCTTTTGCCTTGACTAGCAGCGACTCGCAGGATGCTACACCGCATCCAATTGGGTCTATACGTGAACGAAGTCTGTCCAACGCAGCACTGTTGAATGCCGCTTCAATACAAGATGGATCCGAAGGTCATGTTCCGGGTCATCGTAGCGAAAAAAGTTGGTGGAGCGGATCTTCGCGACCTGCAGTGAGTGCACCCAGTGCGCCTATTGTCACAAATGTGAGTGGTAAAGTTGCAATTCTTGGAGCACCTGCTGGTCAGCGTCAACTATGGGTAGACTTTGTTGGTGGTGCAGAGGCTGTTGAAACACTCGGTCTATCAAAAAAAGAAATCAAGCGCCAGGAAGTGATTTATGAGATAATAACTACCGAATCTGACTACATTGACGATTTGGATATTATTTGTGAAGTAAGTGGATACTGATTTTTAAACATGCATGGCAACCCCTAATAACTAATCTCGACAATTTTGATTTTCATCACAATGTCATAGGCATATATTAAACAGTTGAAGAAAAACAAGCTAATTCGCTCCAAAGATATGGCCATTATATTTTCAAATATCGAGCAACTTCTTCCTGTTAACATGGTATGGTTTGTGTTTATTTTGTGGTTTGATCATCAGGCTGACTTGTTTTTGATACTAGGAATTATTGAAATCACTGGTTAAAAGACAAGAAACAAACAAAGTTATTGAATATGTTGGAGATGCTTTTATTCGAGTTGTAAGTTCAAATATTGCCCAGTTTACCACATACAAGTTTAACTGCACGCATGTAAAATTGCTATAACAATCTTGTTGTATAATCTACACATATAGAGCGATTATCTAAAAATGTATACCATGTACTGCAGTAATCATCCATACGCATTGATTAAGCTTCAGAGTGTTCGACAAAACAAGTCGGTTGCAAAATTTCTTGATCAGTGTGCTCAACAGCCAGAATGCCGTAACTTGAATCTTGCCAATTTTTTGTAAGTTTTAGCACATCACTCTTGTTGGTTTGCTTTATTCTCACCTGTTTTATTCGATATATTATTGATAGACTTAAACCAGTTCAGAGAGTATGCAAGTACCCATTGTTTTTGCGCGAGCTGATCAAGGCAACAGAGCCTGATCATGTTGATTCAGAAAACCTTGTCAAAGCACTTTTGAAAATTGAAACGGTAGTAACCATTATCAATGAAGGTGCACGACAAACGGAAAATGTGCATAAAATGCTAGAATTGCAATCCAAATTTGTTACGGTACGTCTTTTCAATCTGATTGAATCATGCGCATCTCATACTAAAGCACATGTGCTGTTTTTAGAGGGTAAATATTGTTGCTCCGTCAAGAGTTATGGTTAAAAATGGGCCAGTGGATGTACGGAATACTCAAAATGAGGTCAAGAGACGCGAAGTCTATCTTTTCAATGATATGCTTGTTATTGCTAAAGCCGTTGGGGATGCATTCAAGCTGATTCATATGATCCCATTTGACATGATTTTTGTCAATTCTCATCATGACAGCTCTGGTAATGATTTGTCTATATCATACAGCATTTTTATGGCAGCTGGCTAACCATCATACTATGCTATTCATCACACTTGCATGCATTAGAAATAGAATTCCAAATTGAGATTGTGCATGTTGGAAACTCTAGATGTTGTCTTATTTTTGATAATCCTACTTCAACAGAGACGTGGATCAATGCTATTCGTGGAGCAGTGAATGAGTGGGTTTTCCAAAAAAACAGAATGAATGGCGGTACTGGACCAGTAAAGGAAAATTTATCGATAGCAAATAAAGTTGAAGATGACGTGGAATTTGAGGCCGACGGAGGAATATTTCGCAATCAAGAATTCACTTCAAGCGGCATGCCTACTTGTGTAAGTCAAGGAATATGTTGCATAACTGACCACTTGATCTATTTTAACCAGCGTGTAATTGAATGCTTGATACTATAGGAATCCAATTTAAGTATAGACCAGCCGACTCTTGATAAATCAGCCAAGACACCTCCAGTAGTTCATCGAACATGGACATCCGAGACTTTAACGCAGCCTGAAGATTCATTTGCACTTTCTAGTGCTAGTATTTTAACCACTACACAGCTGAATACTGGTGAAAGCACTATAACTCTTGCAACATCTGGTGGTCCGCGTCGTGCTCCACCACCAATTCCAGGACATAAGACATCATCAATCACAGATGGCAGTGCTTTACATGATTTAGATAACGCCAAACCACCTATCATCAAGCCTAGTCCAATTGCTCTTCAACAACAAAAAGTTAAACTTTTCAAGAGTTTCAGCAATTCCAAAAATGGTCTTTCAAATAATCCTCACCATGCTACCCAGCCAGAAGATCTTCCAAAACAAAGAGCCAAAAACATGATTGTTCAAGATAAATCTGAGGTGGTATTGGAATCTGTTGGTGCTGCTCATATCCGCTCGGCTACTGCAGATCCTATCCCGACTAGTTTAGAAAAAAGCCAGCAGCGCCATGGGCTGGGACAAAAGGAAGTTATTATCCATGAGCATGAGAGTAGTGCAGATATACAGACGACTGGTCATACCAATTCTTCCCAACCAAGAGTACGATCTGCTACAGATCAGCCATTTAAGAGCGATGGCAGTACTGGATTCATGGAAAAGCGCGATTCCGAGAATAAAGTTACATCCAATCCTACAGGCTCAGCTCTTGCCATGACAAATCAAGCTTCTGCGACCGACGTAAAAATGGGCAGTACAATGACTTTTGCAGCATCTGGATCACCACACATCTCCAATTCAACTGGCATTCGCGGCCACTATGCAACACCATCCACTGATGCTTCATCGAGCAATATGAACCGCAACAACACTGCTATCAATAAGCCAGTCAAACACGCCAAGATTCTTGACGTAACACGAGGACCTGGATCGGGTGTAAAGTCCTTTATATATACCATTCAGATTACATATGTTGGATTACCAACAGATCAAGTCAAGATTGTACCACATAGTTTTGACTCATTTTTTGATTTGCATTTACAGCTTGTTGGACATTTCCCAGAAGCGGCAGGAATCACTACTGGTGCAGAGATCATTCGAGCTAGCAGTAGTACAGGTGGTGTAGTGAGTGGATCTAAACCGGATGCACCGAGAATTCTACCTCAACTTCCTGGACAAATGATGTTTGTAAGTGAAGCTGTAGCGACTGGTCGTATTCCTCAGCTACAAAACTACTTGGATGTAAGTTTTGAATGATTTGTATAATAATATGAAATACACGATTGATTTCCATACAATTATTCCATACAATCCAAGATTATATTTCTATTAGATTCTTATCAAATTATGCATGACGTTACATTTAGGTTTTGCTATCGCTTCCACCAAAGATATCGCGATCTCCAGTAGTTCTTAAATTCTTTAGATAACCTTCAAATACTATCTAATCTGGCCAAGCAAGAGATTGACTAGACGTCTTATTAAACTACAAAATATATCAAGAATCCCTTTTAACTGTCGAGTTTAAAACACTGATTTTTCGAGAATGCTCGACAGTTTAATGAGTGTGACGTTCGTTGATTGTATAGACATTTGAATAGAATATATGCTTGAATGGTATTTTAGTTGAATGCGAATGAACTTGAATAGCTTTACCATTTCCACATTATTTGACAAGCGAATTTGAATTCATGCGATACTGTACTTTACTGTCTGCAGCAGCAGTTTTATTAGGACTGTTTAATGACAGTCAATACATTGTGTGTGCTGAAACTGATGTAACAGACCAAACTTCTACTAAAACTGATGTAACAGTCCAAACTTCTACTGAAACTGATACACTTTCAAACGATTTTGACATTGAATCCAATTCATTCCAACAACAAGATGCAGGACCTCCAGATAACTCTCCATATTCTATGGGCGTAACTCAGTCATGGTATGTTCAAGTTCTTTATCGCATGTCTAGTTTCAATGGCAGAAAGGACTAACTCGACCAATTGTTGGGTCTAATTTCAGGTATTTGCCAATGAAGGCATCATTGGACACTGAGTTTCTAGGATTCGAAAATTCAGATTTGGTTGTTCTTTCGAGCCATAATTCATTTGCTCATCTGAACAAGACCAGTTCTGGATTCCAGCAGAATATTACTTTGAATGCTGGAGAAACGTTTCGATGTCTTGCACTGGATCTTTCAAGTAGGATTAATATATTGTGTCGACATATTTCTGCAATTGATCAATGTATGGTGAATTGATCATGTTTGCACTTTTAAAAACACATTAGCTCTCGTTACGCTCTCTGGAGATCTTGGCGAATATGTCGGTGTTTGGGATGCAAAGACAGGTGCGGCTTATGCTCGCACAGAAATTACTGATCTTGATGAGCTTGTAGATGCCAAGGAATCGTATGATGTTGCATTTCTTGTAGATAATGAAGTTCAAGTGGTTTCGTTTGCTACGCTTTGTGGAGGACGACAAATCACCTATCTTACAAGCATAGGTACTATTGTATGGTCATTTAAACCTGAAGAGTGAGTTTAAAATTGGTAGAATCTGAAATTGTGGTTTGAAATATACTCGACACTAAATGGTTTGATATAGTTCGGCAGTTCGATTTCAGCGTCTTGTAACTGGCAAAGACTCATTCCTTGTTGTTGGTACTCGAGATGATTCCTCAATCATTCTCATCAATCTTGAACTTGTTACTGGCGAAAAGTTATCTGAAAAAACGATCGACATCAAATCTCCGCTTGCAAACCCCAGCGACAGGTCCAAGTTTGCAATCATGGGCGATCCAGAATTCAGATGGATTGTGTGGATTGATCAAGATGATCGCGTTCAGCTCTATTCTGTAGTCGATGAGATTCAGTTGGGCATTCCCGAGAGTGTATACGAATACACTAACGGCAAGCCTATTTTGGGATTGGTTGAACTTGGCTCTTATTCAACGTATATGTTTGATATAGTAGTCCAGTTTTCTGAGGGTATAGATATTATTGTAGGAATTGAATACGATACAGAAATTCCCACAAGCAGTGTGGTGTATTTTCCCCAAGTAAGTTCAATTTTTCAGATATTAGGTTGTAATGGTAATGCCAGCTCAATGGGTCGATGAGTGTTAATTTAATTTGGGTATATTGTTTCTTCTGAATCACTGATGCCGACATAGACCTCGTCTCGTCCAATTATTTTCAAGCAGCGGTATGAAGAAAATCACTACGTTATGTCAAGACTGCACGTTGACATTTACAACCAAATGCTACTCGAGTTTAACTATATTGATAGTGGAAATACTGCTGAATCCAAAGTTTTGTTTCCAGCATTCAAGGGGACAATTGTCAAGGTAAATCTGTGTTTTTTGTTGAAAGAAATACGATGGATATTTATGTGTTATTGTTATTATAGGGGTACATGTTTTACGACTTTAATGAGAAAAATGAGATTTTATGGAACGTGGTTGGATTAGATCATAATGGCATGTACGTGTCTTATGACAACACACAAGTGTTCAAGACAACGTATTCTGACTCTGATACTGAGCTGGATACAGATTCGACAGTAGAACAAGGGAGTTCTTTGGAGGATAAGAAGTTGGATCAGATATTTAAGAAACTTGAAGCCATCAAGGAAAAGCAGGGGAACGTCCCAATGGATATTTTGATTGAAGAATTTTCTAAATTATCGACTGATGATAAGGATAAAGATTCCAAATCTAGTACTTTTCAATCTGAAAGTATTGCAGATAAATCTGGTGTGGATTCAACAGACACAGATGAACAATCCAAACCAGATGATCCGGAAATTGATCATTCCGAGCTATAAATCAATCATTAAATAAATTCATAGTGTGATTATTGGCTATTCTTTATAATAATTGAATGTCAGATTTCAACACTTTTGATTGGAATTATCACGTGACTTAATCTGGACAAAGTTTATCAAAACTAAAGTTGTCTGAAAATCAATTAAATTGTCTGGAAATCATCAAAACTAAATTGTCTGGAAATCACCACAATTAATACTGCATAGAATGGGATTTACTCCCTTTTCTTTGCTAGATAAGGCATATGAACAAATTAGAGATACTGCTCTGGGACACTCTACTACCAATTCTACTGCAACTTCCTTTTACTCTGCAAAGACATCTGTTTTAATCTTTGTAGCCCCTGATGTGGATTCACTATGCTGCCTCAAGATATTGGTGGTGTGTTTAAAACCAAATGTTGTTTCATCTTGTTATCATGGCTACTATTTCTTGTTCAAGCTGGATATTTATAGCCACATGTGTATAGAATCACTGAGTACAGATGGTTATAGATCCTGATTCATGTCGCTTTAATTTCAAATAGATTCTTGTAGAGTCGGCTTATTCTACTACAAAATTCAACATGTTTCTATTCAATGGTTATAGAATATTCACTAATCGATTCTAATGTATTTTAATCCTTCTATTACATAAACCGTCTGCTATATTACTGCTGCTGGAAATACTCAGACACTGTTAAAGTCAGATTGCATATTGTACAGAATAGTCCCAGTATCCGGATACAATGGTCTGGGAGATGCAAACGATATTCTCATTGCAGGAAACACAGATGTAATTAGATTATCGTTACATTTATATCAAGTTGATTTTCATTTGATTAGAATAACTTGGCTCATTATCGTATTACATTTTATCAATGATCAAATTGCTTTATTATATAGCTGACAAGTATTATCATGATCAATGCTGGCGGAATGGTCGATCTGGAAGAATTTTTAACACTAGAAAAGGATGTCACGGTTTATGTTTTGGACGCACATCGCCCACTGAATTTGAAGAATATCTTTGGATCTGCTCAGGTATATTTGACCATCAATTCAACCGAGTACTGAACCTCAACCTATTGATGCCATGTGACATCAACTATTAACATTCAACTCTTTTAAATTTAGATTCAAGTGCTAGATGATGGAGATATTGTGGAAATGAAGGATTTGCAAAAGGCGTTTGAAGAGCTTGAGGTACTATGCTGTTTGTTTATAAGAAAATGTATTGATTTGCTAGGATTTACTCATGACTTTTGGATCTTGCGTGTCATTTAGTTTGACGGGGACGAATCAAGTGACGAAGACGAAAGTGATACAACTGCACTAGATGAAGATGAAGAAACCGACATGCATACTAATGAAAGTGGGGGTTTTAAGCAAGACTTTGAAGATGATCAAGACTCGATTGGCAAAAGCGATACTGATGAAGAGGTGGATTCCGACAATCTTGAAAGCCAGTCTGAATTAACACCAAAGCGTACAAAAGAATCCATTATAAAACATTCAAACGCCGATGCCGAATCTTTGATAGAGTTGTCTGATATACCAAACTATCGCAAGCGCAAATCCGAAACAATAAACTCGGCCAATCAACTGGGATCAAGCAAGCGTGCAAGACAACGAGAAAAGCGACGAAGAAGACGAGAGTATCAACGCCAAATTGCAGAATACTATTCGGGCGGCACGTATCATGGCATGGCAGCATCTGGACTCATGTTTGCTCTTGCCTCACAGCTTGGCAGATCAAACAGCGATTATCTTTGGTACGGAATCGTTGGACTTACGGATCAGTATATCCAAAACAAAGTTTCTCTTGTCAAGTATATTGATCTTGTCAAATCGTACCAAGAGGAAGTGAATCTGACAACTATTAGAGAAGGCCGGTCAAGCGAACCATTTCCAGCTGGTGGAATAACTAATGCAGATACAACATCTAGTCTTCAAGATGTACTGGGATTGAGCTACGATGATGATGATCTCTTTGGAGAACGACCATTACGAACTTCAACGTTTAGTGCAGCAAATTCAATGACTACTGTTCCGAGTGGTCGAAGTGCTGATGATTATAGCATTCACTATCATGAAGATTTTCGGTTAATGCTTTTGAGGCACTGGAATATGTATGACAGTATGTTCCACTCAGAGTATGTTGCTACTAAGCTTGGTATTTGGCGTTCAAAGGGTCGTCAAAGACTCACCAATTTACTTGTGAAAATGGGGTATGTCAAACACTGATTGACTGTACAGACATTTTTGCAAATACTGATATTTTGTGAATATTAGGTTTCCACAAAAAGAGTCCAGACAAAGCTATAGAGAAATGGGGTTATTATTTAAAGAACGAATCAAACCCAAACTTCAAGATTTAGCACCACGATTTAATATGCCCGACTTGATTTTCCCATCATTTATACGCAATTATGGCCACAATACCCCACTTTCTGCCACGGATGTTGCCTATTCGTTGGCAGCGTTAATAGATTGTGGTGCTACAACATTATCGACGGGTGCTGGATGCACAAGTGCGAGTGGATACGAGGCAAGACTAAGTCTTGCTGCTCCACTTTCTGCTGACCGGACACGACGGAAATACGGTGGTGGTGCGCGAGCGAGTGATACAGGAGATATCATATCTGGACATGCACAAGGAGATGAACGTGACTTGGGTGATCAAGGTCTAGTTGGTGGTGGTGTGGGCACACGATCCAATGCGGGGAGCATTGCTTTGCGTATATTAGCTGATAGCAATTATGCCCAAGAAGGTGGTGATGATCAGCCTGATTGGATACGTAATTTTTACACCGCGTACGATGCACTAGATAGGTGAGTTGATTTGATCGAGACGATTGACTGATTTGATTGCTTTCGAGTGTTAACATGCATGTTTTTTCAGTGTTCATTGGTTGCATCATGGGATTTTGCTTGCTATTCATATTCAACGTATTCTGGTGCGTACTGGGATGATGCTGCTTGATAAAAAATCTGTACAAACACTTCAAAAGTTTCAAATGTTATCGCTTTTGTCGCTTGCTAGTGACGGTGTAAGCACTAGTGGATCAAATACTGTCGGTGCAGGGAGCGATGCAGCAGTATTTGGGTCATCTATTATGATCTTGCACCGTTTGATGGGATTTCTCATGGATGCTTTTGCAGTTGAGTCGTCTTTTTATGTTTTCAAACCATCCAGTCAATATCCGACTGATGATTTTATTTAAATTTGTGTTTTTGTAGGAGCATCGCAAGTCTTCTAAACGACTTCCATTTGTTTTGGTTGCGTGTTTGGATAAGGATGCGTCATCCTGTCTTGTTTTGGGTAGATCAGAGACTCAATATATTGGAGATGCGCACAAAAAGTATGATGATGTATTCTTTTTTTTTGTTTTTATCTTTACTCACATATTTTATTTGTTATGCAATCCAATCAGTCCGTTTGGTCTTGCTTTCCAGAGTGCAGCAGAGCAGATTGGGGTAGAATTAAAGCACGATAGTTTCGAGGCATCTGCTGTTTATGTCCAAAAGGATGATTTATCTGCGTTTTTGGAGAATCTCCAAATGGCATTATAGGTTTTAAATATACTCATCACAATCGTTTTAGTAAACATTGTCTCGAAATATATAGTTCTATTATAGCATGTTGGATAAAGCACCGAATGCTATTTGGTTTATTCTAAAACAGTTGATTAAAGTTCATGTGGGTTTTGGATGACGATCAGCAGATACTGTTTTGCTGTATTTTACATGGTTGATAGTAAATGTTAGTTTTGCAAAGTGTAGATTAGAATGGGAAATAGTTGCTTACTTTCAGCAACCATGATTTCATGTTTCTTTGATCGAATACGTAAAAAAGTAAGCTCGTCCTAGATTGGCAAAGTTTAAACAGATTAGTGGTTATGGATACCAAGGATTGGACAAGGTATTGATGAAAACAATGCGATACTGCGTACTTCGGGATCTAAATCACGAACAACGCTTTTTCCCCTTGCAGCGAGTTGAACTACCAAGGTTGAAATCTGGGGTGTTTGGATGTTGTCCAGTGTAGATCGGATGACAGATCCCTCATGCGTGGCAATGACAATACCTGGATTGAAAGTGAAAAGTGTTGGCTTAGAAAATGTGGCAAGCAAGGTAATATATACACCCGTTGAGCATTGAAGCATTGTGGCAGTGAGTCAAGGCAAAGTCATGATACAGCCTACCCTGAACACCCTTGTGTGCTTGAATGCGAGTGAGAGCAGTCTCTACATCGTTATAATCCTTGTTGGTATCCTTGGTGAGCGTGGCTGACTAGTTTCCAGTCGCGAGATTTCCGCATGTTTGTTACAAGACATTGGTAAAAAGTGGTTATTAGTAATGGTGGTTATATACATGAAAGCAGATGGCTGGTGTATTATCTAAAGAATGGGATTCTAGACCAGAGTAAATGCCATGGCTTTTAAAATGGGGCGGGATGAAAAATAGAAGCAGATAGGGCGAGCTCAGCAGCACGAATAGAGGACTATAATCTGGCCAATAGATGTAGTTTGAATGGAAAACAGTATAATAAAGCATAGTGATATAAACAACAAGACCAATACAGCTGGTTGGGATATGAACTAGTAGATACCATTTTGTTAATGGCCAAAATTTTCAACACCAGACATCAAGGTAATAACAGAGCATCCTCAGGCGGTATTTGCAAGAGTTTATTGAATGTAATCTAGTTCAAGGTATAGACCATCTACGAGCCAAGCCAAACAAACAGCACTATGCAAACGATTGAATTGATTCATGACACTTTGATCGCGAGTCCAAATATCTGGCGTTTCAAGTGCATGCTTTCGAGATGCGGCACTGTATCGCAAGGATGCAGGCATGCTTGTGTACCGTATTTTCCTGTGAAGTATCGTCCGTCGCTTTCCTTCTTCTTCCTCCTCATCGATCCCTTTCCTTCCTTCTTATTGATCCTTTCTTTCCTCCCTCATCCACTGCTAGTCGAAACTGCATTCGTCTAGCGAGTTTGCTTTTTTATTATTTTTTATCGATACGTTGACGCCAGTTAGAACATCAACATAAGAAGGATGCAATCATCTGCTGCATCAGTAACTAACTTGAGTCGGTCGAATTCAAAGATTACATATCGTGCAGGTTCTCCATCTATTTTAGCACCTAGCTCTGTTCAAGCACCAGCTAGTAATGATCCACCAGAAACTACAGTTCGTGAATACCGAGCTTATTGGTTATATGGTGCTGGACTTGCTGCTTCGGGTGGCATTGGACGACTTGTAGGATTATTTCTTATTGATGACCTTGTGAAAGGTGCCGGAGTGTATGAGCAAACAAGGTGAGCGTAGACTGTGGCGTTTTTATCAGAATCAGGTTGAATATTAGCCATGACAATCCATCTGGAAAGTAATGGTTCATGTCAGTCCATCTGGAGAGTAATGGTTCATGACAGACTTGATTACTATTGTGGTTCATGTCGAATCACTTTCCACTCTGTTCATCTAGTCTTGGTCTGAATGCACTCGTCTTTTTTTGTAAATACACTAACCATTTGCTTGTGTTGTGTGTGATGGCCAACATTTATATTCATATAGTCTACCATGTTCTGGCCCATCTCCAGTAAATGGAACTACTCCAAACTGCGTTCTTCCAATTGGTGGTTCGTATATCAATACAGTCAGTTATCTCGGATTTGTTGCTACTGTCGCCGTTATTATCCAAATTTTCGTTTTGTTGGGATTGTCTGCTTTCGGTGACTATGGATTTTATCGGCGTAGTTTGTTGATTATCACAGGTGTTGTTGGTGCTGGCGCTAGTATTATCATTCCTTTGGCTTATACTCCAAGTATGTTGCTTTAATATTTAAATACTGATGAAACCATAATTATATCTGAATGTTGACACTTTATCTGGTATATTGCGTGCAGGTCTATATTGGCTTGCTGGACTATTGCTAATCATTAGCACGTCGTTCCAGGGATTCTCGACTGTTTTTTTGGAAGCCTATTTTCCTTTGCTTGTTCGTTGCGATCCTCTTGTCAAGTTTCATCAAATTCCTGCAAAATCTAATGGAAATCCGTCTGATACTTCCACTCGTACTAAAAATAGTCAGGAGCGTCAAATCAATGATTTTGGACAAGTTATCGAAAGTGTTGTTCTCAAAACAATGCCTTACCACGAACGTGCTAATTGGGTGCAGATGTACAACAACGTCTATGGGTTTGCAACCTCGTTCATTTTCCTTTCTGTAGGTGGTGGTCTCATTAGTGTTGTTGGAAATGGAATTGGAATCAAAGAAGGTGTTATTTGTGCTACTGGCGTGTTTTGGCTCATTGTTGGAGTTATTGCAATAAGGTATCTCAATGCTCGTCCTGGACCCAAACTTTCTCACGGCACTTCCCGTGTCATATTTTTTTCATGGAAAAAAGGTGATTATTGGCTCATTACAAGAACTGATTGTTGGATTAGCCGTCTTATTAACATGTCATCTTTTTACCATGTAAGCCTTGCAATCGTTCAAAAATCGAAAGGAAATCAAACACACCTTCCGTTTCCTCGCTTCCTACTTTTTCTTTGGTGGTGGTATGAACACCCTCGGCGTCGTCAGTGCTTTGTATTTGCGGGATATTCTTCAACTTAGCGACTTTCATACTCTGACTATTGGAAATCTAATTCCCGTGTTTTCCATTTTGGGATCTCTGGCTTGCGTGCAAATCCAAAACAAATCGCATATTTCTACACATATTATGCTCCTTGTTAGCGTATCCATGTTTGCATTGATTCCAGTTTATGCTTTGATTGGAGCATTCACACATACGTTTGGTTTGGTTCACGCTTACGAAGCATACATTCTAAGTGCCTGGGGTGGATTCTTCTATGGTTCATCTGTTGCATTTACCAAAGTCATGTATTCTGAATTGATTCCTGCTGGACAAGAGTGTGAATTCTTTGGCTTTTACGTTCTTACTGACCGTGTTTCAACATGGCTTTCCTCGGTTATTATTGGATTCATTGCACAAGGAACCAGTGCACGGTATGGCATGATTTGGTTGATTGTGTTTTTCCTTGTATCGTTGCCTTTATTATGGATGGTAGATCTCGATCAAGGACGCCATGATGCCAAAATTCTTTCCAGCGGTTCTGAACAAGAAGTGGTCATTATGCAAGATTTTGTTCCACAAGGTGCCGAGTATGATAGAGAGTTCCCTGAACAAGAGGATAAAAATGATTTTCCCATGAAAGTGGATCCTTATCCTTCAAACAGTCAACCCAGTCGTGCCAACAGTCCATCTCCATATGCTGCATCAACTCGTTCACGCACTCCTCAGCCCCATGATTCTCCAAACGCCAATACTTCTTATGCTAAAGAGAATTCATCTTCACGGGATACTCTTTATACTAGTCATCCAAATATGAGCGATCAACCACCATATCCTACCATGCCGACATCTATTGCCACATCCACAGCATTTCGTCCACCTCCATCCAACTATGGAACAGCAGGTGGATCAATACGTTCAGATACATTGAGTACAACTGCAGCAAAAGGCACACTGCCTTATGCTCAATCTCAAGTGCCAGCGATTCAAATGCCGCCATCAGTTCATGCTTCTTCTCTTGACCTGTCAGAGTTTCCTTACATGGAAAATAGACCTTCATCTCGTCCTGTCAACTCCTAGACCAAGAATCGATAAAAATAGTGTGTATATTGGTTATTTTTTACCATGTTTTTTAAAACAATATATGCCAATCACTATTCGTTTTTAATCTGCATTCATGGGTTGGAGATGCATTTTGCAGTCGTATTCACGTAAAATGGAACACCAAGAGTGACGAAATACATAATAAACAGCTAGTTTTATAAAACGATGAGTGTCGATTTGCTGGACAACACTGTTTTAAACCTTTTAGTTGATTGGATATATTTCTGGGACATGTCATTATTGTTTATTGAATAGAACGCAAAGGTATCTGTGAGTTTAGACTGCAATGAATGTTTATTCAAGTGAGAATTCTATTCAAGATGAGTTTGTAGTAGGAAATCAACCCTTGTATATACTTGAAAGCAAATCAGGCGAGATACAAGAATGTACCATTTTATATGAACACGGTTGCAATAAGCGCGAGCGATGGATATTCACACATGCATTATTCCAACCGATTGCTTGTTAGGATCAACAATAAAGATCTAAAGCTTCGTAGCCATGACGTCTTGTAAATACTAGATGACGGCATCGGATATTTACAGTATTTTACAGTCAGTTGGAGTTTATCCGTTGATATTAGCCAACCTGGCAAGATTCATGCGTTGCTATATATTCAAGGGTTAGTCGAGCCAATTGCTTGGTCTGCATTCAACTGTTTTCATTGCAACTTGATCATGTCTGGTGAAATCACACTTTACACTGTTGGTAAGCCATCTATGTCTTGATCATGATGAGTTGTATCCATTGCTATGACCATCTTGTTAATAGACTGCGGTTTTATCTAACTGTTCAATACCAGGCACTCCTAATGGATGGAAGGCATCCATTGCCCTTGAAGAACTTGCTCTTCCATACAAGGTTCATGCCATTTCTTTCAAATCTTCAGAGCAGAAGGAAGACTGGTTTCTCAAGCTAAATCCAAATGGTCGTATTCCCACTATTGTCGATGGCAAGAGAGACAACTTTGCGGTGTTTGAAAGTGGAGCAATCTTGCTGTATCTTGCAGAGCACTACGATCCTGAACATAAGCTGCTTTCTGCTGATGCTAATCTTCGTAGCCAAACAATTCAATGGGTTATGTGGCAGATGGGCGGATTAGGTCCAATGATGGTATTTAAGATTTGCTCATGTAAAATGACTCTTATGACTGTTTCTATCCTACTTGGGATAGATAATCAACTCTTTGCACTTTACTACTGCAAACTGGTCTGATGTTGTCAACTCATCTCATCTTTGATATACAGGGTCAAGCAAATCACTTTGTTATATACGCTCCAGAAAAAATCCCATATGGTATCAACAGATATACTGATGAAACCCTTCGTCTTTTTAAAGTTCTCGAAACCCAATTGTCTGATGGTCGCGAATACATTGTTGGTAATTATTCTATTGCCGACATTGCATGCTTTGGATGGGTTGCTGCCTATGATCGTCTTGGTCTGCCTCTGGACAGTTTACCGCATCTTAAAAAATGGTTGTTCCGTGTTGGTGCACGAGATGCTGTCAAGCGTGGTACAAATGTCCCTACCAAATCTACTTTGATTGAAGATGGCTTCAAAATAAATCCAGTCAAGCCTGTTGAAGTTGAAATCAAAAAGTAAACTGCTCGACAAAATCAAGAGTCGCTGTTTATTCTTTTCTACACCAGGTTATTTAAAGTCGTGGTATTGAAATATCCTTTGCAGCTTGACATTCAAAGTTGGTGTCACTGAATCCTGGTTACCAATAAAATTCTATATTTTGAAATGCATTGTATATTGTTGCATCCGACTTTTGGCGCCGTGTAGTATCTATCAATAACCCTAGTCGAGCATGTATGGTTTCGTACTAGTTATTTACAGCTATATTCACGTAAAATGGAACACCAATTGTCAGTGTATAATAAACAGCCAGTATCATGGAATGATGGATGTCAATTTACTAACCAGCACTGTTTACTGGTTTTTATGAGATTGAATACAAGTGGAATTTGTAAAGAATTGAGAGCAGATGGCTTCAATATCTGGATTCCAGTGGATGAGTCTGGGTTTAATCTTGTTGATCTACAATGTATGGCTATACCAAAAGAGGAAAAGTGAGTTTAAAAATAGTTTAATTTTATGAGCACTATGATGAATATTGTGTTGATTCAAGTCAACTTGTAGTAGAAAAGCACAATCGTTTTGCATTTTAAATCAAATCAAGCAAGGCAGGATAGATATAAAAATACTATTTCACTGGTTGCAATAAACTTTACTGCTCCTCAGGAAATTTGTAAACTATCAAAAGTATTCGCGTTAGCATTTGTCTGCAAACCATCAAAACAGTATGGCTGATATTGCTGGAGACCAAGACACACAGTCAGAAATAGATGGCACTCGAGATGAATCTTTTCAACAAGAAACAGACACTAGTGATAAGCAATCTACATCTTTTGATACAAGCAGCTCGACTATTCTCCATATTACTGAACCAGCAGTTAAAAGTCATTCTTCTTTAAACAGCACCTCTCGCGTTTCCATTACACTACCACCGCTTCCTACTGACTCTACTTACTCTCTCAGTGACCTATCATTTCAAAAAAAAGAGTCGGATGGTATAGACTATTCAGATGAATATGCATTGGCTCACGAGGAAAGTGTCATTGAAGCCATGCGACCACTGCATCATGGTAATACAATGAGTGAAGTCAGCTTGAACCAAGTAGAAACAATAGAAAATATAAACGAAAACTACGACGAGGCATACAATAACGAACGTCCATACATACAAAGAGAAAATACGAACACTGTTCACGAAAGGTCTGATGATACTGAACAGTATCCAGATGAGGAAGATACTGCATTGCTAGACGCATCTCATGTTCGTATCATGCATTGTTGTAAAATGATTCATGTCTTGTTTATCATCAATACATGTATGGGATTGAATGTTCAATCCTGTTTATTCTAACCAACATGTTGATTCAATGTAGCCGTTGATGAAACGAATCCAAGATGCCATACATCATCAACTCACTACCCATATAAACAAACTTGAGCTCGAGGTTCGTGAAAAGGAAGAAATGGCAAGAAAGGAAATCAAGCGTCGAGAAGAGGTTGGTGTAGAGTTGTATACCCTCCAGCAACAACTGGCTCGTCAGCAAGCAATGCTAGAAGAAACAGAGGACAACTTTGCTATTATTCGCGGATTGCGCGAAGAAGGAGATCGCACCTTGAAGCACACAGTTGCAGAATATAAACGTGAACAAGAAAAATATCAGCTGCATAGCAAAAACTGTAAGTTTAGTCACGACAATAATTACTTGGAGTGACCCAACCTAGATCAAAGCCATTCATGACAAGGCGATACTAATTCAGTCGTGTTTTATTGGATGTTTTATTTATATTGGATTGTATAGTAGAGCAACATAAGCTTGAACTTGAAAAAATATCTCGGTCTTTAAGACAAGTAGATTTGTATAATGAAGAGCTTCGATCTCGCATTCTTGTTGTAAAACGATCCACTCTCAAAGCCGAAGATGATATTATGAAACAAGAGATTGAAAAAAAGCGCCAGGTATGTTTTATTGGAATGTTTGATAGTTATTTCAATTCAATCTGACAAACTAACACTTTAATGTTAGGATTATTTTATTGACCATCTTACAGAACAACTTCGTAAACTCCAAGAACGTCGAGCAGTTTATGACAATCAACTTCAGGCACAGCAACGAGAAACCAAAGCTGCTGTTGAGACTCTTCAAGATGCAGCAACAGAAATGGAGGTGTGTATTTGAGCTGTGTAGAGTATTGGTTGTATTAATTCAAGCAGTTTGAAAATATGGTTACAATAGTCAAACAATCTAATATACGATTCACCTTGATTCAACTAGGCAATCCAATTTGAAAAGCGACAGTTGCTTAATCAGTGGAAAAGCAGTTTAATGGGCCTTCAACGACGCGATGATGTTTTATTGCAGCTGGAAAAGGCGATCGAGTTGAGTAGTCAGTATACCTTGATCACAGCACACTATTTTCAAAAACTAATACTGTGAATTCAATCAGAAAAAGCAACGAAACCATTGCTAGCATGGAACGAGAGATTGGAGGATTTCGACGTGCTCTCCGACAAGCTCAAACTGAAGGAGAACAACTAACAATGATATTAGGAAAACTTGAAAACGAAATTGATTATATCAAAAGACAGATTGCTACAATTAATGATCAGCAGGAAAAACTCAAAGAGACGTATACTGTGTATATGAAGAGTCTTGGTCATGCCGAAAAAGATCTTGGTCAATTGCAACAGGTATAACAGTTTGAGCTGTGTAGGGGTGTTGCAAAAGTGATTGACACACCCAACCACTGTTTATACCATTTTGAATGTATAGGAACGGCAAGCAGTACAACAAGAAACAAACGCTGTGAAAAAGGCTTGGACACAAAACGCAGCAGCAATTCAAAAACTGGAGCAAGAGATTGCAGATCGACTCCAGGTTCAACTGTCATTAGAAAAGGGCACCCAGAGTTTCAATCGCGACGGAACTAAACTGCGTGCCTCTATCCACGAAAAAGAATCCAATATTGCTAATATTCAAAATGAACTCAGTAGTATCAAACTGGAATCATTGAATGTAGCCGAAAGAATCAAGGCTATGAAAGCTCAGGCAACCACTCTTGATGATGAAGTAACGGAAAAAAACAATTTGATTGGAAAGTATGAACAGGAGATTCGCAGACGCAACGATGAACTGGGTAAACGAGCATCGGATATGGACCTGCTTAACAAAAAATACAGCCAAGTGACGGGTGGAAATGAGGCAAGTGATTTTAGATTAAATGATTACACATGTATGAATTGATGGACTCAGTTTATGATTGAATGCTGATGTGGGTCATATTGTGTTGACTTGATAGGAGGAGCATATGGGACCATTAGAAGCCACCATTCACAATCTTCAAAAACTAGTGCACACCAAAGAGCAAGAATGCATCCAACTACAACAATTTTGGTTGCGTGCACAAAATGAATTGGTAGCAATGACCAAAACATCTTTGGAGATTACGGATGAAACTCAAAGTCTGAAAATGAAACAAACTGTTCTTAGTCGCAAAAAACTCGTGGTGAATAGTGAGTACCATTTTCATCTACTTGTTCAGAATATATATGATATTTGTATGCGTCTAATTGTCGAATCTTGTAGATACATTCGAGTCTGAGGAAAAGGAGATTTGTGAACATAATCGTAATATCAAACAGCTCCAAAATGATATGATCAAAATCAACATTCTTTTGTCTAAACAAACAAACATACATGGGAAACTGGAGGAAGCAAATTTAGAATTGGAACAAGAATTTCGTTTTAAACTCAAGGTTGGTTGAATGTTGATGAATCTTTAGGCGTGATGAAAAGGTTATATTTACAAAAGGTTACATTTTACAAAATGGAGTGTAGCAAGCAGAGTTGAAGTCAATCCAAATGGAGCATGTGTTGGATGGGCTTAAAAATGAAAAAAGCCAAGCTCTTACTGGACTAATAGAAGCAGAGTAAGTCAATGAGTTGAATTGCCTGGTGCTGCATTGAAACGTATACAGTATGGTCCAACTATTTGGGTTATTCACTTGTTCATTCTTGATTGTTTTTATATCTAAATCAGGCGTCAAATGATGCTTTGGGAAAAAAAGATTCAATTGGCCAAGGAAACACAAGCTGCACTAGATCCCAATGTTGGTGCAACTGAGATCCGTGAAATGGGTCTTGAAATCCATCGTATGAAACTCCGATACTCAAGTATGCTCAAACTCCAAGAAAAGATGATTGGAGAAATGGAAAAAAGTGTTTACCGTCGTGAAAGCATTTCTAGTCGAGGTCAAGCCAAAGGCAAAGGATCCGTACAAATCTCACTTCAAAAAGCCATTGCAGAATTAACAAAAAAAATCAAACAAACCATCCAAGATGTCGAAGATTGTCATCAAGATATTCAGATGTTGAATAGATCAAAAGATACAATGCAACGCCAGATTGATGAAGCTAATGAGTCGAGTCATATGCTAGTGGAGCGTGAAGGTCAACTCAAAAATCAGATTGAAGAAGAATCTGCAACCAAAATTGTGGTAAGTTGAATGATATTGACTGCGCTCTTTGGTATTTCAATGCAAACGTACTGAAATGTCAAACTATTGATTGTTAATATCAACCAGCTATCCAGTGAAACTCTGATTCAACAACGTCAATATCGACGGTATCAGGATTTGCGTGATGGAAAATACACTTTTGTTGGACAGAATGAAATGGCTCGTGCAGTAGAAGGTACCAAGGCTATAGAGAAATTGGGTAAAATCAAGAGAATGATTAGCAACATTCATCAAGATGGAATGGTGGAAGCCAAACCATTAGTTTCTAAATTGGACGATTTCTTGACTAAACAGCTTGAAACTTTTCAATAAATTACAACTAAAGCGATGCAAATTACTATTGGATTTAATCAAATTTATTGTAGTTGTTGATTAGCAGATGGTCGGATTAGAAGGAATAAAACATTGCTGATTGAATTGCTCAATTAGATTCGAGTATATGCAAAACACCACATCCACTATCAAGACTAGAGCTGCTGTATGTATCCAGCGACATGTCCGCGGTTACTTTATTCGCCATAGACTACAGCAGGAGCACAAGTCAGCAACCACAATACAGCGCTTTTATCGAGGCCATCAAGTACGGATAAAGATGGCACGAACCCTTCAATTGAATCCTGATTCTACTACACAAGAGTTGTCCCGTCGTGTATCTCGACAAGCTCAAGCTACTATCAAATGGAATGAGCACAGATACCAAATACTAAGAAGCACACATGCGTCTCGTATTAGTACAGAGTGTGGTAGAGAAAAGGAAAGAGCAGCTATTAGGTTGCAGGCATGGTGGAGAGGGGTGTTGTGTCGTCGATTACACCAAACATTGATGTCCAGACGCAGTTTAAATAATCAACCAGATTTGGTTCAAGACAGTCATTCATCCCATAAATGTGATTTACAACACAATCTCATTGTAGCAACAGTTGTTGAAGATATTGTTTTAAAGCTCCGCCAACCGCCTATCCAGAATGTGGATATGGAGCAACTTAAAACTAAGTTTAGCCAGCTGGATGCCGAGTTAAATCTATACTACGATCGCAACAAACCAAAGAGTCGTTCGCAGTTGTTGATGACCGAGTGTCAAAAACGACGGGAGCATATTCAAGCCATGTTACAGAGAGCTCAGGGTATTTCCCGCTTGCATGTTTATTAAAATATTGGAGCAGTAAATCTGTCTAGACTCGCATATTACTAATGTTGTTTCTAATATTTACCATTCATGTTCAACTACTCAGCTATAGGCTCAGAGTGGCAGGGTGAGGATTCAGTTATAAATGATCCGATTCACCCAAATGTCATGTCAAGATGGCGACATGCACATCTTGATGCCTTACGTGCAGCTAAACAGCCATGGTGGAAACGTGTCCCAGAAAGTTTGTATTCAACTAAAAAGGAAACGCCAACACAGTATAGGGTAGATGAGTGGATCAACGAGATCAACCAAGGTCTAGAACCCAGTGGACGTATTTTTTGATATAAAGAAAGTTACCTATTCAAGATCTTTGCTCAAATTGCACAAGATGATCCTAATATAATCCATATCGTCAATTTTGGTTATCAGCATGCTTGCAATAAGATTGGCATAAATCAAGCGAGCAATTTGAATAAAAATATAAATCAAAATGGTGGAATAATAATACTTTAGTCATCTTTAGAAAATACATGGCGGCCTCTGGTTTGAAATTGAGTCATTGGTTTACCACTGCCAATGACACCAACACGAGCATTGGGATCGTCTGGAGTGGAAAACATGCTTTTACGCTTCAAGCCTATAGATTGCCAAGATGACTTGTCACCACCCGATCCGTTCAAAGGAGCTTTTTTCTTGGCAACAGTTCCTCCATCTGATTTACCAGCAAACTTGAGCCATGCATTCTGTCTTTCCAGTTGCTCAGACTCGACTTTGCCTGGTCCGTCTCGCTTGGCCTTTTTTTTCTTAAATTGCTTATTGCCATCGCCTATAGCACTTGTTAATGCATTCACTGAAGTAGATTTTGCAGATACTGATGTTTTTATTTGTCCCTCTACAGTTCCCAATGGCTGCTTGATTGAATCCACACTCACCTGCTCGACCGTTTCAAACCCAGTAAAAACAATATCATAAATGACATTATCTGATGTAGCGACAGTATTCAAGCCAACCACTCTTGCTTCATAAAACTGGTCGTCTGTCCACCGGGCAAGGACAATCTGTCCAGCTTGCCATGTCTGACTGCCATCAACACCAGAACTGTTGGATTTGGAAGGGTTGCGATGTTGAGCCCAAGAAGGAACATGTCGCTTAACAGGAGCAGAACTAGCTGGGTTTGTAGATGTGGCGGGTGATGGTAGTAGTGCAGCAGATGTCTGCAGTTGAAAGAGCGAAACAACTTCTGCAAGATCATGACTGAGTTTAAGTAATTCTTCATTGGTTGGGTCTCGTTTAAGTGCTTCATTGACTTGGTCAAGTTGAAACTGGTAGTTTTCCAACTCTTGAGAAGCAGCACTGTTGATAGTGGTGGTATGACTGCTCATGATAATTGTCAATGGATGATTTCTAGTCAATGCAAATGCCAGAATGGTATGTTGAAGCTCGGCAAAAAATGAAATTTGACCCATACATAATTTGATAGCAAATTAAAATGTGCATTCAGTTCATTTCACGGCCGTATTCATGAATAGTTTTTTGTAGTTTTGAAATAAACTATTTGAATCGTTGCTGTGCTGATTAGAAACTGAATGTTTCATTCAACTGTGTTGATAAAAACTGGGTTTGAACTTTTATTTTTATTGTCAATCAACGTTTCTATAAAATACTATCAATACTTGTAATATGTCAAGTTGCAAAAAGACCAAATCAATCATTTTTTACACATGTTCATTTTTAAACTGTCAACGAGACTATATAAAGCAAGTCCAGCTAGAATTTACAATATCAGTAGACCTGCTGTGTATGGCATAATGAGATCCTTGTAACTACGCAAAGATGGCCTACACGGTCCAGTCTTCCATTTTTAGAAACATCCATGGTGCAGGATTAAGATACCTAGACACTTCAATATCCGTATCAACTAGTGGATACGTACCAAAAAGTTGCACCAAGTCTGAAATGCACATGGATCGATGTAACTGATGATCGTTCTTTGTCGAAATACCATCGCTTTGTCCAAAATCTGCCATGACTTCCAACATGAGATCACGATGCTGTTGTGTGCTTTGACCGTTTTTTTGAGTATCCACCATTGGAAAGTTAATGGTGAGGGGTGCTTTACCAGTGATGGCACTTGCAATAAAATTCATGGTGATATCCTCGCAGTTTTTGATGGTATCAATGTAGGCGTGAACCTGTTGTGGAACCATGCATGTATATATGGTAAGATACTCTTTTCGGAAAAACATTCCTTTGGTGAGCATCATGCTATACTGATGTTTAGGTTCAGACGGACCATATAGATACTCAAACTCCCATTGCTTTGGATCATTGCTGTCATGCATTGATTTGATTCTGTGCGAACGTGGATAGAAGCCAACAAGTTGATCAGGATTGTATTTCCATGCATTAAAGGCTACATCAAGTTGTGAGAGTGGGATACGAATGTCGTCGTCAACCATTAACACAGCAGGTGTGCGAATAGATCGGATTGGGTTGAAGCGATTGTTGAGAGAATCAGTAGTTTGAAGAACAAGAATTACCGCTGCATTGGTACTAGTGTTACCACTTTCAATCAACTCTTGTATCTTTGATCGATCTACCCGAGTGTCACCATCATACAGAATTGCATGGGAAACTTGAAAAAGTTGAGCAGGCGGTTTAACTTTGGGATTATGCCATGAAATAAATACAGTATCAACGAGATCTGATTTGGAATAGTGTTCAATCAGTCGTAGCACAGTTTCAACTCTATTAAAAGTAGAAATCAAGACTGAAAACTTGTTCAAAACTGGTAAAAGTAAAGATGGATTGAGTTCAGCCTGCTCGAGATAAGAATTACAAACGTGATTGTTTCTTTTTGAATTTTCCCAGTGTTTCGTCTTGTTCATATCCTCTTGTTGGATATTATAAAGGTTGAGTGATGAAAGGTCGCCATCATTAGTGTTTAACAGTGCCGAGCGCACATAGCGCTGGGCTGAAAACCAACGAACAAAAATATCCACATCAAACTCTGAATCCCATTGCAATGTGTGATTCATGTACAGATCCCATGGTTTACGATGACCAAAACAAACATAAGATGTAGCCATTTTATGATGGAGTTGGGTAGAGAGATACTGTGACATTGAAGAAACAATTTTTGGTGAAATAGTGATTGCAATGGGATATGTGGCTTGACTTGAATCGAGTTCATCCCGTCGACTCAACCAAGGCATATCCATATAGATTTCACTCAATGCATCAGCAAGCCCGAATTTCGACTCTACAAGTTTCTAGTAGCCATTCAAAACTATAATGTTAGTTGATTGAATTGAATGCACAGTATATAAAACTCACCTCGGATAAAAGTTGAAACGTTTCAAAATTTGGATTGACTACCATGACATCCGTATCGATATCACCCAACGTGTTACGTATGGACGCAAAGGCAGGAAACTCGAACAGGGTTAGAGTATTTTTTAATGGAACCACAGATTTGGCATTCAGAAACACGATGCGGTCGTAATCGGTCAATGTCCAAAGTAGAGCGGCAGAAAAGTGCTGACAATCCACAGATGAATCGCTTTGCTCAAATTCAACAATTGAAACAAGTGTGGTTTTGCCACGGCTGTTGAAATTGATGATGGCTTTTTGGAGAATATTTTTCAGTAGGCGTTCGCAAAGAATAACTAGGGGAAGAGCGGAACCTGTTTGTCGGAGAAGAGTAGCCAAAATCAAGACAGACTCGAGATCTGAGATTGTACAAAGTGTAGTAGAATATGCAATATTGACATGCTGCGAAAGTGCATTCAAATTGGTAAAACCTAGACTAGGCGCGGGTAGGGCCATGTCATTAGGCATCAGAGACGGAGTCAGTGTCATGAGAGTAACTATAGATATCAATAGGCTTAGTAAGGCGAGGGTCAGTATTATTCGGATCAATTTGGGGAATGTCAGAGCATTGCGAGCATATGATGAAATTTGAGCCAAACTGGAAGATAGAGATGAGAAAGAGAGTCTGCGACCATGAATATAAGTATGCTCTTTAAATTCATCTTGACTATCCTCATGATAGAGGGGTGAATGGGTCGAGAAGGGGGATTTAGTAACACTGAAAGTTTCAAGGACGTGCATAAATGACGATTGATGATAACTGTATTTTCGGAATAAAACTCGAGTAGCTTGAAGACTCGAGTTTTGTTCTAGTGAACCCGCTTGAATTCATTTCAAGCAAGGCGCAAATTGCGGCATGATTTTAGCCTGAATGATTTGATAACGAAAATGGAATGAAAATAAAATGAAAATGATAATGAAAATCAAGTTTGGAATGTTTTATCATTTTATTCCCGCCAACTCTTGGGCCGATATTCCCGATTACCATTCGAATTGAATTAACACTATTCCTCATGCCCTTGTCACCAATTGCAAGCACCCTTAATTTCGATCGTAATGACAAATCCTCAATATCAGGGCTCAATATTCACCTTGACAATTTCATGTTGCGTGTGTATACAATTGTAAATCACATTTGATCAAGACATTCTCGGCATTGTATTTATTCAAACATCTTCTGATACATGCGCTTCTCTTTGGCTGCACGCTCCTTGATCATTCGTTGGGTTTCGTTGATGGTTTTAATGATCATAGCATCAGGTGTGCCAGAAGTCAGACTTTGCGCACGTTCAAGCATTTTACAGCCTTGTTCATATTGAAGCTGCTTCACGAGTGCTTGACCAACACGGAAATAAGCTTTACTTTGATCGGCAGGGGTGACCATGAGTGGAGTAGTTGAATGTTTGACAGTATACGTTGCAAGCGTTTCAGCAATAGACAAAATCCGCTCACTGTATCGCTGCTGTCCAGCCCAATCAGAGATCTTGCCCGATGCCAACGACAAGTTTGAAAGACAAGACACCTTGAGTGCAAAAAACTCGAGCTTGGCTTCATAAGTTAATTCTGTAGCCTCTTCTGGTGATGGATTGATAGCCTCCAAGTATCGAACAGCCTTTTCATACTTGGCAATGGCTTTACTGAAAAAGGACTGAGCAGCAGTGGAATCTGTCGATGCAAGAGCCTGCTTCAACAGTGTGTTGCCAATCGTTTTAATTTGTGATGCAAAGGCAATGTATTCTGTGGGATGATCCTCTGGAATCAGATCGTGGTCTTCTGTGTATTCGGGTAAAACATCCCCATCATCGGGAATAGGAATACCATCCTCTTCACCCTCGGCCAACACACCGCAATCGGCAATCATAATATCCTCGAGAGGTTTATCATTGGCTCCCTTTTCGCAATTTTCAATAGATCGAACTACAGACATGCCCTATTCATCAGATATGCAATCGTGGTTAGATTTACCAATACATCCAAGCATGACATCATAAACCTACCTTGATGACTCGACCAAACACTACATGTTTGCCATTCAAATGAGGAGTAGGACAAGTAGTGATGAAAAATTGACTACCGTTGGTATTAGGACCAGCATTGGCCATACTCAACAATCCAGGACGCTCATGCAACCGAGAAAAGTCTTCATCTTCAAACTTTTCTCCATAAATGGATTCACCTCCTGTACCATCACCTCGAGTAAAATCTAAACCCTAACATGAGTTCAAGCTTAACCCTTTTTCCATGTACATTGCAATACATTACCTCCGCCTTGAATCATAAACGACTTGATGACTCGATGGAATCCAGAACCTTTGTAGTGTAGTTGTTTTCCAGATACTGCCGAGATTTGATCGCCTTGGCATAGGGAAATAAAGTTTGCGACGGTGCGAGGGCAAGTATCTTGATACATTTCCATAACAATACGACCTGTGCTTACCGAGACAGGTCGGTTTCCAAATTGAATATCAAAAAAGCATCGAGGATAAGTTGTGCTAAACCCATCAATAACCAAATAAATATAAAATCGAGGTTTAATAACATGAATTCAACAAGTCATACAAGTCATGCAGGCCATACTTGGTCATAACTGCTCAATCAGTCGTAGAAAGAAAATGTGAATCTGATGTTGAATGGAAAGTTGTAGAAGATTTTTATTTTTACAATTGTATTCACGTAAAATCAAACATTAAATAAGGGTGTCAAAATACATAATAAACTGTCAATTTCATGATTCTACAATGACTGAACTGATGAGTGAAATGCACATTAAATGTTTATCAGAAGCAATCATTACATATAAAATACAATGGTTTCCATTCTATATGAATATATTTATTTGGTAAACACTTAGCAATCCTCCCATGATGAATCCAAATCATCTTCAATTGCTCCAACTTCATGATCAACCTTGTTTCCAACTTGGTTGCTGTACACATCTATATCATGAAACACTTTGGGAAATTCGTCTATGCTTTTGTACCCAAGAACGTCACACAGTTCAGTTCGATATACCATGTTTTTGGATACGATCGAGATAAACTGTGTTTCCAGATGCATCTCTTCGCGTCGCGCTATTTCCAAATCGTATTCGAGTTGATATATACGATCTGCAATAGGTAGACTGGAATACACATCGACTGGCAGCATATCAATATGATAGGGTTGCTGTTGCAAACGGTATTGATAGTGATCTTCAGTATTAGCATCATCCAACTCGTGGCTAGATTGTGCAGTCTCTGTGTTGTGAATAAACGATTCAAATCCAGTATGTGGTAAATCAACTTGATTACTATTTTTAGCACTGTTGCAATCATCACTTTCAACTTGAGTTGGTTGGACTAGAACATCACCGCTCAATATCAAGTGTGCAACATACTCTTCCAAAAGAGCTTGTTCCTCTATTGTTTGCATAGCAGGAATCTGTGACTGCGATAGTAGTGCTGCAACAAGTTCCTTGGGGTCAGGAAATTGATTTGCAATCGCTCGAAGAATTAATTGTTGCTGTTTTATGGACAAGTCTTCAAGAGGTATATTCTCAACACCTTCTCCAAAAAGTTCACTCCAAGCTGCATCAAACCCTGGTGGTGCAACACCTGATCGTTCAAATACAACTTGGCCAGAGTAAGCGTTGGATCGATGAGACTTGCGACGTGAACCACCGTGTGCTAAAGACGCATCATCATCAAACCTGTGTCGACTGTTACTGGTAGTTCTGCCGTGATACTGCAAGCGATAGGGCAGTCTAGCCTCTACTGCTGCACACCTTCTGCATTCATGAGCCTTGATACCAGAGACATTCCGTGTCCGATGCGCAGGATCGCGTAAAGGCAACTTTCCACGATTCAGCAGTCTCTTTGCATGTCCATGTCGAGAATGTAACAAAGAACGGTCCAAATCATTCGAGTCAGCAACATCTTCATACCATTGATCATCAAATTGATCGGCAATCGCCTCGCCCTGATGAACAAGACTGCGAACAGCATGAAGCAATGGCTCCATTGTCAAATTACGGAAATGCTGGATAAGCTGTGGGTTAAACAAGGGAGAGTCAAGATATTCTGCATCTGCATCTGAATCGCCAGAGTCATCCGTGATTTCATTGATCAAATCGACTGGTTCTGATTTGTAATGGGTATCATGATTGACTAGATGCACAGGTTCTTGATGAGTATGCGATTGAACAAGTAGCTTATCAGAAGGCACAGGATCTGTAGCACACTTTTGAGTCGTTGGATCTGAACCAGGTTGAGTACGGCAAAAGTTTTGAAAAGACGCAACCGCTTCAGAAATATTATATTCGGCAAGGTCAATAGTTGGTTTCGCATCAAACGTAGCATTAGCAGATAATGTCGAAACAAACGATTCGAGTCCAGCAATCTGATTTGTAACTGCATCATCAGGATTACCAGTCTTGATGACCAGTGTCGCTGCAGCTGCAGAGCTCACAAGTGTGGCATATCCCATCGAAAGCATGTCCAATCGAACATTTTGTGAAACATCTATGTATACATTGCCAAGAATACAGCCATTTAGTTCATGAACAAGCGGTTCATTGACACCATCTGCATCACACAAGGCTGGATATAACGTAAAATCCACAACCGGTCGCAAGGCTCGTGAAGGAATATTCATTCCTCCAAAAATCTGACGCTGTACAGACAATAGAGTCATGGACACTCGTTGTAGAGCACCCTGAATGGCCGGAACATGAGATCTCCAATCATGAGAAGTCCAACAAGCTGACTCGCTGTTTTCTGCAACATTCAGTATATCAGCCATGGGCAGTGTTAGCACTGTCATAAGTTCTGAATCAGCAGATGAAGGATGGCGGTACAATGATGTACTGGCAGCTTTGCCTTTTTTCTTTTTACGACTAGACTTGGAGAATGATACTGGAGAGTCAATAGTAGCACCAGATTCGATTTTTCGTAAATGAACAATCTTTGCTTGCAGCCCAGCACACAGCATCTCAGCAGCAACACTCACACTCTCTATTGCATGATCGAAAAATGCGTCTGGATTACAGGAAAACTTGTCGGCTCCGAGTCCTTCAAGCACTGCAGGAATAAGGCTTACATCAAACTGAGCTGTATCAAACCCTTTGACTTTATCTAGTGCTTCACAAAGATGAGCATAGTTGCATATCGCGGGGGGTGTGACTTGCGTTTCAGAGTTCTCTAAATCATCCTTTGAATGAGATGATGCAATTGGAACCGACTTTTTGGAACTGGACTGACCGGACGAATCGTTTTCACTATGACCAGCTGTTGAAACTGATGATGGCTTTTGTGAATTGTGTAGTTTGGGACTAAACTTTGCCTTGGTTTGTTGTACTTTATGTTTTTTAGTCTTTCGACCAAAAATTGCTGGAACTTCATCCGCAACAGGCGGAATAGTGTGTACAGGCGTAGTTTTGAAAGGTACCTCGGAACTGACAGATGCAGATTCATCAGATATTGATTTAGAAACATTAACGGCTGTATTTTGACTAGATAAAGTAGATGGTTCTGTCTTGAAAGCATCCTTTGCAACAGATTGTGCATCAGCCTCAATAGAGTGATCTTTTGGCGTTTCAATCATGGTGGTTACTGTCTGTTTTTCCTTGAGTTTCTTCCTAGCGGCACGTTCTTGTTTTTTGGATAACTTGACAGTAGAAACAGTTGAAGTAGAATACACACTAATTGCAAGTGCGTGTTTGGGAGCATCTGGTTGAGCTTTTTCAACAGGAATAGCGGCTGGCTTTGGATCAAAAGGTTTAGTAGGTAGCACACGCCGAACAGTGGGTATAGATGACGAGTTTGTCAAAGGTTTTAAACTGGGTGTAGATGAGAGAAGAGGAAATTCGCTGTTTAACTTGGAATTATATAATGTGGTCGCATGTTTGTCTGGTATCAAAGATTTATCACTCTTGGTAGACGACTCAATGACAGAATCTGTTGTAGACTCGGAACAGTCATTGGTCGAGATATCTACAGAGTCGTTTGAAACTGAAAAACATGGTTCAACCAAGGGTGGAGGGGTGCTAGGTATTTTTGTAGCAGTGGAAGTTATTGCAAAAGTGTCTAATCCAGGTGGGAGGGAAATATGCTCAGGAGATTGAGAGGATGTAATAAAAGGCAACAAAGTTGATGTTGAAACTGACCCAGAAGACAGACCAATTATGGATGAAGCACTATTGGAGCGTGAAATATAGGCATTGCTTTTCAATATGGCTAGATCATAACTAAATGACTTTTGAATACGACTGGGAAAATTAGCAAACGAGTTTGTAGAAGGAAAAAATGAAGAGTTTTCAGTACGGTTTAATGACGATGAGAAAAATGGTGTTTGAAAAGAGTTGGCACGACAGTCGGGATTGTAAGATGTCGTGGAAATAAGAGGGTTGGAAAATAATGGCACGAGTGAAGAGTCAGTAGTAGTTTGACTAGATGTTTGTGCAAAAGTATCAAAAAGTAAAGTGGGTTTAGATGAGTCGGTTATAAAATCAGTAGATGGTCGGCTAGTCTGGCAAAGTATTGCAGTCGTAGCAGATGGCAGGGTAACTGATTCATCTAAAACTTTCCAAACGACTGCAGACGAGCTGATCCAAGAGGATTTTGCTGAAGTAGTTGTTGCTGCTGAAGCATTTGCTGTTGTTGGCGGGCCAGTGAAACTTTGGTCATGATATCCAAGTTTCCGTTCTTCATGGATTGCTGCTGCTGTTGAGACAGGCTCCCATTGATCAATTCCTCCCGACCGGCCTGCGGGAGGTCCTTGAAAAAATGCGACATTTGTTGTTGTGAAGCCATATCAGCATCATTCAAAAACACAGAATCGTCTTGACCCTTTTCAAACAGCCGTTGACGATTATGCGAAACTATATCGCCTAGATTTATCTGACTATTTTCTGTGCCAAGCCCTCCACGGTTTAGCTTCTGCTGTTGCCCACGCAACTGTAGCTCACGCAGCTGCTCAAGTTGATATTGAGCATTGTACCCAGCGTCCAAGTTGGTGGATCCCAACGTTTGTTGCTGCTGGGAGTACTGATTCAGCAACTGTTGCTGTGCCATACGAGCGTAGAGTTGCTGCTGGTGTGGAAACTGTTGCTGTTGCTGAATCTTGAGACGGTTGATCATATTCAGCTGTTGTTGCTGATGCTGCAACAGTTCCTGCTGACGCAGAGAAAGTGAAGCGGTTGCAGACACGGTCTGACTAGGCAAAAGTCCACCAGATTGAGAAAGTGCAGACATGCCAGCACTGCTGCGTAAATGTGAACGAGACGTCAATCCTGGATGGTTTGTCTGAGACTGCAAGGATGACATGGCACCATCGATATCGACACCCTCATTCCATCTACTTTCCTCTTGAGTGGAATTGAATCCATACGAAACACTAGAATCCAAGACACTATTACGCGGCGAGTCTTGACTACCCATTCTACTGCCTTGTGGCGGATGATTATCTGTCTGAGCCGCAGCAGAAAAGGAAGGTCGGGATTGTGTTGCTGCAGAGACCGCATATAGCGACATCAGAGGATTTGGTTGAAATGGATCAAACATGCCGCTGTAGCAAGGAACTAGGCGAGTGCCAATTTCTGATAAAAAGTCAGGAACAGAAACTGGAGATGAAATGAGCGACGTGGCAGAAATAAAAGAAGCTCGCTCCTTTTTTGACAAGGATTGACGAGGCATATCGAATGATAATACTGGAGTAGTATGAGTGGGTGTCAAGAGTTCACCACCCAAAACTTTGGAGCCTAAAACTTGAATAATGGGTGAGACCGATGGATCAGATCTAGCAGTGTTTTCATTTCCCGTTTGATCGGATGGCGGAGTATTTGACAAAAGCTGTTGTTCAGATGCTGAAAATGCAGACGTTTCTTGAACTGATTGTGAGGCTGTTTCAGTTTCTAAATGTGACTCGACCTCTGGTGACACTTCGGATTCAAATGAGGGAACAGGCGAAGATTGGCTATTTGATGCTGGCGCAACCACTTCTGATATTGTTCGCTGTTTCCGCCGCTTGCCTGATGTGTGTGGATGTGCATCAGAGCCATACACTACTGATCGCTCAGGTTCTAATGCAGGATAGTGTCTTGGATCATTAATATCCAGGGGTACCTGCTGATGGGTCTCGGAGCCAGATTCAGAGTCACCGTCAGACATTCCACCCATCTGTTGTGATAGTGTTGGAAACTGCTTGTGGTTATTGAGCGGAATTGTTTTTGCCCTATCCATTTAATAGTAAATTAGCCTTTTATTCGGCAGTATGGTTGATCAAACAGATTGATGTCCAACTTCAATATAGTAAACTGTACAAACACATCAAGGACGACATACCAACTAACAGTCGCAGGTAATGCAGTTTCCTCCTTTTCCTCTCTGCGAGTAGAGGGAAAGGGTGGAAGACGTTGACCAGAGCGTTCTCGACTATCAGGATAGACGACAGTTAGTATCAAGTTGAGAGTTATTCAGTAGTAGATTTAGAATACATACATGGTCTCGTCCTTGATATACGTGTCGGCTTCCTCACCTGGCTCGTGCAGAAACTGACATCCTACATTTTGACAAGGCTGGTTTTTAAGAAAGTAAGAACAATACTTTGTTGTTCCATACGTTGCACTAAATAAAAGCAGTCAGTAGCCTGACAAAAAACCAGACCAAATAGTGATTTAATACAACGTACCGAACGACTCTGCCTTCACAAAGACTGCCATCGACAGCATCGATTGCACGAGTAGCATCATCCTTGCGTGCATAGGTGACGTACACACCATTGTTGTTTGAAGCAGGGGACATGGACACATTATGAGGTTGAACACGACGATTGACGACAACCTTTGTAATTTTTCCGTACTGACCAAAGTAGTCATGGGAGCGAAGAATCTTAAAATACAAGATATAAGCAGGATGAATAAAAAGTAGAGCAACAGAATGTATAAAGATAAACCGACCTCATCATTTTGCAGTTTAGGGGGCAAACCCAGCACATAGACCAGATTTTTTTGAACGACTCTCACATTAGCGAGTTGTTTTCTGGCAGCAAGATCGTGTTCCTTGCGCTCACGCTCCTTCTTCTTTTTAGCATTTTTGAGTCTTGCGACTCTGAAGATAGATATGAAAATAGAGTGAATAACAAGACATGAATAGAAAGTCAAGGTTGAAACTTACTCTTCAGGAGGAACAGGTTTGAACTCTATCGAGTCTTCAGAATAAGGACGACGACAAGCAGGACAAAGACCATTCAAGTTATTTTTAATATGATTCCAGCAGAATCGACAGATCTGAAGCCATACAGTAAATTGATGAGAAGATGTGATGGAAGACAGTACAAGACAGTAAAGAAAGCAAGGATAGTTTTTCAAGACGTTCAAGAGATGATAATGTGTTGATACAATAACAGACAGTTTCAAAGCTCAACAGTTTATGAAGCACACACAGCAGTAGTGATAATAAAAGAGCAATTCATTATTACCTGATAACCACAAGGACAAGGTTTAAAGTACTTGTCGGATATATCAATTTCCTCCATACAAAGAGGACAATCAAGGTCACCTTCATCCGAATACGACATGGTTTAATAAGTGTTTAAAATGCAGTCAAGGTTGATAAAAGAAAAAACAGTTGATTTGTAGCGATATTGAAGCAGAATCAAGTTTTTGTGACAGTTAAGGCGAAACAATAAGAAATCAGCGCAGTTTTAAGAGTGCAAATTGGTGTTTTTTTACACTTGATTTTTAGTGTTGATTTTTAGTATTGAATTGAGTATTGAATTGGTATTGATTTTAGTATTAGAATTGAGTTTGATTCTAATACTAAAATTCAATATTAGAATTCTTGTTGTTGTTCTCTTGAAATTTCTTTGCTTTAAACTCTCTTTTATTTATTCATATCAATCTTCTTGTTCCATCATCTTCTTGGTTAATCTACACTCTCTTTAATTTATACAAATCTCATGTTTTTCATATCAAAAACTTCTTTAAAATAATTGAAACAGTCTCTTGTTTAATACTAAAAGAATCATTTCAAAATATAATGTATATAACCAATAAATATGTTTCTCTCCATTGTTGTTGTCTGTAAAAATGATCAATTCATTCATCAAAAATTTAAAACACGCGAAGGGTCTTGCTGGATTAATACCATACTATTGGATCTTATACTCAATACATGACTTAAACTCTTGATGTTTGCAATTGTAAAAGTCTCATGTAAAATACTCTAGATTGTTGTAATAACTGATTGGCATACAAGTGTTTAAATCATCATCTTGTTAAACTTGTAGTCTTGGATTATATTCTAAACAATGTTTCATTGATTTGTGTCAATATCTTGTCAAGCATCAATTCTTTCATGAGTTGAATATGTATTAAAATAGTCTTGTAAAAATACTACATTGAAACCCTGTGCCACTTTGAGTTTCCATCAACAGTCTAACCCTGTTATTAACCGTATTATACTCTTGTAATATGCGAGTAAATCGTAATAGACTCGAGTCGGAATGAACTTGGTCAAGATATATGAGTTGTACAACATCATGCATGGATAGAAATACAATGGTCAATTTTGCCATGATAAACGCCAGTGCCGAATGGGTTGAATCAACATGGTTTCGTGATCAACCATCTGCTATGAATACCAAGCCTTTTCCTGCTTCGTATTCATCGCTCGTGCTTTGTTTCTTGTTTGGAATTCACAACATTAGTAAGACTGTAAGTGAAATATCCATCATGAATGCCCTTGTACCCACTCATGCTTGTTTTCGTAGCGCTCTCTGCTTGACTACATATTTATCAACACACTTCCTTCTGTCGTTTAAAACTTCACATTTTGATATCCACCAACTATCGATGTTTCTAATTCAATGATTCTGAAAACACTTGGCAGATTTAACCATTACTTCAAAATCTCTTTTTTTATTGACTTGTTTCTGTTGATTAGATTGGGTTTGAATAGAAGGGTTTGTATTCAACCCACTGTCAATCTACTTTATTCGAACCCATTAAAAGGTGAGTTCATACTACTACAATTCACTATTCAATCATGCATGATGTGTCAGATTGCATTTTTATTTCAACATCTTTCATACCAACTGTTATTCTCATCATGAATGTCCAGTTGACCATTTAAAATCCTCAAACCTACTAAAATACGTGTGATGAAGTTGTCTTGATTATATCCTCATAATTATCATTTGTATTCAAAGTTCATTTTAAACCAACACTTTGACATTCTATTAAACAGAATCTGGTGGTTTTACCAACTCTTGTATTTCCTTTATTCAACTCAACACTCTTGTCCTTTTATATTAACAACTACTTCAGCTCATCTCTACATTCTAATATGACCCACCGCGGATTCTCTACTGACACTGATCTAATCAACTCCAACTCAAAATCCCAGCCTTCTCTCTTCACAACACCTGCCTACTCTTCACATCACACTGGTCCTACCGCCATGAGCTCACATTCTTTTTATGGCCAATCTGTTTGGCCATCATCTACTACACAACACTATCCACATACTACTATAGAGGATCGTTCTCATTCACTACATCCTGAACATCGGGATTTTCAAATGGATTCTTCACATGTGTCCTCCAACTCAACCTCCATCGCGCCAATTCATCGTCGTTCTCTACACAAGTCACCCATCCAACACGGTCAAAATGCAATACATTATATCGACTCGGACCATCATCGCACTAAAAAATACCGTCAGTTTCAAAATCCTACATTGTTTTCATCTTCTGCACCTTCCTCTGCCATTAAATTTCGAGCACTCCAACCAGATCCTCATCATTCTAAACCCGACATCTCACTCGACACACCATCTGTATCACATTTGTCTAAAAATACTTTGTCTGCTAACGAGTCTAGCATTCGTCATTCTGATGCTAGCAAAAATACTGATCCGTCTAATACTTTGAGTGCTATCAGCAATGTAAACCAAACAAATACTCCTTTAGTCGACAAACATCCAGTCTTGGAAACACATACTACAGATGAATTAAAAGAGCTTGATCAGCCCAGTAAAAGTCCTGATATTCTTCGGCGATCAATGCGACTGCAAACTCGAGATACCTCCTTGTCAAATCGATCATCCTATGCTGATGCTTCTGGTTCGTATTTTGCACCATCTATATTTTATATTGTCAAATAGTCATTATTTTAATCGCATGCTGTTTTCATATTACATGATTCCATTTTTCAAACCGTGTATTGTCCATTACGGGCCATCACTATCAATCCCAATCAATGTTTCATAAAAATACAGATAGCGATTCCAGTATTATTATCTCGGAAGAGGAAAAATTGCAAAGGTAAATGTTTACTACACAGTTGAATGATGCATCCTTGAAAAAAGAGTTGGAGAGATTGATCTGCTCAAGTGTTTAACATTGCATCATCCATCTTTTTACATGCTTGACTACTATACATAGAGAAATTATGGCCCAATCAAAATTATCTGGTCATTCTTCTCCCAGCACTTCTGAACTTAACCTGTCCCCAAAACCTGCTTTGGTCACTAAAAAAACCAAACATTCGAACCAAGATGGTATAGAAAATGGCTCTGTTGTTTCAACCCGATCCAGTCCATCCAGAGCCCATTTAACGCGATCACCAAGTAACAGCAATGCCATCAAATCCACTCATGGGTTTAAAAAACTTGGTCTTGTATCACACGGAAATGATACCAAGATTAATAATAAGCGAGAGTTTAAACAAGGTGATGCTTTTACTTTAACCAACAGCAGTGCATCCGCTATTACAACAGAAAGTCATCGCTCCAAGAGGGCAGTTCAGGCACGAGCATCATCTAGTGCAAAACATTCCAAGCCTGTCTTTCAATATACACTACAAGGTGGTGCATCAGATGAGACAACTCCATCTACGCAATCTGATAGAAATGGTGCCATTTTGGAACATACCAAAAAAGTTCAAACCGTGTCGGCACCTATTATACAGCGTGGCTCTGCCAGTCGTAGTGACAAATCGGTTGCTTTTTACAATGATAAATCCCTTTCTTTTCGATCTCTTGGAATGTGGGTCAAGCATGGTGATGTAGTCAATACATTTGACAAGCATTTGAGTGCGTATACGTTTTCTCATGGGTTTCATTTAGGCGATCTGGGGTGGATTGCTTGTAAATCAACTCAACTGGAAACTTCCATGTGGCCATGTATCGTGCTACGCAAATATCGTGTTGGGAAATCTAAAACCTTTGAATCCATTACGAAAAAGGATTCTCGTAATGCCAACAACAGACAGGACGCACAGCAAAACCACTTCATCGACTATAGGAATTCTCATGGTCGTTCACTTGAGACTTTACATCCATCAGCTTACAATTACTCTTCCAGTTTACATTTCAATTCAAATGAACTCGACTCTAGCACACACTCTATACGTCCGACTGAAACAAGTCCAAACCCTTGCAAGACTAGACCCAACTCTGCTTCTGCTATCGACAATCATTTTTTTAAAGAATTTCACCATTCCATTGATCAACAAAAAAATGGTCACACCCTTGACTCTTTGACTGAGAAATCCAGATCCAGATCCAAGTCTTTGGTTATACAGGGAAATGTAGGGGTTAAAAATATGCAGTCTACCCATGCCACATCATCCGTTTTAAATGATGGACGTTTTAAAAATCCACAAGCTGAACTTACAGTGGATTGCCATGACTTGCATGCACGTTCCAATCGACTGATGGATGATGGCTCTTTTATCGGATCTCCATCTAGGCTATTACCCCACACTACACCCCATCGCAAATTGAATTCAGTACAGTCGACAAATAACTTGTCGTTTTTGGAACAGTTTAAATTATTCCGCAAGCCTGGTGGAAACAGATTTAAATATCTTGTACGGGTTTTTCCTATCAAACATCTGGCATTGTCTAAACAAAATGGAGCTCATATCGACAAGAGCGTGTCTAGTCCTGAACTATCCACCATGTCGGATGTGATGGTTAATGATGATCAGTTGCTGCCTTATCTCATGTACGAAAAAGGAGTGTCATCTAATATTCTCTCAAACAGTGCTGTGGTTTCAGCAATTCAGCTTGCCAGTTCGTGGGCAGTTCCTGGAGTGTCTGAGGATTCGTTTGAAATGGAAAAAGAAACGGATGACGAGGAAGATGCTGCTGATCAAGATATAATTGAGCAGTATAACCAATCTCGTAGTTATGACAACACGGATCGGATTGATAAACAGCGTAGAAAAAACGCTGTATTAGTTGAACACATTGCTGCTCCACCCTCTTCAAGTCGATCGTTTTGTTCGCGGATGAATATCAAGTTGCCTCGTTCATGGACTACTACGCCTACTATGATACATGCGCATTCTGAGCCTGATACGCTTCATGACTTGAATCCATACTCTCATCTTCAAGATCACGATAGTTTGCCTAGATTACATCATCCTTCTAGTCATGATACATCACCCAATACTATGGTACTTGGTGAGAGTTTGTCGCAAAAAACAGGTCGTTTACGTCTTGCTCCACCTGTTCGACGAGGAGACTATCACCATGCATATCATCCATACAACACGAGTCACACACCAGTAGAGCGACAACGTAATCGACATTATTTTCAGCCCACAGTATCTTCTAGTACCAAGACATCACATGTACAGCCATTGACACCAACCGTCCACTCGACGTTACCCAAGCATGCATTTGGACATTGGGTATCACCAACATACAATAAAAGGTCGCTTGCTTATGTAGCTCAAGATTTGGATTCAAGACACACACAACTTGACTATAACTCATCCCGACACCATCCGTTGCCGACGGTCAGAAATGATCCTTTACGTCCAAGTTCAGGAGATGGGGATTCCATATCAGGAGTTCAAGAACTATTCATACGATCGGGTCTTTCTGGACATAACTGTAAAGAAAAACTAATGCGACCTGTACCAGTTACTAGAATGATAACACGATTCCGATTGGGAGCCGAGTACATCCATGTAGGAGATGTTGTGCGACTTGCGTTGCCTACAAGCAAGCAATCCCGAAGCAAAACGCACTATACCAATTATTTTGGAACCGGAGGAACCTCTACACACAAGTCGACATACTCGACATCAGAACGGTTTTTAGTAGTGCATCGTATCATTAGCATTGAAGAGGAACGACCCACGCGTGGTGAGTATGTCAACATGGGATTAGATCGAGCTTACAATGATGTATGTGGACCGATCCATAGTGATGGTACAGTACAACGAAACCGAATTCGACGTACGTTGGAACTGGAGATGAACGAGTGTCGTAAGATACTAGAAAGTAGAGAGTTGTATGTGCATGGACCTTTTTGGCGATCAGCTGCGGACGGACTTGGTATGGATTTAATTGATCCTGTCCGACAAGACAATCTATCCAATGTTAAACTATGTGGACTACTGTATACGATTGAACCTGAGCAAACTGAAGCGACTGAATTGGATAAAGTACGAACATGTTGGAACGAAGCTGATGGATTAGCGTGTTCCAGTTCTCATGGGATGAACAGTGAACTTGAAAAGCGAGAATGGCGATGTAGCCAAGTAGTTGTTACAGTAGATAAAAATGAGGTAGCAGGACGTTTCCACTGGCAATTTGGAAGTAGTGAATGTGTATATAGACCCATTCCAGTAGTTGAAAAGGCTAGATGGTAAATAAATAATTATACTTGTGAATAGGACATGGAATAGTGATGAATAGAGTCCAACGCGAATACTGTCTATCTGGACATGTTGATTCTATAAAGCCAATCATGACAATTCATTTGAAGCGGTTTAAAATAATCGCTCATCTGACTACATGTGCTAATATACAAGACAAGATAATCAAAAGTAGCGACTTGAAACAATTTCAGCTTTTATTTTCCATAAATAACAAGCCATTGTAACACTTTATTCAAACCACAACAACTATGGTAAGAGTCCAACACTATTCTTGTAATGAAAAGGGGTTGACATGGGATGAGTGTTTGTATTCAATAAAGAGTGGATTCATTGATGATTCTACAAGTGATTGTTTTTACAATGAACTTGATAGATCAGTTTATTGTACACCATTGAGTTGAGGTTTATCAAGACTAACACTCTGCTCGATAGTCTTCTGGAGTTGGTATTCACGATGATGTTATTGCTCGCTTTGAGGAGATGAAGTTACGCCACCAACATGCTTACATTGTCTGCAAGGTGTCTGCGGATGGGTCTCAAATCGTAGTGGATCAAATCCTTTCTACTGCAGAATCCCTTTGTCTCGGAACAGAAGCCACTTATGCCAAGTTTGTTCAAGCTCTTCCAGAAAAGGAAGGAAGATACGGTATTATGGATTTAAAGTATGATATTGGTCTTGAAGGTCTTCGAAACAAACTGATTTTTATTAGTTGGTAAGTCCAAGTTGATTAAATCAATGAATTCCTATTGGATTCATATTGTATTTCATACTGATTCCAAGTTGTGTATGTATCAAGGAATCCTGATTCTGGATCGATCCGATCTCGTATGATATACGCTTCATCCAAGGCTGCTCTGTGTCAGCGTCTTGATGGAATTCACAGTGAAGTTCAATGCACGGATGCATCAGATGTGTCCTTTGAGTCGGTGTTTGAGAATGTTGCTCCCAAAGGAGCGATTCCTTTTAGCAAGCCTGCTACTCCCAACGAAGAATAAATTGTCATGTGTTCCTCAGGAAAATATTCATGAGTTGATTTACTTTTTTTTATACTCGATTTCAACCATTGATAACATTATGATATCTTACTCTCCCCATACAACCGAGTCAACTCTCTTAGAACCTCATAGTGGGGCATCTACTATACGCTTCACTTGTCTATCTGTAAGTGACTGCTTGAGTGGGTTGTGAATCATTCGAGAAAATTCATTCATTTTTTATATCCAATAGTGTCATGTTGCATTTCCAACAGCAGATGCTCAGAGAGCACATATGAAGACCGATTGGCATCGATACAATCTCAAGCGTAAAGCTGCAGACCTTCCACCCATAACAGCCGAGACGTTTGCTCAAAAGCTTCAAGAGCAGCAACTCAAATCCAGTCAACAGCAACAACAAGCTATGCAACCCAACGAATGCCATATATGTAATAAAGTATATGCTTCTACCAATGCATACAAGAGTCACTTGGCATCAAGAAAGCATCGTGACATGCAAGTCAAGGTTGCCTCGACTCCTGTAACTGAATCAAGCCAAAACGACCAACCTGTTGAAAAGAACCCAGAAAAAATCCAACGAGCCAATTGGCAAGAGCGATTGATTGCTGCTACGACTCAAGACGAATTTGAGGCTATTATGAAGGAGAAAATGGAAGCTGTAAAGCCGCTTGAGGAAACTGATTGTCTGTTTTGTTGTCATGCAGCAGATTCATTTGAATTGTATGTATTGACAAGGTTGGATTATACTGAATTGTACTGAATTGTATCTAATGCATAGTGTGATGGTGTATTGAAAATATGAATGATAGAAACTTGGAACATATGACCAAGGCCCATTCATTCTTTATTCCAGATGCCACGTATTTGGTAGATGTTAAAGGTTTGATCAAGTATTTGGCTGACAAGATTGCTATTGCCAATGTATGCATTTTCTGTAACGGAAAAGGTCGTGCCATGCACTCTACTGAAGCTGCTCAACACCATATGGTAAGATACTTTCAAATAACATGTTATAATCCACCATGTACTCATTCTGGTGATGGTTTAGATTAGTAAAGACCACTGCAAGATGGCCTATGAGAATGGTGAAGATGAAGAATATGCAGATTTCTATGATTTTAGTCCCATGTATTCTGATGAAGAGACAAACAGTGACGAAGAATGGGAAGATGTTGCTGAAGCCATGACAACCACGACCATTTCAGGAAGACGTCGTCCAACGTAAGTCATGTATTGGATTAGTAATGTGACATTGCTAACCTTTATCTCTGGTATTTAGTCGAGCTCACATATCTGAGAATGAAGTTGAGCTTACTCTCCCATCTGGTATCAGTATCGGTCATCGATCCTTCCGTACTTATTGGAAACAAAACCTGAGACACAATGAAGTGGTTGCAGGCAGCAGACAAGATCCTGAAATGATTCGTCTCATGTCAGGACAACACAATCTCTTGGAACATACAACTGGTAACGGTCTGTCATCCATGTCAGTAGCAGCTCATCAACAGCTTCAAATGCATAAAATCAGACAACGCGAATCAAGACTCCAACATCGCAGAGAGTACGAGTTTAGAACCAAGATTGGGTTCATAGGCAACAGTCAAAAACATCTTGTGGATCCTTCTCGACCCACATAGAACCAAGTTGTGTTGAATAAAAGATGTTTTTATTTAAATACAAGGTTTACCCATAAAATTGATGTTTGAGTTGAATAGTTTATAAGATTGTCATTTCAAGATACTATTTCCTTTACATCTCCAGACAAAATAAAATCTTCTACATCGCATCGTCGTACAAACAACTGAGCACCTGGATCAAGTCGAAGGGTTCCGTCATCCGTGGCAATCTCACCACAATCTCTTATTACTCGAATCTCAACAAAGACTGCATTGGGAGGAATTAAACCCATTCCCAAATCCAAATCCAAAAAATAACCTCTAAACTCGCTGGCCAACGTCTTGTATCCATTTACAAACTGGGCTTCATGACCTGACATGCATTGAGTGACTTGATCTGAAAGTGTGGATGCCGTGCTCGCACCACCCGGTGCATTCCATAACATTTCTACCAAACGATCCAGTCTCTGTCGTTGATAAGCCAACACACACCGTTTGTTTCTAGCCAATGCCAACGTATGCAAAGTACAAGCCGTCTCAAGAGGTACAATTGCTGCAAGAGGTTTAACACTGACATCCTTGGGTCTCAAACCTTGAATAGTAGATTCAAAGATTGCAAGCTGACTTTGTAAATGTTTTGTCTCCAAAAGAATATCTCGTACAAGGTCGTCCTTGTACACTGCAAGTGTAGACATATCTCGAGATCTTACTGCTTCTTTAACAAGCTTTAGTGCTGTTTCGCCATAGCATTTTGTAGAAATTTGATCAGTTGAAGTTGTGTGAGTCGATACTCTTGTCGAGTCTCGTTTTGATGATTGTTTTCCTCCATCCTTGCATGTCGAGTCCTTCATGTTTGTGTAATTGTCAAGTCCGACTTTTGGTCCGAATTGAACAATTTATTTGGTTTAAAATCTTGATTTTCTGATTCTCATCGTTTCATTACAATCGTATTCACATGCATGATAAACAGTCTCGTATTGAATGACCATCTCATCCAATAGAATTGTTTTTTTAAATGATTTGGATTGACTGGTTCTTGTAAAACATTAAATGCTCACATCTTGTTTCAACATATTCTTGACATGGTTGGACTCGGAACCCCTTGACATGTATAGTTGTATAGGTGAAATGGTTGAATTAGAATATCAACGAATTCGAGATTTCATACAAAAAGTCATTAATATTTAGCAACATTGTTTAACCATGTTTATTCCAAGATCAATACAAAAGTGCTTGATTTTATGTCAAGATGACTGTACACATCCACAGTACAGTTTCAATGTGTCGTGTTGATTATAATCCTCAGATTATCGCCTTCGTTTTATTGATAACCGACGTTCGGTTTCTTGTTGCAATCGTTCTTCTTCTGCATCTTCCCGTTTGGCAATACGCGCACTGGAATTGAAGCAGTAGAAATGGGTTAGAGAGTGGTATGAAGGGGTGATGATAAAAACACATACCTTTGTTTTTCCTCGCGATCCAAAGTGGAAAAGCCGACTTCCATATCTGATCCTGAATCAGAATCTAAACCGTATTGACGTGATGATCCAGTACTAATTGGTAGATAAACAAGAGTGAGTTGAATTGAAATACAAGCACAAGTAAAACATAAAACATACGCATTGCTTCCACCACGACGAAACATTTGCTGGATAATCGACGAAGTATTTTTTGCAACAAACTCAGAATCAAGGATGGCTTCGTCTAGATTATAATGGTTAGGAGCCGACGAGGAAGGCTTTTTGTGAGGGGGTGAAGAGTGTCGTTGTTGCTTGGTAGGTCTATCGTATGACAGACTGTCTTTTTTGTGAGGATCTGGTTTGGGATGATGTCGTTTGACAGAGGGTTGCGACGAATGATCTTGACTTGATCTGGACATGGCATGTGTGTTGGATTGAAAGGATTCGATACGACGCACAGGTGGGGCAGTGATGGTTTGACCACTAGCAAGAGATTTTTGATTTTTTGAAATGACGGGTTGCGAGAGATTGCGATGCGTGGATGCGGTGGGGTGATGATCTTTTGAAGAGCCAATAGATTGAAGACGACGTTGACGTAGTTCATCGAATCGAGCCTCTATATCTTGTGGACGAGGAGCAGTTCGTTGAATGGCTTTCAAGTCGGGTGGAGGAGGTGGCCGTGATTTTGAGGCTCGAGAAGTGGATTTAACAAGAGATCTTGACTGTTTCAAGGAATTTGATAGACTGTTGGCTGAACTGGTATTGGGTCGCGATGGGATTGAAGATATGTTGGATGCAGGCATAGTCTGACGAGGCAATTTATTTGTATTTGGATATGTAGACTGTTGACTTAAATGCCGACTCAATTGCGAACCTAAAGGCGGCTGTTTAGATCCCATAGAGGGGAGCATCACTAGCACGATGACTAGTTGGAAGACTTTGAGGGTTTTGAGAGAGAGACGAAGCAGCAGAACCCAGACTAGTTTTTCGAGTAGTATTTTTGGAAGATGAATGAATTAGGAGTTGAGTTGATTTTGGATGGTTAGAGCGAGCAGGTTTTGTACAAGACAAATTCTGTTCAGCAGCCAGTTCGTTAGCTTTTGCCATACGCATGAGTTGAGCAAAGGACAAATTAGCAGATGGAGTAGGTTTTAAAGTAGACTGAGAGTCATGACGAGGAGTATCAGATGAACGAGATTGAGGTTTACGATGGGATGAAGGGAGTTTCTGAGTATGACTTGAACTCTTTGAAGTTGACTTTATACGAGAAAGTAATCCAGGAGATAGAATAGAGTCAGGCAACTGAGCAGCCTTTTGTTGAAAGTCTTGCATTCTTTTTTTAGTTATATCGTTTGAATTCATTATGAGAGTATAAAGAAAGTTGAGAAAAATGTAAGAATGATTATAAAAACCAAAGAATTAAATTGGAATGAATGGATTAATAAATTGACTGATGAAATGAATGAATTGACTGATGAAATGAATGAATTGACTGATGAAATGAATGAAATGAATGAATGAATCAATAGAATAGAATTGAATAGAATTGAATGAATTGAATGAATGAATCAATAAATTGGCTGATGAATTGAATGAGTTGAATGAATGAATCAATAGAATGATCAATACGCGAAGTCGAGTTCAAGTCGAGATTGATCTCAACTTCAACCATTCTTATTCAAGTCATTGGCATCTTGCAGGCTTCAGACCCATTATGACTGATTCTGATGCTGTTCAACAGCCTGTTTCGCAGTCGATTCTAGAACTGCAACGTCGTCTTCAACAAGCATCCATGACTGTATGTGTTGTTATTCAAGAATGATTCAAGTATTATTACTAAGTTATGTATTTAGTCTCTAGCAAGGAATGCTCACGAGCATCACTCCAGTGCTGAACTACCTTCTAATCACTCTAAAAGTGCTACTGCTAAAGGCATCGACTTGCACAGTCAAGACAACTTTCCATCTCTGCCCATCTCTTCTACGACTTCTACTTCGAATCGTCCTGTATGGAAACCTCCTACTATGACACCTTCTTCTAACCATATCACCGAACACTTTGAAATCCCTCCACAGATGCAGGTAATGTTCATAAAATGTTCATGAAATATCCATGAAATATTCATAAAATATTCTTGAATTGTCTTGATTCTTCTCGCTTGTGATCTTCTAAAAACTGTTTCTTTTCTTGTTCATTCTTTTTTTCCATTACAATTCATCTCGTCGTTTTATATGTATTGGACTTGCAATCTTGTCTTTTATAAATCTGTTTGGCTTCAAACTCATCTTGAAAAATATTCCATTTCTTGATTTTTCATTTTATTGCTACGCCAGTTGAAACAGCAGCTTGGAAAACAGTCCTCGTCGTTTGAGATTTGCAAGGGTATTATGCGTCGCATCGGAACTTCCATCGAACTGTCCACTAACCAAAAATCTGGAACCCTTACTGTTCTCATCTCGGGCAATCCAAAGGCTGTTAATCAGGCTAGGCGTGAGGTTCTTCACGGACTTTGTGCTCAGGTATTCAATCCATCTTGTCTTTATCTTGCTTTTAAATCCCACATTCTCATTCATCTATATTACAGATCACTCAGCAAATTTCAGTTCCTGCATCCGTACGATCTTTTATTGTTGGAAAAGGTGGCCAAACTCTCAAAGGAATCACTAGTCGCACTCTCACTGAAATCAATATCATTCGTACAGATAAACCTAGGGATGGAAATACGCTTGATATCGATCCTTCAACAATCGATCCCTTTGCTGAGCAGACTATCACCATAATTGGTGATCCCGAAGGTGTTGCCATGGCTCAAAAGGAAATCGAAATGATTGTTGCTGCTCGTGTATGTATCATTGCTTGCTTTGTTTTAATCATCACTTTACTCAATCTATTCCATAATTTTGCTATTATACAGACAAGTACTCATATTTCTCGCGTAAAAGTCGATCGATCTTACCATCAGTTTATTGCTGGTCCCGGTGGTTGTGCCATTGCGGCTCTTCAGGACGAACATGGTATCAAGATCCATATCGCACCAGCTGATGCTGTATCATCCAACACCGATATCAACGATATCGTTTTGGTCGGCGACCGTTCCGCTGTGTTGCCCGTTCTCGCAAAAATCACCCAGCAGTATGAAGATCTGGTATGATTTTAGTTTACTACTTGCTCTTGTTTATTTGAATAATCGTATTGTCTTTCACCAGTATGACTAATATTGTGTGAATCTATTTAGAAACGCTCCACTCGATCAATTTCAGTCCCCATCAAGAAGCAGCAGCACCGGTTTATTTTTGGTCACAAGGGCTCTGCTCTACAAGAAATTTTCACTTCCACCAACTGCATTGTTGAAATCCCACCTGCATCTAGCGACAGTGACGTCGTATTTGTTCGCGGTCCTGAAAACATGCTCACCATCGCACTTCAACTTGTTTTGGAAAAGGTATGATGATGTGATATGTGACAAGGTTTATTTTGTTCTTATTTTTATTTTTACAATCAACTGTACATTAGACAAATTCAATCTTTATGGATGAAATCCCCGTTGCTACTTTTTTGCCAGCAACCCTCAATGCCAACTTTATGATTCAATTCTTGATCAAAGATCGCATACAGTTCAAAGCAATTGAAACCGAACACTCTGTCATCATCGCTTCGTCTCTAGCTGCCAATGGAAAACCTGCTACAATAGATGTTTTGGCAAAATCCAAGGAAAGCATGCTTGCTGGTAGAAATGCTGTTGTTGCTCTTCTCAAGGAAAAGGGACATGCTATTTACCTGAACTCGTTTGATATATCCAGTGAATTACATGGATACGTCATTGGAAAGGGTGGCCAGAATATCATAAAACTAATTGCCAAACCCCAATGGAACGGTCGTTTGGTCAACGTCATAATGCCTAATGAAGACAGTAAGAGCGATCAGGTCATTTTGGCCATCAAGCGCGATGCTACTATCCCTGCATTGGCTGCTAGCAACACGGAAGCACTTGCACTGTTTGAATTGATTAAAAATGATATCATCGATACTGCCACTGCCAACGCTGATGTAGTTGTCAAGACACTCTTGATTGACCCTCGATTCCACGGTAGACTTATTGGCTTTGGTGGTGCTACATTCAGAGACATTGTTTCTCCCTACAATGGCTCGGTTTCCATCAAATTTCCTGCTTTGCACGACAAAACTGACGCTGCTTCCACTGCGTCAAAATCTTCCAAACCCAACGGATCCAAGGACTCGGCATCCAACTCATCCGAAGTTGTTATCAAGGGTCCCCAGAAAAATGTTGAAGAGGTTTGTCATACTATTGAGAAACTTGTTGCGGATATGCGCCATCTTGAAACCATTTCGTCTTTCCGTGAAAAAATGACTGTTCCCAAAACCCATGTTAGTCTTTTAATGAGCTTTGGTCTTGGCCGGACTGTGCGTGCCATTCGTGAAAGGTTTGCAAATCAATCGTTGAAACTCCTTCCAGCCGAAAAGATATTTGAAAAGGATCTTGCCACGCCAACTAGCATGCTTCATCTTTCAACTGAAATCACAACCACTACTGGTGGAAATGATACTCTAACCATTACTGGGCCCAAGACGTTTGTTCTTGCCGCTAAAGAAATTCTTTCTGACCGCCTTGAAAAGCTGGCTAATTTTGCCGAAGTTCATTTCAATGTCTTTGACGAGATGTCTGCCGAGGCTCGACAGGTTTTACAAGACATGGGTGCTGAATTCAAGCAATCTGCTTTCCGTCGTTTGGTTGGTAAGGATGCTAAGCATCTTAAAAAGTTTTCCGAACAATACGACGTGTATATCAAAACTCTGAAAACTCGTACTGACGAGACGGATGAAGAGAGTGCTGGTGCTGAAAATTCCCAGTCACTTGGTACTCTAAAGATTGAAGGCAACAAAACAACTGTCAAGGATGCCAAGCGTGATATTATTGCTTTTGTACAAAACGATGTTTTGCACTCGTTCCGTTTGACGTTCCACTTTCCTCGCTCTGCGTTGCCCCACGTTGTCGGTCGTGGTGGATCTCGTTTGACCAAACTCAAGGAGGATCTAGAGGCCCGGGTGGATTTGAACGATGATTATGAAAGCGATCAAGTCAAGTGTACCATTTGGGGTCGCAAATCGGAATGTCTGGAACTCAAGCGCAGAATTGAAGATGCCATTGATAAGTTGGTAAATATTGATACTGTCAATGTAAGCATTCCTTCTTTCTTGCATCGTCATATTATTGGGCCTGCTGGCTCTACCATTCGTAAACTCATTGACGAAGCTGGTGGTCCCGATCAAGTCAAAATCAACTTTCCAAAGAATGGGGATGGTTCGGATGAAAATGTAGTTGTAGTTACTGCACATTCTAGCAGTGTTCACCAAGCTGTGTCGCAACTGATGCAACTGGTTGCTCAGGTAGTGGCACATGGTGGAAATGGAACTGACCAAGTCAAGGCCGCTACATCCATATTTTCCACTGTATATACAGTTGAAGATGCTCACAAGGTTCAAAAGGTCACTTTTCCAAAAGCTGATATGTCGTATGCCTTTGGACGATTGCGCGATGGGCTAATTGATCTTATGCGCAAGCATGGTGTTACCATTTGGATTGAAGAAGATGAAGCTACTGCTAGTATTCATGCTCACATTGCTGGGGGTGAACAATCGGAAAAGCATGTTCAGCAATGTGCAGCAGCTATTCTCTCTCATCTTCCTGTTTCCAAAACGGTTGCGCTTCCTGTCGAGATTTTGGAAATCCTTCAAGTTGCGGGTACTGAGCAAGTACAAATGCGCGAATCCATCAACGAACATCTTCGTCGGATCCGCAGTGATCATGGTGTGACCATTGAATTTCCCAACAGTCCTGCCAAATCTACTGAAGGTAGCTTTATTTCTATTCGTGGTAGCAATCAGAAAATGGATGCAGCGATCTCTGCCCTTGACTCGGCTTTCAAGAATCTTAAATCGAACAAGCATCTGATTTGTATGACTATTGCCGCAGGGTATCGACCTCACATTATCGGACGTGGTGGCCAAACTTTAAAGCGTATTTGTGACGAAACGGGTGCATTACTTGACTTTGTTTCTCAAAGGCATCATAACAGAGATGATCATGCCAATAGCAATGCTGTTGAAATACTAAAGATTCGTGGTGTGACACAGACTTCTGTTGATGCTGCCAAGGCCATTGTGGATGGACTCATTGCTGAACAAAGTGTGAGGATTAAACGTGATGCTGAACGCCAACAGGCTCGTGAGGCAGCAGCTCGCCAACAGCCTGCGCGTATTGATGACGATTCTTCTACCACGACGTATCGTACTGGGGGTATACCTGGATATGTTCCACCTGGATTTTCTGGGCGTAGCAGTGCAAGTCAATCTAATGGCGTAGGTGCTTCCACTAGTATCAAGGTAGCATCCGCTATTTCTGGCTTTGAATTTTCTGCCAACCAACATCAAATGCATCAACCAACGGGACTGTTTACTTCTGGCTCAGCTGTGCAAGATCAAGGATGGAAATCAGTGTCCAAGAAAAATAACCGTGCAAGTTCCAATACTTCTGGTAATACTACTACACTCGAAGAGGCTGCACCTGTTGCTCCTGTTGCCCCTATTGCTCCTGTGGATGAGGCTGCACCTACTACTGGTAAAAAAAAGAATAAGAAGAAGAAGAGTAAGCCCGTTTCTGACGCCGATGCTCAAGTTGAACGCGATATCGTAAGCCCTGAGCCCGAGGTTGTTGTTGCATCATCTGATTCCACTGCTACGGCTCAACGCAAGGATCAATCCAAACAAGTACAAAAGCCTGTACATGATGCAATCAAACCTGCTGCTGCTTCTGCTCCTGTTGCATGTGTAGTAGACATGCCTAAACGTGCCCCCTCGCCCATTGCTTTTGAAGTTGCCGAAGATGACGGATGGCAAACTGTTAGCACCAAGCGTACTGGTAAAGTTGCTACAAACGTTGAATCCACCGCTGCTGACACGTCCATACCTACAGAAAGTGCAACAAAAAAGAAAAGCAAGAAAAATGGTATTTTTTTTAATGTTATCCAAGATGAGCAGGATGATGAAAACAATAAATAAAGCGAGCTTTCAAGTATTTTTGAATTCATCTGTTTGAATATGGTAGTTGTTTTGATGTTGTTGATACAATTTGTACTCTAAATTATCTCGAATACCTTCATACTAGTTCAAGGAAACAGGCTACACATCTCGGGAATGCAACCGTGTCTTCATGTCAATTGCCAGGAAAACTAAGAGTTCAAAAAGCAATACTATTTAGTTTTATTTTACGCGAATACGACTGTAAAAATTCAGCATTGTATAAATGTTTTAGTTTATGCTCGTAGCCTAAATCTCTACTGATGTTATATCCATCTGCTCCTGTTGAGAATGTGTAAATCATCATTTCGATGAACTTGGCTTTACAAACATACGTTTGGATATACAAAACATGTTGAGCTGTTTTACAAAAAGTGTTATACTCATTATGATTATCAAGCACGACAAAGATGCAATATACATACATTGCCACCAAGCTTGTTTTTAGCTCTAATTTATCATCGGCGTTGACAACAGTTGGCATCGAATTTATCCATTATTTCTCATACCAACTTTACCAATACAATTGACATGAATTCTTCACCAGCTCGAATTATAACTATATCCAACCATCTTGTTGGCGCATATGGCGGCATGAGTTTTATTATGGCAATGGGGAATCTTGAAACCTATTTCAACAAGCGCACTACTATCAACCTATTACAACTTAGCGTGTCAGGATTGAGTTTTCTCATAATAACATTATTTGGTATCATGCCTTTGATATCTAGTCACGGCTGCAACTTATTTTTCATATGTATAAGTTGTTTCTATGCGATTTTTCAAGTTATCGCAATGGGACTTACAGCAGCACGCTGTTTGGTGTTTATATCCAGATCCAAGTACTACAATGTCATCTTTGGTGGAGTCATGTTGGCAACGTTGATTTGCTCCTTAATCACAATTGGAAGTGCCACTAATGCGATACATATAGTAATACCTGAATCAACCTGTATGGCAGCTCTTCAGCCCAAATGGAATAATATTTCTAGAATTGGATTGTCTATTATCTGTAAGTACATGAATAGTTTAAATCTTAAAGTATGTGGTTATCAATGCATTGAGTCCAATAGTTGATTGAGATGTTCAAGCGAGTTGTTTACTGATTCTGCATTTCATGAATGTATCTAATGTGATTGCTAGATGCCGTTCTCTTGTTCTGTCTCAACATTCCTGTTCGAAGGGTTGGATCGCTTTGGAATGCATCTGAATTTGATTATTATCTGTAGAATTTAAACTAATCAAAAGTTGGTTTTTATGAAATATTAGCATATTGTATTCTTATCAGAAATCAGCTCCAGTAGTCAGTTGATCTCCAAAATCGAATCAACCGCACGTTGGCTTACAATCAAAGTATCACTAGCCATGTTAGCGTATCTTATAATAGGCATTCTGTCAATCTTTGGATTTTTTGCAAACGCACCATTTATTCCATATTCTACTCGTATATACTTTACAATGCTGGCATCCAACTGGGTGTGTGTACTGACTTCGTTTAATGGCACAAGATCAAATGAAAGCAGCGTACGAAGCTCGATAGTACATTCGGTGAATGCAAGCCCTACTGTAGTTCCAATCACCTACTCGATTTATAATAGGTTAAAAATCAATTTAATAGGTGTTTTTCACAGATGGTGAATTAAATACCGTATATATTCAATAATATGCAATGTTTAAATTCAGTCGTAGTTGGTGTTGTTTTGAAGGATTTCCAGGAGTGGTGAATTGTGCTTTGCCAGATTTAAAGCATACGGATAGTGATTCCAAACCCCTTGTGAAGTTGGTTGAATTTGATTGTTTATGATACGAGTCGTATTAACTTGGAATCACTGCTTTAAACCAATTCATTTTCAATTCTATTCATGTTACTGCCAAATAACAAGTGATTTTGTCGCGTACCAATCATCAGCTAGACCACATCAGTTTTGTTCTATTTGATAAAACTGCTCGATTATATTAGGCATCTGTAATATTTATAATCAATCCAAAGTTTCATCATGAGTCGCTATAATCTTTATTACATGGAGACTGATGACTACCTACTGGGAGCATTTGTAGGGATGACCTTTCTCACTGTTGTGGACAATATATCGGCACTCAACAACCAGCCTGCTCTCGCAAATGGGCTGCAATTAATTGTATCGGTTCTCAATCTCATTCTCAACTTGAATTACATTATACAAGACTCTGCTCCAGATATCAACTGTATGGCCATGGCAATATTGGATACGATTATATTTGTGATATTCGAAACTATTGCGGTGGGGTTGATCATTTCGCGCTGTACTGTATCTTTGGCCGCCTACACGTATTATACGGCTATTCGTATTTCGTTCATGGTTACAGCACTGGCATTTATATTATTTAGGTTTGGAAGCATTCTTGCAACAGTTATCCAGAGTGATTCCAATGGAATATGTGTGCCAATTACCCAACTCAGATGGGATATCATTTCCAAAATCAGTTTGACTGTTATCTGTAAGCATACATTGCGTTATTGTCAGAGCTCAAGCTTGTCATCTACTAATGAATCCAACCATATAATTAGATGCGTGCTTGCTTATATGCCTACTTGGTTCTCTTTGGCAGGTAATACTGTGCTATTACAGACCAATGAAAAAATCACATATTTGCATTACCATGCTTATCAGTTGATGAGTTATAGCTGACCACAATGCATGTCCTGACTTTTGATGCTAGACTGCTGTGGGTTCACCGAAAGTAGGTGAAAGCAATGAGACTTTGGCAAAGGTTGAATATTCTACAAAAATATGGATCATCAAAATCTCTGTTGCGATTATGGGATTTATAGTCATCAACGTGGTATCGCTGTTTGGTTTGAGTAGAAACTATAATTATGCTCAGTACATCATAGGCACGTATTGCACTATGATGGCATCCAACTGGTGCTGTGCTTTTGCTAATGCAGATGATATACGATCTGGAGTCAATAGCGGACGTAGTTCTATTCGACAAGCACTACTTCCCAAAACTGTGCCTAATTCGTCTGCCATGGCCGAGGTTTGACTCGTATCCTCAATCTGCAGTGACTCAATATTTGAGTCTGTGACCATCAAGCTCGTTTATATCCTTATTTCATGATAGCAACAATAAAATCATCAGTTCAATCTCAATCCTTTTACACGTGACACGTTTCAGTGTATTTTAGCCACAGTATTTTCTTGTGATTGTCTGCAAGATAGTTATACCTCAAGACGCTAATAGAGGAGGTTTATAGAAAAAAGACCTTTAGTTACACATAGAATTACCGATTTTATAGTATTTATCAACTATTTCATGTTGTCCGGTTTGACCCTTTTCAATGCGCTTTTATTGATCTCTTTTAAACTATCCAGTGTAGTTGCATCTTCCAGCGATCCGCAAACACCAAGCACTACATCGCATACGACTTATGTGGCAATAGTGATACTGATGTGTGTTATTTTTCTCACACTATTAATCTGTTGCTGGAGTATATTAAAAGACCGAGTGCTGAATACAAGTGCTAGTTCAATGTTCCAATGCAAACGCATGTCAAACTCTTATCCCGAAGATTCATCAATAGAAGCACCACCAACTTACGAGTCCATGAAGTTGCCATTTCAGTCACAAAACGACACTGGTTCACCAACTCCACAGTACACAACACTGCCCTTGAAATATCCACCAAAGATTCATAGCTGAATGGATACTTAATTTATGGCCTCTATTAAAGTAAGTCGTGGATCACTGCAGTTGATTGTACTAGATGATGTTTGCTCACAACTATGGTTTTTATAGCTTATAACTATGGATCTACAGTTTACCGAACGTGCAATCATTTATGTATTGGGAAATGAAATCACAATAGAATACTCATGATTTTGATGTTGTTTTTAGTTGCATTTGGATAATGAATTCATTGTCTTGTCAACAGCTTTACGCCAATTGGAGCCATTCGAGCCATTTGAGGCTTTGATGGCGAGTTTAGCGAAATGCTTTGGCATCGCTTGTTTTGATTGTTCGCATTCTTGTTACTATTGATTCTTTCTACCCTGACAATTGTAACCTACTTGCATTCACATTCATCTCTAGCATATATATTTTTAAAATCGAGTTTGGGTATTCTGTAAAACTAGCAATGAGCAGACAATCTTACCAACTAGACCCGCACCAAAAAGTTGATTCCACGGCATACGGCGATTCGAATTCAATCAACAATCCATTGACCGACAAGAATCAAGACCCATTCAAAAATACCCCTAGTCGGAGTTCTGATAGTACATTCCATACGGGTTCCTTGGGATTCGATTCCAGCCCATTTCCATCTACTCCAAACGACAAAGATGCTCTTATTCAAGGTCCAGTTATTACTGAACTGCCCTTTGCTGCTTCTTCATCCCCGCACAAACTGGATCGAGTGTCTGCCATCATAAGTGGTTCATTCAATTCAAATTCTAACGGAAGCAATATCAGTCGTCGTCCAAGTTTATTTCGCAGAGGTAATATTTTTGGTTGGCACGATGCCAATCGCCATCAAGTGTCTTGAATTCAATCCATTTAGATAGTCGAGCAAGGTTTACTGAGATTGGTGGCACTACGTATACTTTTACAGCTGTGTTCATGTAAAACACAACACTTGTTTTAAAAGACAATGTCTAAATATTCGCTGTGCTTTCCTATTGGAGGTTGACTTGATGGATATTCTCGATTCAGTCAACTCAGCGTTCATGCGATTGGGTTTGATTGTTTTGATGAAATTTACTGAAACTAGTCTTGACATTTGCTGTTTTTTATACAAAAATAAGCAAGAACCAGTGAATGACTGTTTAGTGTGATAGTCTACGTGAATGCGCTGTAAACTAGCGATATTTCGTTTCATGTACTCATATTTTTTGATTTTATATACAATTTAGATTCGATATCCGCTTCAAATATCTCATCCGATTTTGGACAGCATCGTATTCATCATTCCGAGGCTTCCAAATCTTCCACAAGTGTTGATACTGGTACAAATACATCTGTCAACACATCGTCCACTGCACAAGCGGTAGCAGCTCTTTTAAAGCGATCCAACTTGACACCCTTTTCAAAAACATCCACGAATGACATTTCAAGCTATGACAAAAACTCGAAACAGATCGACTCTCAGCCTTGCCATGGCTTGAATACCGATACGCTGCATCACAGAAATAACAATATGCTTGCCAAACCACTGGATAATTCTATACCCACATTATGGACTATCTTTTCATGGGCATTGACATGTTGTTTCCCTCGAGTGTTGTTGACTTTTGTGGGAGTCAACACCAAGAATCAGCAGCAAGCATGGAGAGAAAAAGTCGCATTGTGCTGGATCTCTGTAATACTATCAACGCTTGTTGTCATTTTTCTGATATTTTTTAATCGTCTCTTTTGTCCAGATAACATCTTGGATAATACAGTCGACATTAATGCTTTTGGTAAGTCGTGTTACTCGGGTTGTATCTGGTTTTAAATTTTGCTAATCCATCCAATCTTGTGCTTTAGGTGGAGTTGTTGTTTTTGGCAGAATGTACAACTCGTACTATACCACTCCTCCATACAACACTCTTTTTGATCAGACTGATGCGTTTGGTGGAATTGATGTGTCGGGTTCATTTGAGCAACCCCAAATCTCTGCTTGCCAGTTACTCAACGTGGCAGAACACAAATTTGCCAGTGTCCAATCAACATGTCGACCTGATTGTATTGACTTGAATGTCTTGACATCACAGCACAATTTTCTACCCTACTCTACAGTTACCAATTTTTTTGGCCAAAACGTTACGGTTCTTCCTGATCCTGCTTATCCATGGTCTGAAGTCAAAAGAAGAAATTTGGTTGTGTTTCGTCAAGTAGTTTTAAACTTGGCTCCTTATTTTGATGCTCACCCTGAGCCAATTTCTGGTGATGTCATGGACGCTTTACTGCGAAAAGCTCAACTTACCAATGATGCCACACGTATTTTGTGGAAGAATGCAGATATCACACCAGACATGGCCAACTGCCTAGTTCAAAAATATTATGCTGGTGTTCTCTCCCAACTGCCCATGACGTGTATTCTATCTCGACTCGTTACCATTGTTGTTTCTATCACTGTTTCTAGTATCTTATTGACTCGGTTTGCCATGGCAGTCTTTTTTGACCGAGTTTTGGCCTCGCGTCTGATTAGAACCTGTAAAAATGCACCCGAAAATCCATACGATCCTGTTGTGGCTAAAAAGTCGGAAAACAGTCGTGGAGCCAAGTTGCATAGTTCTATACATCTAAGTCTCAATTCATCTACAGATCAGCGGGAAATGCTGTCTCCACAACCTCAAATAGGTACAATTATGCGTCGACAAGACCCAACAATCCATCGACCAGCACCGAATCCAAGCGATCTTTACACTGTTATGTTTGTGACATGCTACTCGGAAGGTGAATCTGCACTTCGTACAACACTCGATTCGCTTGCCCTAACTGATTATGATGACTGCAAAAAGATTTTGTTTGTTGTTGCTGATGGGATTGTCAAGGGTTCTGATAATCAAATATCTACGCCTGATATTCTGATTAGCATGATGCATCACGATGAAGCATTTGGGAATTCTCCTGAAGCGTTTTCTTATGTTTCGATTGCTACCGGAACCAAACAACATAATATGGCTCGAGTGTATTGTGGATCCTATAGCGTTCATGGTCGTCACATTCCAATGGTGCTGATCATCAAATGTGGTACAGAATATGAAGCTGGACAGTCCAAACCAGGAAACCGTGGAAAGCGGGATTCTCAGATGATTTTGATGAACTTTTTTTCCCGGATTGTTCTTTACGATCGCATGACTCCACTCGACTACGATATCTTCCGCAAGATCCATTACTTGACGGGTGTTACTCCAGATGTCTATGAGCTTGTTCTTATGGTGGATGCCGACACTCGTGTTGCACCCGACTCGCTTAGATTTATGGTGAATGCAATGCATAACGAACCTCGTATAATGGGTTTGTGCGGGGAAACACGCATTGCCAACAAAAAAGACTCGTGGGTAACCATGATTCAAGTTTTCGAGTATTTTATTTCGCATCATCTTGGAAAAGCGTTCGAGTCTGTGTTTGGTGGTGTGACGTGTTTACCTGGCTGTTTCTGCATGTACCGTCTCAAAACAGTCAAGGACGGTTCAGTTTTGCCTGTTCTTGTCAATCCTGATATCATTGAACAATACGCCACGAACGAAGCATTTACTCTCCATCAAAAAAATCTATTGCTGTTGGGCGAGGATCGGTTTTTGAGTACGTTGATGCTGAGAACGTTTCCCAAGCGGCTGATGATGTTTGTTCCAGCGGCATATTGCAAAACAACTGTGCCTGACAAGTTTTCTGTGCTGCTTTCGCAACGACGTAGATGGATCAATTCGACTGTCCATAATTTGATGGAGTTGGTATTTGTCAATAATCTATGTGGCACATTTTGTTTTTCGATGCAGGTGAGTCATTATATTTGATTTGGTGATGGTTTCAAACTCTGACTCATTTTAGCAATGTTTCAAACTTTTTGACTCATTTTGGTGTTGTTGTAATTGTAGTTTGTTGTGTTTATGGACCTTCTTGGCACTGCAGTTCTTCCAGCTAGTTTAGTCTGCACGTATTACTTGATCATCTATGCCATCGTATATCCTATGCCATACAACATCACGTCGTTTCTCAACCTTTTTGTCATGATCATCACAATATTTTTGCCCATGCTTCTTGTATTGTTGTCAGGTCGTCGAGTTCACTATGTGCTTTGGATGTTTGTATATCTGTTTACTCTTCCCATATGGCAGATTGTATTTCCTCTATACTCGTTTTGGTATTTTGATGATTTTAGTTGGGGCGAGACTAGAAAAGTGACTGGTGATGGACATGAGGTATCAAATGCTGGTGCTCAACATGATGATGAGCAATTACACGGACTGTTTGATGGATCCCGTATTCCGTTCCGTCGATGGGATGAATATGAACGTGAAGCCAGGTTCGAACAAAGAAAACATATACTCAGCATGACTGAACCACATTCTCAACCAACTCAAACCCAATCGTGAATCACAACTCCATGTTGCATTTATTTTGAATTATAAACTTTGAATATCCATGTTGATATAAAACTTGCTCACGATTAAACTGGTTTGAATGGATAATGTAACATTGGCTATTTTAAAATAATTACGAGTTACCAAAAGATGATATTAAACTTGTAAAGCAGTATTGTTCAATTGGGTTCATGGCCAGCTAGGTAGACTGATTCGATGAAACAGTTATACCTGTGCGGTCAATGTTTAAGGTATTGACCACCGTAGTGATTAGTATAGCGATACCAGGGCTCAAGAAAGTTTTCGGGTAAGATTGATCCAAATCATTCAGTCCAAGTGAGTGATTTTAAATGGATGCTAGTCAAGTAGACTAGGTTATTCGCGATTGATGGTATTATTGAGCATGTAGTGTACTGGAGAAGAGTTGAATGGGAACACAATAGTAAACAAAGGTGACCCAATTGGAAACAGGAACATACCATTTAAAAGTAAAGTAGGGCTGTGAAAAGCACTACATACCAGGGATGAATAGTTTAGCCAAGGAAGAATAGTATATGCTAGATTGAGAGGTTTATGGATGAAATGTGCAGGCTAAATATGAGTGCAATCGAGGTTTTCCATCTACCACGTATTGGGATTTAGGTTTACTGGTTGGTAGTATATTACCAGCTCAAATGGCCAGTTTATTTTGACTAGATTACTAAGCTACACTTTTTTCAAATGAATTTTATGTACATACCATAATCAAACTGGCATTGTTTGTTTTTTCATTGCTATGTAACTTATGAGTCCAAATATATCAACCTGTGTAATAAATCATCATCGATTGCAAAGCTGTATTGAATTAGTTTTCTCGCTCCAAGCCACCACTATAATTTTTTGCTAAACAGTCTGGAGACCAATCTAAAAATTGATTTTTCACAGCCCAGTCTGCATATGATATTTTGGTATATTGAGGATGAGCAGTTTCACATGGTGCCCATGCACTTGATACTCGTGACATCATCCGATATTATTTACAGACCGGCTACCATTAGCATTGTTGTGTGACTGGATAATACTTGCTAGTCATATCGCGCTTGTGGCAGGGCCAATTACCAAGTGTGGTCAATGCTCAAGACAGGTATAGCTTGGTCAAAACTCGACCCTAATATTTTTTGGAGTATCTGAAACACTTGGCCATAGGTTTAATTTGCGCCAAAATTATTCCACGATAGTGGTTAATGCCAATTCATTTAACACATGGTTTGTTTTGAGTAATGGGTGCGCTGTATATTCTAGAGGATCGAATCGTCTGAAATGAGTGTTGCTGATTGCGTTTGGACTGGGTTGATGGTGTGAATAAAACCACTACACATTTTATTTTATGCAAATAACAAGTCCAAACCCGTTACAGCCCTTTGAAATAAGTATCGTCGATTATAGCTGACTTGAAGAATGGTACTTTTTGATAGCACACAGGTGGCAAAATGCGTCATTGGCACTTTTTCAATGAGCCAATAGTAGGTGAATAAAGCTTGTACTCGAGATCACTAGTAGCGGAGAGAAAAAACTAAATCGAACAAGAGCGAAAACTATTAAAAACATACCATGGCATTGCCCAAATACATATTTGGATGTTTTGCGTTTGTTTGGCCAGTCAGCGCGGCGGTATGTAAATGCTGTTGAAACAGAACGTTTTCAAGAGTATCCCAAATTATATGGTGGCAATGCTAAATCGCAACAGGAAGCCTGGCATTTCAACAATAGCTTATCCATAGCAATGTTCCATGCTCAAGGGTAAACATTTGGGTTGTACTTGCGAAATAATAATGCTTTGTATCGTGGCACACTGAATATAGCTCTAGTATGACAAACACAAATCCCCGAAGTGGCGATAGAACCGATTAAGACGTGCTTGAAATCCAACCCACCGGATCACCAACAAGCTGTTTCGTACATTGATACCTTAAAAACGGCCCAACCAGAGCTTTTTCTACAACAGATATTCTTTTTAAATAGAACAAATTTAAATACCTAATCCGCTATACATCTATAAGTTGAGTTTTCAAGTTTGCCTGTAATCACTATTCATGGCAATTTCCCAGAATAGGTAACATCACAAATGGAAACGTATTCGCACAACTCAAAGCAACTCAAAAACCACTCCAAGTATCCAGGTCAACACGCTGATCTTTTGGATGAATATCATGCTCACATTGTTCAGCAGCCCGTATTTACGAGGTGCAGTGGAGTGTCCAACAATGGTTCGATAACATATCCTATTGAACCCTGCATTGCTGTTCAGTTGGTCAAAATATCTGACTCCAACAAAAGAAACCCTCGGTAAGAGATATACTATGATGTCTTTGGTCAAGCATCCTACATTGGTCTGATTTCTATGGATATTACGCTTTGCCTTTCGGCACTTGCCAAGACTTGCATTACTCATTAATTGCTATTCAAGTTTGATGCTTTTAACACCACATGTTTGAATTGCTTTAGTATTCTTAACCCTGAAACACTAGTAGCACAGGCCTATTTAGTGTCGGTAGATGAAACGACATATATGAGTTATTACGCACATCCCGTTACATTTCCGAGCACAGAATATTTGAAAATGGACCCAGGGTTGTCTACGACTGCGCAGGAGCAACAGCCAAAGGACGAGCAGTTGAAGAACGAGCATGAGCAGTCCAAGGACGAAGAGCCCAAAAAGATTATTGTGAACAGGCTAAAGCGACAGTCGTTACCCTCTAATTCGTCAGAGTATTCCAATCGGCAGGTAAACTCGACTTCAATCGATGCAGGCTTTGGTGACCCATCTTCAAAGCATCCAAAGGTCAGATCAGGCAAAAATTATACTCAAGAATTTCCAAGCTTCAACCATATCGGTTAGTAATTGACTGCTTGTAATATTGCTATTAGACAGAGTATCGCTCGTTTGCAATCCTGATGTACATATTTATAACTCAACGTGCTTACCGCTCAATAGCCGATAAATTACCGCGGCCAAGTCTTTTTAGCTCTCCCATGTCTTCTACACACTACAACGTTGATCAAGTAAACTTTGAATCAAAGTTGGATGCTACCTCACAATTCATACCACCGACACCCCAAACAGCCGTTTCCGACTCGAAGACGGCCAAGAATAATTTGGAATGGAAAGACATTACCAGCCGTGTTTTGATGAATCGGCCAATTCAGACACAAATGTCCACTCTATGTGGAAATCAAACAGCAGCTGCTGACATTGCTACAGACCTAAACAACAATCGAGGAGTGTTTTTCTTTTTTCCAGATTTGGGAATACGTATTCCTGGCAAATTCAAGATTCGTATTATTATTTCGAGAATACAACTCGAGTGAGTTGGGGTTGCTTTTCGAGTTTCACATGGTTGCTTATTTTCATCTAATAGCTTGTTTGGTCTACATGTCTAGTGAGAGCCAACGTGATGAGCTAATATCTCCAAAGAATACTATTCTGACTGAAGTAGTAACCAACGCATTTATTAGTCATTCTCCAAACTCATGGGCTGGTCATCATGGTAAGTTCATCCCACTGTCTTGTTTACCATTACTTTTGCTGATTTCACTTTGAATTGTTTTAGCGCCGACACAGCTATCTAAACATTTCTCTCGACAAGGGGTGAGAATCCCCTTGTTCAAGACTAGAAGAAATTGATCACTCCTAAATAAATGATCTACTTATATTTTTAGTAACTAGACTTGTTGGTATGGCTGTAGGCTGAGTGAATTACTTGAATGATTCATTTGACAGGTCATGCATATTCGAACGACCCAAATTGTCTTGAAATGCCAACAGTTGAGCCATGAGAAAAGCTGTCAAAATAAGGGTCAAGTTTTGGATATTTTAGTCGAGTGTGAATTCACACTTGTCCTGGTTTACTGCATTGGTATTTGTTCAGTAGTAAATTACAAGTTTACTTTTCAGTCTGCGATACCTTTAAACCAATGTCCTTGACAACTTTTCCTAAATGTCCAGACAATGGTGGAGTCTCTGGCCGCAAAGTATCGGTCAGAGTCAACATTTTTCCTATTACCAAGCTTCCTGATATATTTGTATATCAGTATGATGTAGCATTCAGTCCAGATGACATTCCACCGTCAAAGGCTCGTCGAGCTTGGAAGGTGTTTGAAAGTCATATTATGAAAGCTGTCAGTTCAAAGTGCTTTATGGTTTATGATGGTCGCAAGATTGCATATTCGGCATTTGATATGCCTGATCAGACACTCACTATTGATGTTCCTAAAGAGGATGTTCTTGTAATTCCTCCACTTGATTATGGTGGTGGTCGGGATACGTTTGATGGTGGTCGTGGTGGTCGAGGTGGTGGTCGAGGTGGTCGTGGTGGTGGTCGTGGAGGGTTTAGCAGTCAACCGCCTCGAACTGTCATTCAGCTTCCCCCTCCTTCTTTCAATCCGGTCATTCAAACAGAACCTCTCAAAATCACTGTGCGAAAATCCGTTCGTATTAGTTTTCATGAGCTGCTGCTTTTCACTACAGGAAAGGGACCAGAAACTGAAGAGGTCATGCATGCTACATCCGCACTCTCTATTTTGATCCGTCATGTACCTTCTATGCTGTTTACTCCTGTTGGTGCCAATTTCTTTACCCCTGAAGGACGTAAGCCTATTAGCGGTGGTTTGGAGTGCTGGCGTGGATTTCATCAGTCAATCCGTTCTATGATGGCTGGACATCTCGGTATCAATATTGATGTTGCATCGACTGTATTCCGAAAAGGTGAAATCTCTGCCATTGACTACTGTCTTGAAACGCTTGGTCTTCGTGATATGGATCAACTGAGTCGTTTGCCTCGTCTTTCTGAGCGAATCAATGGTGTTCTCAAGGGAGTGAGTGTTGTTACCATTCATCGTGGTGATCAAAGGCAACGCTTTAAGATTGGCCGTATCTCGAGAGAATCTGCTCGCGAGTTTAAATTTGCCAACAAAGAGGGTGGTGGTCAAATGTCTGTCGAGTCTTATTTCAAAGACATGAATGTCAATCTTCGTTATCCTACCCTTCCCCTGGCTCTCAAGGTATTGACTGGCTATTTTAATCTTTTGTAGAATTGTTGATTTTCATGGCACTCACTGTTTTTTTTTTATTTCAGGCCAATGGAAAAACTGCATTCCCACTTGAAGTTCTCAAAATTGCACCAGCACAGCGATTCATGAAGCGTTTGTCTGGTGATCAGACTTCAGACATGATCCGTGCTACTGTTCAACGACCCAATGAGCGACAAAAGGAAATTATGGATGGCGCAAATAGTAAGCTGAGATACAGCAACAACGATCATATCAAATCGTTTGGCATGGTTGTGGGCTCTGAGATGATGAATATCCCTGCTCGAATTCTACCCGCTCCAAAAGTTATTTTCAAGAATAACAAATCATTGAATGGAACTGATGGCTCATGGAATCTGCGTGGTACTCAGGTTGGCTTTTATAGGGTTTCTAATTGCTCTCATGTCTTGCTTTATTCAGCACGTAACTCATTATTGATTGATTAGCTTGTTTCTGCCCCAGTGCTTGAAAGTGCAGCATTTATTTTTTATGTGCGTATTTCTGACGGGGATGCCAAAGCGATTGCTACTACTTTGTTGTCCAAGTTTGCCGATACAGGTATGAACATCAAAGTGCGCAATCCTCCTGTTATTGTCACAAACCCAAATGTGTTTAGCAACATTCGTGGATCTCTCCAGTCTGCATTCAAAGAAGCTGCTGTCCAGTTTGGCAAGCGCTGTCAACTCATTTTCTGTGTTTTGGACAAGGAGCCCAAGAGTCTTTATGAAACCATCAAGCGCATATCGCTAACTGAAGCCGCGGTGATTACTCAATGCATGCTGTTTAAAAATGTGCGCAGTGCCCAGGAAATCAAGGATCAGTATGCATGCAATTTGTGCCTCAAGGCCAATATTAAAATTGGTGGTGCTACCAACTATGTTGATCGACTTCCCAAATTTGATCGACCTACAATGCTATTTGGTGCTGATGTTACTCATGCTGCACCTGGATCTCAAGCTCCCTCTATTGCAGCGGTAGTTTCGACAGTAGATAGACAGGCTACAATATATCATTCCTTTATTCGGGCTCAGGGTGTTCGTACAGAGGTCATTCAAGATATGGAGAACATTGCTGGTGAAGCACTCGAGTCGTACAAAAAAACTACCAAGACGTATCCCAGTCGCATCTTCTTTTTCCGTGACGGTGTTTCCAGTGGCCAGTTTTCCGAAGTACGCAATGTGGAGGTGCGAGCACTCCAGGCTGCATTGACCAAACGCAATATAAAATGTACTCTTACCTTTATGGTGGTTCAGAAACGCCATCATATTCGCTTGTTCCCTACCGATCAAAACAAAGATAGATCAGAAAACTGTCTTCCTGGAACCGTTGTTTCCACCAGCATTACCCATCCATCCGAATTTCAGTTTATTTTGCAATCTCATGCTGGACTTCAAGGAATGTCTCGTCCAACCATTTATCATGTGCTTTATGATGACAATGGCATGAGCAGCGACGAACTGCAACAACTCTGCTTCAATCTGTGCTTTTTGGCTGAACGAGCAACTCGATCTATTGCAATGGTCTCACCAGCTTACCGTGCCCATATTGCTGCTTATTACGCTCGCATGTTTATTGAAGGAGAGTTTAGCGACACAGGATCTGTCTCGAGTGGAGGTTCTGGTGAACAAAGCATCACTTTTAAAAATGTAGCCGAATCGATCCAACAAACCATGTATTACATGTAGATTTGGTTCATTTAACTCGCCATCATCTTCATCTATTCTGCTCATGCCGTTGCAAACAAATGAACGTTTTACCGATGAAATGCTGCTTTTCTAAGCACAATTGAACATGCTAGTAAAGGGTTTCAGGGCTTCATCCCTGGCAAAGTGGGTCACCCAGTTCAGGTGGAAATCAAAAACTGTTTGGCAATAATAGGGTTAGGGTGCAATAGTACACCAAAGTCAGACCCTGCAGTTGGTGACAATGTATTATAATCAAACGTTGCATAGAAACCTCCACTTTGATCATGGTTTAAAACCATTCTGATGGCATCAAACAAGCTGCTGTTACTATGGTTTGGAACTGTAAACTGCCTGTTTGGTTTATGTTAATGTACAGATTCTACAAATGGTATGCCAAAAATCATGCCAAAATCAAAATCACCAAACAGTATCGTTAGATCAGCCGAGTGATGTCATGTATTCAATCGAGATGGATTGCAGTTCAACAAACTGGTTGCAGTGCACAAGACACGAACAATAAATGATTCTGTCATCCAAATCAGCACTAAACAATCTACCGATACTTTGAATAAACATCAATAAAAACATACTCTTGTGTGGTTGAATGAAATGTACACATCAAATACTTGATCCACATTGATGGTGACAATTACGCATTTTTTGACTTTATTCTCACTTGGTCCCTATTGTCTCTACTATCCCTATGTCGTTAGCTGTAAGGGCTTTGAAAGACACAATGTTGCCCTTTAAATTTGGTGGAAACTGGCATCAGTCATACTATGGGACTGATTGCTTGTTGTGTGCTTGAACTCCCTTATTAATGTTGTATTTTACATGGGTACAGCTGTAAAAATAACCTTTAGTTTTGGCCCTTTAATCAATCCATGTTGTATAAATATCAAAACAAACTGCCAAAACTATCCAGTATTTCGACACTATCGGAATAAATTGCTGCTCGTCTGTATTGTTCATCTGAATAGTTTACAATGAAACAAGCTGTGATTTTTATAATTTCGCTGCTGGCAGCCATGTCGTCGGCTATAGTCGTATCGACTTCTGAAAGTCCAGCTCCCACATTCGAACCATCACCATCAACATCAGGCTCATCATCACCATCAGGCTCAGGCCCACCCTCAGCCATATTGTTTCAACCTCATAGTGATACTCGTGTCGCTAACCTGTTTTCGTACTATAATACACTTTTGAAACAATACAATTTGAAAGCTGCTGAATGCGAAATTTTAAAACAAGAGTGCGAAAAACGCAACGTAGTCGTACAGGGAAAAACGCTTCTATATATACGCACTCTAGCTAAATGCACACATACAGATCCATCAACAAATTTGCAATTAAAAGCCACTTCCAATTGTATCAAAGAAAATTCTGAAAAAGAAGAACGTTTGTACATTGAATTACTTGCGGAAAAAATTGATGTATGTGGTGAAGTCAATCGACTCGAAGCAAGAATGAACGAGGTCGAGGCTAAAATTCAAAGCTTGCTATTCAATGATCAACAATAGCTTGATTAAATATCAAACTGCTACCAATCTGCATAGAATTGAAACAATAAAGTTTAGAATCATGATGTCTGCATATTGTTTGTAGGTGCACATTGTACAACAGTGAATGCAATGGATTGCCATTGGCTGTTGTTTTGAACCATTTTGTCAACAAATGCAACTGCTTATGACATGCAATAGATTTGGATGATATACCAACAAAAAATCAACATAAACTGGTTTACCGAGTATGTTGTATACAACAATTGCTTTTATACATGTTTGATATGGATCATTCAGCTGGGACCATTGCATTGTTAATAATCGACTACAGACTCATGAATGTGTATTTTAAGCTAGTTTATATCATAATTATGACAGGATGTGTGATGAGATGATGCAGTGGACATATATACAACGTGTATTACAGTAAAAACATGGACTGATTGTTTGAACATGTATGGATACAATCATATTCGGGTTTGACAACATCGAAATGGTGGTTTCCAAGTTGAATACTCGGTATTGGAATCCAAACATTTAGTTTGATGAACCATATCATGATCGCATAGCTCAGTCACGATCCAATTGGCATGAACAGTCAAGTCGTGTAGTTTGGGTTCAGCTTGACACATTTGTATTGTCAATCTTGAACAAAACATCAAAAGTGGATCAAGATCAACTGGAACAACCAACAAACTGGATCCAGTATGTGTAGTTGCACTGGGTTGTATATACTGATCACAGTAAACAACTCGAGTGTCATTTTACTGGTTGTGGTTATGGTTATGGTGACATGACAGTGTTGGGTAGATACAGCGTTACAATGATGGGTCAGCAACAATGTGATGGAACTGGATGTGCAATATCAAAACCATGCCCAGAATACGTGATATAACGACAACTTGCAACCATATTGATGTAAATGGACCACTAAATAACAGTGTTGGTGTGTGATAAACAGTTGCATTACTGACATGTGTCATGATTGTTGTTGAACTAGATTGCGATCGTATCTGTGATTCAGAACACAACAAATGTGTGTACAGAGTTGTATTGACAATATTGACAGTCAAACACAATACATGAATGTGGGTTCAAACTTGGTGGTCGTGCAATGTATGATTACTAAGAATGCAAAGTGTAGATTCAACACTATAGTCTGATTGTGTGTCATATGATGGTTGTTGTATATCAAACACGCAATGCAGTCAATGTGTAGTAATCATTGCATATTGCAATGCAGAATACAGTCATTGCATGATGAATATTAAAGTGATTCATTTACATGAATACGGTTGTAAAGCAAAGCGTTTGCGGCTAAACAACACTCATGAAGGGTGTGCTTTTCAATATACCTGATAAAAGGGCCATAAAAGCATAATTTAATCGATCAAATCGATCAATATGATATTATGATTAGGGAGCAGCATACTGTTTAGCTTGATAGTGGCTTATTACAAGCAGTCAAGTAACCCTATATAATTGGTTAACCTAAAAGGGTTGGTTTGCTATACAAAAATTATAAATAGTCGATTGAGTTCAGCTTTATAATCGACACCAATCTCGACACTCTACTTTCTACTAATTGTTTGAACCCATTGACTAATCTGATGAAATTGATTGATATTCTATTTGTACTGACTGCGGCAGCAACCGCTAATGCAATATTGATACCGGCTAATAACGATGGTTCACCCAAAGCATCAGTCACTTCAAGCCAAATGTCTGGTCCGACTAACGAGCCTAATCCAGAGATTTCTGACGAAGACTGGCAAGACATAATGGGTATAATTAATTCAAGCACTTCCAACCAAGATCAGCAACAACCAATCGATGTAGCTGTTCCAAGCACTTCCAGCCAAGACCAGCAACAACCAATTGATGTAGCTGTTCCAAGCACTTCCAAACGAGGTCGGAAACAACAATCGATGGATCAATCCGGTCCAAGCACTTCCAAACGAGGTCGGAAACAACAACCAACTGATGTAGCCAGTTCAAGTTCTTCCAAACGAGTTCGAAAACGGCCAATGGGTGAACCCAGTCCAAGCACTTCCGATCAAAACCAGCAACAACCAATCGACAAAGACGAGTCTGTCAATCCTGTTCCAAATCAAATGACTAGATTAAGCGAAAAAGATCAAATGGATTTTGATCACATGAGGATAGTGTTTAAATTGTCTAGAAAGATAGCAAAAGAAAAACGCAGAGAATATTATGAATATTCAGACCTTGAATTAGAACATCAATTGGCGTTAGAAATGGGTAAAGAGTTGCCTGATTCAAAATACGATCCAGACGCTAAAAAGAAAGCAAGAGAAGATTATAAAAAGGCAAGCAGAAAAGTATACAATTTCAGACGAGAGCTAAAGAAGCTTATGAAAAAGTATGGTTTAGAATTTGATGAGCCGAGTTCGGATTTGGATTGATGATTCGCCAATGAATTTGATTTTGAATAAATTTAAACTTTCTGATACATTGACACGGTTTGTTCCATATACATTAATGACTTGATAACAACCAGTGTTGATTGTAACTATCAGTCATACTTGCAATCACTTGTCAGTTGCATGATACCACCAACTGACCATGTCGTGTATTGTACAACAAACGTATCAATACACTTGTTCAAAGTCGGATGTAGATTGCGACATCAACTGGTTTGATATTGGTCAATCAGTGTTGTGTCAGTTTGAAATGTAATATATGTAGTGTCGTATTGACGTCAAATGGATTACTTGTATTCATCTTGTAGTGACTGTATTCTGAGTTGCAATACACAATGGCTACTACACATTGACTGGTTTGAACTACTTGGAGCCATGTGGTATTCTGACACTACTATCAATGTGTGATGTCGATATGTCAAGATAGTATTGGTTTTCAACAAATCACTGTTTGATTGAAACCGTCAATACTTTTTAGTTGACATCAACATTGTCATTCATGTCAATTTGTGTGTAGTTGCCAACACCACACCACAACAATAATGTGCCAACTTTCGAGTTCTGTGATACACTATTTCAATTATGACCGGATCGATGTTGATCACTTGTCAATACACGGGTCAGTTGTATAATCGTATGACTGTTGGTTAACCAATGTTTGACTGTCGATATTTGAATCATGAATATTGTCCAACATTTCATGACACATGAATACACTGCATATACAAGCAGTAGCAATGACCAATCAAGACAAACAGTGACAGAGTTACTCATCAACATATACTCGATTATCAGTCGAGTCTGCATATATCAACTAGTTGCAACACGTCATAATCAATGTGGATTGTATTGCTCACCAATCGATCATGACAGCTAATCCAATACCAATCATGTAGTCAATACAATCACCAACATATCGATGATTGTTGACTTGTGGTTACAACTCGTCAATTGTATCCAATGTTACAGGTGATGCACATCTGATTACTGCAAATCAACAACTTGTCAAGCATATCATAGTGTGTATTTCCAACGGACCATGCAATTACAAATCAATGTATACGTGATCAACATTTGATATTTGATGGTGATGAACCAACCATGATTGATTGTATCATACAACTAATACAGTTGCATTGTCTGGTATGTATGATCGACCCAGTCATGTCAAACAATAACTGATGTGTGTATATCGAGTTTGTGTTGCATGGACACATCAAGGTGTTTGATAACGAGTCCAACGTGATGATACAAACCCAATATTATATGAATATCCAAGTTGATGAATCAAGTCGAGGTTTGCAAAGTGTCAATGTCAGATCAATCAAACGAACCAGTCAACCATTATATTGTGACTAGTGATGACACGGTTTGAATGTCAACGAGTTGGACAGTCGATAATGTGGTGATTGTGATTTGGTCAAACTGCAACATTCGTATATCACCAAGTCGGTTTAATGTATGTGATGTATTCAGCGATTGTATACTAGTCGATTGATGCAATATGATCATGTCACATACTATTGTATTGGTGACAATGTGTTGTTGAATAGGCGAGATCTCGAATGTTTGCAGCATAAATGGAGTGGATGTACAGTATTGCTTGTGTACCGTCATGTAATGATATCATTTGAAATATATTGTGTAGCGACATCATAGTGTGACAATATACTCTGATCGTTGATCTTGATATCGGGTACCAGATCAAGCAACGGACGGTTGTGTAAAGGGAGATCCCTTTAAGGTTATGTTGACATTTATAGCAGTAAATCAATGCTAACCCCGACAACACAAATCCCTTAGGACGGTCATTCAAGGAATATGCTTTTAATATTATCAATCTAATAATGTATACAAATATGTCACCAAACCGACGTATTGAGCAACAATCATTACAATTTGCCTAACCAAACCAATACAGTGAAACTATCAATCACCGTACTATCATCAATCCTTGCTGTCTGTTCGGTCACAATTGCCAATCCAACTGATCCCAGTTCGACCATGAGTGCTGCAGCTAGCACTTTGACAGCTTCTTCAAGCGCAACTCCAGCTGGTGGATCTGGCTCTCCAGAATCTCCTAGCACAGATAAATTTAAGAAATATTGCGGTCAATTTGATGCTACTGAAGTGTCGTTGATCGAAGAAATTGCAAAATCTCGGATTAAATCCATGAAAGCGTTTAAACTACTTGAAAGTCAACGTTTTGATGCTGATATTCAGGAAAGATTGATTGTTAGAAAGAAGGAAAAGCTTGAGAGTATGAGTCAAGTTCCGAGTCGGAAATTGAGTTCTGCTAAAGCCAATTATAAGGAGTTTCGTCAAATTTGTGAAAAATTCAGATACAATGCAAATGATTACGTTTGGAAGCTTTTGGATAGGACGGAAGAAAATAATGAGTTGACGACCAAACTTACAAGCCATTCTTCATTTGGAGTATCACTGGATGATGATTATAGTTTACCGAAATCAGTTTACGGATATAAGGATTGCCTCGAGTATTTCTACAATCGCTTACCACAGTGATTGCCACGATTCGAGCACAGTGAAACTTTCCAAGATTCTGATGTTCAGCAACAAACTTTTCAATCATAGACTCGTCACATTGTTGCAACTCAAAATGGGCCATCATCTAGAATATGTTGCAATGCAGTGTGTATTGCATGTTTGGATGCTTGTCATTTGTCATTCATTCAATAAACATCGTGTATTACCAAACAATAGTGTATTAAACTAATGGTTTGATCATATTGCACCAATCAACCACCATGCATTGTATTGATCACTGCAGTGTCATTTCTGAATCCATGCAATTGTGTATATTGTCATTTTGAGTTACCAATCAATTCATTGATACCACTGGACTATTTGACTCGGTGATCCAAATGATCCGGCTGGTTCTTGTAGCTTGTGAACATATTTGTGTGGTTCATAGTCGAAAGTATATCACAGTAAGTAAAATATGACAATAAAGTAATGAACCAATGCATGAATTGCGTTGTTTATTAATCCAAGATCGTATCTTTTATGAGGTGAGATAGTAGTGGAACAATACCAAGAAAGATATGAGGTCCATAGCTCAAACATCATTGTTGAGGGTTCCTTATCACTATAGATCTTCTATCAGTGGTGGTTATACTTGTGTACCAAACATAGAATCCCACACAAGTATCCACACACAATGCATGTCAACAGGCTGCACATATCAACAATCCAAGTCCCATTACAAAGATCACACATTACCAATATCTAACATTATATTGGTTAATATGATTCTATCCATGATTGCTAAACATTATGCAATATACACATCAGGCACTGTTATTCTAAACAGACACGTTTATAATAACCAAAACATTTTCCCTTTGTTAAATAAACAACCTATGATGTGACTTTTGAAATTACATTAAAACAATCAATCAAGTTTACTATTCAATTCTGTTGATTTAACTCACCTGACAACTTGTGTCAATATATCAATCAACAATCCAGTAACTGTTGATGTAATATCCAACGCAGTATACAATCAATGATATGGTTGTTGACCCATTCACGATACTTGACAAACATCAACACATCAGAAAGTTTAAATTTATTCAAAATCATTGACAAATCATCAATCTGAATTCTAATTCGGCTCTTCGAATTTCAAACTATGCTTTATCATAAACCTTTTCAATTGTTTTCTGATACTGGCTACTTTTCTACTTGCCTTTTCATATTCTTCTTTTGCTTTCTTTTCAGTGTCTGGATCGTACTTTGATACAAATATATCTTCCTTTTTTCCCAACACTGACCATTGTTTGAATCCAAAAGCCATAGATTCATAGTATTCTTTGATTTTTTCGTCTCGTATTTTTTTAGACTCTACAAGCCTTTTCTTTATATCATCAAAAGTTATCTGATTTCCTTCGCTTAATTCAGTCACTTGATTTGAAGCAGTATTAGCAGACTCGACTTTGTCGATTGGTTGTTGCTGGTCTTGGTTGGAAGTACTTGGGTTGGGCTGATCAATTGGTTGTGTTTGACCTTGTTTGGGAGTGCTCGGTCCAGCTACATCAGTTGGTTGTTGTTGGTCTTGGTCGGATGTGGTTAGATCAATCACACCAATTATGCGTTTTCGGCCTTGTTTGAGAATATTTGGACCAGCTACAATCACAGTCGGTCGCTGGTTTGGACCGGGAGTATTTGGATTGAGTTGATCCATTGGTTGTTGCCGGATTCGGTTGTGAATACTCAAATCCATTGGTTCTTGCTGGTATTCATCTGAAGTGTCTGGACTAGGTTCATTGGTTGAAACGGACACTTGACTAGAAGTGCTTGATGTGCGGGGTGAACCATTATTATCAGTCGGTATCAGTATTGCATTGGCAGTTGCTGCTGCGCTCAGTACAAGTAAAATATCAACCAATTTCATCAGACTGGTCAATGGGTTTAAACAATAGTACAAAAGTAGAGTGTTGAAACTGGTGTCGATTATAGGAATGAACATACTCGATTGTATTTATATGTTTTGTATAGCAAACCAACCCTAACCCTTTTAGGTTAACCAACAACACAGGATCACTTGATTGCTTGTAGTGGGTTACTATCAAACCACAGAATGTTGCTCCCTATCCACAATATCATATTGACCGTTTTGCTGTTGATGTCGATTGGACTATGTTGCTACAACCCTTTATCAGGTATATTGAGAAGCACACCCTTCAAGAGTGTTGTGTAACCACAAACGCTTCGTTTTACAGCTGTGTATGTGTAAAATGGATCACTTGTATTCATTGTACAATGATTGTGTTCTACATTGCAATACACAATGGTTACTACACATTGACTGCATTGCGTGTTTGATGGACAATAGCTAAGGATCGTGAACATATGATGGCATATTGATGGTTGTCATTATTGGCAAGTGTGTTGCAGTTGATTGAAGATGTGAATGAATGAATCAATATTCGATTGTGTTGTTTATTAACAAGTGAGTGAGTGTGTTTATAAAATGGAAGAAACCAAGAAAGCCATGTGAATTTCAGTTCAAACGTCATTGTTGATGGTTTTTGATTGTTAAACTATTCAGAAATGTCTCACATTCACACACTACTAATGTCTCACACAATGCAAGTCAACACTCTCACACTAGTAATGTCTCACATTAATGAGACATTAATTCTGGTGTAAATTTGACTAATTTCCAAATATTTAAATCGTGTGAATTGTCTTGAAATATCCCAAAATTTTGTTATTTTGACTCGATTAAAAAGTCGATTTTTGTTTTACAATTTGACAAATAAATTGCTTTTTTACTCTTTTTCTTTTCATAAAATGCCAAAACGATACCTCAATGTCCAATATGGCACACTTACTGCTGAAATCAATGTGACTGACTTTGAAGACCTGAGTGACGTTCAGGATGCTATCAAGTCTGAGTATGGTCCTGCTATGGCTGACATTGATGCTCATCAACTCCAACTCCATACCAACAGTAACAAGAGCCAACTAATCAACACCTGGGCTTTACTCGACTCCCTTCCTCAAGAATACTTTACTCAAGATGGTTATTGTGTTGTCATTGGTTGTCTACCACTACCTACCAGGAAACCAAGCAAAAGTGCCATTTTTGATGCAGGTTCTACTTCTTTATCAACAGCAAACCATCAATACTTTTCTCCTAAACGACAACGTACCGAACCCAATGATTTGACAACCCAATTCAAGTCGTTTGCAAACGCCCAGCTGATCGATGAATGTATACAGTCGAAAGATCATGTCCTTTTCCCATACACCCAAGACAAAATACAAAAACTATATGTTAGAGAGTGCTATCATGATGTGTTTGGCTTGCTACTGGATCAAATTAGTCGTGGCATGGAATCATTTGCAATATCTGGAACATCAGGCATCGGAAAGTCACTGTTTTTTGTCTACATATTGCATCGCTTGATGAATGACTTTACCACGAAAACTCTGTCCTTGAAGCCAAACCGGATTGTTTATCAAGTGGGATCCTCGTACAAATGCTTTGACTTGCAGCAACAACTCGTCACAGAGCTTGGAGTTGATGCGGAGGGATTGGTTAGGAAACAAGATACATTGTATATTGTTGATGGACACACGACTCCAAGATCATCATGTTGTATTGTCTTGTTCATGTCATCTCCTCAGTCTGAAGGATACAAGGAGTTCGTCAAACAAAAGATGGCAAGGCAATGGTATTTTCCTGTTTGGACTTTGGACGAGTTACAGACTTGTCGACGTCATTGCTATCCGTATGTACCCATTGAGACTATCAATGAGAGATATCGCATGTATGGTGGTGTAGCTCGTCCTGTCTTTGATATTGTATCAAATCCAATGGAGAAAGCTTTGACTGATGTTGATACAGTCAAAGGGGTACACAACATTGGAATCACAATCAATATATCTGCAAATACTCATACATTGCTTCATACCATTGTGTCAGACGACGGACAGTACACATTCCTGCATGTTGATATTGCTTCAAGATATGTTGGAGAACAACTCTGGCAACGTCATTCTGCTCAAATGATTACCAATATGCAGCAAATGTTTGATAGTATTCCAACCGAGATTTCAAGACATTTGTTTGAAATATACGGACATGTGGTTTTTTGTACTGGTGGACAAACTCTCAAATGCAGATGCCTGGAAGATGGTAAAGCGACAAAGATCACTTTGGATGCACTCAATGGCCAACGAATTACATTTGGAATAAATACTATCCCTACTGCAGCAGCACTTGATGGCAACTATTACGAACCGACAGATGACGATAATTTTGCAGCAATTGATTCACTCAGTCAACAGGGAATGTTTCAATTTACAGTTGCTGCTGAACATCCTATTTGTGGAGTTGATATTCTTACAAAACTGTGCAATTTGTATGATGAACCCAAACTTTATTTTGTGGTTCCGCCTCATCGGTTTAAAGGGTTCAAAAAGCAGAGTTTCAACCCAATCGATGGCACAGAGCAGGTACAACCCATTCATGGATTGAAGCAATACGTTATAAAACTCCCACTAATACAACCAGATTTGAAGAGTAGAAAGTGATAGTTGTATTTTGCAACTGATATGGCATATTTTCAACCATTCCAACCATTCCAATTATTTGATAACTCAATGTTGTTAATAAAACTGGCATTATACAATTGTGTCCATTCAAGGGATTGAGATGCATTTAACATGAAAAGTCCAAATTCAAGTTTACTATTGTAACATACGCTTTTTGACAAATAATGGCTCTGTTGACACATCCTTGTACCATCTAATCGTGTCCGACTGAAACATCAAGTATGAGTTTGGCAGACAACTTGCAACTTTAATCAACTTGTATACGGTAAGCATTTTGATAATGTCGGCATTTGTCAGGATATCACACCTGACAACTTTGAATCAGATTTAGCAGTGATTATAGGTGAAAACACCAATCTAGCACAACAACAATTCCAGACAATTCCAGACAATCCGATTCTGATTAGTTCTAAAACCAGAATTCACATTGTAACCACAAACCAAATGCGTTCAATATCAATCACAATCATCATGGACGAATGTATCAAAGTATGTCGTCAACTTTTGAATATTTTAGCAGTCTTGCTTAAAACAAGTGGTATCATCCAGTGCACTACATATACTACTCATGGTCATTGACAACTGATTGTGTAGTAATAGTGTTAGTGTATTGTGAGCAAAGTATTGATGATGGAATAACACACATTTTGGTTATGATACTAGAAACACACAAACTTCAAATAACTGCGCAACTATATGTTCAAACTCTGCTCCAAATATATGTTGTTGTATACAGCAAACCTGGTAAAGTGTTGTATTTTGTCATGGCTGCATTGTTCCGAGACATAATTCAAGGCTTGTTACAATGGGTTACTGGATTTGATATCCAATAGGTTTGATAAAAGTGTTGCAATTGACATTTATGTTTGTGGATAACAATATTTTGGAATCAACTCGTTCAACTTGGAAATCAATTGGATTTCTTGCTGATATCAATATCAATGTCAGTTCAACTCAGTTGATTGGAGTAGCACTCGAGTGCTTGCAGTATTGACTTTGGTTCAAACAGTGATCCACAGTGACACACTGATTATCATTTCAGTGAAAAATGATACAGAAATGATCATTCCAAAACAAGGAATCTGAATGACTGAAATATTGCGCTTATTATGCTGATAATCCAATACATGAATTTTGTCCGAATTTTACAGAGCTTTGTGATTTGTATAAATTGTAATAGTAGATAGGATACAGTAAATATAATATAGTATAGTATGTAACTGCAACTGTAACTAGTTATCACAAGAAACCAAATCAAAAGTGTAATGAAAGTTGCACAGTAATCCAAAATCAACAGACTTGGTCTTTTCAGGAATATTGAAAAGGTATAATAAAGTAATTAAAAAGTCAAAATCGTTTAAAAAGTTGTTTATTGATAAAAAATATCTTGGCTTCTATAGTAATTGGTTGTTTGTGGCTTGTAACACAAACAAGTATAATGCTTGATAATAAGCAGTTGTAACCAAAAGTAACTATCCAATGGTATCGATTTCTGTGGTTGGCCATGTCAATGTAATGTCATTATGTTACCCGCTAGTGGTTGCACGAATCCCAAAAATGAGGATAATGGAGTCGAGGCATATGGATTGGTGATGAAGAGTTTAATTTGAAGATTTAAAGTGTGTGCTACTAGAATTGGTTTTGCCACAGGTTACCGCTTAAAAGTATGTCTGGCTATTCCAACACAGTATGATCAAGTCATTAGTATAATACACTATGGTTTGGCAATACACGATGTTTATTGAATGAATGTAATTGGATGCATGACAAATGACAAGTAAACTAACATGCAATACACGCTGCATTACAACATATCCTGGATGAGGCTGTCGATAACCCACTGAGCTGCAACAATGTGACAAGTCTGATTGAAAAGTTTGTTGCTGAACACCAGAATCTTGAAAAGCTGCACCATACCCAGATTATGGCAATGCTTGCATAAAACTATCAAGGAAGAACTTGTGACATTTTTCATACGCAGAAGTTGTTTTTGGTGAAGCAGGATCACCATTCGTTGATGGATCCAGACCCATGTACTGTTTAAGTTCTCCCATTAAAAACTTATTTTCGTCAATCAAAGACAAACTTTTATCCATGCGTTCCTGCTTCTCAGCTTCAAGTTTTACAAGAATGCCGCTATGCATCTTAAGCTCGGCTTCGGCAGCACTTAACCCATTGTCCGAAGTTTGTTTCATAGTCTCGACTTTTTGCTGCAGCTCAGTAGTCAATCCTTTTTCAAAACTAATGTAATAACTTACGAGTTCAAGTTTTTTAAACATTTTTTCGATTTTAGCATGGGTTTTTCCAGAGTCCTTGATATACGACACTTCAGTATCATCGAATGGACCGCAATATTCCTTAAGATTTCCTGATGTAGGATATTCTGGAGAGTCAGATCCATCAGCTGGAGTGCTGGTCTCAGCACTCGTGGCCGAACTGGGGTAAACTGGACTAGCTGTAGTAACTGAGCAGACAGCAAGGATTGATGACAGTAGGGCAATTGAGAATTTCATTTTGGTGGTTGGTTGAGCAAGTTGTAATGAATGTCATTTAACACGTCGATTTGGTGTCGTATTTATACACATTATTGGCGGGTAATATTAAAAGCATATTCCTTGAATGGCCGCTCTAAGGGATTGGCTTTATTTCATTTATTGTATTTATTTCCAGAGTTAGCATTGATTTACTGCTATGAATGTCAAGGTAACTTTAAAGGGATCCCCCTTTACATAACCGTCCGTTGCTTGATTTAAACCCTGATATCAAGATTGGTGACCAGAGTATATTGCCGCACTATGATGCCGCTACATAGCACATTCCAGGTGATATCATTACATGATGGTACACAAGCAATATTGTCCATGCACATCAATTATGTTGCAAACACTCGAGATCTCGCCTGTTCGACATCACATTGTCACCAATACAATAGTATGTGACATGATCATATTGCACCAATCGACCAATATACGATCACTGAATACACCACACGTTGGTGTTTACCACTGTATATGTGGTGTATACCGGAATATAGTGCATGATATCAATGAGTTTATGCATACTGCTCACATCACACATCAAACCGACTCGGTGATATGCGAGTGTTGCAGTTTGACCAAATCGCAATCACCCATATTATCGACTGTCTAACTCGTTGACATTCAAACCGTGTCATCACTAGTCACAATATAATGGTTGACTGGTTCGTTTGATTGACCTGACATTGACACTTTGCAAACCTCGACTTGATTCATCAACTTGGATATTCATATAATATTGGGTTTGTATCATCACGTTGGACTCGCTATCAAACACCTTGATGTGTCCATGCAACACAAACTCGATATACACACATCAGATATTGTTTGACATGAATGGGTTGATCATCAATACCAGACAATGCAACTGTATTAGTTGTATGATACAATCAATCATGGTTGGTTCATCACCATCAAATATCAAATGTTGATCACGTATACATTGATTTGTAATTGCATGGTCCGTTGGAAATACACACTATGATATGCTTGACAAGTTGTTGATTTGCAGTAATCAGATGTGCATCACCTGTAACATTGGATACAATTGACGAGTTGTAACCACAAGTCAACAATCATCGATATGTTGGTGATTGTATTGACTACATGATTGGTATTGGATTAGCTGTCATGATCGATTGGTGAGCAATACAATCCACATTGATTATGACGTGTTGCAACTAGTTGATATATGCAGACTCGACTGATAATCGAGTATATGTTGATGAGTAACTCTGTCACTGTTTGTCTTGATTGGTCATTGCTACTGCTTGTATATGCAGTGTATTCATGTGTCATGAAATGTTGGACAATATTCATGATTCAAATATCGACAGTCAAACATTGGTTAACCAACAGTCATACGATTATACAACTGACCCGTGTATTGACAAGTGATCAACATCGATCCGGTCATAATTGAAATAGTGTATCACAGGACTCGAAAGTTGGCACATTATTGTTGTGGTGTAATATTAGCAACTACACACAACTTGACATGAACCACAAAATAATCAAACACACGATCGCATATATTGTCAATGTTGCAATGCATTGCATCAAAACTAATACTGACTCCAATATGTCTCCCGTTGTTGATTACAATGTGTTTGTGGCAATATAACCATCCAAATACTTTTATATTTACATTTTGCTGTTGATAGATTTGCAACAACAAGATTGTCAAAAACCAAGTTTTTAGTCATGCAAGGATCAGTCTCGGTGTTTACAGCAACAAAAACATTCAATCTTGGAGCCAACCAACAACAATCATTTTTCAAGTCATGGATATATTTTGCAATAAACTTTGAATATTTGCCAATTCCAACTTTAACAAGGTTTAACAAGGTAGACATTTATTGGCTTTGTTTGTATGAAAATATGTTGCTTGAAACAAATACAAATCTTGCCGCTCTTTTTTTAAGCTGGATTGCTGCATATCATATTGTTCAATATCTGTTTTTTAGTTTGTGTGCAATGACGAGGTGTGTTGCTAATGCTCCTGATTGTGTTGGAAATAGCAGTATGAATTTTCACCATCACTTTTATTTGGAAACATTAAAAACAAGCATATTACAACCATATTCAATGGCAAAAACGGGAGTGATTGGGCAATTCACAAGCATGCACATAAAGCCGTATGATAAGACTGTGATATCAATGAATCCAATGGTCAAATGTCTGCTCAATAGACATTTTTACATTATACATGAAAAATTCGATAACGTTGCAAGTAGCATCTCTTTTTGAAATACAAACTTGATGAAAAGCGTTCAAAATGATTGAATTCAAAGAATAAACGGCAATGCAACAATCAAGAGCAAAATCAGTCAATTACAGTTCAACACTCAATGTTCAAGAAACAAATCCAAACAAATCAGGAGTCTGATGAATAAAACAGTTTTTGAAGAGTATTTCTGCTATTGAAAATCGGATAGTATATGCTATCAAAGATACATGTATTTTAGACGAGATCAAACAGGTGTTACGAAACTACGTTGCTTCAACTTGAAAACACCAGTTATTGCATTTGATGATGTTTTGTCAGCTGAAACTTTAAAATAAATTGCTTGACCTGTTTTTCCAACACCCTTGTGAAAAGATTGATAAATGGAATATGTTGTATGAAATGAATTGATATGTTTCAAGAAAACAGTGTCAGAATCACTTGTTTTACACAATTTTGGATAAAATCAACTGTGGATATTGACAAAAATGGCTTGGTAATGATTTGATTGAAAGAATGAGTGGCGGCATTATAGTGTACAAATGATACGACTTTTATAGATGTCTGTTAAGTAATATCGTGAATATACATGAACTTGTGAATGAATAGCGCAAAATACTAACCATTGTTGTTTTAATGTCAAAATTTGATTACACTGACAAACACACCGTTATTATACATTGTATGATAATGCAATAATACCATATTTGTCATTATTTTGACTGTACAAGACACTATTGAAATCAACTAAAGTATCCAGTTGAATCTAGCCAGGACATTATATTTGCACAATTAGCTTGATTTGCTAATCATGTGATATATTTATAATCTTTCATCCAGACACAAAGGTTACAGATTATACTAAAACAAGGGGAATATCACACAATCAAACATGGATACACTACATTAAAAATACATATAATATCAGCTTGTCACTAATGAATTGTATTCAGTCGAGTTTATTGAGAGTCTGTTTGTGACTCTTGACAGTGTGGCGAGTGTATTCAGGCACGACTACTTGATCAGTTGTGGTTATGATTTCCTTTTGCGAATAAATGCACCATCTGAGCCTGAAGTACTTGGTTGTTCAGGCAATCTAACACTATGCATCAAATTCATAATCAGTATCAATTGACACATCAATATCAATATCAAACAACTTACTGTGTTAATGGCCAAAGCACTCGATAACCGTTTGAAATAGTAGGATATCCATCAGTCGCAGTTTCGCATCCACATCCAGGACCAAACCCAATGCGTTTATTTTGTAAATCAAATGTCAATCCAAGTTGGCTCATAAATGACATGCCAAGAGTTGCTTTGTCATTTGAACCAGATTTTACAGTAAATCTAACTATAATCCAACATTTATATTAGTCAGGGTTAATCCAACAACACATTGCATAAATTAATTGTCAAATATTTACATTTTCAGAATCATATTTCCACATATAGTCTCTAGGACCCAATTTGATTGTTACAACGGAGTTGCTATTGTCATAAGTTACGGGGGTTTGGGCATACATTACAACTGAAATCGTTGGCATCCTGTCCCACTTGATATTGTAGTTGGATTTGAACATTAGAGAATTTGCTTGTAGCTTTTTTTTAATTTCTTCTTTGCCGAGTTTGCGCCTAAGCATACTGCCTTTGACAGTGATCGCATTGCTATCAAGAATAGCATTGATCAACGTAGTCACGACTTTCTCAGGCAAAACTATGCATAAAAAGCATGTTTGTAGATACGAGTACAAAGTACGTCCATCTTTTCCTTGTTTTTTTTTGGAATTCAGCAGGCAGCTCCACTTGTTTGCCATTGACTAGTATACTCTTGATGTTGACACTAAACTGATTGTTTGTTGGTGAGTCTACCCATGCAACACTTTTTCCATCCGTTCCGCATTTTGGAGTTATGTCCGTATTTCCTATATTGATGAAACTTTCATGCAGAATATCATACGGACACAATTGAAGACCAATCTCGTTATTAGGAATGATACCATCTTTGTACAAAACATCCATCGCAGTGATTGGTGGATGATGATCTGACAACGAGGAGTAGCCAATTCCAAAAACTCCTTGCTTGAGTGTTCCACCAATACCAACTATATCTGCCGATTGTCTTTCAACTGCAACTACTGGTAATTTGATGTCAGTTATACTAGTACCCGGAATCGTCACAACGGCTGTGGATGTAACTCCATTATACTGTTTGCCTTTGTACTTTATACTAACGGGTTCCCCACTTGGAGTACTTTGTATAGCCAAGCCTACATCGTTGCTTGAACTAGGAAGTGGTACAACTATATCAGACATTGTTGAATCAACTTGCAAATTCAACTATTTTAAACAAGTGTGAGATTGATTAAACGTGGTACAAATTGATATCAAATTACAATGCATGACATGACATGATACATACATCAACTCCATCAACATTGGATTTCATTCTGTAACATTTCTTGATATCACCATCCAACTCAACGGGTGATCGTTTTGACAGCCTATTGTTTGATTGACTGTCAATTCCAGAAGGTGAATGTAATGAAACTCGAATTGCAGCAACTGCCTGCAACGCAAGTATAACGCATTCTAGAGTAATCAACATTGTATCGAGTAGTGTGATGAAAGTGTCGTGAATTTGGTAGATGACTGCCGTTTTGTAACGACGGCAGCTTCAAGGGTGACAATCAGCACTTCAAACGGATATTTAGAAAACGCCAAATACACCTTATAGGGTGAATCAATATACAAGCATCACTGTTGGTGTATAATCAACCTCAGTAGTATATTGCATTGATATTCTCAATTGGGGTCATGTATCCAGTGATCAGGTAGTGCCATTATGGATAGCTACCATCACATATACAATCCATTACTACAGCACATACTGTCACTGTATACCAAATACTTGACTGACTGTTCAATTGGTCATGTTTTGGATCACTCGGACACAACAGCATCCAACAGCCTGTTGTTGCAGTATTTCAAACCATGACTTTTCCGTTGGTATGACTGCATGGTCATTTTAGGTCAATCTAGACTGTATACGTCAAACATTGCTGATTGTGTCACAACATGATCAACATCAAACTCGGCAATCTGTCGTTGATACACTGAATGAGTGACGTTGTACTATAATTGAATTGGAGATTGGCAGGTCGTTCAACAAACTGGCCGTGTCAACAGGTCAGATTGTCATCGTGTACATGAACCATAATGGATGATCATGTCATTCAAATCAGCACACAATCTACTGATATATGCAATACAACACCACCAATACAATACAATCCAATCAAACCCAATCACAAACGTGGTGTTGAATCCAATGCATGCGAGTACTTTTTAAACACATGATACACACTGATGGTGATGGTTGCTGACAGTCACATTGCAGTGTACATGTCCAATAGTGTCCACTGTCATGTCGATCGTTGCTATCCGTGATATCCAACTGTACTTGTATTCACCAAATGTGTACAACATCTAGGGCTGACTGCCGGATGCTCTCATGTTTGGCATACAACTAGTCACCATCAGACCAAGCGTATACACCAATACAGCGCCATGAATCTATTGGCGAATGGTTTCAATTTTATTCTGGCGCGTTGAGGGTTGGATGTGTACTAGACACAATGTTGTGGATATAACTGAACCACAACAGGATAATATCATGCATAATGGTACGGCCTGGATCTGTTTGGTAGATATGCAACCATATATATGACAACCCAACTCGTCTTTTATCACGGGTTGGTTTTAGAAATGCCTGTTATTTTGGTTGATACATGTTTGTTGCATAGATTGGTAGTATTGTGTGTATTTAGTCTGATTCCATTGTAAACAGTCTGGTTGATTACTCATTCACTGCTAATAACCCGTTTGTACAACATAATCGATCATTTGCTCAGTATCGAGTATTCCCAAATACAAACTTGAATGAAAAGTCTTGTCACAAGACTGATCAACTGTATTACTGTTCACACTGTGGTATTATTGATGTATTGGAATATTTGGTGTTCAGATACACAATGATAATGGTAGTACAAATCATGGCAGTTGTACAAACCAAATGTGATTAAAGCCAATAATAATGTCAGACAAGATTGGATAATGAATTAGCGTGTAAATCATCAACATTGACCAAGATTGATTGAAATGGTGAGATTGGGTTGGATGGTGATGAGCACAACAAATGAGTGTACAGAGTTGTATTGACAATCAAACACAATACATGAATGTGAGTTCAAACTTGGTGATCGTACAATGTATGACTACTAAAAGTGCACAAAATGTAGATTCAACACTATAGTCTGATTGTGTGTCATATGATGGTTGTTGTATATCAAACACGCAATGCAGTCAATGTGTAGTAACCATTGTATATTGCAATGCAGAATACAGTCATTGCAGGATGAATACGGTTGTAAAACAAAGCACTTGCGGTTACACAACACTATTGAAGGGTGTGCTTTTCAATATACCTGATCAAAGGGTTGTAAAAGCATAATTAAATCAACATGATCATCAAATTGATCAATATGATATTATGAATAGGGGTAACATACTGTCTAGTTTGATATTGGCTCATTACAAGCAATCAAGTAACCCTGTGTCGTCGGTTAACCTAAAAGGGTTGGTTTGCTATACAAAACATACAAATACAATCGATTACCTTTAGCTTTATAATCGACACCAGTTTCAACACTACTTTTGTATTAATTGTTTAAACCCATTGATTGGTTTGATGAAATTGGTTGATATTCTATTCGTACTGACTGCGGCAGCAACCGCTAATGCAATACTGATACCGACTGATAATAATGGCTCACCCCAAGCATCAGGCACTTCAAGCCAAATGTCTGGTCCAACTGATGAACCTAATCCAAATACTTTGGACGACTTGCAAAGTATAGTGGATGCAACTAATTTAAGCATTCTCGACGAAAACTGGAAATACCTATTTGATTCGACTGATCCAAACACATCCAATGAAGACTGGCAACAACCGATTGATCAACCCAGTTCAGACACTTCCAGCCAAGTATCTGGTACAACTGATAAACCCGATTCAAATACTTCCAACCAAGATCAGCATCAACCAATGGATCAGCCCAGTCCGAGCACTCCAAAACGAGGTCGAAAACGGCCGATTGATGAACCCGGTTCAAACATTTCCAAATATGATCAGAAACAATCGATGAATCAACCCGGTCCGAGTGCTTCCAAACAAAGTCGGAAACAATCAGTTGATGGACCCGGTTTAGACATCCCTGACAAAGACTGGCAACGCCTAATAGATGAAGTCAATTCAAACACTTTTGAAGACTGGCAAGAACTGTTTGATATAGCTGGTTTAAATACTCCCAGTCAAGTTTCTGACTCAATTGATCAAGTCGGTTCAAGCAATTTTGACAAATACCAACAACAACCAGCTGATAAAACCAGTTCAAGTATCCCCGACCAAACTCAGCAACAGCCAATAGATGCAACTGATTTAAATATTTCCAACAAAGATCAGCAACAGCCGATTGATCAATCCAGTCCAAGTACTTCCAGTCAAGACCAACAACAACCAATGGAACAAGACCAACAACAACCAATGGGACAAGGCGAGTCTTCAAATACTGTTACAAATCAAGTGATTGTATTAAACGAACAGGATCAGAGAACCTTTAATCGTATAAAGAAAAGGCTTGTAGAGTGTAAAAAAATACGAAAGGAGAAACATAAAGAATATTATGAATCTATGGCTCTTGGATACAGGCAATGGTCGGCGCTAGCAAGAGGGGAAGAGATATCAGGATCAACGTACGATCCAAATGTTGAAGAGAAATTGAAACAAGAGTATGAAAAGCTAAGGATAAAAGTACCCAGTATCAGACAAGAATTGAAAAGGTTTATGAAAAGGCGTGGTTTGAAATTTGAAGAACCGAATTAGAGTTGATGATGTGTCGATGGATTCGATTTTGAATAAATTTAAACTTTCTGATGTTGATATCTGTCGAGTATTATGAATGGGTCAACAATCATATTATTGATTGTGTATTGTGTTGAGTATTACATCAACAGTTACTGGATTGTTGATTGATACATTGACACGGTTTGTTCCATATACATCAATGACATGATAACAAACAGTGTTACTTGCAAAATGGCATATTCATAGATACTTTCAACAATATACTTTGAATTATGATGTTTCATGCATTCAATAATATCATTCTCGTCAATCAGATCCAAAACAATGTCAATATCCATATTAATCATGGATTGATTGTTACCATTAAACAATAATGTATTATCTGAAATATTAAATTGAATTGTTTTTTCAGTATCTACATTTTGCAGCATATACCCAAATTGAATATCAAGCCAATATCCAATGTTTTGATTGGTGATTTCTTCGGTATATTTTGCATCAACTCCTCCACATTGGTGAGCATGTGTCTTGCACTGTATTGTATTGTATTTTTGGTGGAAATGATGTTTGTTGATATGTCTATTAAACTGTCGCTTTAACTTGCTTGCTTGGTTCCAATGCTCTATTTGTAGTTGAATCAGTTGCTTGTACGCCTTTGTTGCTTCAACTCGACTCCTGAATCCTTGGATACGTTTTGTAAACCGCAACTTGACTTTGACGAGTTTAACATCAATGTTCACCGTTGATCCAACCATTTCCATGATATTGTTATTGGGGTTTTCCTAATGGCAACAATAAATCAACGACAAAACTCAATCCGAGCATCTCGTAATGGACTCTGTATGAGCCAATTGAACCACTATTTTTGTTCAAATCAGAATTACTTTGTAACAGGTTTCCAACAGGTTTCCAACATTTTCAACGAGTTTAAACAATAATAGAAAATAAATCCAATCCAATTGTTTGTTGATACAATTCCAAAATGGATTTTCTTGGGTTTATTCAAAACCACCTCAATGACATTACACATCACAACCACATCCTTAAGATCCAAGTATCTACAAACTTTGGTCGTGAACTCGGTCTTGATCAAACCTAAAAACGGTCAAAAGTATCATGTTGTTGAACGAAATCTAACCAACCATCTTGTAAAAGTAGCAACCCACTATGTGTGCAATGATATTGAACCTATTACTCATGAAATCATACCTCGATATATGTTCAAGTCGGACAACCCAATCAAAGTAGATCCCAACAAACTCTTGAAATCAAACATTCAATTCCTTGATGAAAAGTATCATTCAAAATCAATACAAGCCACTTTATTATTGAATCAATGAGTTGCTGAACAAGAGTTACTACAAGACATTGTATTGTATGTATATTTTACATTCTGGCTTAGTACTTTGATCAAAAGTCATCATCACACTGTAACGGACGCTCAGATCAATGTAGACCGAATGGCTCATCATGTATTTAGCGATTTAGATGTTCTTGGTAAAGTGATGGAAAAACAGCACACATTACAGCATAAATTGTATCAAATGGTAATGAGTGCCGATGTAGACGCCAAATATGTTAAATATATCATACTATGAATCCGTAATCTTGATGGAACCCAGCACCATTTCTTGGGTCAAGCAAATGCTGGAAAAACACATCCAGTTCATCGTTTGCCATGTTGACACTTGACTTGTTGTATCTGATATTCCAAATCTACCGCATACAGTGGTATTGTTGGTGAATCATCAATTACATTCAAAGTATGTTTGATAGTTATTGTGGCATTATTTTCAAACGATTTGCTGATTTGAGGTAGCCAGTAAGTTATCATGATTGTATTGCTGGAATTTTGGCAAATATTGATTATTTTCAATAACCATTGACTATTTCCTATTTTGAATACTGGCATCTGGCCATGGGATATGATGACAAATGACTTTAATGTGTCCAATTTCAATTCTGATTTTGATTGGGATTGGGATTCCTGTTTTCATGCAATTGGTCAACGATTTTGAATATTCATTTCCGTCGACCCAAAATACATTACATCCAGTTTTGAAACAAGTCTTCAAACAAGGTTTTGATGCAAGTCTTGTACAATAGTCACATCCTGTTGTTCTGGATTTGCAATTCTTGTCATGATTGTGTTTTGTCTACAGAAGTACTGATGCTTTACAATTATCATGCTCACAATTAATCATTTGTGATTTGATGGTTCTTTCCAGCATCATGTTGTGTAAAACTCGGACAGTCCTACAAATCGGACAGTTCCATTGGGTTCAAGATATACAGGATATACAAAGTGATTGGCATCCTGACATTGAATCAAAAGTGTTGTAACAACTTCATGGCAAATGGAGCAAGTGAGTGTTTTGATGGAGTTGGTAGCTTACATGGATTTCATGGATTTCATTGATTGTGATTTATAATAATCGTACAGAAAATATAATATTGTATTTTGACTATTATTGATTGACATAATGTTTGATGTTGGACGATACAGTCGATACACAGATTGAAAGAAAGTTGTTCAATCTGAGTAGATTAGCAAGTGATTTCCACAACGATGGACATGATTGACATGATACCGAGTTGTTCCACCACAGTGTAAAAAGACTGCACTATCAGTTCCACGATCATTGGTAGCAACATCATCATTACTGGAATCTGAATGTGTCATCAATTGATGAGACATTGTTGGTTGACAAACTGTCTCACTGCAATGGAAAGAGACATTTGAGTTGCTTTCATTATTGCTTGAATTCAAGTGTCAACATCAACTGTTGGTATTCACACTCACTACAATGACAACTATTGCTGTAACAGAAACCAGTCTCTTGTAATGAATACACAATTTTATCGAGTATTTTCAATGATCAAAGTAGCACTCGATTCCATCCATTTCTCGATGCTTTTACTCTGATAATCGACAGGAGTACAGCCATCGTCATCATATGGACAACATCATCATCAGATTCTACACCACCAGCCATACACCAAATGAGACATGCTGTCTTGTGTAACTCTAGTGCGTTCCTGTTTGGTAGTCGAGTGAGATTGTTGTGAATGAAATACAATGTCATTTCACTGTTGGATTCGACTGTTTGTCAATGTCAGTCCATCTCTTTTGCCTTGTTCTGCGGATAACTTTCAAATCTTCAATTGTCTCAATCCACTTCTTGTGCTTGTCACTTGTCAGATCATTCGTCTCATTGATCACTTTGATCACCAGTTTGTCATCCACTACATCCACATATTGCTTTAGTTTACCAAATTGGTCATGGCACTTGATACACAACAACAGTCCGTTCTGTATTTGATGTTTCTGTGTCAAACCAGATCGTAGCAATATGGATGGTTCGTTGTATGCCATTCCAATGTTCTTTTGGGATATGATGTGTGCTCCTTGCAAGGACAGCTTATTCCAGCAAAACAAGCAGACTCCGCCTCTCTTTTCAACCACCTTGTTCAAGTCCTTGTGCTGTAGCTCACTCACTTTTGCAACATAGTCCAGATCATCAGCAGAGTTGGTTCTTGATGTTGGGTTTGATGAAACTGGAGTGTGCCAGCTGGATGAATCGTTGTAGTCTTTGTGGAATGGCAGTATGTAATACCCAAACATGTCATCAATGAATGTACAATGATGTTTTAGGTCTGCCAACTGGATCTTGGTTGAGAACTCTTGCTGCTCTGCAAATTGGTTGGCAGTCAGCAGGTTGTGCAGTCGAGTGATGTGTGAGGTTTCTCCCTCTTGGATGATTCCCAAAAACAAACCTCGTTTGTTGTCATCCTGCCATTCAGACTTGACTCTCTGTGTTGGTATGGCTTGAGTGCTGATTTGGTAGTATTCATTCAACAGTTGTGTTGTTGCTGTCTTTGTTGTTTCAATATTCATTTGATGTTTTTTGACAAAAGAATGAAACTCGAACCAACCAAAATAATTGCAGTCAACAATCAAATTGGACAATATTCACCAATAATCTTTTAAACTCGTACAGTTTGTACAGTGTTGTCATGAAAGTCATGGCTTGACACATTTTCATCAAGTTACCAGCGAGTATCAGTGAGTATCAATCAACAAAATTGGTCTCGTTGGTTGATACACTACTGATGCACTTGCATATGAAACTGTACGAGTTCAATCAATGTTTCTTGCACGATTGTCAAATGTTCAGATGAAATCAATCTCATGGCAGGACACAAAATGTGACATTATCAAATAACAACCAATACTAAACAATTGGGTTACCACACAATGGCTCATTCGGAATGCAAGTTGAATCCATTAGTGGTCATTGATACCATCAAGTGTATTGGCAAATACACAATGGTTTGTAATGGTAAATTGATTTCAAACACATCACCGCTCATTTATCACTGGATACATATTTGAAAGTATCCAATATCACTTGATACTGAATGTCCAAGTGTCTGCTCAGAGTTGCTCACAATATTGACGATATTACAACAACATGCTGATTCAAATTTGGAAAAAGTAACATTGGCTTGTTTAATCTTGAATTACTGAAATCAAATGGTTTACAATGATCCGATCATGTCAAATATAACCGATTGCAATTATTTTGGAATCATGTCAGATTATGACAATCTGTTCGAGTTGTTTGAGCCAATATAGTGTGATGGAGTGATGGAAATACTCGAAATACACACAATACAACTCTTGCAGCAGTGTATGAAACTATCAAGCATGACATGGTATGACATGAAGGGTGTGGATTAGACTTGATAACAATGTGTACGATTTGGACTTTTAAATTCGGAAATAGCAGCTCTGTTCCAACATCACATTGATTGTAAATATCGAGGTTGTTTAACCTTGTACAAATGACCATTTCACATGCAACTTTAGCCTGATATCGAGTATTTTCAAATGAATGCAACCTTGCGACACTCGTTTGACTCGTTTGGCTCGGATTCTGGTTGATATTTACAATATCGATGCAAAGTTACATTCCAGAATGAACCTGTATAATCTGATGTGGTCAATCGTTTGGTTTTATTGTTATCAGTCATTGACACCAGTGATTGCATTGATTGCAAATAGTAGTCCAACTAATCATGCATAAACAAATACCAGATAGTCACTGATAAACTGATGGTATCCAATGTATACATGACACATTGTATAGTTCCATTTAATTGCCAGCAATGTGTGATTGGATTACTCGAGTCATCAAGCAGTTTTCAAACAGTTTTCAAAAACAATCAAGTCATGTCCAATAAACTGTCTGATGTGCAGGTGTTTTGGCATTGGTCCGTTGGTCCATTAGTACGATTGTTGGTTGGCAATTCGGACTTGTAAATGACAATTGATTCTTGATTGTTGCATTGGTGTCCATATGTGACTCATTGTATACGGAACAGGACTGACAAGTGTGTCTGAATTGATGACAGATGATACAGCCTATCCAACAGAAAGTAATACATTGATCGTGTCTGCATGGAAATAAGCTTCATAACTTCCACTTCTGAATGTATGCGAATCAACTTTCAAACAACAGATACGTCCAATGACTCTTGCAAATGCATTGATAGAGTGTTGTTGAATAATTCGAGTGTTTACAAATCAGTATCACTGGAAATAGTTACTGTTATTCAGACAGTCAGTTGTCCAGACATTACAGTTGTAATATTACACATTTCCCATTGTTGCTGGATACCAATATGCCTACATTTAAAGATGAATGCTACCAACAAAATATTCCATTAGAACTGCAACTGTTGCTTCAAGATCATGGACATATCGTTGTAAATCGTTTCAAATATCAGTCCATTACCCCATTTTAAACCAATCCATCAATCTCTGATTTGGCTCGCTCAATACTCTCCAGCAGCTTGCATTCCATTCCTACAACGACTTGTTCATCGTATCCATGTTTACAGCGTTTGTTGTTTTGACTGCGATTTGCATCAACCCAGAATAATGGGATTTACCATTTCCTTTGTAGAATCTGTCCATAATGTCTGTTTTAATGTAATCTTTTGACTGTTTTTCGATACAAAAGTCGACAATCATTGCTTTATCATCGACTTGACCGCAGTTTGATGAGTTGACAGCACAATTGCATATACACAGGATACGAAATATCAAATCCAATTAAAGTTGGGTATTGTTTGCTGTATCCTTGTCAACTCGGACAATAGCACCACATGGCAATACTTGATAGCAATGCAGACTGTTTTGGTGCTGTGAGATGCAATGATACAACGAGTTTCAGGACCCATTCCAATATGATGCAGCATATTGCAGACAAACAGTTCATTTGTATCTGGTTGCCTGATACCTTTTACATTGTATTGTGTGGGTCTGTACTGACGAGTCTTGATGTAGCAACAAACAGTCAGTTCCGTTGCCAACATTCCAAGCGAATCTGATCTGGATTCCGTTTTTCTTTGGAGATAATGAGACCTCGACAACTGGTCAATGTCAGCCTTGCAGTGTTGAATGACAGTATTGATTGACAGCAGTTTGAATCGGTTCCGTATTTCCATCCAGATACTGTGATATTGGCAAAAAGGATCTTGCAGAGTTGTTGGTTGTTGATGGACAAGTTGGATATAAAGTTGTTTTCAATCAATCCGTTGGCAATCATGATAGCATACTTTGATTTGTATGTACGCAATACTGCTGTCATCTTGTGTATGATGTTTCCTATTTCCACAAACGCATTCCATTTCCAGCTGTTTCCTTTGTAGACATTTGATGTTGTGTAACAATGAGGGTGTAAAATGTAGTACAGAAATAGACGACTAAATTACAATTATTCCAACGGATTTAGCACTCTTGTTCAAGTAAAACAGTATCATCCGATGCTCATTATACACTACTTGTACGTTGAATCATGCCAATCACTTGCTATTTTAACAAGCATGGAATATCACGGCACATATTGATGACCAACTAATAGCCGAGTGTCAACTCATTTCAGTTTTGGTTTGTACTCATTTCTTAACCCTAACCCTTTTCAGAGTGAAGCTGTGTAATCAACCACATGATATTCGAATGTATGGTCAGATATCGGCTCAGCCAAGGTTGCGGATATCATATAAAGGGAGACTCTTCAAAGTTTGGCATTGATGGCAAATCAACAACCCTGACAACAACACTAACCCTTAAAACGGCTACCCAAAAACATGCTTTTAATATTATCCACTCAATAACCGACATAAATACAATCCAAAACTTGACCTGTTGAATGACATTACAACTTGCTCAACCAAACCAGTAGAATGAAACTCGCAGTTGCTGTATTGTCATCGATCTTGCTTGCATGCTCGATTACTATTGCCAATCCAATCGATCCCAGTGCAACTACAAGCACCGAGTCTATCATCTCGCCAACTCATAATCCAAACGGTATAGGCTTAGGTGGTCTTGATCCACTTTCAAACATCATCAAGGATTTGCTCAAGGAGTACATAGAGCTAGAACATGGTCGTGATGAACAAGAAAAACTATATGGCTCGTTAAAACCTCAATATGACCATCAACATAAACTGGTAAAGCGCTTGAAAAAAAAGATTCAAGTTTTGGGATATATATCTCAAACAAGCGGTGACGGTCCAGAATATAATGTTGAAATTCGAAAGACTAAGCTTGATCTTGAAATCCAAAAATCCAAACTTGCCAATCTTAAAAAAAGTCTTCAAGGCTGCGAGTCCAAGTATAGTTATCTTACAGTTAAAGTAGAGCAAATCAATGTAGAGCTTGTGGATCTCATTTTTGGAGAATCTTGGAATCCTAAATTATTTGGTCGCAAACTTTATGATATCAACTCAAATCCTTTCATTAGAAGCTACCTTGAAAAACAATCATTAGAATACAACAAGAGTCTTGGTCGAAAACCTAGTGATCAGCAACAGCGCAAAAAACCTAGTGATCAACAAAGTCAAGATTCACAACCATCACCGGATACACCATCTGGATCTGGATCTGGATACTTTGAACAAAGAGTTCCTTCCAATAAACGGAAAGGTTTTTCCAAGTTTATGAATGGATTGAAATCACTCTTTCAGCGACCCAAAAATGACGATTCATCCAATTGACTTGAATGCTAATCTGGACTGATTTCAACCGATTCAATTGTCATTTTATTTAATTTACAATAAAATTGTATGTACATGCATTATATCTGATTATTGTACACAGTCTTGGTTGGTATCATATCATATTGTACATTGACACTTGTATTTCCAATACAATACAGTTGATTGTATATTGCATAGTTGTACACATTGATGATACTGACATGCATGTGTGTATTGTGTCGATATGATATTGCTTGACATGTCGTATTGACACATGCAACACCAATACCAACAATAGTCATGCGTGTTGATATCAGATCCGACCAATTTGACTGGTTTGACTCGTTGATTGTGGTGTCAAAATGGTTGCATCAATAGCCTGACTGATCACACACATCAGTCGCAGTATCAACTTTGTCAAGTGTCGAGTATCACATGTTGAATATACAATGCCAACAATATGGTCATTATACACATGTTGATGTATGCAGTGGTCGTATACTGGTCGATTGGTGCAATATGATCAGGCATGCTAATGGAATGTGATAACCATGATATTTGCAGCAGTATACCATATTCCAACAGTTGATATTGCGCATCCAATATTGGCATGATCATCCAGATATACAGTGATGGATTCAAACAATGCATACCATGATTGAGCTACGCGATCATGATGTGTATTCAATCAATACCATGTATTACTAATACAATATTATGCGTGATCATTGTGCACCAAACAACTACGATACACACTGGACTGATCTAATACACGCACGGCTTGAACACATCACACAATCAAACATGGACACACCACATTAAAAATACATATAGTATCAGTTTGTCACTAATGAATTGTATTCAGTCGAGTTTATTGTGAGTCGTTGTGTGACTCTTGACAGCGTGGTGAGTTTTTTCAGGTACAACTACTTGATCAGTTGTAGTTGATGATTGTTACCACCAAGAGTCCTAACGTACATCATACCAACTATAAAATAATCATGGTCATCATACATTCAACAAATAACCAGTTTTATTACTATATGTTTAGCCATCAAGTTTCTCGTAATTAGGCTTTGACCGCCTACTACTACGACGAATACTATCACGGAGAGTACTACCAAATCGCGAAAATGATCTCCTGAGAGTAGATGTGTCACCTGAACTTGAACCGCTTGGTTGTTTAGGCAATCTAACAATATGCATCAAATTCATGATCAGTATATCAATCGACACATCCACACACCAATATCAAACAACTTACTGTGGTAATGGCCAGAGCACCTGATCAGCATTCGAAATAGTAGGATATCCATCAGTCACGGCTTCGCATCCACATCCAGGACCAAGCCCAATGCGTTTATTTTGTCGATCAAATACCAATCTAAGTCGGTTCATAAATGGTATACCAAGAGCTGCATTTTCATTTGGACCAGCTTCTACAATAAATCTAACTATAATCCAACATGTATATTAGTCAGGTTAATCAAACAACACATATTGCATACAATTGTCAGATATTTACCATATTTAGAATCATATCTCTGTAGATAGTCTCTAGGACCCAGTGTGATCGTTACAACGGAGTTGCGATTGTCATCAGTCACGGGGTTTTCAGCAAACATTGTAATTGAAATCGTTGGCATCCTGTCCCAATTGATACTAAGTTTGGATTTGAGGATTAGACGGTTTTCCCAAAATATTTTTTTAATTTCTGTTTTGCTGAGCTTGTGCTTGTGTTTGGATTTAGTCTTTTTGACAGTGATCGCATCACTACCAACAATAGCAGCAACCAGCGTTTCCACGACTACTCTAGGAAAATACATATATACAAAGCATGTTTGTAGATATGAGTACAAAGTATGACCATTCTTTAATATATGCTTTTGAAATTCCTTGGGTAGATCCACTTGTTCGCCATTGACTAGTATACTCTTGATATTGACAGTAAACTGATCGTTTGTTGGTGAGTCTACCCATGCAACACTCCTTCCATCCGTTCCACATTTTGGAGTTACATCCATATTTCCTATATTGATGGAGCTTTTTGAAAGCATTTTATACGGACATAGTTCAAGGCCAACCTCGTTATTAGTAATGACACCACCATTGTACAAAGCATCTATCGCAGTGACTCGTGAATGATGATCTGACAACGAGGAGTAGCCAATTCCAAATACTCCTTGATCGGGGTTTCCACCAATACCAACCAGACTTGCCGATTGTTTTTTAACTGCTATTACTGGTAAATTGATTCCAGTTATCCTAGTACCCGGAATCGTCACATCGGTGTCGAAACTAAACCCTTTATACTTTCTGCTTTTGTACCTTATAGTAACGGGCTTCCCACTTGAAATACTTTCTGGAGTCAAACCTAGATCGTTGCTTGAACTAGGAAGTGGTACCATTATACTGGAAACTGATGAATCGACTCGTAAATCCAACTATTTTAAACAAGTGTGAGATTGATTCAACGTGGTACAAATTGATATCAAACTACAATGCATGACATGATACATACATTGATTCCATGAACATTGACTTTCATTGTGTAGCATTTTGTGATATCACCACCCAACACAACGGATGATCGTTTTGACAGCCTATTGTTCGATTGACTGACAATTCCAACTGGTGGATGTAATGCAAGTCGAACTGCAGCAACCGCTTGTAACGCAAGTAGAACGCATTCTAGAGTAATCAACATTGTACCGAGTAGTGTGATGAAAATGGGTTGAATCTGATACATGACTGCCGTTTTATAACGACGGCAACTTCAAGGGTGACAATCGGCACCTTTCAAATCTGATCAGAAAAAGCCAAATACACCATGTAGGGTCAACAAACCCAGAAACACACCGTAGGTCGAATCAATATACAAGCATCGCTGTTGGTGTATAATCAACTTCACTAGTATGCTGTGTTGATATTTCCAATTGTGGTCATGTATCAAGTAATCAGGTAGTGTCAGATTTCCACTTGATTATGGATAATTATCATCACATACAATCCATTACCACAGCATATACTGTCACTGTGTACCAAATACTTGATTGATTGTTCAATTGGTCATGTTTTGAATCACTCGGACACAACAGCATCCAACAGTCTGTTGCTGCAGTATTTCAAAACCATGACTTTTCCATTGGTATGACTGCATGGTCATTTTAGGTCAATCTAGACTGTATACGTCAAACATTGCTGATTGTGTCACAACATGATCAACATCAAACTCGGCAATCTGTCGTTGATACACTGAATGAGTGACGTTGTACTATAATTGAATTGGGGATTGGCAGGTCGTTCAACAAACTGGCCGTGTCAACAGGTCAGATTGTCATCGTGTACATGAACCATAATGGATGATCATGTCATTCAAATCAGCACACAATCTACTGATATATGCAATACAACACCACCAATACAATACAATCCAATCAAACCCAATCACAAACGTGGTGTTGAATCCAATGCATGCGAGTACTTTTTAAACACATGATACACACTGATGGTGATGGTTGCTGACAGTCACATTGCAGTGTACATGTCCAATAGTGTCCACTGTCATGTCGATTGTTGCTATCCGTGACATCCAACTGTACTTGTATTCACCAAATGTGCACAACATCTAGGGTTGGCTGCCGGATGCTCTCATGTTTGGCATACAACTAGTCACCATCAGACCAAGCGTATACGCTAGTACAATGCCATGAATCTATTGGCAAGTGGTTTCGATTTTATTCTGGCGCGTTGAGGGTTGGATGTGTACTAGACACAATGTTGTGGATATAACTGAACCACAACAGGGTGATATCATGCATAATGGTACGGCCTGGATCTGTTTGGTAGATATGCAACCATATATATGACAGCCCAATCCGTCCTTTATCACGGGTTGGTTTTAGAAATGTCTGTTATTTTGGTTGATACATGTTTGTTGCATAGATTGGTAGTATTGTGTGTATTTAGTCTGATTACATTGTAAACAGTCTGGTTGATTACTCATTCACTGCTAATAACCCGTTTGTACAACATAATCGATCATTTGCTCAGTATCGAGTATTTCCAAATACAAACTTGAATGAAAAGTCTTGCCACAAGACTGATCAACTGTATTACTGTTTACACTGTGGTACTATTGATGTATTGGAATGTTTGGTGATCAGATACACAATGATAATGGTAGTACAAATCATGGCAGTTGTATAAACCAAACGTGATTAAAGCCAATAATAATGTCAGACAAGATTGGATAATGAATTAGCGTGTAAATCATCAACATTGACCAAGATTGATTGAAATGGTGAGATTGAGTTGGATGGTAATGAACACAACACATGTGTATACAGAGCTGTATTGACAACATTGACAGTCCAACACAATACATGAATGTGGGTTCAAACTTGGTGATCGTACAATGTATGATTACTAATAGTGCACAAAATGTAGATTCAACACTATAGTCTGATTGTGTGTCATATGATGGTTGTTGTATATCAAACAAGTAATGCAGTCAATGTGTGGTAACCATTGTATGTTGCAATGCAGAATACAGTCATTGCAGGATGAATACGGTTGTAAAACAAAGCACTTGCGGTTACACAACACTCTTGAAGGGTGCTTTTCAATATACCTGATCAAAGGGTTGTAAAAGCATAATTTAATCGACACGATCATCAAATTGATCAATATGATATTATGAATAGGGGTAACATACTGTCTAGTTTGATATTGGCTCATTACAAGCAATCAAGTAACCCTGTGTTGTTGGTTAACCTAAAAGGGTTAGGGTTGGTTTGCTATACAAAACATATAAATACAATCGAGTGCCTTCATTCCTATAATCGACACCAGTTTTAACACTCTACTTTCTGCTAATAGTTTAAACCCATTGACCAATCTGATGAAATTGGTTGATATTTTACTCTTACTGACTGCAGCAGCAACCACTAATGCAATATTGATCCCGACTGATAACGATGATTCACCCCAAGCATCAGGCACTTCAAGCCAAGTGTCTGATCCAACTGATAAACCCAGTCCAGGCACTTCCAATGAATATCAGCAAGAACCAGTGGATTTAAGCCTTTCCGACCGGATCCGGCAACAACCAATGGATCAACCCGGTTTAAACACTCCCACTCAAGGTCAACAATCGACAGCAACTATAACTGGTCCAAGTACTTTCAAACAAGGTCGAAAGCGCATAATGGATGTGATTGATTTACTGATTTCCAGACAAAACCAGCAACAACAAATTGATGAAGTTGATCCAAACGCTTCCAAACAAAGTCAGCAACAACAATCAATGGATCAACCCAGTCCAAGTACTCCAAAACAAAGTCGGAAACGGCCAATCAATGAAATCAGTCCAAGCATTTCCAGTCAAGCGTCTGGTTCAACTAATGAACCCAGTCCAAGTGCTCCAAAGCGAGATCGAAAACAACCGATTGATCAACCCAGTCCAAGCACTTCCAGTCAAGACCAACAACAACCAATGGGACAAGGCGAGTCTGCTAATACTGTTCCAAATCAAATAGCTGGATTAAGCCAAAAATATCAGAGAACCTTTGATGGTATAAAGAAAAAGTTTGTAGCGTCTAAAAAGATTGTAAAAGAAAAATGGAAAGCCTATAATGAATATATAGCTTTTGGATTGGAGCAATGGTCAGCGCTAGCAAGAGGGGAAGAGATATCTAAACCAAAGTACAGTCCAGACACTGAAAAGAAATTGGAACAAGAGTATAGAGATGCAAGCAGAAGAGTATACATTATCAGACAAGAATTGAAAAGGTTTATGATAAAGCATGGTTTGGAATTTCAAGAACCGAATTAGGATTCAGATTGATGATGTGTCAATGAT